CGTACCTTGACCCAAGTAATGTCTTGTGTAGCGTAAGGCCGAAATTGATCCGCTTAAAGATATTTTCTCACAATAGATGAGAGATCTGGGTCGTGTACTGTCGCTGTCCCAGGAATCAACTAGGGAATATATTCATAATTTGGGTGTGTCTTTACTCCCATTCTTCTGCCTGGTGGTGTGCTGACCCAGGGTTCTTGTATCAGAATGATGTCTGCTTGTTCTCCTTTGTAATCAGCCAGGTTGGTGGCTAGCTCTGTAGGGCTTGCACTCTTTTGTCCTCCTGCTGTATTTACAGAATGGATGACTAGATGCCCGTGTCGATGTGTTTTGTTTGATGTACCTAATATTGACTGACAACAATGGTATCGGCATCTCTGGGATGAGTTGTATCTGTTGTGTCGATTTGCATTGTGATGTCTTTGTTATTGTTACTGGGTGTTGACCCAGCTTGGTTTCTGCCTGCTTCATTGAAGGTCTTGGATCTGGCTCTTTCTCCGGCCAGCCTTATTTCCTGGATTTGCTCCCATGTGTGCTTGTGGATGATGCCTTTCACAACCTTGGGGCGTGCAGGGTATTTGTCGAAGTTGGCAGCATGAGGTCCTTTGCAGTTGACACACTTTGGGATTGGTTTTTCGCACTCCCCCTGGTGTACTGTGCTGGCGCAACATGCACATATTTGCTTTTCACATTGGTAGTTTCTATCATGGTATCTGAAGCAGCTCACACACTGGTGAACCTTGGGGGAGTATTGAATGTGCCTTGAGGTCATTGAGTGAGCAAAAACCGTGAATGGTTTCCTTGCTGCACGGGGTAGAGAGATCACCCATGTGGTCTCTGGATCTGAATCAACCGTGTTCCTTGAGAGTATACACCATAAAGGTCTGTCACCTGTTTGGGCTTTAACCTCGTCAGCGACAGCAGTGTCGGTAATGTTGATTGTAAGTCCTTCCGTACTGATGACCTTCCTTGGGCATCCATCAACCTTATAGTGATGCCAGACTGTGTAGGTTTCAATTTTTTGTGCCTTAAGAATGTCGGCGATCTCTTCTTGGAAGGCCAGGAGCTTAGTCTGAGTTGGCTTGTCCCTTAGGTGTAAGGTAAATCCGGAGGGGCACCGTGTCACTTTTCTAAGCTCCTGGGGGTGGAGCTTAAGTCTTCTGTTCAGTATAGACTTTATCCTATAAGGCTCTAAATGGCTATTGTCCATGCGGACAAAGACCTGGAGATCATTATGCTTCTTCTTTGGTTGATTGGTAGCAGTAAGGGCGCCAGGCAGTGTTTTCTTTATGGTGGTGTTGACTATCAGTGGATGCTGTCAGTGGTTAGAAGAGACAGCTTGTGCGAAAGTCATGGTGGGCTTCCCCATCACCATCCCCCCGGAAGTGGCCTTCCTTATGGTTAAATCTCGGGTTTCCAGCCACTCGCTCATATATTTAGAGAAGAAGGCGCTGAACTCTTTAGCATATGAGTGTAATTCGGTTCCGGCTTTCTCAAGTATCTTGTCAACTGCTGCAGCACACTCTTGAAACATTGTTATCTTGGCTTTGTAAAGGTGTATGTCTTTATCCAGTATCTTTGTAATTTGGTCTTGGCACTCTGAGGAGGAGGCTTTACTCCCAGTATCGCATGTAATGGCTTGGTTTGTAGAGATTTTGTTCAATTGAGGTCGTTTGATTCCAGTGGTGCTGCTGTCATTGACACCTCGGGATTTTCCTTTCAGAGGGGAATAACGGTAAAGTCAACCTTAGAGACCTGTGACGGGCTGCTGCTGATGTCGTCAAGCAGCCCCTGGCGGAGCCTGCTCGGAGTTGCCGGGCCGTATGTCTTTCTAGAGGCCGGGGATTTGAGCACGCCGCCGGTGGTCGTCTTTGTGACGGCCACAGGCGTGTTTGGGAGCCCGTCGTAGAAGGGTGCTATCCGGCTTATGAAAAAAAAATTCTCTTATATCTTGGCAAAGATAGGCAGTTACTGAAAGAAGTGCCTGCTTTAGCGCAGATATCAAGGTTGCGCCCTAACTACGGGGCGCTAAGAAAAATAGTTGTTTTTGGCAAGTGTGATGATTTATACTATACAAGGTATAATTTATTTATTATTAATAACTTTGAACCTTATACAGTAATTAATAAAAAAGCTTAATTGTTACTTTATGTTTTTAAATATAAGTTAATTTATATAGACTTATTATTTATACTTTATAAATTTAAAAAATCTATATCGTACTTTTATAATATAAAATAAATTGTGAAATTCTAGAAGGGTCACAAGCCTTAGGGGTGTGAGCGGTCGCTGCATATGTTGTTGTCATTCTCAAATATGCTTCGCAGGGCTAATCTACAGCTAAATACCATACTACACCATGCCAGGGTGGATCTACTGGTCCCCTGGCAGCCCTCTAGCGGGTACTGTACCTAAAGGCACTATATCTGGGATCCAATATCTGACATAAATGAAATAAACTTTTGAAACATTTTATTCTTTAATTATAAGGGTATTATTATAACTATTATAAAAGAATTCTTCTAAATATCTTTACGTTTATAAAACGATATCTTCTTAACTTATTTATAATAACAGCCCTTTTTATATATTCGTTCTTATAAAATTTAGCCGTATAATAATAGATTTTTACTTGTGACGGCCTACACAGACCTTCCCACAGGACAAGCGGATACTTCCCAATAGGGGAAGGATCTGACCAGAGGATCCCCTTAAAGGGGCAACCTCCCACTGTACCTATCTCTCTCTCTCTCTTCCTTTCCTCTCTAGTCTTGATATTCTTGTCAATAAATTAATAGCTGCTTGCTGCCGGCCATGTCCCAGCTCCTCAGTACGCTCGCCGTGACATCCCTTACCTTAGGGAGCACCACTTTATGTGGTGAGCCCCAGCGAGGTGGAAACTGGTGCGGGGCACGAGTACTACTTGGTCATTGCCTCCTGTTTCTCGTAGCCCCGTTTCTTGTTCAGTACATCACGACTGGAGTCTTCGTCGCGGTCGTTACCACACTTTAGCTTCAAGTCTCGTGACGTGGCTTTCTCGTAGTTAGGTGTTAGACCGGGAACCAAGTCTCTCGCTGTGTTGACGAGTCGTATAAACCCCTGGTTCTCCGTTCTGTGTGCGAATAAGTCGTTGATGGCGACCCCCTGTTGAATCATGATCGATCCAGCACCATGCAGGGGAAAGTCGATACATGATCTACTCGTCTGTTATATGTAAGAGACACGCCCAAGCTCTTCCGGCAATCTGGTCGTCCACAGATGGAGGTCTGCTCAAACCGCCTCATTGACTCCTTGCCGCAATGTTCGCAGGTACATTTTGCTGGGTACGGTAGTGGTGATTGTCTTGGGAGGCGAGGGCGCCCACCAGACAGGTCGACTTCTGCCCGAAAAGTCTAATCGAACCATGAGGGCTTTCTCACTGCCAATGGCCACCTCCCAGTAGTCCGCAATGACCCAGAGGCCAGCAAGCACAAATTCCTCTTCCCCAGGTAAAAGGATATCCTTCTCAAGGAGGTATGGATTTGATCTTATCCAAATGCCTATCTGGCTTGTCTGGTGCATCGTGCTTATGGTCATGAAATGGAATCTTCCTGGTTTGTCGTTCTTTGTGATATTCAGGTGGGTGACAATAATGTGGTCATCCAAGAATTCGAAACGTGTTGCTTCCACCCGCCCCCCACCCCCCAATATCAGATCCTCACTGATGCCACCTTGAGTCTGTACGTTCCCCTCCAATATCGGCCACAATTGACTGCCTAAATGATCTGGGACCGTGACGAGGCTGTAACGACCTTGACCCCATTATGGGTGGACAGGAGAGGTGATGAGGACGCCTCAGACAGGTTGAAAGCGCTGCAAGACTTTCCGCGGTCGTTCTCTGTATGGCTTAGACTCAGTGTTGGTAAAGTGAAGGTAAGTAGGTAATTATTCAGAGGGGATAAACTATTTAGAGACTACAAAATACCGGCAGACTTGATGTCCTGGCCGCTAGAATTGATTTATGTCAAGGAATCAACATACTAAAGAAAAAGTATGCCAAATTAGACAAGCATTGTTTAGAGCTTCGCGGCAGCATAGGTGGTCAGCTGTTCTCAAACAAACAGGTTAGATAGCGAGTGTCTAGTTTCAGCAGACAAACAGCCCCCCTTACGTTTCTTTGGGGCAGATTCCTACCCTTGGCTAATGTCTGCGAGGAATTTTGTACTAGAAGAGAAACGACAGGATCACAAGAAGACAGATACCAGCAATACCATAGAAATACGGATGTCCGGCTCTTAAACAACATACATAGGCAGTCAAGCACCTATGTCATGTCGAGCAGTGAATTCGCTCTGTTCGACTGCTCCGATGGTGGACATCACACAACTAATCTCGTGACGGCAGCGCTTGAGCGTGAAGAGGAGCCTCCCGAGATAATGCGAAGGGATGAAGATACACCGGCGACGACCAGACAGGAGGAAGAACAGGAATAGAAAGCCCGGCTGGCTAAACGCCTAGGGGACAGGCGGTCTCTAGGAGGTAGTTTGCGACGACGATCTACAGTTGATGGAACGAGTAGGCAGGAGACAGTTCACCAGAGAGGTCTTGAGGTTTGGGGGGATAGGACACAACCCATAGCTGAGTGCTTTTCTACGCAACCAACTCGGCAGCTACCAATTGAGCGAGTATCATCGCCTTTGTCCGCACTGGCCCGCAAGGATATCTAGGAATCATATGAGCCACTCGCTTCGTCCTTAGGGTATTCGCTTTACGAAAAATGATTGTTAATATGGAAACGTTAAGCATCGAAGCTCGCGAAATCTCATATGTGCCTCGAGCTGATAGAACTAAGAAGCTTGCTTGCGGACATAGACGTGCGTACCCAGTTTCAAAAACCAGCTAATGCCAAAGAGTCCCCATCTTATCTCCCCTGCCATTCCAAAGTACACCACTATAAACCCGCAGGCGGATTTCGAGTTTAGCTGTTTGCATGCTGACCGCAGAACTTCGCGTGCCTCCTATTTTCATGGGAGCTTCTTCGAGATAAACTTCTGGCGGAATTCCCTTAGAGCATCAGGCGTCTCCCACTGTTCGTTAGGTCTGTAGAACTTGGCATCCTTATTGGATAAGTCGAAATACAACTTGTCTTGCAACTCTGTCAATCGAGGGCGTTGTGCTGGATCTGACGCCAGGCACCTCGCAATCAAGCTCCACAGCTCGGGATCTAACTGCGGACAGAAATTGGCTTTATCGGAGATGTTCCGGCGGCAGACGTCAAGGTTCTCAAGTCTCTTCCGAGCTATAAGCTCTACCATTATCTGTGGGTGATGTCAGCCTAGCCTAGACCGCATAGTTACTTCCTATATGCATCGAATCGAATCGAGCCAAGCCCGGCCAGACGAGTCGCGAGAGACAGCTAACTTAAGAGACAGCTAACTTACTTTGCCGATTGCTAAGATGTTGGCATCGATGCCCGTGTTAGTGTCGCCTGGGAGAGCTGGACTATTAAGGAGGAGAGTCAGCGACCACTCAGGCTCTCAGATTCCACCTGATGCTAATGTATAGCGGCCACTTACAATTCGGCCAATTTGTGTGTCATGTTATACCATACCAAGAAGTCTGCCGTCGACCCACCGCCGCCCCCGCCATCCTCGTCCTCGTCCTCGTCGCCCGAGATGGGCCCGCCGTACTGAGCCGACCCGAAATCTATGGCTTTCAACATTGGGGCCTCGTCGTGCTTCCAATACGGTGTTGCTGCTGCAGGTGTTGCTTCTGCCGCTGTTGCTGCTGCCCCGTCGTTCTCAACTCCACCGGAGCCCGTGAGCACCCCTATGCACAGGGTGTGCATGTCTCCGAACATTACTACGCAGGTTCGAAAGGGTCAGCGGGACTCCCTCCATGCCAACCAACCGACTAACCAAGTCTCGTGGGAAGAGCTAACTTACGATTGCCTGGGTGCAGATCCCCATGGCATAAATTTTTTCTTGCTCTCAGGTCTTTTTTCGGGACTTCTGTCAGGTTTTCCCGTTTTCCTTTCTCTCTTGCTCTTGCTCTCTTGTTTGCTCGCGTGTTATTCGTCGGCTCTTCCTTCGCCGGTCTTTTTCTTTTTGTTCCCGTTGTATATTTTGTTCCCGTTGTCTTTTTTGTTCCCGTTGTATCTTTTGTCTCATTCGGTATTACTTCAGTCATATTTTGTGGTTCTTCATCATTCGGCTCATCTACGTGTGGAGGGTAAGCCATGCCAATGCATATCCTGGCAACTATGCAGGCGTTAGATACTGTCAGAGGTCTGTCTCCTGTAGGGGCTCGGGCGGTCTGAGGATGAGGACGACCTACGGCACAAGAAAACCGACATGAGGAATCGATTTGGGAAGGTGAAGTCTTTGGCATTAGCAGTTTTAATCATGAGCTTCTCCAGAGTCCCGTTTTCGAGATACTCCAAGATGATGAAGGGCCCTCTCATGGGCAGGACGGTTTTTCTTTCACTTTGTCTCGTCCTCCTCTCGGTGTCTTTGACGGCTAGTATGTTGACGACGTGCTCGACATGTTCCAATGTCTGCTCCAGTAATCGATCAGCCCGGTCATTGGTATGCCTCATTCATTGAAGAACAGGAAAGGGGGAGGGGGAGGAACTGCTAACCGTCAGGTGAGCGATCTCGTTCCGGATATCGTCATCCCAGAGCTCCTCTAACGCTCTCTTCACCATGAAGAATCTCGATTTGTTATCGTCGAGCGTCTCTTTAAACAGCGCGACCATGGCATGCTCGCCACAGCCGTCATTGCCAGGCTGATAGACTATTCGAGGCCCTTTGCCGAAGAACTCCTTGCACTCGCGTACGATCCGCCGTTTTTCGGCGTCCGTCATGGTGCCGTCGTGACGATGGTAGAACTCTCACAACGACATACTCAACAGATCCTGATGCCATTGATACACTACTAAAATTTCTTTCTTCTCTTGCTGAGTTTTGTGCACAAAGCATCGTAAGGTTTCATACTCGAACCGTTTCCGGCACGACTGCCCATTGCCCTCAACAACGAAGCGGAAGGCAGAGGCAGAGACAAAGCGGAAGAACAACGTGCTGGTCAGCGCGACACCGACTTGGGAACCAGCTATGAGCCTCTTGGGGCCTCCCAGGTTAAAGGACCTCGTGATCCCATGATGGGCAAGCCGGCCGGCCACCAACGCCAGCCGACTGCCGTGTGAATCCCACAGCAACCTGCACGGGACCACCGCCCCCATGGCGGAGGGCATGTCTGCCTCAACCCACAAGGACTCGGCATACGTAGTCTTCGGCCTGGCCGCATCCAGCTCCATGACAGCCGAACGCCGTGAGGTCATCTTCACCAGCGAGGCCGTCACCGATTGCTGACGTATTCCATGGTGGCCGACGACACCCCCTGATCGCAGGGCGCACTCTATCCACGACTGCGGTGGTATGGATGAATATCCCATCATGATCTTGGACGACGACATGCTGTAAGCTGAGCCTTTCACACTCTTGGGCGGTACACAGCTGCACAGGTCCGTCAGCGACCTTCGCGAAGTCCGTATGTGCATGCGACTCCACGCCAGCCTGTCCCGGCAGCTCCTCAACCTCCGTGAGAAGATGAACGACAAGTACGCCGATGTCTCGGACTCGTCGACGTCGAAGCCCTTTAGCACTTCCCACTTGGGCAGAGCGTGTACGGACTTCGCGATATCGCCATCGCCTCCGTAGGATCGGTAGGCAAGGTTCTTTTTCCGATCCCAGAGGTCGGGCACAGTCTCATCTTCATGATCATCACCAGAGGCCGCCAACCAGGTATGCACAACTATGCAAGCAGTGGCTGCAAGGGAGGCCTTGCGCTTCATCTCAGCCGACGACTGTGTAGATGAGAAGTACGCTACCGGGCTGCTCATCAACTGTACCTGCTTCTCGATGCCAACGCGCCAGAGATGCTGTAAAGCGAGTTTTACTTGCAGTTCTAGACAGTCTAGTGAAGATGCCGGGGGCACAATCACGAATGCAGGGAGGAGCGGGATTTGTCCTGCAATGCATACTGCAAGGGGGTGAGCCCGCATACTGGTTGTCTTGCTTATCGACACCGTGTGAGGTCAGTAACGGGAATGCGATGGCTGGGCTGTAGGGCCTAATGTTTTTATATTGCCACCCCTGCTACATAAGTGCCCTTATTCCCTCTCAAACCCCGCAAACTGTCTGGCGTTTGGACTACACATCTTACTATCCAAGATGGACCGGCTCCCCCAAGAGATATATGATGAAATCGGCGCACTTCTACATGATCCAGCGTTTTGCCGGCCAGCCCTGGCCACCGTCTCACGCCAGTGGCAGATAGCCATCGAACGACAAACGTTCAGAAACATCCGCTTGAGAAGCACCGACCTAGGCTGCTTCCAACAGATCGTCCAACACCGGCGCCGTCGATATGTAAACGCAATCAATTACCTGATTGTGCTGCCTGGCTATAGCGATGAGAAACGCCGCCAGTTCGAGCGCGAGGATGATCGGCGGGCTAACGACGAGGTCTTTACGACTGTAGTACATCGCCTCTTCCATCGGCTGGAGCACTGGGACGTCTCCAAGGACGGCTTCATCAAATTCTGCCTTCGAGATGTATATTCGAGCGCCGATCACGCCTTTCTACGTCGCTCGTCGCCTTCTTGAAATGCTGGGAACTCCATTCGTTTGCGCAGAGACGGGGACAACGCCCGTGTCGTCGATCTCTGGAGCTGGCAGTACCGATACGCATACCTCCGTCTCTTGCGTCCCTCGGAGCTCCCTGTGGTGCCTGTGGTCAACTCTTTCTCGACCTGTGCCATGACAAGGAATATGTGCGACCGCGTTCCTATCGACATGGCTGCCCGGGTACCAAATCTTCTGGAGGGAGCCTGGAGGATGACTGAATGGGAAATCCGATATATCGCCTTGCGTCGGGCACACCGGAAGGACCTAGCTCAAGCGATTGCAGAAGTGTTCCCCCTATCAGCCTCCTTGCAGTCACTTACTCTAGCCATGAGCTCAATTTGGGTTTGGACTCCAACCTTCTCTATTGGGACTCTTGATCCGGGAAATTCAGATATTGACACGCTTAGCGACGCGATCCGTTCAGCTACCGCGAGAATAAGCACACTGAGAGAGCTGAAGATATACGGCACAATTGATGCGTCGCTACTCTGGCCCAGTCCCTCCGATGCCTTGTTGGAACCCTACTGGCAGAGATTGGAACACCTTACAGTTCACTTTTCTCCAATGCGGCCCTCCGGGGGATGCTACTTTCGAGGTCCCCAGTCGGCGACGAACGTGCCCTCGGATGCAGAGGTACCCCCAGGATATGATCACAGCGAAGAAGAGGACGCTGCAGCTGCAAGTTCCTTCTCCCCAACAGCGGCAGAGGGGTTTATGAAGTAGTGCCAGATGACGATTCACTGGTGCCATTGCTAAGGGCATTCGGACAAGCGTGCTTACAAATGCCTATGCTGAAATCAGCTGAGCTATCTACAACCATACCTATGCCTGCAGAACTCGACACTGGTAGATTATCGCAGGGTAAGTCCTCGTGGGGAATTTGGTACTTCAGTCCTGAGGCTTTATGCGGTGCGAGAAAAGAGCATATGGATCCGGCCTTTGCTGATGACATTCACCAGAGACGGTTGTTTTGGGATGTAAAAGACTGGCGACCAGATATGGATCTACGAAACCTGCTTGGGAAGATTGGCTCTGAGAAATATGGGATACACTTGGTTGAAAAATTCGTTGCACTTGGGGTACTGTAGGGGAGTATAAGCACCTGCAAGAGTACAACGAATGTCGGTCTTAACTTCCCCATTACTTCTAACAGGCCTGTGTTGTGTGGTATAACTTCTGTCCTCAAGTTGGCAAAATAGTTTGACGATCGCTAATTCGTAGGCAATCGGGCTAAAAGGCGTACATATGCCCCCTGATCATCATGAAAAGTTGAGACAGCAAAAGAGATATAAGACGAAGATCAAGGCTAGGGCCTCGTCTGATTTATTCGTAGATTACTTATTAAATCTCGAACAACCCGCCGTCAGGGCGAATCTGGCAATCCCACTCCGGGACAACAGCTCAATCGTCATCATCGTCGTCATCATCACCCATGAAATGGAACTGCGTAGCCTGCGGCCTCGGCGGCCCCCCAGGAGCCGTCGGCGCAGCGCCAGCACCCGCACCAGCACCAGCACCACCCGTACCGACGCTGGCCCGGCGCCGGTTCTCGGCCTCCTCCAGCTCGCGATTGCGCTCCCTCTCGGCGCGCAGCCGGGCCTGTTCCTCACGAGCCTTGCGTTCCCTCTCCTCGCGCTCGACTCTTTCGCGCTCCTCCTGCTCCCGCCGCTCTTCTTCCTCGCGCTTCTTGCGCGCCTCTTCCTCGGCCGGGTCGTAGTTCTCCGGGTTGATGCCCTGCTCGGTGATGAACGACAGCGAGGCGATGGCGCCCTTGCGCACCTGCTCCTCGCTTGGCCAGGGCACGAACTCGCAGCCGCTGTTGGGGTTCAGGTGCGCGGTCAGGTGCTCGGGAAGTGTCGTGCCGCCTGATATTGCGGTCTGCTGGGATGCGTCGAAGGACTGCTGGATGCCATTCGCGGGTGTGGCAGCGGCTGACTGTGGTTGCGACTGCACCCCGTTCGGCGTCTCGCCGGGGGTGGTGGCCGCCGTTTCCATTCCTCCGTTCTCGCCCTTCATCTGGGTATCGGCCTGTATGCTGTTGACGGCACCAACTGGTGGCATTGTCGTCTTGCTGATCCTCCGCGCATAGCTCAGGAGTTCGTCGTACTTTATGTCGTAGCTTGGGCCGTCTGGGAAGACCGTAGCGGGTGTGCTGAGCAGTTCCTTGCGCGTATTGGCAAGGAGTCGGAGGGCATCCTTGATCTGGGTGTCGAAGCTCGAGGTTGCGGCGTGTAGCTCCTGAATGCGACGGTAGTTGGTCTGGTGAGTTTGCACTACATATATAGTCAGCAACCGGATAATCGTATCACCCCTGACTCTAGAGGAGTCAGGGCGTTGATATGGCGAGACCTACGATCTTGCAAGCCTTCGGTTAGCTGCGTTTCCGCGTTTCCCAGCTCCTGCACTTGAATTATGGAGGGATTGTACTTGGCGATCGAGTCGACAAGGGTCGCTAGAGCTTTCTCGACGCGGTCGAAGCAAGAGTCTAGCTTTTTGTCCATCTTGAAGCTCACAACGGTGTGCGAAGTTGCTGTTCAGCGGGTTTCCAAGGGAGAGTCTGTCGCGATCAATGGAGGCTTCCGGCTTAGAGCTCCGCCCTGCAGCTCGGGTAGAGCGCCGATCACTTGTGGCTAGTGCAATCAGCTAGGTGACTGCATATGTGGCTGGAGTACTGTGGCACGCCCGCCGGCTTCTGCCGAGTCAAAGAATGTCACGCAGCTTTACCATCAACGAAGCCGTCACCGACTCAACAGCTAACACGACCTGCCATTGAAACCTCACCCTCGACCTCGTCGACACGCAGTCAAGATGGTGTTCCAGGTACGTGTTCCCCCAGCTACAGCAACACCGATTATCCAGCAGACTACGCCCACCCACCTATGACCTGCCAGTCGCGAGACCCAGCTAACTCCATCATGATGCAGACCCCCGTCCGACGGCCCAACGACTACCCTGCCTACAAGAGCCCCTACGGACCCAAGTGAGTGCCCATAGACCACCTCGAATACAGGCGTCGATTCGGCTGCCAGGAGGCAATAGGCGCACAAAGCACTCGATGGCGAGACGGAAAGCTGGACGACCCGAGAGACTCGAGACAGCTCCCGCCGGGCATGGAGCGCACCTGGCTGACAGCGTACCCGAACAGGTACCACTACCAACCGAACCTCGCAGGATGGACCCCGAAGCAGCTCGGTAGACTGTAAGAAGCCCAATCTCTTGATAACCGCTTGCGCCCGAGGCTCAGAAGCGCGCCCCGTGGAATGGTTGCGCAGACTACAAGGCTCCTGATCCAGAACGGAGGACTGAGCATGAAGCTGATGATTCGGACTATAGTGGTTTCACGACCGGTGCCACTGGTGGTGTCCTCCTGTTCGCCGTTATCTTCTACGCATCCGGCATTCCCCGAGTACAGAAGGACATCCTCATGAAGATTCCCTTCCTCAGCAACTACTACGTCAAGGAGGTGCCCGCTTCGGACAACGTAAGGTCCAGTCAGCTCTTTTCAACTGACCTGTTGCTAACAAGTAACCCAGCCATTCTAAGATGTTCCAGCAACATGATGGGTTGGATTGGTAGAGAGAAGAGAACGTGGCAACGGCAGCGTGCGTGTATGGCGTACTGTACAAAACGACAACCAATAGATTTTGTCGAGCCTTCGATTACGTGTGAAATGCAGTAGGTTTATTCATGTGCCGACGTGGGCCGCCTCGTCTATCATCTGCTGCGCATGTGGTAATACAAGTGCTCGAATCTATTTGAATGCAAACTCCCTCCCATGCTTATGCTTCTCGCTCGACCATTTCATCTCTCATCTCTTCCTTCATGCGAGTAATAGTACCGGCACCGCCATAGACGAGACCAGTGTATACCATGGCAATGCTCGCGCCGGCGTTGAGCATCTTCAGGGCCTGCTGGCCATTGGTGATACCACCGGTAGCAAATATGACCTTCTGCTCCAACGACTTGTCCGTTGCTGGTTTAGGCTGGGGCTTCATACCCTCATCCGGCAACCCGGTGATCGTACCATCGATTGCCGCAATGCTGGCGTCCACGGCCTCGTCCGTCACCACCTTCTTCTCGACGGAGCGCAGCGATTGACCATCCAACAACTTTCTGTACCGCTTGACTAGGTCCGCTGTCCGTTCGAACATCATCGGACCTGAGTAACCGCCCGTCTCGGTCAGGATTTGCTGCTCCATCGGGGTGATCTTGACACCCGGGGGGATCACTCCAGTACGTCGCTTCGTGGTGTTTCCAACGATGACTCCATCAACGCCACTCGACCACACGGCCTGCACAATGCCTTCCATCTGGGTATCTTCATCCTCGTCCGGCGAGACCTTTACCATGACCTTGGGCTTCACCTTCCGGTCTGCCTTTTGGGCCTCGTCGACCACAGCACTCAGGATCCTCGTCAGGGGCTCCACGGCCTGCAGGTCACGCAGTCCCGGCGTGTTCGGACTGCTCACGTTGACGACTAGAACATCTGCGTACTTGGCTAGCCGCTGGACGCAGTAGACATAGTCGCCCTTGACAGCATTCACATCACGCTCGTCCGTCTCCTTGTTCTTGGCAATCTGAACCAGCAGCATGCGGCCAGGCAACAAGCTTCCAGGTGGCACGTTTGCCTCTCCATTCAGAACACTCGCCTCGTCCAGTCCCACGGTCTTTGCGAATCTGCGGACTCGCTCCCGCAGGCGCATCGCCATATCGTCTGCGCCGTGCGAGTTCAGTCCGTACCGGTTGATAAGTCCATCGAGTCCAGGTACACGGAACATGCGCGGCTTGGGATTGCCATCCTGTGGGCGTGGTGTACAGCCACCGACTTCGACAACCGAGGCGCCCAGGGCAAACAGCGCATCAGGGACCTCGGCATGCTTGTCCAGGCCGGCCGAGATTCCAATCGGGTTCGCCAACTGCGAACCGAATACCGAGACGGAGATGTCGGGGTCAGAGCTCGAAGCTGTTGCTCGCTCGCGCGGGTGGAGGTTCAGGCTGTACAGGTTCTTCATGGACGAGACGGCGGCATTGTGGGCTTCTTCAGCATCGGGGTAGATTACGCGCAACAGCCGCGGAACCACGTAGCGGTGGACAAAGGCACGAGTATCTGTTGTGTAGACGTAGACTGCGTAGCCGGTGAGAGCTGCTGTAGTTGCATAGACGAAGGTCTTCAGGCGGGAGACTGGAAGAGGCTGCGTCGCTGAGGTTGAAGCGGCGCGCTGCGAGATTCGAGGAAGAAGCTGTCTGGATGCCTGCCTGGAGGCCACCAGCGGGCTGACCGTGGCTGGAATCAGGCGACGAGCTATTTGATGGGAAGAAGCCATTGTGACGGATTTACCCTGGGCTTTGCAGCCCTCAATGGCAAGAATCCAGAAACGGGTTGGGTATATGTATTCGAGACCTTCCTGAAGTAGGAAGGCAAGAAGGCAAGAAGGCTGTTTGCAGCTGCGGAATTTAGTGTGACATTCACTGGTCCCGTCACCTGCAGAAGGTGGGATGTCGGTCCGTCAGCAATACCATTGCCAGCCGCCAGATCTCGCACTGTGTCACTCACTCAGTGCACAGAACACGTCGGGTCCCGACTTGAAGTCAGATACGAGATACTTCCACTGCGCAAGGCATGATTCTTTCAGAGTGGTAGTACCTATCCAGCGACTCATGTAGCTCCGGCTTGCTGGCTGGTCCAACACGTCAAGATGAGTGCAACGCCAGCCTCCCTCGACTCCGGCCTGACGTCCCAGGTCCTGCGTTATGCTCTCGTATACGCGGTCATTCGGTTATATGTCAGGGGGTCACAGACTCAGAATGCCTCACTGATAGTCGTGTCAATACTTTCTGTCATCACATTGGCGGGGCGCCAGTGGCTCTGGTTCATTAGCAAATACGTTCCTGAGCCATACTTGGTGAGCATGCCTTTGTTCCATACTTTGTGCTCACCACTAAACATCATATAGGATGAAGTATTTCACATCCCTCAAGCTCAGGTCTACTGCGATGGGAGATACGGCGAATGGGATGAAAAAATCACCACTCCTCCGGGGCTGTGAGTTCAACACTGTCCGAGCTGTTGGGACTTAGCCTGACCTTGAAAGCTACCTCTCAACCATACTCTTCAACCGCTTATTCTGGCTTTCCTGCTCAGTCCACAATCTACGATCTTTCAATGTGGATATAATATCGTACCTGGCTGTCGCAGCCATGATCTGCAGGGCTCGATTCGAGCAGCCACAGACAAGAACGCGGAGTCTGAATACTCGGTACTCGTCCTATGCCATCGGAACAGGGGTCAATATCGCCTTGTTTCCCGGCTTGTTCTTCTTCTCGGGCCTCTATTACACGGATCCTATTTCAACACTTGCCGTGCTCCTCGCCTACTCGAACCACGTAGCACGAGCTGGCAAAGAAAAGACATCCTTGGGGAACGACCTCTACACCCTCGGCCTTGGGATCCTTACTCTATGCATGAGGCAAACCAACATATTTTGGGTGGTTGTCTACATGGGCAGCCTAGAGGTGGTGCACGGCATCAAGACCCTGAAGCCAGAACCGGTAGAAGCTCCCGTGCTTAAGACCTTGCCGGACCAGTTGAAGTTTTATGCTCGGAGGTACTCTCTCGGGGATATCCATGATCCCGCATTGGACCTCGCGTCCCCAATCGGTAAGCACTTCCCTCCTTATATAGGTAATCCTACGCTAACCCTTCAGACATTGTGCTCTGCATCGCTAGTATTGGCATTGCAGCCGCTTGTAACCTCACATTAGTCGTGCGCCGGTTTGTTTGGCCACATGGCGCTGTCCTCACTGCGTTTGTTGCCTTTGTGGTATGGAATGGTGGAGTAGTCCTTGGTGAGCTGCCCTACCCCCTTTCCTACACAAAAGGGGTCTCTACTAAGTCGGACCGGAACAGGCGACAAACCCAACCATGTGGCGACTCTCCATCTAGCCCAGATGCTGTATATATGGCCTCTCTTCGCATTCTTCTCGGCTCCCCTGCTCATTACACCAATTTTCCACTCCATCACCCAGGTCTATCGCGGCTTGATGTCTTCAGCCACAACGCCAGCAGGCGAGCAGGGCCGCGGAAAAGGTTCAGATGACCAAAGTGACTCGGCTGGCAAGCAGTCTGCCACCCTAAAGGCATGCAACTATTTCGGATCTATTCCTGCAATCCACTCCATTATCGTACTCATCGGCGCCCTCGCAATCGCAGCGTTGATCGTCAAGTTCAACACTATCATCCACCCCTTTACCCTCGCGGACAACAGGCATTACATGTTCTACGTCTTCCGCTACAGCATTCTCAGGGCATGGTGGATCCGCTATGCGCTCCTGCCAGTGTACGTGGCGTGCGCCTGGATGTGCTGGACAGCTCTGCAGGGAGGTCCGGTAGCAAGTCCTGACGGGGCTCAAGGCAGACGGCAGTGGCACCAGTCGCCCTTCACCAAGGCATCAAGCAAAGTCTCACCAGCATCCTCCAAAAAGCAGTCGAAGGAAGGGCGCAGCGGCATCCCCACCCCCGAGCCAGGTGCTTCAGCGACGACAGCACCGCCTACCTCGACCGTGCTGCTCCTCTTGCTCGCCACGACGCTCTCGCTCATGACTGCGCCGCTGGTCGAGCCCCGGTACTTCATCCTGCCGTGGGTATTCTGGCGACTCCTCGTGCCAGCCTGGCCGGTATCCGAGAGCACTGCATCGTGTAAGGAGACGGCAACGCCTGATACCCCAAGGATCTCCCTTGGTAGAAAACTACTGTCCACCAGGATCGACCCGAGACTGGTGCTCGAGACGGCCTGGTTCCTGCTCATCAACGCGGGCACCATGTACATATTCCTGACGAGGCCCTTCTACTGGAAGACACCAGATGGCGCGTTGCTCGATGATGGACGAGTGCAGCGGTTCATGTGGTGATGTGTCTCGTTGACGAAGTACGAATATGTGCAACGCATGTCGTGGCAGACTAGCTTTACATGATAGATAGACTTGATAGATCTTGGAGCAGAACGATGCTTTTCCGCGCGTTTTTTCATCTCCTGTCTCTGCAGCATATGTACCCTCGAAAAATGCAGCGAGCAGCGAGTGTGCTTCTCTGCTAGAAGATCTAAAGCCGTGATAGTGTAATGGAGCGGTTACTACAAGCCATATAAACAAACGATGCCTCCGTCCTGTAAACGCCATCCCAAACAAGCCCGTGACGCCATGCCGAGACGAGTGACCCGATCTCCGGATAACCCGTACCGCCCGTCCCGTACCGAGCCATATGTACCATTTCTATTGTCCCCTTATTCACCAATCCGAGAAGCGTTAATTCTGTTCCGGATGTATGTAGCCATCACCACCCACCCCGCAGCCTCACAAGCTCAACCGGTCCAAGCTCATCCGATCCTGGCTCCGCACCCTCTTCACCACGCCCAGCTTGAAGAACTTCTCCTCGCCGCCCGCCGTCCGCCCGCCGATGTACCACTTATCGGCGCCCAGGACGTCGCGGAAGCCCTCGCTGCTGCTGTCGCTCCCGCGCCGCCGTCCTCCCGGACTCGCGGCGCCTGGTATCGGTATGCCGTGCGGGCCACGGGGCGAGTGGATGGGTAGTTGGTTCATGACGCTGCTGCCTGGTCTTTGCGGTGATGATGCGCTTTGCGGGTGTGGGTGTGGGTGTGGGTGTGAGTGGGATGTCGTGGACATGGAGCGCGCGGCTGATGCTGACGGCGAGGAGGCGGACGACGCGCCGTATGTTGGTGGGCTACTGCTGCTGGATGCGGACTGCGCCGTGTGCGTGTGCGTGTGCGTGTGCGTGTGCTTGTTTGGTGGCGTGGAGGCGGATAGGGAGGGCGGCGCTTGGGGGCGGAAGGCGGCGAGGAAGGAGGAGAGGAAGAAGGGGCGCTGGGAGGATGGCATGGTGGGCGACGGTGATCGTAATCCGGTGATCGTAATCGTAGGTACAAGTGTGGTGTGAGTTCGTAAATTCGTGGTGTCGCCTGGCTCTGCTTGTATGGCGACACTAAAGTGTAAATGCGGATGTTGTCGGGTGTCCGGCGTGGTGGTCAGCGGTTTCGGAATGCAGGTATTTTTGGCTTGTGATTTCGGAGCAAAGGACAGGTTCGTTAAGGCCCGGTTGCCTCAACAGCAGCAGAGAACCGCAGCTCAAAGGTGACAAGAGCGTCCAGCGCTGGGTGTGCTCTTCAAAGAGCGCGAAGAGTTATACTCCTTCTACCTGTCAACGGCGGAGAGTAGATCGACGTTGGTGGGGACGGAAGAATATATCGCATTGGTGTTTAATTATGAGTGGAATCCTGACGTCGTTTTGACAGCGTGAAAATGCTCCCATGCATGCGAGTCAAGTCACACACACTGCGAGCTGGAGGAGATCGACCTGCAGTCTTGCAGAGCTGCTTGCATGTGGTCGATGGCGGACAGCGGACAGCCCTCCTCGGCCAATCCCGGGTGGGCATGCGGAGGTGATATAGCGTGCCCGCTCCCACTCTTTTGCTAATGAAGTGTCCCTGATTGGTCTATTTAGTACTAGTGGGTAATGCTAGGCGATGCTAGGCCCGTGGAAGACGCTGTAACGACGCTCGATCGATTGCCGGCTTCCCCCTTTCCCCAGACCCATCCGTAAATAACCGTTCCGTTGCGCCGTTGCGTTTGCGGTCGCAGACTCCTTATCTCAGTACAGTCTGGCGAACTGAGGTAAGCTTCACCCACCTACGTATCCGACGCCTTGGACGCCAAGCCAAGCACAAGCCTGGTTAACCCAGCTTTTATCGATAACATTGAATCGATGAGCAGTGATCGTGTGGCTCGTGCAGCCTCCACGTCTGGTTCCTGAACTTGAAGCTATTCTCAGCTCCAGTCTCCTTCACCCCACGAGACACAAGATCAGGAGTCTGCTCTTCATTACCGCCGTGTTGATTGTCTTTGCCTTGAAAAGACTAATGTGCCGTCCCTTCGCCCCGCCACTCCTGCAATACTTGGAACTCTCGGGGTGATTGCACATATACGCGCATGGACGATTCCGACCTGCACAATGCCTTCCACGATGAAGGCCCCGGGGGCGAGGACACCATACTCTCGGTATGACAATGCCACCCTCTTATGTACATAGTCCACGCAGACCTGGGTATCTGACTCGAGCCGCAGCCACGGGGTATCGAAGCCTTTACTCGAAAAGTAACAACAACCGCGAGCCACCTAGCAGGCCACGCATCCAATCCGAATGATAACCATTACCGCAATGCCATGACCCAAGTACACAAGTCGATGCGTCGCCCGGGTATGCAGCGAAGCATGTTCTCCATGGCCAAAACCACTCCCACCGACCTTGTGCGCTCCAAATTCTCGACCTCGGAGATCCAGTCTCGCGCTCTATCATACCTATCCGACGACATGCTCAAGAACATACCCGAAGATGACAACTCATACTCGCTCTTTCAGGGGTTCAGCGCCAGCTTCCCCGAGTTGACTGACGAAGGCAAGAAGCACAGGAGAAGGGTGTCGCGGGGTAGAAAAATGCTGGAGGAATCACCGTCGGCGCCCGAGAGCCCGCAGCATCTTCACAAGCTCAAGAAAGAGAGGTCGTCCTTGATGCACGAGCTCGAAATGCTCGGGATACGAAAGAACATGGCCAGCAGCGAGATCCGCGAGATTGATAACAAGATCGCCAACCTCGGTGGCATGCGGAGGATCATCCTCGAGAGACTGGCCGGGTTGGAGCAAGAGGAGGCACTGTTAGAACACGATAGTAAGGGTGCGCCCAGGCTATGCTATTGGATGTCTGCTGACAGACCACCCTAGTTGTGGATATGGAAGGTCGGATAGACGATGCGCAAGTGCTTGTGGACGAAGCTGAGTCGATAGCTGCTGCGACACCTATAAGAACAGACGAGGACGACTTGGTAACGGACCAAGATGCCCATGAGTTCATGTCACAGTCTGTCTACGAGCAGCTCCCATCTGCGTCCAGCACTCCGTCTAAGCCTAGGAGACACAAGACTGTCCGGCGGAAATCGATGCCGATACTGCATGAACATTTTGACCCGGGGTTCAATATTAGGGAGATCAAGGCTCACCAGGACAACATCACAGCGATGGATTTTGATGTACCATTTGGCACCATGATCACGTCGGCCATGGACGACACAGTCAAGGTTTGGGATCTTAACGCGGGACGATGCATAGGGATGCTTGAGGGACACACTGCTTCCGTAAGAGCTCTGCAGGTAGAGGATAATCTCCTTGTTACCGGTTCGATGGATGCTACTATCCGGCTATGGGATCTCAGCAAGGCGCATTACGATCCACAGGGTAGCCAATTCGGAAGAGAGGACGAGGAAGATGACGGAATGGCTTTTGAGAACGCCGACGACCAACCTGTCGACCCACCGGAAGGAAGCATGGATGAGTGCCCGCTGTTCACCTTGGAATCACACGTGGACGAAATCACAGCCCTTCATTTCAGGGGAGATGTCCTGGTCTCAGGCTCAGCGGACAAGACACTTAGGCACTGGGACCTTCAAAAGGGGCGATGTGTGCAGACATTGGATGTCATGTGGGCAGCGGCGCAAGCGTCCGTGTCACTGGACACGGGCGAGGGTTCCTGGAGACAAACCAATCGACCTGCTTCACGCTCCGCCGACTTCATAGGCTCTGTGCAAGTATTCGAATCTGCACTGGCCTGCGGTACCGCTGACGGAATGGTTCGACTCTGGGATCTGCGAAGCGGACAAGTCCACCGCAGCCTTGTCGGGCATACTGGTCCGGTCACTTGTCTGCAGTTTGATGATGCACACCTCGTGACGGGCAGTCTGGATCGAAGTATTCGAGTATGTCGAACTCCCCCTAATTAACTTGCAATTGTTCATTTTACTAATGGTACTAGATATGGGATCTCCGAACGGGATCCATCTTCGATGCCTACGCATACGACAATCCGGTCACGAGCATGTCGTTCGACAGCCGTCGCATCGTTAGCGCGGCGGGCGAGGACGTCGTCAAGGTGTACGACAAGATGGAGTCACGGCAGTGGGACTGCGGCGCGGGCATCACGGAGGCGGAGGAGAACCGGACGCCTGCCATCGTCGATCATGTCCGCGTCAAGGAGGGGTACCTCGTCGAGGGACGTCAAGATGGCATCGTGGGCGTGTGGGCTTGCTAGTTGCGCTGTATCTATATATGTGTATTATAAATGCTAAACGTGGTCAACGTCACAGCTGCTTGGGCACATGGTGCCGTTCCGGTCTGATGAACTGTAGTATGGCATGTAATGCTGCCGTATTACTCAACCTACGAATTCACATGCAACCACAGGTACAGCGGGCTTTCGGTCCGCCCAGCTAAGCTGGCACCAAGCTTCCTGGCAGCGATATGGCTCTTCTTATTAGTCGGCATATTCGGCAACCAAAGCCAGTCTGACAGAACTCTGCTACGACCACATCCTGTGTAGACCATTTGCCTCTCGGAATTTTTCTTCCCTTCGGCAGTCTTTCCACTTCGAACAATTCCCTCAAATATCACGGCATGATGCAAACCACTTTCTATCGCTCCACCATGCCTGCCACAGGTAAGTTCCTCGCTTCAGCAGCCTGCCAGCTGAATTACGGATCCAAATCTGACGCCATGTCTTCCCGCTCAGGGGACACTGTCTCTCAAGAATCTACAGTCCAAGACATCAGGGTAAGTCGGTTGGTGTCCTGACTTCAAGCTGTGGACAATGGAGGCCCGGCACACGGTAGGTCTTTTCATCCCGAATTTGAGTCCTATTGCGATGGAGTTTTATATTGAGAAGGTAGGTGGGCAACGTGTAGCCCCTTTTCAATACAGTGGCCCCATGAGTACAGTTTATATGGGGGATTTGAATGTCTGGTGTTCCTGCCATCTGCCCGGGCACGACTGCCAAACGCTGCCGGAAGACTACCTTATACATTGCTGCTGATGTTACTAGTTTCAATTTACTGGCTGCTATCGTATATCTGTAAGATACCAGTTACATGACCTAGTCATACACAAGGTCCCGAACAATTCAACGGATATCCCACGGTAGATTCGTATAGACGTGGATGTCTACACTAACTTAATCCACGAGTACTTTTACAGCCTTAATAGCTAACTTAACGATAAGGCTATCCTAGGTTAATATTAACGTGAATATCGTAAATTTATAATAAATTACTGCCTTAACGTTAGTAGTTATATAGTAGTTTAATAATTATAATATTATCTTGAAATAAAGAATAACTTGTTAATAATTTAATTACTTTTTAAACTATAACTTAATAAATAATATTACGAAGTTTTTTGTAAGTTTCTAATTATTTTAGTTTAAGTAATAATTTATTAACGTGCGAAGATGTTACTAAATTTATTTACGCGTAAAAATAAACTAAAGGCTTTATTAAGGCTAGATTAATTAGATTATAATATTTCGTTAATTCAAATTATTTTTAATTCTTTTCCTTTTTAACGGCAATAAAAATAAGTCCGTAAGTTCAGAGATTTAAATTGTACTCATTCCAATTAAAAGCCTATTTAGCTAATAAATAATGATCGACGAGGGGACTTTGAGGCGTAAGATTGACTTTTAGCGTTTTCTTCTTATTTTAATATTAAATATATTATTAAAAGTAAAGTAACCGATTTTATTCTAAATAGACAAGCATCAGTTCGACCTCTAGAGGTTCGCCTTGGTTTTACGGCAGCTGGTAACCAAAGTGAAACGTGCAAGTATATTCATTAAATATGAAAGGGTTTTATAAATAATAAGACAAATAATAATAAACTTAAAGCATAATTTAAATGATTAAACTATTAATGTATATTAAACATTAAGTCTATAAATATGAGTAGGTATAATTTAAAGATTCAACGAGTTATTATAACTTTTCGAGTTTAAAAAATAACTAAAAAGTCTTTATGTTTATTTAAAAGGCTCTAAATAAATAAACAAAGTCATAATAAATATTTAAAGATGAAAAGGATAATAATAATAATAATAATAATAATAATAATAATAATAATAATAATAATAATAATAATAATAATAATAATAATAATAATAATAATAATAATAATAATAATAATAATAATAATAATAATAATAATAATAATAATAATAATAATAATAATAATAATAATAATAATAATAATAATAATAATAATAATAATAATAATAATAATAATAATAATAATAATAATAATAATAATAATAATAATAATAATAATAATAATAATAATAATAATAATAATAATAATAATAATAATAATAATAATAATAATAATAATAATAATAATAAGTTATAAATATTAATAAATACTCTTAAGTTTTTAAATATTTTAAACAATTACGGTATTAATATTAAACAAGTTTATAAAATTAAATATTTTTAATATCGCTACTTATACTACTTTAATAAACAACTGTCAATGTAAACTTTTAAAATAAATATAAATATTTTTTCAAATATTAAAAAGCTAAAAGAAAAACAAATAAGTGAATAAAAGTAAAATTATTAGCTTCTAAGAGTATATATAATTACGTCGTATAATTAATTAACTAAAAAGGTTTTTAAACAGTTTTTATGTTATTTTTTATAAAAATATAAGTTTAACGGCTTTTAGAAATATGATAAAGCTTATACGATTTTTTCTTTCTAATAATATAAAAACGTTTTCGTTATCATTATAAAGAAAATCGAACGTCTATTTATATTTGTAATAATAATGTCGTTTAACAAAAAGTTGGGAGGAAAAAATGTTCGTCTGATGAAACAAACGCTCAAAAAACATCGTGACCCATTTCTTTTATAAATTTTTAATAAGATAGTTTAACGTTTTAAAAGTATTTCAAACCGCTTTTTAAAAAAGTCGAAATAACAAAAAAAATAATGATTTTAAACCGGATGTTTTTAACACATTTATATTTACTTGTAATGTAACGTTTTAAAAATTAAGGATTGTTTTTACTCGTAATATAATTTCTATTAGATAGTTATTAAAAAATTATTAACTTTTCTATTGTTAAATCGTTTGATTTATATGATAATTGCGGATTAACTTATAATAAAAAAGCTCCTTCAAAACTTCAAGTAAAGCCTTAAAAACCCGTTTTACAATAAAATCCGTTAAATCTTGTAAAGGGTACTTTTGAATTTATTGAAAAGCCTAAGCTTCGTAATAAATATTTAACTAATAATTAACAAATGTTTAAAAATATACTGACTGAAAACTCGATAAATTAAAGGTGCGGATTTATATTTAAAGCTTTCGTTAATAATAAAGTACTTTTTATAATAAAACGGCAGCTAATACGGATTATGTTAGATCCATGTGATTCCACTGTCAAACCATCCATACAGAACCCACATGTATGATTAGATAAGAAATTAGATACCGGATTGTGAGGTCACTTAGCCAGGCCTGCGAGTCCAGCTAAACCTCTCAATCCAACCCATCAAAAACATCATGACTTTGACCTATACTCGAGTATTATGATTGATCGGTCAAGCCTGCTCCAACATATTTAATACTATATATAATCCCCCGACTTAATAAATAATCAGTTAATGAATTCACTTTAATCTTAACCGTTTCTTAAACCTTACAACATAATTAAAAAATAGATATTGCTTATAATTTGTTTTAACAACGAATGTTTCTATTAATAAATTTTTTAAAAGTTAATTCGTTCAAATTTATAACAAACATCGAGCGAATATATAAATAATATTGCTTTATTCCTTTTTCGATATATCATTTTACCGTTACATATATATAAAACGTGTTTTTAATTAATTGCGTGCTTTTTTTACAGCTTATTTATAATTATACGACTATTTTTAAGATTTCATATATAATAAAAAGCATAAACTTATAATAACGATAAAATAGGTTAATAGTTTATAACATAAATATTTAGACCCGGCTTTTTTTAGAAGTATTTATGAATAGATGTTTAAATTAAAAAAAAGCTGAAATAAAACTATTAAACAAACTTAAGTTTAAATCCTAACTACGTTATTTTCAATTTTTATAGAAATTATTAAAAATAAACAGTATTTTGTAAGGTTAGTTATAGCTTTTTTTAGACGCTTAAAGGTATGAATTTTATTACTAGCATTTTTTTAAGGTTTTAAAACAGCCGGAGTTTTTTAAAACAAGGTATTATAAAAAGGTAAAAGCTTCGTTTAGCTGCGTATTTTTTTTAATTTACTTATGTATAGTATATATAAAATTAGTTACGGCTTTTTAAGCGTTTAACGTTTAAATACTACTTATAGCAATTTATTCGATTTGTTATCGTTAGGGAGGGTAGCTTGGAAAAAAGTCCCTCTATCTTATATTAACTTACGATAATATTAATTTCCGAAAACATAACTTCTCATTAATACACGCATATTAATTAAGCGACGACGAGGTTGTAAATAGTGTCAACTTAACTCCACGAAGGGGTCTTTTCAACGTGGGTTGAGTTGGTCGGGACTTTGTTCATACACGTACCTATACCGATGAAGAAAACTACATTACCGGTTATACAGAAAAGGCAAAGGTTTGATGGTCTAAGATCACTGACAGTTCTTGTCGAATACAGAGGCTTGAGTGTCTATACCTAAGGTAGCTCAAGTGATGGCCATCTCTGTCATCAGTAATATTAGCCTCTGGAAGAAACTTCGAGGCAGTACTGCTTAGGGTCCAAGTGAAGCAAGAGCGTAGCAGGTGCAGACTGCAGTGGGTTTGGGATGAACCAAGTGTTTCGCTCCTTCCTCTGTACGGCGCTCGTCATGGTTGCTCTTTCCTCGAACACGATGGGATGACGTGACACACACACCTTCCACTTTACACGGCCGACGCAACAAATTTGTAAGACTGACCAGATCCATGCTTTCTGCCCTTTTCTCTTTTTCTCTTGCGTGGCCAGGTTTTCCTCTCGCCTGTGGTTTTCGACTCGTGCGTCTTCTTTCGACTTCAAGCCCCTTTACCTTCCACTTCTCCGGAGCAGTGAAGACGCCAGACATATGGACCACCACCCATCGTCACCATGGCCCAGCCCCAACCACATTCACTGACTGTGGCCAAGCTGCCCGACATGCCTTCTTCCATGGATCCCATCTCAACGAGCTCTACTGCTCCGCAACTAGAGGCCGTCTCGCGGGTTGTTGATATGTTGCGACGAACCAAGTCAATGAACCATGAAGGCAATCTCGTCAAATTAAGCACTCCCAAAACCAGCGCAGATGGTACATCGAGCAGCACATCAACGCCGCCCATTCGTGCCAATACGAGGCGCAGGAGGTCTTCTGTGGCAAGTACTGGAAGTAGGATATTAAGTCGACGGCCAAGGTACGAAGAACATCTAACGATCCTCCCATCGTTCTTCACATCATTCTCAAAGTTCCGTCTGCTTGACCCTGCCTCTGACCAGCAAGCAGCACGATTGCCGAGACACCAGAGCCAAGTAGGAACAGTTCCTTCGAGCTTGGGGAAGCACACAACAGCAGGGTCTCGTCTCGTAATGCTCCCCAACATCCGTCAAAAGTTCGTGGCAGATACTTTGACAGAAGCCCCTCCCGTGGTCGGACTCGGAGACGACGAACTTCTTACTTCGAGGATGCTGAAGCTGCAGCACCACGAGAAGGAAGGGGCCGCCAGTCAAGTCGACACAGTAATGCACCCGAGAAGCGGGCGGGTAAACAGAAGGCAAACACCAAGAAACAGTTTCGAGTCTCCGAAGGTTCTTCAAGTGCGGAACGGCGTCGGCCGGTGCTATCTGGAGTAAGGTCCAGCCATGGTGACGAAGAGTCTCCATATATAGCCAAAGGTGCCTACTTGTTGCAGAAAAGCCGTGGTCGAGAGCAGTTTCATCTTCCGGTTTCCAACAGCCAACCCGAGCCCGTCTGGCGCCCTGGAGATGGGTTCTCGGGCGATGAGGCGAAACCAGACTTCCTCTTTCTCATGACAGGGAAACGCAAGCGCCAGAGATCCAGGTCGCTCTCTAGCATGGGGTCGCTGGATTTCGAGGCCGAGGCACCCAAGAAGAACGCCGGTGCGTCTGCAATTGACCGGCCACGGGTTCAGCACTTGACTGAGCACCGATTGAAGCGTCGCCGCGGTGTCGTCAAAGATGTGTGGCCTACCATTGAGAACTTCACCGAGGACACAATCTCGCCCGTTTCGGAACAAACCTTACTGGAAAGGCAGAAGATCATCCGCTCCACAGTAACACCAGAGCCAACACCCATCTCGATACCAAAGCCAGCCATCAAGATTGCTCCTTCGCGAAGGCGATACGCCACTGACTTCGAGAATTTCGGACGAGACTTCAATGACTTTCAAGGTAGGTCCAAAGACAATGTACTTCAAGCGCTCGACCAAGTTCGACTCTTGCGCCACGAGTCGACCGTGCTCGAATATGATGGTGGGGAAGATGATGAGGAGTATTCGTATGCGTCAGAAGACGATCACGAGATGATTCCTGCAACCAAATATGGCCGAGAAAGCGAGCACGATAATTCCGGTGATCCGAGCGAGCACGATGACTCTGGTGATCAGAGCCAGCACGATGACTCTGATGAGCAGAGCCAACAAGATGACTTCGCTGAACAAAGCGAGCTTGATGGCTCAGAGGACCAGAGCGAGTTGAATGGATCGGACGACAAGAGCGAGCTGGATGACTCGGATGACCGGAACGAGCACGCAGACTCGGAAGACTCGGACGAAAACGAGACTCGTGATCTCACACGTTGGCAGCCGGGAAGAGAGGATTCCGACGTTCCTAACCTGAGCAGCAAGGCGCATTTTTCCACGCGCTTCTCGAGCCCAGACTATCATGGGGAACCTCACTGAGGTTTATTGGAACTGGCACATGAAGCTCGAGGGGCAGAAGAGACCATGAACGGATCTCTTAGGTGTGGCTTACCTGTACTCACCTATCGCGACGAGTCTAGGCCAGCTGATCCATGGACACTTTATTCCAGCCTTGATCTTGGTGGAGAATCTGAAGTACATGTCCAACACTTTGTGGGCTGATATTGGACCAACGAATAGGGGTCATTTGCCCGTGGATCGTGGGAACACATGTAGAGGCAACTTATCTTGACGTTAGCTCAGACGACAACTAGAACTAGCTTCTGAAACTTGATATCACTTACAGTACCATATCACAAAGTCCACATTGAACCAATCGTGCCAGCTTTCGAAAATACTTTCACGCGTGCCTGTAATGAAGAAACAGTAGAAACAAGGGACGGTGAATTTCGCATTTTCCTGTCAAGAACGCCAGCTCCGGGCCCTACCTAGCCTTGGTTTGGGAATCTCAGTACAATTGAAAGGTACAGATTGCGTGATCAGCATCCTCTCACCTCAGTCCAACTGTGATCGACCGCGGATTTCGCGGCACCGCACGTGTAGCCATTCCACAGCTATCACTGATACCTCATTTCCCCTTGCCCTTTGGCGCCGTGCCCTTCGGCAGCGCCTCCGACTCGCCCAACTCCCTGATAAGGATCTTGGTGCGGCCCTCGCCGCTGTAATCCTCCATGCCGGTCTCGAAGCCGGGGCAGACGGCGATGGCTAGGCATTTCCCGTCGGCCGAAAAGGCCAGCGCGGCGACGCTGTCGGGGAACTTCTGGTAAACCTTCATGCGGCGCTTGGCGGCGGCGTCCCACAGGGCGACGGTGGCGTCGCCGCCGCCGCTGGCGAAGGTGCCGTACGCCGGGTGGAAGGCCAGCGCGTTGACGGGGTAGACGACGTCGGTTGCGCCGTCCTCGGAGGCGGTCTGTTGCGCCTGGCGGTGGCACTTGAAGGCGTACTTGCGCGCCTGCGACTCGGCGCTCGCGTCGAACCACTCGACGGCCACGCGGCCCTCGATGCTGGAGGTGGCGTACCCGGCGTCCGACGGCATGGCGGCCACGGCGCGCGTGAGGAACTTGAGGGAGGACTCGCGCTGCTGCCAGGGCTGCGGCGGGTCCGAGGCGGAGGGGCTGGTCAGGGCAGCGGAGAGGGTCGCGAGGTCATAGATGTGCACGAGGCGCGACGTCATGGCTACGATGACCTTGGACGGGCTGGCGGCGAGGGCGTGAGGTTTGCCCGGGAGTGGGATTGTGAGGGGTGCGAGAGAGGCGTTGGTTGGGTTGTGCACGTGCAGTGTGCTGTCCCAGGAGGCGGAGATGAGGAGAGCTGGAACGAGAGGGTTTGTTAGCGGAGTGTCGTCGTACATAGGTGAAATCTGAAGGGCAGACTTGGGATGGGACGTAGCAGCAAAGGGGAGATCAGGGATAGGGAGTCGCAACTCACAATGCTGCCGACTGTACACCACCCTCCGCACAGGCGCCGAGTGCTTGCTCACGACGCTCTGCTCGCCGCTATTCAAGTCGATCCGCAGCACCTGCCAGTCCATGCCAGCGGTGAATGCCTCGTCGTCGCTCGCTCCGAAGCACACGTCCATGACCGGTGCGCGGTGCTCAAACGTCCGCACCAGCGTGCCGTGCTGGTCCTCGCCTGTGCTGTTCTCGTCGCCGCCGCCACCGCTGGATGTCGTGTCGTACAGGTAGACGTTCTTGTCCCAAGAGGATACGAGCAGCCGCGACGGCGAGTCGGGCGCGAAGACTAGCGAGGATACCGCATCGTTCGGCGGTTGCGAGAGCTCGTATTGCGTTGCTGCGCGCGAGCAACTTGGTTAGTTCGGTGTCCTCTGGATGTTGATGCTGGATTAGACGGTGTGAGCGAGAGCTTACCTGGCGCCATTGTGGTGGTCTTGTGTGTATGCAACTGAATTGGGAGAACGGTAGTGGTGAGAGTTGCAACTTGAAGCTCTCTCAAGGCACTGCCAATTGCACTGTGCTGCGAACGAACCCGACGATTAGATCGCAGCTGCAGGTCGATAAACACAAGCTCCGTTTCTGCCCTGCTTGACCGCCTTAAATCTCCCCAAGCTTCAATGGAGACGGAGGGGCATTCCTGGAGAGCTTGGGATGAAGAGGGGCAGCTACCTAGATCATGTACCCGGCATCATCCTGACAGCAATCTCGATCTCCGTCAACCCCAACCTCAAAACGTTGTCTTTCTGGTCGCCAGCTAAGCAGCGATACCTCGAGGCGGCAGACAGTTTAGTATGCCGTTTGCACAGCTCGTGGTGGGAAGTCCCGGCTCGGGGAAGAGCACCTACTGTGACGGCAGTGAGTTGCTTCTGGGGGGGACTAAATTGAGCTTCTTCGCTGACCGGGCTGTCTGTAGTGCACCAGTTCATGAGTGCCATAGGGCGGGAGTGCTCGGTAGTCAACCTCGATCCAGCGAATGACAAGACGAATTACCCTTGCGCCCTAGATATACGCGACCTCGTCACGCTGGAGGAGGTCATGGCCGACGACCAGCTCGGCCCGAACGGTGGTGTGCTGTTTGCGTTCGAAGAGCTTGAAAACAACATGGAATGGCTGGAGAATGGACTGAAAGAGTTGGAGGAATCCTACGTGCTATTCGATTGCCCCGGTCAGGTCGAGCTATACACACATCACAACTCGCTTCGCAACATATTCTTTAAGCTGCAGAAAATGGGCTACAGGGTGAGTAGGAACAGTACGGTCCTAACAGTACGGTCCTAGGCGAGACCAACTCAAAGACTAAATTTCCCGTCACAGCTTGTAACCGTACACATGTCCGACAGCTTCTGCCTTACACAACCGTCGCTCTATATCTCGAACCTCCTCCTCACTCTACGCGCCATGCTGCAGATGGACCTACCGCACATCAATGTCCTCACCAAGATCGACAAGATCGCCTCGTATGACCCTCTCCCATTCAATCTCGACTTCTACACCGAGGTCCAAGACCTGTCATATCTGCTGCCGTATCTCAACGAGGAATCGCCAGCCATGCGCAGCGAGAAGTTCAGTCGGTTGAACGAAGCCGTGGCGGGCCTGGTCGAGAATTTTGCGCTTGTACGATTCGAGACCCTCGCGGTCGAGAACAAGAAGAGCATGATGCAACTTCTGCGGGTTATCGACAGAGCTGGAGGGTACATCTTCGGAGGCGCCGAAGGAGCCAACGACACCGTGTGGCAGATAGCCATGCGTAATGAGTCGTCCATGATGGAAGTCCCGGACATCCAGGAGCGTTGGGTCGACTCCAAGGCCGAGTATGACGCCGTGGAGCAAAAGGAATGGGAAGAGCAAGCGAAGTCGAGGGAGGGCGACGTTGATGCTGATACTGCCCCAGCCACGCCAGATCTGATGCCAGATGATGATGACGACGAGTTCGATGGATTGCCTCCACCTAGAGGGGATAGCGGGGTGAAAATAGTCCGAAGGAAGCCATGATCTCTCAGCCGTCGCTCACTTCTCCCATCTCCACGTCACTTTCTTCATCATCGACGTCGAATCGATCCGCCCCGGCGCCCTCGTGAGTCGGTCGTTTGGAGGACCCGAACATATTGGCCAGAGGATCGGCAGACCTTTGCGACTGCCCATTTTGTGCCGCGAATATCAAATTTCGAGCGCGACGGATGGCTTCTTCCTCGGCCTTGCGTATGGTACCGCTTACATGCACGACTTGGAACGTGCAGGGCTTACCGTGCTTAACAGGTACAATGTCCATGAACGTCAAGGCCGTCCAGACGTATCGGTAGGATGCTCGAGAGGTTCGTATGATGAAGGTCGAGGTCGCTGGGGAGGAGTATTTGACTGGACACGAGTGTAAGCTTTTGTCCATAGAGGGCCAACAACTAGCCAAGAAGGCTCGTGTTACCTGAAAAGGCAGCGCCCTCGATAGCTCCAGAGCCGTGATCTCCAAAGAAGGCGGCAACCTCGGCGCGGATGCCTCTCATGAGCGCGACGGGCGTGAGCTCGTCGGTCGTAGGCTGGTTGATGACCACGACATCGGGGATGTCAGGTCGGCTGCCAATCTCGGAGGGGTATAGGATGTTGACTAGCAGGTAGCGCTCTTTAATTCTGACCATGATGTCGCGCCTCTCATTGGGGCATCAAGCTTCTTTTTCTGTAGAATGCGATCAATTCGTGGCGGGAAGTTGATTTATCATGTCAAAAGAGCTTACTAGGTGCCTTATCTTATTGGAGCGTCTCGTACCCCACCTGATGAAAGATGCACGTGCCACGAAAGGGCCCTCCTGCCCCCGGAGCCATCGAGGGGATCAAAAACAATGCTCGTTCAGACTGGCTTTGTTAAGTAGACAAGTCCGTTTCCTCTCATCCGATTTCATGACATACTGCCACTTCCACCTTCACTCATCATCCACAGACCTGCCTTTACCTCGCTTCCAGGTCACGATCATCTCTCACTACCGACCTGTCCATATGAGCTGATACCCCAGCGACTGGGTATCACCACCGACGATGGTGTCTCACGACGATGATCCCGCCAAGGAAACTATGGCCCTTGGGATGACGGAGTCTGATAAAGACGCCGTCTTGGACATTCTTTGGTCCGGGTTCAGTGCTGTCAACGTTGATCCGGCCAATGGCACTGGAGAACTTGGGACAATGGAGTCTGCTAAAGACGCCTACGTGGCCGCCCTTTGGCCCCAGTTGAGTTTGGTCAATTTGAGTATCGAGAGATTGAAGAGGAAATATGACGCCCTGGATTGGAAGGTATTTGATGGAGGGCCAGGGGCCGCCCAGGCCGCGGCTGACTGTGCCGAAATAAACCAGGCCAAAATATGGATGGAGAGTATCAGGGATTCCATTCGAACCTGCATCAACGCCTGTGTGCGATATAGGCTCAGGCCTTTGAGCATACTGGACCTGCCGGACGAGTTGTTGATGGACATATTCGACTATGTGAAAGGCCGGGATGACCACGAACTCTACTTGTTCAACTGGAAAAGCAATGTCGACCAGATAAAATCGCTGCGTCTCGCGTGTCGCAGGTTTCGCGCCACGAGCTCCCATCTTCTTCTGCGGTGGCTTCATGTCAGCATGACGCGAGATTCGATTGCACATCTGAACGAGGTGGCAAGCCATCCGACAATCAGCAAGGGCATACGTGCTATCCAAGTTAGCCTCCAATTCTACGATTCGGTCCTAGCCTGTGATACAAACGCCTTTGCAGCATACCAAGCATCTAGGCTGAGGAACAGTATTCGATCATGGGAGTCAATGATCGGGTTTAGTTACTCCGGTGTTGATGATGCCATGAATGTGGCTGCCATTGCGAAAGCGTTGTCAATTGCGGCGTCTTGGGAAGACGCGGCCATCAACGGGATCTGCGCGGACTGCGCTGATCATGTCTTACTACGAAGAGCTCAAGCGCGATACAAGCAGTGCTACGAGGATCAGAAGCATCTGCGACGCACATTTACCCGATCCATTGCCAGCGCGATGGCACGCATGCCTACAGCGACTTGGTTGGATATCCATGACCAAAACCCACATCAGACAACAGCTCAGACTCGCGAAGCGAGCATACTTGCCCAGGATATGGATCAGCCCAGTTCACTGTTGGGGAAACTCCTCGCTCCAATACGGTATTGGGAGGAGGCGAGAGAACATGGGCTGGGAGAGCCACCTGCCGAGGTCATTCCAAACTTGCTAGTGGCCATCCACGACGAACGAGTACGTCTGACTGGACTTAAGCTGTGGGCACCACCATCGGAAGACCCTTCACTACTTCTACCTAGTGACGATGAGTTTCCGAAGTTGAAGGGCGCTGTGAAGTATCTGAAAGTTCTCGACTTTCACCCGCGGCGCGTCGTTACGGATGATGGTTTCTGGGGTTCTAGGTATCCCGACGAAGTCAAGCCACTTTCTAGCTTTCTCTCAACTCTTCTTGACTCGAAGGCAATCCAAAGAATTAGTCTGGATTTCGGCTTTCTATGCGAGCAACAACAGGTTCCTTCAGTCAGCATGGGCCACGTTGTCTTGTCACACGTGTGGTCAAAGTTGGAGGATTTGGAGTTCACTGGACCTTTTCATTTCAAAGAGCTGCAAAATGTGGTCAATCGTGCTGAGAAGAAACTCAGCCTGAGATGGAGCGGATACTTGGTCAGTGGATCGTGGGCTGAAGTTCTCGATTTCCTGAAAGGGAGAGTTTCTTTCCATTCTTCAATTGGAACCGTCAACTCTAACCCGTCTGGGGCAGAGTACGAGGAAATGGAGGAGAAGGAGAGGAAGTTCATCTTCCATGAGCGCTACCGTCCTCCCTACCGCGAAAGCCAAGCAACACTGTACATTAGGGGAATACGATGGCCAAACAAGCGCAATCCCGTCGTTGAATGGGAACGCGGGGAGCTGGACTTATCGGAGGAGCTGGACCTACTGGAGGAGCTGGACGTACCGCAGAGGACTAGGTATGATGGTAATGACGGAACTAGGTTTTAAAGCCCTTATTCCAATATGGATTGCACGGGCTGATCTACAAAAGGCAGCAATGACCAAACCGGGTGTACAAAAAGGCTTCGGATGATGTGTGCTATCACACCATACTCATATACATCATACGAATCACCCGATTGCCCAAGACATGGAACATACGGAAGATGACTATAAGACCATACCAGTTGACTAAGGAAAAGCTCCTTTGATAGTGTATGAGATGCAGCCGTTAGATGTTCCATACTGTAGTTACCTTCAAAGTGCGCAAGGGGTTCAACCATAGCGAGTCGTGGTGTCGCAGAGGACTGAAATACATAGTAGCACTGTGTCATACGCTGAGGGTGAGCTTGACCAGCACCACCGCCGGCTACCCCACGGATAACGTTACCGCTATCCTTACCGACGGCATCACTAACAGCACTACATCAGATAGCTTTACTACCCTATTATCAAAAAGATTCCGAATTGGACATCTTGCGCAGGTCTGGAACAGAGCTTCTCGCCCACATGAAAGAATATTGCGTGTGCGTTCATTGGAGATGGATGAACCCCTCCAATGCCTCCAGGTCTACTTGCTCTCTAAGGTCTGGTCATTACAACGTGCGAGTGAGTCGATAGTGGGTGAACGGTATCATGTCCTTCCTGTTATGCTGCTTGATTACCAGCTTGCCATGCTGGTCGTACAGAGGCCATTTTGGAGGACGTAGATTGCGCAAGTTTTTTAGCAAGCCTGTTGCACATATACCAAGAATACCGCGTGTGCTATCATCGTGGATAAACCCATCCGATGCAGCCACGGCTACTCGCTCTCTCAGTTCGTCCCGAGAAAGTTCAGAAGCAATGGGTGCACCGGGCCTACCCAGGAGATTTCCCTTGACTCCGGTATAGATTTCTGCCAACTGCAGCCCACTCCACGCGCCCTGTAATGTGTGCATCCTTTGTAATGTCGGAATCCGACAGAGCAGAGTCAGTGTTGGCCATGTTTGAGGGTGAGGGATTACCGGCATGTGTCAAGTTGCCTGCAGAACCTTTTGCTCCGTGATCTTACAAAGTTAGCTTGGTACGTAGCATTAAGAACGGATTTCTTGCCTTCGTCTGTTTCGGCGATCGACTTGTACCACTCTACCGGCTCGTCGCACCGAGTCCCGCCGGCTACTCTCTGGAACTCTTCTTGGTCGGTACCCTTTGCCCATCTCGGGTAGCATCCCTCGAATGTCTTGCCATATTGTCGGATGAAGTCGTCGTAATACCTTTCGTCTAGGCGACTCTGCCATGCAGACAAGGCGGTGCAACTCCTCGCGGACCCATACTCTGTTCGACGGGGGTAGCGCCTTCAGAAAGGTGGTGAGTCACAAGGGTGGGTTGTGATTGGTCTGCATACTGGAAGATGCTGGATCAAGTCAGGATGGGAGCGGAACCCATCCGGTGAAATAACTAATCACCTAAAGTGTAGCTCCTCGTCGGTGAGGTTCTCCTCGAGGTCCTCGTCGCCGAGTTCGCGCGTGTGGATCGAAGGGGTGACGTCCCCGTCCTCGGGCAGCTGGCTGAGCCGCACCGGGTCGATGACGATGCTGGTGTATCCGGAGTGGTTGGCCTTCAGGAATAACAGCCACTCCAGCACGTATGCCCGCCGCACGCGGAAATCCTCCAGTCGTACCCTCTGCTGGCGGTTGCCCTTCGGGCGGAGGATCACGACGTCGAGCTCGGCAGGTACCTGTCCTGTTGTCTTAGACATTGTCCTAGGTAACCTTTATTAGGTCAACCACTGGATGAGAGTAGATACTCCTGAATGCCAGTGGGTGGATTCACAACCTGTGGGTTATGATTTTCTGTTGCGCGTGCGTAGGATAAACGGACAACAAGCATGCTGATGTGGGTAGGCATATATATAAGTGGTGGGTATTGAAACCGGTGCGTATATAGAGGTCGGTGGGCAGACATGTGGGATAGGGCAAGGTGCACGCATGCTCCATTGGGGTCATTGTACTTATAGCTGAAAGGTGGCCTCACTCTGCTGTATGATAGCTCAGCTTACATCATGTTTGGGTCCTTATTTTGCTAGTATGTCAAACAGAATCACATCGCTAGAAATCAGCAAACATTAACATGAGAAAACAGAAGAGGAAAGCAGAAGGGGAAAACAGAAGAGGAAGACAGAAGAGGAAAACAGAAGAGGAAGACAGAAGAGGAAAACAGAAGAGGAAAACAATGGCATCGGTACCAGACATGTTTGCTGTCACTAGGGGTCTCTATGGTGGGCAATGCGTAGCCCTCGCGATGAAGACCACTACAGGACACTGCTAATGTTTCTGGCCATGGAAAATAAAGTAGGGAGAGCATCATGTCACCAACTTCAACAATCCTCTTATCGTAGTCTTACAGTTCCACTCCCCCACAATCCGTCCATCTCCGCCTCTCATGCGTCAAACACCACCTCAATGATTGCGTCGTGTGCACCAGCAGGCTGCACAATGCTCTCGATACGGAACCGCTTGTCAGCCTCCGCAAAGAGGTCCTCCCACCCCCTCTTACTTCTCTCCTTGCCGTTGTGGCCAATTTTCATAATCAAGTCCGCGCCTCTGAGATCATGTTAGAAAGACTGATTCCATGGACGAAGGGATCGAGAGCGAGTTTTCTGGACTTACCTTTGGGTTTGATCCCTCGTATGGGCGCTCTCACTCAGATCAGGGAGCACCACCTCGGCGATCCAAATGCGGCTGCTGCTCTTGAGCGCCGGCACCAGATTCGTCAGGATCTTGGCGGCGTATTGATCGCTCCAGTCATGGAATATATGACGGAAGACATATGCGTCGACCTTGAGCGTCACAGTTTCCGCGAGGAAGTTATATGCGGCGAAATCGAGTCTTGCCTCCAGGTCCTCAGGGGCCTTGACGCCCGCTATCACTTCCGGCAAGTCCAGGACCGTCGCCTTCTTGACACCGGGGTACTTGCGCAGAATTGCATGGCATAGCTCGCCGCCAGCACCGCCGATATCCGCGATCGTCTCGGGGCACTGCTCGCTGTCCGCCCAGGGCAGACTGTCGACGAAGTAAGACCACGAATACGCGGGCGAGTTGCTCGCCAACCCCATAGCCATCCGGAAGCGCGCGACGCGCTTCTCGTCGTCGGCAATGAAGTCGAAGTAGCCTTTGCTAGGGTCCTCAAAATCGTCATTGCTCAGCCCCTTCTCGGCCCGCGACGCGAGCATCAGCGCGCAGTGTCCGGGCTCGCCGCTGCCAGGCCAGCGCCGCAGACTCTCGACGAATTTGGCCGCGGCGGCGGTGTGCTCCTCGACGAGGAAGCCGAGCACGTCGTTCATGCCCGGGATCACGGCAAGGATGCCCGATAAGGCGTTGTGCCGCACCGAGGTGTCGGGGGATGCCTCCTCGAAGATGCGGAAGGCGATGGCCGCTTGCATGATGCGGCGCGTGTCGTCCACGGGGAGACCGCAGCGTGCGGCGAGGTCTGGGTAGGTTATTGTCGCGCCGGGCGTCAGGGGCACGTGCGAGGCTATGTTGTATGTGTACAAGGTCTGGAGGACGATGGTGATGACGGGCTCGGGTTTGGTCAGTTGGGCTACTCGTCAGATGAGGAAATGGAACACGAACACTTGGCAGTGCCAGAGAAGTGAGATAGCCCATGGGACCCAGGAGTCTGGCCCGGAGTTCATCGAGCGTCTCGAGGAGCTCGGCGCGGGGGGGTGCGAGGGACGAGGGCATCTGGGCTGGCTTGGATCCGAAGGAGGTTAAGAATTCACCGCCCGGTGAGCCCTTCATACCATCTTCGATGGTGCGAGTGTGGTCTTGGATGAGCGATCCGAGTTCAGAGATGGGTCTCAATGATGCCATGATAGTCGATGTCCTGGTTTCAGCTCGTATGGTGTTCTTGTAGTTCTGGTATGGGTGAATAGAGGCGCGTTATGTGTATACTTGCTATTGGGGTTGTCCTGGGCTTGGAACGAAAGTTGTCGAGAACACGGCGGCCATCCTGTCCTTTAAGTACGGCTTCTCCCACCAAGCTGCCAGTATCACCATGGTCACTCTTGTTGTGACCGATCTTCAACATTGTCGCCCGAGGTCTTATCCCCGACCCCGAGTTACAGAATGCCTTCGTCCGACGGCCGACCTTCGAGTTCGTTGCGGATCGATTCATATCATATCGGCGCCGATGATCAGCTTGCTGTTGCCTGCTCAAAGTAGTAGTCCACCACCATACCCTGGCACATATTTACTCTTTTCTTGGTGTGGTGGTCTAGCCCATGAGCCTGCCTCGGGTCTAGATATCAGGATGGCAGCGGTACGTGTGAACATGGTGATACATTTCCATATGGAAGATGCCAAGTATATCCGAGCTCCGTATAATGTCTCGTAAAAAAAACTCAACGCAGTAGGGAATGATGAGTCTCGATGGAATAGAGTCGGCTAGGTGAGATGCTCTTCAATTCGACGGCAGCCCCCATCGATGACCGGCAGCCCCGCACCGTGTGAACACTGTGTTTAGCACTTATCGTCGTTGCCGCGATCTGCACGATGCCATCGACTTGCTGTGTCAACACTTCGATATTTGCTGAGAAGCACTCTACGGCCCCGACTCACATTGAATTGAACATTCGTTACCATCCTCGCCGCTGGTCTCATCACCGTCCTGTGTCTACTAAGGCGAGATGTCCGACACCTTGAAGGTCGCTCTCCTCATCGTCTCCACAACAGCAGCCAAGGACCCTTCTACAGATGCCTCAGAACAGGCCTTGAGCGATGTGCTCAAGTCTGAAGGCGGTGGAAGATGGGAGCTTGCCGACACCAAGATAGTGCCGGATGAGGTGACTCAGATCCAACGGCAGATCATGCTATGGGCAGACGGTGCGGCCGAGGGGTTCAACCTCATTTTGACTACCGGTGGCACCGGCTTCGCGACATCTGATAGTACCCCAGAGGTAAGTTCAAGAATGATTATAAATCTCGTCTTCTAAATCTCAGGCGGCGGCTTACTGTCCTCAAGGCCGTCTCGCCATTGCTGCATAAGCTCGCACCAGGCATCGTACACGGTATGCTGGCAGCTTCTTTGAGCGTCACGCCTTGTAAGTACACCTCTCTAGAGGCAACTCGTACCAGCATCTGATTTTTTTTCCAGTCGCGATGATGTCTCGTCCAGTCGGCGGTGTCAGAAATAAGTCAATCATCGTAACATTACCCGGCTCGCCGAAGGGGGCCAAGGAAAACTTACAGGCCATACTGAAGACACTACCACATGCGTGCCTTCAAGCTGCCGGCATGGACTCGAGGACATTACATGCCGGTGGCGTGAAGAAGCTTGAGGCTGACGCGGGTATCACCTCCGGAGGTGGGCATGCTCATGCACACGATCATCACCACGGTCATAGCCATGATCACAGTCATAAACACGGACACGGTCACGGGCACGGAGGTCTTGTGCGACATACAGCCCCTAGCTCGAATCCAATGTCAAACGATCCCAGCCTTGGGCCCAGTCGGAGAAACAGAGAGTCTCCCTACCCTATGCTCTTGGTCGATGATGCCCTCAACAAGATCAAAGAACATACTCCACCGCCGGTAGTCATCATCTCGAAAGTGGACGGAACACTGCCTGGGTCTGTACTCGCCGAAGATGTCCGGGCCAGAGCGAACGTGCCTGCATTCAGAGCGAGCATCGTCGACGGGTATGCCGTCGTCGTACCCAAGGATGGCAACATGAAAGGTGTCTTCCCTGTCGTGTCTGTCTCCCACGCTGCTCCAGGCGAAGCGAAACCACTTAAGGAAGGCGAGATTGCCAGAATCACTACAGGGGCGCCGCTACCTCTCGGCGCTACTTCTGTCATCATGGTCGAAGATACAGTTCTGAAGACCATGACGGAGGACGGCAAGGAAGAAAAAGAGGTTGGGATACTCGCCGACGGTGTCAAGGAAGGAGAGAATGTTCGCGAGGTCGGCAGTGATATCAAGGCCGACTCTGTTATCCTTAGCAAGGGCGAACAAGTGTCCGCAGTCGGTGGCGAGATTGGTCTCCTAGCTGCCGTAGGAGTCGCTGAGGTTAAGACCTACCGAAAGCCTGTCATAGGTGTGCTGTCCACCGGAGACGAGATCGTGCAGCATGACCGACCAGGAGAGCTGCGGCTCGGGGAGGTGCGCGACACGAATCGCATCACCTTGATGTCGGCAGCGCGAGAACACGGCTTCGAAGTCGTCAATCTCGGCATCGCAGCCGACACGCCCGGGACCCTGGAACAGACACTGAGGGCTGCGCTGCGTCGCGTAGATCTCATCATCACGTCTGGCGGCGTATCCATGGGTGAGCTCGACCTGTTGAAGCCCACAATCGAGCGATCCTTAGGGGGCACCATCCACTTCGGCCGCGTCTCCATGAAGCCGGGCAAGCCCACCACCTTCGCCACCGTCCCCGTCAAGGATAATAACGGCGAGCGCGTCTCGAAGGCCATATTCTCCCTGCCGGGCAACCCGGCCTCGGCCATTGTCACGTTCCACCTATTCGTCCTGCCGTCGCTGCATCAGATGTCGGGCATATCGCCCGCGGGCCTTACGAAAGTCCCCGTCATCCTTGGCCACGACTTCCCTCTCGACAAGGCTAGGCCAGAATACCACCGCGCCATCGTCTCGGTCGGCCGGGATGGTGTCCTGACGACTAGCAGTACGGGCGGGCAGCGGAGCTCGAAGGTTGGGAGTCTTCGGGGTGCCAATTGCCTGCTGGCCCTGCCTAGTGGCAAGGAGCCGCTCAAGAAGGGGGCGAAGGTCGATGCTCTTTTGATGGGGGGAGTTAGGAGCGAGTAGGCTCCCTAGGGTAGGTGCGTACAGTCTTCCTGAGGTGTAATCAAATTATTGGCAGGCGATGAAATGTAGGGTTGACTCTGTGTGGTTGACCTCGATTGCCACTTTAGATTGTTCGATCAGCTGCTAACGTGCTTACGGACTGTATGTCACAACTGCGAGCCACTGAAGTCGTCCCTCTCTCTCTCTCTCTCTATATATATATATATATATATTTGAGCTCTAAAGTGCCTGATAGTCTGGAGTCTAGCTTTCCGACGATCCTCTCTGATGAACTATGTGTCATTACTATACAAGGACTACGGACGTGGCGTTGAATTTCAGAGATGACTGTCGCAGCTCGTGCCGAGCAACAGTGTCGAGACGCCAGGAGTATGAGAACAATGTAGTCAGAAAGGTGGCCATTTTGCATTGTAGCCATGACATGAGTGGTGGATGATGCGGGAAAGGTTGAGCGTCTGAGAGATGGCGCTACCCATGGCATTCTCAAGAGGCCTTGCTAGTCCTCACCACTGAGCATCCAGTAAAGAAGCAAGACAACGACGCGTCGTGACGCGACGATGCACTGGTAATCAACTCAATTGCGTGATCGTTTTGTGTATGGCTCTGCTGGCTGCATACCTAGTTCCCGTCCTCGTAATCGTAAACGTCATAGCCATAGTGTAGTACAGTGTATAAGTAGGTAGGTTTGGTGGACTTCATCTGCTTTCTGTCTCATCTCTCTCCCAGGTGCGATTCCTTCTGTCTTTTGTTGTTCCATACTTGGGTGGACTCTTGGTCTTTTGTAATCTTGGTGACGGAAGGTCGCGATGTGTGGTATATCCTGCATCCTTTCGCTGTCCGGCGCGACGCAGCAACGACAACAGCAGCCGCAAAGACTACCCAATGGCTATATCAAGAAGCAATCGGGCTCCCAGCGAGAAGAGCTCGAGAAGGATCTCAATGCCTCCCTAGCCCAGATCGCCCACCGCGGCCCAGATGCGTGCGGCAACTGGATCAGCGACGACTGTCGAGTAGGTACTCTGGCTATACAAACCTCGCTCGCCTGGTGACACGACGCACCCAGCCCAAGCCAACGCTAATCCCGTTCCCATCTGCAGCTCTCGGACATGTGCGTCTAAGCATCAACGACCTCTCTCCCTCGGCCGCACAACCCTTCCACTCCCCCTCCCACGGCATCCACGCCGTAGTCAACGGCGAATTCTACGACTATGACCGCATCCGCTCCCGCGTCGAGACCGAGACCGACTACCACTTCACCTCCCGCTCCGACTCGGAAATCATCATCGCCCTGTACCTCCACGACGGCCTTAATTTCACCGAGCACCTGCGCGGCGAGTTCGCTTGTGTGCTTTGGGACGAGCCGAGACAGTTGTTCATTGCTGTGAGGGATCGGTATGGGATCAAGCCGCTGTTCTGGACGATACAGCCGGATGGTTCGGGAAAGGGCGAGAGGAGATTGTTGGTGGCTGCCGAGATGAAGGCGTTCTTGCCGTTGGGGTGGGAGCCGGAGTGGGATGTTAGGAGTTTGAAGGATGCGGGGTGGAATGTTGGTAGTACGACGCTGTTTAGGGGTGTGCAGAAGGTGAGTCTCGTCCTGGTGTGTCTGGGGTGGTTGCTACTGGGAGTATGAAGATAACAGGTGCTGACGGAACTGCTAGGTCCGGCCTGGTCATTACATGACGTGCCAGTCCTTCTCACACATCGAGGAGCGACCGTACTGGGACTCTTCGTTCCCACTTAAGACCACGCTGGACCCGCGTACGCCTGAAGAGTTGATCGAGGGTGTCCGCGAACGCATGCTCGAGTCCGTCCGTCTTCGCCTTCGCGCCGATGTACCTGTTGGCGTATATCTCTCCGGCGGCATCGACTCGTCTGTCCTCGCTGGCATGGTGGCGCACCTGGTGAAGGAGCAGAACATGTCGATGGGCTCTGCTCCCCCTTCGGAGAGAGTGACGTGCTTCAGCATCGCTTTCGACGAGGATTCCGGGTTCGACGAAGGCCAGATCGCAAACCGTACTGCCGAGTGGCTGGGCGTGAAGTATCTGAAGAAGCTCATGAGCGAAGAGGAGCTAGCCAGGCGTTTCGAAGACGCTGTGTGGCATTGCGAGCAGCATAACCCAGATCTGAACTTCGTGGGCAAGTATGCCCTGTCGGAAGTGCCGCAGGAAGCTGGGTACAAGGTCGTGTTGACTGGCGAGGGCGCCGATGAGACGTTTGCTGGGTATCCGCTGTATCTGCCTGACTACTTGCGGGAGCCAGACGTCAGCTACGAGAAGCACAACCCGCTCCCTGAAGCTGAGCGGGAAGAGCAGCTCCGTCTTGCTGAGGATGCGGTAAGGGAGCATTACCGAAGTATGGGCGCCGACGCCGGTAACGGTGACCTCAGCACCGCTCGCAAAATGCTCAATGGCATCTCCACCGTCAGCAGCATGACAGCTTTCCAACCGGACGTCTTCGCCGACTGGACCGACGAAGTCTTCACAGCCTGCGATCCTCAGATGACAATTGCCTGCAGCCCGGACGGCATAGCACGCAACCACATTGCCAAAGACTGGCACCCGCTGCACTCGGCTCTCTACGTCTGGTCCAAAGGCCACCTCCCCAATATCTTCCTCACCTGCCTCGGCGACCGGACGGAAATGGCCCACAGCATCGAGGCTCGCACGCCGTTTCTCGACCACGAGCTCACGGGGTACGTCAACCACCTTCCGCCTTCGGTGAAGCTACGTTGGATGCCGGACGAGCGGCGTTTCGTCGAGAAATGGATCCTTCGCGAAGCCTCGAAACCATTCATCACTAAGGAGCTTTACGAGCGGAAGAAACACCCTTATAGCGCCCCGACGAAGTATCCTCGCAACGGACATCTCCACAAGCTCCTGTCTCGCTTGTTGTTTAAGGAGGAGGTGGAGAATCTCGGGTTTGTGAGTTGGGAGAAGGTGAGCGGATTGGTGGATGAGGCGGTGGGTGAGGAGGGAGATACACGGGCGTTGAGGTTGGCGTTGGTTGTTGCGGAGTGGGTTGTTCTGGCGAGGAGGTTTGGGGTTCGGCGAGCTACTGTTGGTGATTTCCTGTAAGAAGCAGTTGCCTTATACTGTATTGGGAGTTGATAATTCGATATTTCTTCGTCTTCTTCGATGGCCGCAGCTCGTGTACTGGCCCGGATGGTCAACGGTGGATGAGGATGTTTGGCAAACGTGTGCCAATGGATCTCCTTAGGGAGCGAAACTAGGTCGCTCAAGCATCTCGTTTGTCCATATGCACAGGCCAAGGAACCCCTTCTCCAACTTCCGCTGGCGTACACAAGTGCTGGTAGCTGATTTCTCATAATCGCACAGCTCCCAGCAAATTCTAGCGTGTGCCGCCTCCATGATGCTGCTGGGCTCGGCTGGGCTCGTGCCTTCGACGAGGTCTGGCTCTCCTTCAGGTTGCCTTCGATGTACAAGGCCGACTATACGAGCTTGCCTGAACCGGTGGCGGTCTGCTTACTTGCAGTCGCGGGGCCTACATGAGGCGAGTGGGACATTGTAAGGCCGTGATCATCTGCGGAACGATGTCTTGCCGACCACGTAAATCGAGCCGGAAAGCCCTGCTGAAGGAGACTTCTTTACCCCGTCACAACCTGCCGCGTTCTCAAAGTAAGTACTCTTTTCGACTCAGCGTTCTCACCAGCAACAAGCTGGGGTTCGCCGAGCAGAAGCGCCTTCCCCACAAGCCTCCATCTCCCACCTGTGCTCTCCCATAACCCAGCGTCGTTTCGAAACGTGTCAGAGTCCTCCAGGGGCTGTAGGATCCAGACACGCGAAACGGCGCATGGCGAGTCGGCCACGTCTCGGGGAACAGCAAGTCGCCATTTTGTCGCGTCTAGGCCGGGTATGTCGTCCCGCAGTATGCGTCCACTCACGACAGCGAAGTCTCCCCTGAAATTGCACCGGATGCGCGTGGACAGCGCCGAGATGACCAGTCTGGCCATGGGCCTGCTGTCGGTGAGGAACGTGAGGAATAGGAGCAGAGTTTCTTCTGCACTCTCGCTCTCGCGAGACGGGGAGTCGGGGATGAGCGAGTCGCACAAGCGTTGCGCGGCTGGGCGGAGGGACTCGTCTGCCGTGAAGGGCTCGAAGAGTCTCTGGTTCAGCGACGGCTGCACCACGTCCCTTTCCAGCGCCCCCAATAGGCGGCAGACATACGCGAGTCCGTTCTTGCAAGCCGCGGCGAGGAATAGCCGCCTGGGCCTGTCGAGGAGCTCGTCCCCGTAGGTAGACTCCTCCGGCCGGACCTGGATCCTGTACTGTGGCGGCCGGGTGCGGATGGGCGTTTCTGGGAGGATGTGATAGGTGGCTGCTACATCTTCGGTTGTCATCGTTTCGATGGGGGTCTCGAAGAAGAACAGGTCGAGCTTGATGTACTCTGCCTTTATCTCGTGAATGTTTTCGATGCTCCCCAGCGCAAATTTCGGAATATTCGTGTCGTAGTCGGAAAGGGGCCTGGAAAGCCATGAGTCGCGACCGTTGATGCGAAGTATCCTCTGTTTCATCAGGTATAGAGGGCTTTTCTCGCCAGCTGCTAGGGAAAGAGCAGCGGCGACGAAGAACACCTCGTCTGAAGTGTGCAACCTGCCTGTAAAGTAGACAGCCAGACGGCTCAGATTTATCACAATCGAGATGAGGTCGGATGGGACGGTGATATCGCAAAGGGAAATGACGTAGTATCTCGCCATGAAGGATGATCTCACGGCTCCGTAGCCTCGGGCTCCAGGGTCGGTATAAGGTGAGGTTTTGTTGTCTAGTATTGTCCACCGAAGGTCCCTCCGAAGACGTTCCATACCTGTCCTTTGGCGATCAGGACCGGTGGCAACCGCCTGGACTGCAGGAGTGGACCGTAACAACATCAGCGTGAGGTATTTGACACTGAATGTGCCGCCAGTGGATGTGTTGGCAATGAAGAGAGCTGCGTGTGCAATATGGTGCCGTAAGACGCTCCACTGCTCGTTGATCTCAAGTTCATGCCAGCACCTGTTCAACATGAGCGCCTGAAGTATGGGATACCAGAGGGCAAAGGGTTAGGCTCACCATGACCTTGACCACCAACGGGAGCTTTCAATCTTGTCACAAACTGCCGCCAGGTATGGCACATCTCCTTCTTCAGGCGTCCAGGAAACCGTGTCCTTGAGCATATGGAAATCACATTTCGCCAGTACTCTGGTCTCGTCAGGAGTGAGTGTCACGTCCTCGAGCAGAATGAGTAGTTTCCGACAGCGCTTATAGATGGTATCCATCATGGCGATGAATTGTTGATTTTCAGTTTCGTCATCCTGATTGATACACATCTGATCGACCCAGATCCCCTCTCTTCTGTAGTTGATGTTGCGCGCGCCAGGCTCGTCCGTGATAACGCCACGCTGGGTAAGTATAGCTTCTACAAAGGACTTACTGAATGGCCAGGGCTCATGTGGCCGTGAACCGTCCGGTGGCCAGGCATAGTCCTTGTGTCTCCAACAGTAGCTGATTGCGATGTATTGTCTGAAGACGCGTTCGCTGTCGAACGGGACGTGACCAAGATCGCTTTCGCAAATTAAGCGAAAAGGAGTATCGAGTATGAGACTTGGAGTCCGGATGTGGAAAGACTCTGCAAGATTCGGCGACCAGGATTGCAGGTTACTCATAATGATCTCTGCCTCTTCTTGGTTACCGCTTAGCTGCTCTATAGCCTCGGAAAACAATTCGTGGCGGTTTTGCCTTGACAGTGTGACCTCGAACAACGAGCCCCCCATATGGCGCACAATGGGCTCATCATGGCTGGCGGCAGCGGATGGGTTTGCTGATGACATGATATTTAGTGCATCTAGTCGTGAAACACATGATGAGGTTCTCAAAATAGATGGGAGATCATTACTACTGAAGGGTCGTGCCACATGCATATTCCTATATTCTTGGCGATGGCCGTCTAGATGACCGCCAAGGTCTTGGTCTTGCCGTGTCAGGCTTTCAGCTCGTGTGTTGGCAGGCATGACCCGCCAGCGACCTCGTTCCTCCTTCTGGCACCTCAGAAATTCAGAACCAAGATGCGGCTGAGCAAATGTTTATGTCAAACATCGCCCAGCAGCATAAGTCATCAATTGTTCATGAGAAACATTCAGAGTTGCGAGTGGATGAAAGAAGACTAAAGTTGCAATGACCCCCCTTTAGTACCTATTGACCCCCCTTTAGTATTGACCCCACAAGTCCCTGCCGCTGCCCCAGCCTCCCGGGTAAGCTTAAGCTCGCTTTGGTCGCACAGCGTCGCGTTCTACCAAGTTCAGCTGCACTCCAGCCCACTATACCACCAGGGACCAGCTCATCAACTTGGGACTCTGGATCTGCCACCTGCCACCAAGGTACCCACGTGATGCCGACCTACCTCTGCCACGGCTTCCGGTGGCACCGCAAGAGCATCTGCTACTTCATCGTCATCCAGAACCTCGAAGACGGCGCCCCCGAGTGGGTCGTCGCCCCGCGCAGCCAGCAAGCCATCCTCGACGCCTTCGCCGAGCTCTTCGACTTCCTCCCCTCGCAACCCCCGCCGCCGCCCCAGCCGAACGACTCGTCCTACCATTCGCGGGACGATTCGTACGAGAACCGCGGTGAGGAGGAGCGCAGGGAGCGGAACGGCGGCGAGGACAAGAAGCCGAAGAGCCGGAGCGCACCGCGGAAACGCAGCATATCCTCCCTGCGACGGCCGAAGACGAGCGCGCGCGACGACACGCCCCCTCCGCCCGTACCGCCGCTGCCCCCGCCGCCGCTACTGTCGCCACTCCCATTGCCGGACGACTCCAACGCCTTTAGTGCCGACTACTCGCCGGTGAAGCTTCTGGAGGAGTTCGACCCGACCGACGAGACTTCTGTCAGCCGACCCTGGGCCTACGTTGCCGACCATGTGATACGCGTGGACACGTCCGTGTCGATCGCGGACGAAATCAGCCGATACGAGAACCAGACGAAGACGGAGCAAGACAGACCCATGAGCGGCCCGAGCGACGAATCGGGCAGGAAGCTGACTGGGTCCGGCAACAAGAAAGCAGGCTGGCTCGAGAAGCTGCGGGATCAGCTGCAGAGGGGCGAGCTTATACGGTGGTACGTCGTGGTGTGCGGTGACGAGCTACGCGAGAACCCGCCGCCGGATGAGGAAGACGACGAAGAGGAGGATATTGAAGAAGAACAAGATGAGTACGAGCAGAGCAGCACCAGGAGTCAGGAGCGGCGGCGCTATCGGCAATCACAGTCGACGCAGTCGACGGGCCCGTCGGTCATTGAGAACGGCTTCGAATTCAGACTGCCGGAATTCGCTGGCCTGGCAGAGAGACCTCCGACCGTCAAGCTGGAACGAAGGAGAGCAAGGACGTTACCTGCTCCATTGGCCATGACGCCTCAGGAGGATATCGTGCCCCCGCCGCCGCAGCCCGCGCAGGATGCTGGCAAGTTGTCCGGCACGGATAACTTCTTGAGACCCAAAACACCTAAATCGGGAGGGGGTCTGCGGAGGCTGTTTTCGAGGAGGAGTACGGAAGGCTCAAACTGATTTGATATCCCCCTCCGCCACGCCGCGGGTTTGGAACCATTTGCTGAAGGGCTACTAAGATTCTGCGCCCTCGCTCCGGCTTTGGGGACGGGGGTGATTAGCAGACGAGAACTCACCGGATTCTGGATACGTCCGGCCATCGTCATACGGACTTTGGAGATTCCATCTCGACGAATACACTCACAAATGGCCGATGTGAACATCTTTGCACATCTGATATATATGACAGAACGTACTGTCTATGGGACTTGGGTCCACCTTTTACAGCGAAGCGAAAAGTTGCATGGTGTTATGGGAGGATCTTACGATACGGCTTATGACTTGGGTTGATGAAATTAGTTTCGGGCATTTATGACTTGGACGGACGAGGAAAAGGGATACTGGGTTTAGGCAGCGGCATTTTGTATCATCACAAATTCAAAAAAATCGGCAACTTGCATACATCCGGTGATACATCATCACTACGCTGGGCCGGTGTCACTGGAGAGAACTACACACTTCCTTTACTATCGGAGGTGTGACGTGGACGTGTGTACGTGGAGGATCCTGCAGTCTGGGTTTCCTGGTTGAAAGGGAGATGGCTATCTTCATGTGTTCGCCCTTACAACGTGCTTCCTTATGCAGCGTGGTTGAGAGGGTAGAGCTTTTATCTTGGACTTGAATATCGAGTGCCTTGCCCTATTGACAGTTTGAGGGTATTTTGAGTATGAGTCAGAGTTCCTACTAGGGAGACGCCGTCTCTCGAAGAGGCACGAACCTCTGCGATAATGGTAGAGCAGCAAGCCCCTTTCCAGCGCACTGCCCTATACAACAGCGTCAATCAACGATTGGCTCATTGCAACACCATCAATAAGTGTCTAACCTTTCGAGTTTATGAAGCGAGCTCTTACATAGTTACGGTTGGCTCGTAGGAGGAAGCAGTGAAGTGTAAGAATCTGAGAATGGGAAGCAGGTTGGATGAACGTGCTAGGAGGAAGGCGGCCCATCCGTAGATATTGCAATCAAAGTTTAAAGGGGCTGAGGCATATGCGGCGACATTGTCAACCAGTCGGCGTTCCTGAACTAAGGTACCAACAACCTGGTGCTGCTCATGACGTCAGCGGGGCTCGTGCTGGAGGGGGTCAAATAAAGGCAACTTGGAAGTACTAAAGCAGTCCCTTTCCTTGGCATTCCTCAAGTTCAACTTCTCTCTTACTTCGTTACCTACTTACCTACAACCACCGAGCAAAAGAGGAAGAATCAGCAAACCTAGCAATCATGGACAACCAGAACCAAGACTACGACCAGAACGCTGCTCAAGATGCCGGCTACGCAGCCGGCCGCGCTGGTGAGTACCTCAGTAGAACTATATGGGGGGGTAGTTACGGGGGAAAGGACGGACACCCCGCTAACAGTTGACATTGGCAGAGGGCGACTACAGCGACGCCCGCCAAGACGTCCGCCAAGACGAGCAACGCGTCGAGGACGTGCCTGGCGACGTCGCCCGTGATGCCGAGCAAGGCGTCGACAACGGTGTTCGAGATGTCGAGGACGTGCCATCGGATATCGGCAGTGCCGTGAAGGGTGCCGCCGATTGGATCGGCAGCAAGGTCGGCGGGGTTGAGGGCGATGCCAACCGTGCCGAGGGCGACGTGAACAACTTCGACAACGGTGTCGACCAGAGCTACGACCAGGGTCAGCAGCAGGGAGAGAGCCGAGGTGGATGGTAAAGAGTGAGAGCTTCTGACAAGGATGAAGCAGCATCAGATCCAGTCTGTGCCTGTATAACGATGATGAGCATATCACGAGCGAGAGAGCAAGGTAGCTATCAACAATGCTGATGACCTCTTTTGACAAGCTGTGTCTCGTAATGTTTGGGCCAAACGTGTCCGCCCTTGCCGAGCACCGCTCAATATCCTCCACAGGACGGCCGAAACTGCAAGCATTCTCCTACCGCCAGCAAACAGCAACTTCCGGTCGCCCATCTTGTGACCCCTTCAAGCATGTGCCAACAACCACGCCCCATCAATGACCAATGTACTACCGGTCACATACCCTTTAACCGCAAAATTCAACACCGCCTGCGCATAATCCCTCGGCGTCCCAGCCCTGACGAAGGAAATTCCCCACTTCGTCCAGAAGTGCTCCTTCTCCGACCCCTTCTCCTCGTCAATCGGCGTCATCTCTGATGGAAAGTAGCCGGGTGCCAGAATACATACAGGTTGAGTTCATAACGACGGAGCGACGATATTCAAGACGCTATCATCGTTACTTGGTTCGAGAACGTCATTCCATAATGGGTGAAAAGGGAAAATAATGGTAATTCGTGTTTAATCCTAAACAAGGTTAACAAAGCCAAGTCAGGCCAGCTTGAGCCATACGAAGGCGTCAGAATAAGCCAGAGTCTGGTGAAGGTCATGCTTACTGCTGCATAGACTAAGAAACGTTTTTTTTTTTAAATCAATCCGGCCTGAAGACAAGTAAGGAACTCAAAAGTAGACATGCAAGATGCGCAATCGGAAAGTGCTGAATCACATGGCATATGCATGCAGATACGCAAGTCTTCGGTGATAGATCTGCACCCGAGTCACGTCTGCTGAACTTGATAGACGAAGGTGACAGAGCATATGTATAATCTCGACGGCAGCACACAGTCCGGTGCGGCTCTCCGACCAACTCTCCGGACCACAGCGCCCGACCACGAGGCAAGGTCACATTCTCGACTCGGCTATTCGGTAACGTGTCTTGCTGATCCGTCTCGCTGATCCCACCTTGTGGTGTCTAATCCGGTGGATGGCAGGTCAGGCCTCAGCGCGAGAGCGATGACGGCCACATGGAGGCAAGCATCACAGCACACTTTCACACACTTGGAACTTAGTCTTGCAGGACTTAGGGTCAAAGAAGGCCAGATAACCCTTAGATATCGGTTGAGCCTAGCAGAGCTGCACGGTCAAAGTGTGCGGCTTGTGCCGCCGTCCTACTTGGATGCATGCGTCACACACTCTTTGATCAACCCTAAACCAAGTCCGCAAGCTACCGAAATCGTGGGGAGGTATAGCAGAAGAAAGATCTCTGACTGCTCCATACCAAGACGATAGTATCGAGTGCCGGCGCAGGCGGCATGGGCCTCAACGTGAAAGATACCATCGCCATATTGAAGGTTTGACAGCATTTATTCAAGAGTAGATAGTTACTCACCTTAAAAAGAGGAATTACCAGTAATATTTCTTATACGCCTCAGCACTCCAGGAAGTAGCCCTTGCAAAGGGCCATATGCAGCTACGATATAACGTTACCTCGTGGGTGTCGAGATTGCAATCGAGGTGAACGATACCGAAGCGTAAGGGTAAGCCAGCCTATGACTATGAACCTAAAAACGAGATATACTGAAACCACACAACCCGTATATCGGTTCTGCCCGCTGCAAGATATAAGTGCATATGGGCTTGTTAGTCCCCGGCGCTCATAGGCCAATGCTTGCTTCCTAGGTCGAGCAGGTCAACTGCGCCAGCGCTATAATTATGACCACTAGTTCTTCCCTTATAGCCTCCTCTATAGCAGCAGGTTCAGGTTTCCCCTCGAGCTTCGAATACCAACAAGGACTGTGCGTGCGTATAGGTCACCTGCTTAGATGCAACGGCTCAAGATGATAGCTCATATAGACCGATGGCTCCACCACTGCCGGATACCCCGAATAACACTAACGGTAGTGACAGCCGACATCAGGAGGAGAAATTTGTCTGACTCCGGGGTCTTTGGAGTCATCGTAGTGGATAGATCGTAGAGGTTGGCAAGCCGTTTGCATCGTCGACGTCTGGCCATCTCCGGCACTGCTGCCGGAGATCAGTGGTGTGTGTGTGTGTGACCAGACGGTCCGAACCAAGACCGTCTTGGTCTGGCCAGATCTCTGAGAACGACCACTCCCTGCAACTCCATAAGTATACCCCATGTTCAAGAGAATGACAGCTATTGCATGATGGCAGCTGTCAACTGAGACGATCCTTTCATCACGGGTCGGCTGGCTTTCCCGTGCGTCGTAGCCCTCAATCATGTTTCCAAACTCGTGCAGCAGTCAACCCCAAAACAGTAATAATAACACTGCCTAGGAAAACAATCTCCTGCCAAGGGTCTATATCAAGACTATATGTACCAAAATCATCGAAAGTCAGTTCGAGTCAATAACTTTCCCGTGTCTACTCCACCTTTTTCTCCGCACTGCAACGCCGAACTGCCCCATGCATCACCGACTCTCAGCTGCGTCTACGTACATACTTCCTGCCTTCCTGCCTTCCAGCCGTGGGCAGTGATGTGCCGCGGTGGATCTCGAATCCTCTGCTCATTGGGAGCTGCCGTGCCGTGCCGGATGACAGCTTCGCTTGCCCATGGTTCAAGAATTGGCATATCCTCCTCCACTTTCCGCGTCGTTACCCCTGCAGGACAGGGATGGTGTCAAAGCTGGGCACCGCAAGACCCAGACTGTCTGGGCCAGACAGGCTTCGTCTTCGTGTTCCCAACCCAGCAGATTGAGATGGTATCGAAATTGTGGGATCAATTCAGGCTCTGCCGCAACCTTGAGCAAATGAACGATGGTTTTTCTTCTTAGTGGCTCATGGCCGAACTCTGTTCGTCTTCTCCCTCAACCTCAAAGCCACTGCTTAATATGACACCAGCGAAACCTTCGTCTTCGTCCGATGGGTCACAAGAGCCCTATATGAGGATCAATCCTCGCACGGGAATCTCGCGAACATGGCACCGCAAGACCTAGATGGGCCTGCGAAGGGTTCTTGGTCACATGTTCACACATCCCCAGGATATCTGGCAGTGCATGCGTGATCTCCGCATCTCATGCAGTGCCGGGCAGGGGTCATATGGCAGGATCTTCCGGGTAAACGAGCTGCCAATGGATGGATGAACCGTTTAGTATGTATGAGCCATCAGTTAGCGATACTCCTCCGTTCCCCCGTCGCGGCAGTCGAAGAGGACACTATTCGTGATGGAGGCGTCTGGGCGCTTTGAGTTTGCCCGCCGCGCTGGCTTAATAGTCGTCTTGGGAGTAACGTTTCTACTCGGCCTCTCCGTCTTCACCTCACAGTTCGGCCAGCCCTTCGAAAATCAAGATAACCCAGCCATGTGGAAAGGTACCTCCCCTGCAGGGCTCCTGTCCGCCGGCCTGGCTGCTTCGGCATCGGCAACCCTGCTCTACGTGAGCTCGTACGCCGGTACGGTCACGACGCTGAATCTGAGACTGCCCAGCAGAAACGCCACTGCCACCCTTGAGACCATCTCCACATCGACTGGGTGTGGAGGGAGCCCGTCGTGGTTGACGCTTGACTACTCCAAAACGTTCCTTTTCTGTGCCGACGAGGGTCTCACCGAACAGACGGGAGGCTTGGCGTCCTTCTTGACCAACCCGAACGGGACGCTGACACCTCTCACGAGGCTCGACGTGCTCCTGGGTCCGGTCAGTCTGGCCGAGTACGGCGTGGGTGGGCATGGACTCGCTGTGGCTCACTAGTAAGCACCAAGCATATTCCTGTCTTTCTAGTCTCGATTAGCTCCGGTTGTGATGCTACATCCTTGCACCGCCTAGTCTACTTCAGTATCATATATATAATACGAATAAGTGACTGACTGATACACCCAGCTCCGGATCCGGGGTTAGCGCGGTGGAAGTGACCCCCGAAGGCGGGCTCATTCTGGTACAGAACGAGACCTACACTCTCGCGCAACCCGGTCCCGACCCGTCGCGGCAGGACGCGCCTCACCCACACGAAGCCATCCTCGACCCCACCGGGGCCTACATTCTGGTGCCAGACCTGGGCGCCGACCTCGTGCGCGTATTCCAGGCCGACGCCGACAACCTCACGTTGACACCCGTGGCGCCCCTGGTCGCCGCACCCGGCTCGGGCCCGCGACACGGAGTCTTCCTGACCGTCGTCGATAAGACGTACTTCTACCTCGTGTCGGAGCTGGCCAACACCATCACGGGCTACGAGGTCGTCTACAATGCCAACGAGACCCTCGGCTTTGCCGAGCTGTTCGTCATCCCCACTCATGACGACGACAGGCCGCTTCCCGATGGCACGGGGGCTGCTGAGATCCGGCTATCTGTAAGTTTCTTGACCAGGATTACTTTATACCATCCCCCACCCCCCTTCCCTTTAACCGTACCGGACACTAGTACCGGTAGTTAGTTACTGACAACATATCTTCACAGCCCGATGAAAAGTTCCTAATCGTCTCATCGCGCTGGGAATACTCGATCGACATCCCCAACTACGACCCGACCAACAGCACCGCCATCGCCTCGGACCCGCTGATCAGCTACGCCATCGACCGGCAGACCGGGTCCCTCGCCAAGGTCCAGGAGTTCGCCGCGGGCGGGACCGGGCCCCGCCAGTTCTCGATCAACGGGGGCGGCGACCTGATTGCCGTGGGCCTGCAGGGGGACGGCCGCGTCGTGGTCATCGGGCGCGATGTCGCGACCGGGCTGCTCAAGGACTATGTGGCTTTTGCGGATGTCGAGGGCGAGGTCACGGCTGTGGTTTTTGATGAGGACTAAGGTTGTCATACGGAGCTAGATGTTGTTGCCATCTGGACGAGGCTCGCTCTGTGGTGGTGTAAATGTACTTATGCAGCTGGAAATCTAGTAACCTCTAGACGGTTTGACGAGCCTTAAACCTATGCCAGATGGCGTGAAAGATGAAGTTCGCTGACCATGCATTTTCGAAGACCAGTGTAAGGGTTAGGGGCAGTCCAATGGTAGGTCATCTACACAGTTTCGGGCAATCGAGCCATCCGGGCGCGTCCCCCCAGGCCTGCATATGATCTCGAGAGCCTCACCCCAAGGATAAGTGATACGAGGACGCGTTAGCAACGAGATGAAACGGGGTGCGGCGGGGCGTAATAATATATTAGGCCGTTGTTGGACATCGTCGCTTAGGCCACATATATATACACGCTGTGGAGGGGAGACCTAAACGGTTCTGGTGGTGGCGGTTAGGGGGGCGCTTGGTTTGATGAATTTTCGTATGGATGCACGTGGGATGGAGCTGATCAGAGGCAGGGCGGCGAGCTGGTCGTGGGCTCGGTAAGAACGACATGTGGCGAGAGATGTCGGGCGGTGGCAGATGCTTGACTGTGGTGAATGGCGAGAATCGATGTTCGATATCGAATGCGAGAGCGCTACTGTTACCTGACACCTGGTGAAGATGCATACACGGCTGCTACAAGGGCACTAAACACATGGCCTGGCTGGTCCTACTGTCACATGGTCGAGCTGGAAGGCGCTGTTTTTGTCTTTTTGGATAAGGTATCGATGTATACCATGGCAGGAACTCATGTACGATAGCCATACCTAGAATGTGTGCGCTGGTTCTTCGCGATGGCGCGCTCTATCTCGTAGCTATTGGTATCGGAGGAGGACCCAGATAGCTTGACAGGCCGCTGGGCGGTAGTAACGCAGGCTTCGAGATGGGCCCATGATCATCCTAGATGACCAGAATCTTCAAATCCTGCATTCCATCCACGAGTCGATGGAACGGAGCAGGTTTCTAGCGACGCCTTGGGTCTTTCGTCTTGGGAGAAGACGCTGCGGCCGGATATGGGGGCCGCTCAGCAGTGCTTATGAAATACCGTTGCTGTCAAATGACTATGTACTTGAGTCCATGCTTGACGTGCTGTTGATCAGTGAATAGAGATTCAAGTAGCTTCCAGTGTTTTTAGGCAACAATCGCCCGGAACCTTCGTATCCCACGCTCTGCGAGAGGAATCACTCTTGACTGACGACAGAGCTGCCTATGAGATAATCCAGCCGCGCCCATGACAGCCACTCAAGCCGGACTGCCTCATTGAAACCTGGTTGGCGAACCAAGTTTCGCAGCCTGTGTAGCTGATGACGCCCCCGAACCTGTTCGTCCCTCCGTCGTCGTGCACGTGGTAGGGGTCTGGGGAGGCCAAAGCGAAAAGCAGGCGCAAGGAGATCCGTCGGCCGATCCTGGAAAAAGAATGCCTGGTCGCGGTGCCGCTGTGGTCGTACAGCAGTGACGCGGTCTTCGCTAGACGTCGGGCGCTGGTGGCCGAGCCGTCTCTGCGTACCAGAATTACCTTCGCCCTACCTAAGACGTAATCAAATGTACTTGCTCAGGTGTCTTGAGAGACCGTGATGGTACCAGTTGACCTCCGTGCCGCATCATGCCCCAACGGATTCTGGTGGCATGATGCGATGTCCGTGCCGCCATGGGTTCGATGGATCAACTCAGCGTGATAAAGAAATGTTTTTGGGTGGCTAGGACGGTGCCGTCTATAATAGAGGTATTAAGGATGTCGAGCCTAATATAGCATCAGCGCCAATGTGCCAGTCCCTCGAGCATTGACTCATGAAGCCTCATCCGGACAGAACGGATCGATATGTGCCCTATTTATTACCGACCGGCCATCGGACGCGACCTTGGATTTAATGAGTGTCAAGTTGTGCGACAAGAGGGCATGATTCTCCACGCGTCAGGCGCATCAGAGACAGTGAACTGCGGGTACCCTTCATGCCACAAGCTCTATGATCTGACGATGGGGAAGCGGCAGCATCGTCGTATGACAGTAAGATTGCACGGCTCGGCGCTGAAGCAGTTCGGATGAGAAACCTGTCAGAAATCTACCCCAGGATCACCGCTGAATGATGCCTCGTCTAACCCATAATGGTCTTATAGAAAGGCATTATGGGTTGGGGTCACTGTCTGCGAAGTAGTATGCGGTTGGTGCAAGGTTGCCACGTTTTCATGGCAAAAGTTCAAGTATTCGGCCCGTTGGAAGCCTCCTCTCCATGCATATCGCTGCTTCTGCTCATGATCAATGAGCACACCCACAGGCAAATAATCATGTATGAGCTGCCATAGGATCGCCAGTGCCCAGCGCGATGCACGATGCAGCAAACGCTGCTCAGCACGCACTCTCCATAAGTCGGATTCGAGCTTGGCTATTGTCGGAGGCTCAAAGGGGTCCGGCATCAACAAGATACCTGTTCCAATAACAGTTGTGCCCACAAGACCGTATGCTTACATAGTACAAGTGAGTGGCGGTTCATAAGCTTACGGAGTAAGTACAAGCCACGAACCAAGACGGCAACCATGTATCAAAAATACGTGCCGTGCGATCGAGTACCCGAACAGGTCATCTTGAGGGTTTGGGAGCATTCGCCTACTGACTATGACGAGTTCTGACTTGGAGTTCGGGGCCGCGTTGCTGGTAGCGAGGAGGATCATCTGACACTCTCTCGTCGAGGCGACTTTCGCATTCTAGAAAGAGAAGGTGGGCTGGCTGGATGGGTATCGGCTCTTATATTGAAGCTGCAGGACGTCTGTGGCAAGCCGATCTCGTGACGCAAGCAAGGCGATGCACGTCGTTCGGTTCGTCTTGCTAAAGATGAGGTAAGGAGAAGAACCAAGGCTCGTCGCCCGCCTGCTGCCTCCAACGCGGGAGCATCCCTTCTCTCGGCCCCACGCGGTTGGGAAGTTGGAGGATCGAGCGGCCTACGTATCATGTATCATGCCGCGATCGGGCTGTCGGGGTATCACAGTATCACTGTCGTGTTGGTGACCAACACTCTCTGGTGTCCTCGGGTCCGGGACTTGCGAGTGGAGTCATCTCGAGGCACAGATGGGCACAGATGTTGCAGATGCATCGTCTTCGTCCAATTCGTCCATCGTCCGAACTTGTCCAGGATTGCGAAACGCTTATTAGAATGTGGAGATAACGGTAATCTCATCAACGGTGAAATCTGGAAGTATCTGCACGCCCAAAACGGAGCTTGAGGTACCTCGTGTCGTACGATGCTCAGATGCCTTGGTGTTGAGGTCCAGAAGCGCGCTGGGCAATAGGTGAGGAAGCTGAAGTCATCTGTGTCGGTCTTGTACAGAAGCTGTCGCGCCAGTAGGTACTGTTGCAAGCATACTAAGGTAGTATGAACATAGCTAGGAGCACGGAAGGGAGGTAGCGGGTACCCAGGATTAGCTGGCATGTCCACCAGGGTCCCAGGTACACACAACTACCGGCCGCTCTCCGTGTGAGCGGGCCAGGATAACCGACACCCGCGTTATTAACTTATTTCGCCTACAAGAAATTATTTTCAACTTCCATGTCCCTTTCATCCGGCCCCGAATGACAACAGAAGCCCATCTCCGAGACCCCAGAGTCTCGTTTCCAGTGTTCACAACCCCAAACGCGTCATAACACCTGCCAGCAGTCCCTGCAGACACACTTCCAAATTAGTGAACTCCCAATGTTACTGGCTGCAAAGACCCAACGCTGAATTCACTCCCCTCCATCATGGGCTTGGGGGCTTCTCTGCCGTCCTGGACACCCGCGCCTGCACCTGACATCTTGGAGCTGCGGAGGGCTTGCTCGAGAGCCCATGATGACCATCTTCCCATGCGCTGTTCATAGACGACAATGTGCTGATGATACCCGCCCGCAGGACCTCGGCGGCACCGTAACCCCGCCCCTGGACAGTGGACTTCCACAGTAGGACACCTCCCACCGCGGGCACGATCACGTAGTTCACATAGTTCACGCCGTCTGGACTGGCGGACAAGAGTGACAGGCCCGCTCGACAGTCGCACAGGTGCCTACCCGGCTCGACTACGTACCGCCGACCTTGGGCAGTAAACATGATGCCGGCACCGGCTCCACCTGGAGGCTGGAGATTGCCCCAGACGGGATGCTCGGCGGGGGTGCTGTATTCCAGGGGCCTGAGCACTGAGCAGAGAAGGTCAAGCTTGATACCAGTGTATCAATGTGAGTGCCGTCGGTCGATTAATAGGGCACCTGGGTACCTACTGCGAAGGGCCAGTGGTCCCGAACGAAGACGCGGGTGTCACTAGTCAGTCAGCCCAGCCCGCACGGGTTTCCGTACGCATCTGTCAACAGGGAACGGTGTACCACAGACACCGAGAGAACGGTTCCAATGGGGGTTCCAATGGGAGGAGGCGACCCCGACCTAAACACGGCCCTTATTACTGTGTAGTACCCATTGCTGAACACAAAGGGCCGCGTCTAGGCCAAGATGGGAAGCAATTTTCCGGGGTACAGCGGATTTTATGGACCTGAGCTGTATCCTGGGGTCGAGACTGGGGGTTCTTCGCTGGGGTTCGATGCTTCCGCGCGCCGCCTGTGCTGCGTGCAGCTTCGGCGGGTGGTGGGTGGCGGGTGGTATGAGTCTGTGAGAGGCCACACCATGTCAGATCCTCCAAGGTTCCCACTTCCCCTTCTTGAACATAATAAGCTGTCTGCCGTGCCTTGCAGCAGCCGGTTTGGACCATTCTCGGAGTCCCCTCTTCGTCGTCTCTTTGGAATCGTCCATGCGTCCATGAACCCGCGGCGTCTAGGCTGTTATTATTAATAAATGCAGTCCCTCGGATGTATAGGTTACTCGCTTCTGGTTACACAACTCCTTCGCTAGGCAAGAGACTTCCTCATTTGGCACTCGCTCAGACAAGGTTGAGCAGGGTTCCCAGTTGTCTCGCCCACCGACGCCCGTTTTCATTTCCAGAAGATGTCGCCGTCGTCGAACGGTGACTCGCCTCTGTCCGCGGGGACTGCGAGCAATGCAGGACGGCCATTCCCTCTCCAATCGAGAGAGAACTTCTCTATCGATGTCCCGTCACCGCAGCTGAACCCGGTCGACGGTTCGTCGCTTAAATCGCCCACGGCCGTCAAATCTCAGCGTATTGCAAGCTTCAGCCGAGAAGGAATATTGGGCTCAGCGCAGAAGACCCGGAACCTATCGCAGACGACGGAACAAGCCAGCAATGGAATGCAGAAAGACCTTAGCGACGACGGGATAAACCCGTTGAAGAGACGGAACACAGATGCCACAATTGACTATCCTCGTAGAAGGGCCACAATCGCGGTAAGCTACGAAGCCCGGAGCGCGTGTGCTCCATGGCTTTCTGTGACGGCACTGATCCATAGTAGTGCGAAGTCTGCCGGTCACGAAAGTCGAGATGTGACGGGACCAAGCCGAAGTGCAAGCTCTGCACCGAGCTCGGCGCGGATTGCATCTATCGTGAGCCCGGGATCAAACTTGACGCCGGTGACAAGCTCATCCTAGAACGGCTGAATCGTATCGAAAGCCTTCTTCAGATTAACCTGGCGAACAGCCACCCCAACGCGATGCAGCTGACCCACGATTCGCCGCCCATCAGCAACGGAACCGGCCTCAGCGGAGACAATGTCATTACCGTACAGAACTCGTCCGGGAACTTCGTCTCGATCATTCCTAGTGGAGGATTGGGGACTTGGACAAACCACACTCCGGGGACCAACATTTCGACCATGCCCAAGATACACACGAATGCCGCATTGCACTTGCTACAGTGGCCACTGATACGAGATCTCGTACAGCGCCCATACGACCCCCAGATTATTCTACAGCTCGAGATGGCACGCGAGCCTCTTCATTCCTTGGCCAAGACACCTTGCGTTGATTTATCGAATACGAATGCCTACATCGAAGCCTACTTCGACCGAGTCAACATTTGGTACGCCTGCGTCAACCCCTTCACGTGGAGAAGCCACTACCGTACCGCGCTTTCAACTGGATTCCGCGAAGGTCCAGAAAGCTGTATCGTGTTGCTGGTGCTTGCTTTGGGGCAAGCGAGCTTGCGTGGCAGTATATCGAGGGTTGTGCCGCAGGAGGACCCTCCCGGTCTACAATACTTCACGGCTGCGTGGTCGCTTCTGCCAGGCATGATGACTTCCAACAGTGTTCTCGCAGCCCAGTGTCACCTCCTCGCTGCAGCATATCTTTTTTACCTAGTCCGACCACTGGAGGCATGGAACTTGCTTTGCACGACGAGCAGCAAATTGCAGCTGCTACTGATGACCCCAACCCGAGTCCCCGAGGACCAGAGAGAGCTCTCGGAACGGATCTACTGGAACGCCCTTCTTTTCGAGAGTGATCTGCTTGCCGAGCTGGATCTACCGCACTCGGGAGTGGTTCAGTTTGAGGAGAACGTGGGCCTTCCCGGGGGTTTCCAGGGAGAAGAGTCGGAGGCGGTCGGCCGAGACGACCTTTGGTACTTCCTGGCCGAAATTGCTCTGAGGAGGCTCCTCAACCGCGTCAGCCAACTCATATATTCGAAAGATTCCATGGCTTCTACGACAAGTCTCGAGCCTGTCGTCGCCGAGCTCGACTTTCAGCTTACGCAATGGTACGAAAGCCTCCCGCTCGCGCTGCAGTTCCCCTTCACCCGCGCCGCTCTGCCCGACCCGGTACAGACGGTCCTACGACTGCGGTTTTTTGCGTGTCGTACTATCATCTACCGCCCATACATCTTGGCGGTTCTCGATAATGAACAGGCGGTTCTGGACCCGTCGGTTCGGGAGAGCTGTCACAAATGCCTCGAAGCCTCGATCCGGCAATTGGAGCACATATCTGCACAGTAAGTAGCCTTTCCGGCCGCCATTGGCCAATGTCCCCCCATCCGCCTTGTGTGCCCTTCTCGGCTCTTGCAGTTGCCCCCCAATCTAACAATTTGGCCGCAGTCACGCCGGCCATATGCCCTACCTGTGGCAAGGCGCGCTCTCCATCGTCTCGCAGACGCTGCTGGTGATGGGGGCCACTATGTCACCTTCGCTTCTCAATATTCTCTTGACATTGGTACCTCACCGCGACACTGTGGATCAAATCATCAGCGACGTCATCATCGACATCGAGAAGACGGCTGTATTAGCGCCCAGCCTGAGTCTGGCTTCCGAGATCATCAAGGAGGCTGAGGTCCGTCGGCGTACGTTCCTGAACGGATGATGGCCCGCGTACAGTTTCTAGCTAAACGACTTTGCCCCTTCACGTCATTATCCCGGCCCGGATGTGCGAAGATGCGTAACCGACCTGGTGTCCCTCACTCCGCCCACGCGTGGCAACGACATTTGACGTATAATGCCATATCGACCCGCCCTCTGGGACTGCCCAGTGGGATATCCACCCGGACCAAATGCAGGAGATCTGCAGTAAGACGTTACTCAGAGTCCCGGCTATGGCCGGATTGACCGCAGTCCCCTTTCAGACGACTTCTTCCAGGTATGCATGCTGCGATGCGACGCTCAATCGTGGAGGTGGTGCATGCGAGTTCGTTCCCCAGCTTTATCTAGGGGCCCTTTTCAGCCTTGCCGGAGTGCGGGAAGCCCGAGACGACCTTCCTTGGCTGGCTATCAAGCTGATGGCGACGGGCCAGCCCGCTGACTATATTCTGTATTTTATCAGGCCTGGCAAGGCAAGAAATGCCTGCTTGCTCCGGCGCTTGGGCAGCACTGCGACGCAGACGGCCGCCCTCGGGCGTTACACCACCTGCCGGTGCAGCACCCTCGAAAACCGCCCCCGAGGCGTGGTTGGCGGGGGAGAAGTCTGGGGATGAGATGGCTAGGCTATGCGGCCCGGAATCCCGACAACCCTGTTCTTCGACTGTTCCCCTCTTACCGCATGCGGCGAGGGCCACGCCTCACGACGGAATTCGACCACTTCGTCCTCTCATCCTTCATTTCACGTTTCTTGGAAAGAAAGCAGTATCACTGGACAGCAGTGTCCTTACGATACGTCATCACGCCACTGGCTATCGCGCCGACTTCTTAATTGTTACAATCTTCCCATATTGCTCCATTTCCGCCTTGACGACGACACGAACTTGGTGGATCTAGTGCCTGGAGTATTAGATTGGGTTGAGGACGATCGAGCCGGCTGGCCTGCTCGTCTCTCGTCATGGAAGGCAAGCTTACGTACGCACTGATGTGACCCTATGGAACAGGACGCCTTGTCTTCGATGTGGTTTCACTTGGTCTCTAAGCATATATGGCCGGAATTATATTGTGCATTACTGGCAGCCTCGGTTCTATGTTCGGCGCTGGCGGTGTCGGGTTTGTCCGCTTTGCATATCATGATCACTTATTACTATACCACAATAATGCATCACCTCCAATGACTGGATATGGGAGTTAGTTTGATCTGATGCATGAGGAGACCTTACGAAGGCAAGGCACATGGACCGCATTTATTATGACAATCTCAAGACATGCTCTTATCCGAAGTCTTCCTTTCAAGCTCCCATCACAGCATCTCCGCGCATATGTATTCCGTGCGCGCCTGCGCCAAGTACAGAAGTGGATTATTTTTCTTCGAGGCGTCTGAATAATACCACAGGAATGTCTAGGCATGAATCCACCAAGTCGCCCGCGCAGCAACCTTCGTTGCGGTGGGTATCTAATCTGTATAACTTATCTGCTTATATCTCCCAGCTCCCGCCCTCACGCAGCGGAAGTCGATACTGAAAGGGTCGCTAATAGCTATAGCCAGATTTTGTGGCGTATTTCAACGGCGTTACTATTAGTCCATCACCAGTCTCAGTCGCGCACGTGTTTTCCAACGAACGAATCAGCCCGCTGTTGTAGATACTAGAGGATACTCCCGCCGGGAGTACCCTTGTTCACCCCGCGTTGCCTACATTACTCTATATCTATCCCCTTCGTTTGAGCGGAGTAAGACATGTCGGAACTACCGACGGGCGATTATAGGTAGAAAGTGAGGTTGTTCAATACTGAACTAATGAGGCGGGACCAGCAGCCTGCCCCTGAGATGGACACACGCCCAACCGACCAACCGACGCGTCAGCGCGTCCTGCTTTACATGCAGTCATATGCAGCGAATTCCACGTACACGTTAATATTGCAGGGTCCTAATCCATATCAGCTCCAGAGAACGTACGACCAGCCTAGCCCAGCCTTTTCCCCCATCTTCCATGCCCGAGCAGGGCTCGCGAAACGACGAACTTCCGCATCGCAGGTTCTTCCCACAATCTCACTCCCCGCCATGTTCGGTTTCGTCTGACTGCTAAGAAAGGGCGAAGCCCGTGGCACTGGGGAGCTGTGCCTCTGCGGTCCCTCATTGGTGCGCTTGCTACCTCCTCGCTGCCGCTGCCGCTGCTACCTACCCCAGACTACTGGTACTGGAATAGGTAGGTCATGGGTGAGGTAGGGTGGGCATTGGAAGCGAAACAGCCAAGATGTCGGCGAGATTGGCGGGGACGAATCACGACACGCTCAGCTCTGTTCAATTGTTCTCTCGCTTGCATGTACCCATCCCCTCTCTGACATCAAATCTGGGGTAAGTTGCTTGTGTCGTGTCGTGTCGTGTCGTGTCGTGTCGTCTCGCTTTGCTTGCTTTGATGGTGTGTACGTACGTTGCTGGGCTTGGCGGTAGACATTGCATCGCTTCGCTTCGAATATCCGGGCCGCCCATGGATATCCATCCTCGGCATCGGGGTCCAGTCGCCCCTTCATCGCAACCCCGCGATTTTTTTACAGCCAGTACCTGAATACAAGCACATCGATATCAGAGGCCCAATATCGCGTCTAGAGGCTACGCGACACGACACAGCGCACAAAGAACACCACCACTGTACGAGATATCACGGCGCGGATGCTCCCGCACCTGAGAAGTGAGCCGTTGGCCGGGGCGGCTTGAACGCTCCTTGTCACTGCGGTATCCTGTCGAAGCTCGATCCACCGGTAGGTAGTGTGTCGTCGTCGTCGTTGGGTCGTCCGATGCGTGCCTTATGCCACCTTGTCTGTTACAAAGTGACCCCCAACGCCAGCGCATGAGCGAACGAGGTGTGGGACCTGTGCTGGAGGGCAAGTCGACAGGTCTGCTTGGCCGCGCTCGTGAGTGGTGCGGTGCAACGCGCAGGGCCCTTCGGAGAGTTTTTGGGGCTGTATGTTGCGTTTTGTATAAAAGAGGGTATGCAGTTACGTATGTGTGTGTGTGTGTGTTAGTATTCAGTTCAACCTTGTCTAGGATTCAATACGAATCATTATTGTTTTCGCTTTTCAGATATCGACCCATTGGAGAATGACCTTTTCGAACCGAATAAAGAAAATAGGGTCTTGAATATGGTCGCTCCATCGTTAGGAACTTAACCTGTACGTAGCTTATGGCCTCGTCTGAAGAGGCTACCGGTACCCCCCTGGATTCATAAATGTAATGCATCATCGTCGCTCAACTCAGTGAATATATGGTTAGAGATCCGGGCTAATTGCCAAAATCAGCTTGCCGCGAGAGTCGTGGGAAATACTCGAAGGTACCATAGGCTACCACTAGTGTACTTATCTCATTGCTTGTCAACTCGAACGTGGATTGACATTGCACGTGTGAGCAACGGGTATATAACAACCTACCTAGACATAACTAATATCAGCTTTGAGATGATGCAATATAAAACAACTTGCATGTGTTTATGTCCCAGTGACTGGCGGAGTCGGCCACCCTACTGCTGATGCTGGCTCCTGGGGTCATCCGAACTTCAGATAGCCCATATGACACGATAGCCCAACCTCCCCAGTAAATGTCCAGCTAGCCTTCTCCGGGGACATGTTCTCCAGCTCCTCATCAGTCTGCAACACCATGTCAACGAATCGCCTGGCCGCCTCTCCACCATCCTTACCAGCGAAATAACCTGATATCTTTTAAGAGGAGTACTTTACACAGACTTCTAGCGGCCAGATCTGGACATGGCGACTTTGCCAGATATCATGAACGCTTTGGGCATACAGACTCGAATGACCATTGCAGTTGTGGTGAGAAGAAAACACCACAACATATTTTCTTTTGTAAGAGGCTGGGGAAAAATCGGCTGCTGCCTAGGTACTCGCCTAGGACAGCTTGTTTACAATACTTAGGGGAGAGGAGCACAGAATGGGCAAAATTCGTGGAGAAGAGCAAGTTCTTTTCAACAATCTGTCCCCGATAGATAGCTTTTCTTGAAGGACCAGATGGATGACCCCAAGGTCATACCGCCGCAACAACGGGGATGGGCCCGTGAGCGGGACTGACTGTACTTATTATCTTGAGACCTCCACAACCCTGCGATGCAGAGGCTCTGGGAGGCGTGGTTTGCACTACTGAGGAGCTACCCCCCACGTTAAATACAAAACAAACAAACAACAAACAAACATACCAGCGAAATAATTGTCGCCGACGGATCGCCCAATGGTGATATGCGCACTGGGCGTGGTGTAGTACATGTCGATATCGAGCCCACTACTCAACGCCAGCTCGTGGAGGTCGGCGCGGAGGTGGTGGTGGGTATAGGACGAGTCTGCGGCGGGAACGACCGTCAGGGCTACGCCGGATGCATCAAACGCGATCCGGGGCTGCACCAGGCGAGGCATCTTGGATGTCTCTGCGAGTCTTCTAGGCAGGTCAAGCATGGAGCGGAGGGTGGGTGGGGACAGCTTGTCAAGCACGACTTGCAGATGCTCGATGTTGTGCCTGTGAGAAAGTTCAATCACGGAGAGGTGGAGATCGGGAGGAGGTGTAAGACAAATGTCTGCCAGAGAAGCACGAGTCAGCAGCGGATGCTCGAGTGCGCGGCTCAATTACCTCTGACCAGCATGGAATGTCACGGCTACCTTTCCCGACAAGTTCCCGGAGCTTCTCCTGAGCATAGACAACGAGGGCGAGAACGGCAGGAGAGGGTCTAGCCCAAATACACTCGCAGTTGACACCCTGCTTGTCAATGCTGCCTTGATGCTCGTAGCATCTTCGGTCTCCTGACGTTTGAGGTGCGCAATGAGTACCTCGCCCGGTTTCACTTGCTTATCATTCTGCAGCATGGAGTCAATGGAGCGAGAGAGCCATTCTTGACGGTTGCTCTCGTAGGCCTCTTGGATCTGCTCCTACTTTATATTTAGTCTAAAGTCCCTCGAATCTAACGTCATGCGCTCGAAGCAAGACTCATAGGCTGCCCCTGACTGTCTGGATGGCCGAGAAGTTCCTAATACCAATTTCGTCTCGACGGAGGTCCGGCTGGTAGCGCCGGGAACGAAAACATGACGATGGTATACCACCGACGGCCTCGCGAACACTCTTGACCCGGAGACCTGGAAGGAAGGAAGGAAGGAAGCCACCAGGAGAGCTCTCCACTTGTCTACAGGTACGACGAGATAGACTACCAGCAATCTGATTGCGTCGCGATGACATAACTCGAGCCGTTCGGGGACCTTCGATGAGCACTAGAACAAGATGTAGTGTATGCCGGCTTTATTGTTTTTAGTACGGTTCAACTTCTTAATAGCTTGGACACTCCAAATAGTAACCTTGTGGCCCTGACCCAATGTCTCTTATGCATCTGGACTGATTCTTCGAAGTGTCCGCCCATCTCGTACATTACTGCAAGGTTGTTCATTGCCCATAGAGTATCATGATGTTTAGGTCCAAGCACCTTCTGCCGAAGCTTAACAGACTTCTCTTGCAGTTTATAGGCCTTTGCGAGGTCTCCTTGGTCCCGATGACACTTAGCAATGTCACTTAAGACCAAAAGCGTGTATGGGTGTTAAACGCCTAAGACGTTCGTCTGGATCGCAAGGGCCTCGCTGTGGAACTGTATAGCATCAACGAGTCGCCCCTGCTTCCTGTAACACCTGGCCAAGCTGTTAAGGGTGAATGTAATCTGGAAATCGGTGTAAGGAAACAGCTGGTGCAACAGCTTTTAAGGTCTCGAGGTGCATGTTCTCGGACTCTTCGTATTTGCTTAGGTGTCGATACAGTCGACCCAGATCATTCATTGTCAAAGTAATGTCGGACTCAGGCGGTGATACACTAGATTCGAACAGACTGGTTACAAAAAGATAAGTTTGTCTAATCTTGGAATCGAACCAAGGTATTCGGGTACCTCAAGGAATTATAGGCTAGCGTCCAGAGCCCGAACCAGACCTTTCTTCCCCTACATGTTACCGCTACACACATCAGACAATGTTTTGTTGGTTAATGGAATTTTATGCTTCAATTTAAATCTATATACTAACGTCCGTGACCTAGGCATCCAACTAGGAGGACCCGACACAGCCAGCTGCACACACCTGCCCTACCTTGCCCAGTGTGTGGAATAGTCTCGCCGCCGCCACCATTTCATGAGGCGGCTTGTTGGAGCTCAAGCGCTGTCTGCAATGTCGACAACGCTAATTCGGTCTGGCCTTGTTGATCGTACATGATCCCAAGGCCATTCAAGAGTCACATGGAGTCCAGTGGCTGAACAATGGATGCCTCGGTGAGTCGCGCGAGCTTTGCTCTGAAGTGCTCGACTCCCTTGTCCAGCCGTCCAGCCATCGTGTATTCTCTTGCGAGCTCTCGAGTAACCATCATCCTCTCGAAGTTGCCGATCCGTCGCGGCGTGGTGGGTACAGCTCTTTCCTCGCTGTTGGCTTGCTCAAGATGGAGGAGGTCAATATCGACGAGGACGTCCAAGATATCACTCAGCTCGTCGAACGGTCAGACGTCATCTTTGTTCGTGTCATCGGCCCACTTGCGCACTCCTCGGACGAGGTTTAACATGTGCTGGAGGGGAAATGCTGCCTTGTCTGCTAGGAGCCATCTTGTAAGCCAGAAAACGCGTCTTTCTGACGAAGACATGAAGCAAGCCACTTCATTGAGGAGGCATGCGTCGGGTTCTGGTTTGACCAAATGGTGACACCAATACGACAAGGCGTACCTCCCAAACTCTACCGTGCCTGGTCCGATGAGAGCAGTATCGCGCATCTCACTTTGGCTGAGACATCTCAAGCATGGTCTGGCCATTGCTTTATGGGCTTCTGGGAGGTACACTTGGAAGTTGTCTTTGTCGTCAGACTTCCCGCTCACGAGATACTCATGCACCGTTAGGTGCGCAGGCCGGAAGCTGTCGCTTTCTGGGTGATGTTCGATCAAGGGCGAGCACAATGTGATAACAACGGATTTGCAGGGAAGTCGATCGTGTATCGGCTCTGGAGGATCTGGCCGGGTTTCCCAGCCGAAAGCTAGACTGTATTGCAGTTCTCCCCATTCGAGCGGCCTCGGACTGCACAGTACCCGCTAAAGAACTTGCCTGGCAAGTTGCAGCCATTTCGGTCTGGTTTCGGCCAGGTTCTGCAGCACAGACTGATAGATAACGTTCAATCCCCGTCCGGGTCAACATCACTGACTTTCCGGTGAGTGCTTTCGTATGTGCTTTCGACATGGAGCAGGGATGATTTATAGGTGTAAGAACATTACTGATTAAGTTTCATATATACTTCATTGCATATGCCAGACGTGCAGACACAAGGACTGCTCGTACGTAGCCGGCTGGCTCAGAACAGGCCAAAGCAGTTGGCATAATACGTCACCGTGGCAAACCAGTCCGAGAAGATCCCAGTGACACCTACCTCGCGTGCGAGGACATCTACCAGCTTGTACATGTCCCCATCGCCGTGCGTGCCGTTGGCGATGGTCGTATAGTAGTAATCGCCGTCCGCGGCGGCCTGAGCGAGCGGACCCGATCGCTCCAGCGACCAGGTGATGATCTTCAGACCGAGCTGGTTCGCCGTGGTGGCGTAGGCCGAGGGGATATACTCGTCGTTCTCGCCCAGCGTGACGAGGTACGGCAGCGGCGGCCCTACGATCTGTACGCCGGCGTCCTTGTAGAAGGTCAAGTTCGCGACGGCGCCGGAGAGCGTCCCGGGGCTATCGCCGCTCTGGTCCAGCAGGATCGATTGCCTGCCAAACTCGGGCTCGGCCGCGAGCCAGTATGCGACGTCGTTGAAGTCGAAGCTCTGCGGCCAGACGCGCGCGGGGTCGATGCCGGCGGCCTTGTACTCGTCAATCATCTGCTGGGCATACTGCTCCTGCGTGTAGTCGCCCTCGAACGGCATCGGCACGCGCGGCTGCTTAAGCTCGCTCGTGAAATGCAGCCCGTACGAGCGAGATGAACTCCTTGTGCGACAGGACGGTGCCGCAGGTCGCGTACAGGTCTGTCCGCCACGAGGGCGTGCCCTCTAGGAACTCTTCTGGCGTGGTGGCCGAGGCGTTGTAGCCGTCCATCTTCCCGCAGAGGCTCTTGAACTCGGCCAGGGTGATGTCGCTGGTGCAGCAGGTGGCCGTAGCCTCCGTGCTGTTGCTCGCCGGTGTGAACGGGGTCGTGCACTTGGACCCCAGCTCGGTCGCGACGATGTTGGTCGTCGTGTGGAGATCACACATGTCGTGTCGACACACAAGCTGTCGGTCGCTGGTGAATGAGACGTCGCACTCCAGCATCCCGGCGCCCATTCTCACGCCGGCTTCTATGGACTCGAGCGTCACTTCGGGGAATTGCAGACAACCGTCCCCGCGATGCCCGATGCTGAATTTGGTAGGCTGCGACTCCATTTCGGAGCACTGCGACAGGCGGTCTTTGAGCCACCCCTCGTCCATGTCGTTAACTAGATAATGCGGCCGAGGTCCCAGCTCCACGTTGCTCACATGGTGCCTCGTCGGCTGCTGCCATGGCTGGGGCTTCTGCCGGCTCTCAGTCGGCAACGCTGTGACGCTGGCCGCAGCGAAGGCGCCAATGATGGTTGATATAGTTTTTGCGTGCATGATAGGCTCTTTCGGCTGAAGCCTTGGACGAGCAAAGGTCAATTCAGATATACAGCACTTTGGTTGGGCATGTGAGCTCCTGGTGTCAGCAAAGCGAGAAGAAGTACTCTGATCATGTATAGCTCAGCTCCAGGATAGCCGAATGGTAATCTCGTGTCGGTCTCGAGCCTCTTTATGTATGTGTGGGCAGCACGGCATGGTCAGGACGATCATGATGATGCCAAGCTCGACGTAAAAAGCCAAGCTTTCAAACAACGGGGTGGCATGCGGACTCGGAATCTGCATGCAACTGCTGCATCATTGATGATAGCTGGCATCAGCTTTTGTCCTGCGAGGTTCTTCAGCAAGAGGCTCGTTACAAGCCAGCTTCCAGGTTTGGTGAGAGCTTTCTCGAAGCCAAGGTCAGGCCGGGTCAGCACGGGGACCCAGGACGGCCGGAGATTGGTTGACACGTCGGATAAGGGCTTCGGGCTTAATGACCGGATGACCCCGAGCCAGCCGGAACCTCCCACCGCCGCACGTGTCAATCCATCCACTCCATGTCCTGGGCACCGCCGTCAGGGTTCCAACGCAGCGGGAGAGCAACTTCCATTCAGTATATCAAGAGCCAGCCAGTCAGCGTGATAGCATGCCTCATGATTTATTCCTTTAACCCTTTGATATGCTCGGATCATGGATCATATATGACAGCGAGCATTCACGAAAATGTGGTGTATTTGTCTATAGTGTTCAGGAAAAGGGGGCGTCTGCCACCACAGGATCACAAAAGCCGTCTTCAGTAGGAGCCAAGCCATCTTCGCAGCCTTCAACTCCTTAACATGGTGGGCAATACGATCAGTCACATTATGGTGTCAACGATATTCTCCAGTTCCTAACCCCGACCGCAGAAGTCACAGTCATGCCCACCCGGGGCCACAGGACCTGCTCGGCTTCACGCAAGTACCCACGATGTCGTGGATGCGTGGATGTTGTCATTTACAACTGCAAAGACGGGCATGGTCACGGTTCTTGTTAGCGTCGGTCACAGAAGGACCATTGAGACGATAATTATAGGGATCGGGTTTTCGGACGGAACGTGAAGATAGCTCAAGAGTCAACAGAAGCCTTGAAAGACGTACATTCGCCGAATACGCTCTGACAGCTCATTCCAGGTATAGCGGACAGAGCTTATCCACGAGTGTTGTTCTTGTGACGGCATCGCAACATCAATCAGCCGTACGTGGTGTTGTCATCACTCATATACACGAGAACTTATTCGATGTCATATTAGCGGAGCATCGTGATCCAGACAATTGATAGTTTGTGGTTCTGTAGCCTCACCCGAGACCCTTCCGCCGCTACCAGGCGAAATCAACATCACCAATCTCTCCTAGCAAACGTAATCACGAATCCTACTCGTGCTGCAAGCGGAAGAGTACCTCTTAAGATACTCCCACCCCAACGAAGACTACCTAGACCATGCGAACCACAAGCACAGGGATGGTATCCTGACTGCCAATCTGTAGTACAATCGCATTCCCTGAATATCTTCATCAATAGTCAGGGTAGATGACCTTTGCATCTTCATCGGAGCTCGAGGCGCGTGGTGCGCGTCGGTAGTCGGGGTAGATGACTTTGGCGTCTTCATCAGAACTCGAGGCGCGTGGTGCGCGACGGTGGTCAGGGTAGATGACTTTTGCGTCTCCGACAGGACCGGAGTGTGTTGCTGCACGGCCTGAACAGTACACATTAGTCAAAAGGTTACGTGTGAAGGACAGAGGGATCAACATGCCGCTTTTAGGAGCCATGGGAGCGCACAGAGCGCAAGTAGCCAGGATAGCGAGAGAGAATATGAACCGCATTGTCAATCGTGGCATCAAGTAAGAATGAATTCTATAGTATCTTGCCAGAGGAAACGTATGAGTGCCCTTAAAGCAGATAAACACTTGGACGTAGTTCTCGAACTCCAAGCATAGGCAAACAAGCAGATGGCAGAGGAGACCCGAACTGTCCACGGACTGTTCCCTATCTACCCCTTAAATGCAATCCGTGCCCCTAAACTCACCTACTGCATCACCCACTAGGTCTCTTCCGCCCATACGTATGCCTGCATTCCCTGCGCGATTCCGACATCCCCACCCACATCGGAGGATCGACGCTGGTAGCCTACCAACAATGCCTCGCCAACAACCTTCCCATCTCGAGGCATCCTCCCGCCAAGGATACATTCCACACCGCTTAGGGGACCAAAGATCACGAGGGGAATCAAACGCGGCGCGATGCAACATGATACAGCCCAATCCATGACATAACCCTTTTGGCAGCTTGGAGCAATGCAATACGACATACTCCAAACCAACAGTTTCAAAGAAACTTCAGAAGTACTCTGCGGAAGTACTCTGCCTGACGCAAGTATGACAGAGTGTGATGATGCAACGCAATGCGGCATGGAGCGCCCTGAGTGTAACATAGTGTAACATTTATTATTAGGCAGCCACTGATAGAGTATTTCGATTAATTCTAGGTACTTCCAATTCGAGAAACAAAGTAACAAAATCGGCCAACAACTCTGGGATAGGCACATCAATTGATTAGCCAGAATACAACATACCCCTCCTACAGTACATGTAATATATGTGACGATGCAAGTCAATCACACCGTCTAACAAGCTCACCGCTTGATGGCAGCAGAACCGCTTCATTGTTGAAATCACAGCCTGCCTGGAGTTACCCCGTCTCGTCGCATCAGGGTTACACGATCATCGCGGGATTTCCGAACTGCCAACGTCCCTTTCACATCTTACCACTCACCCACTCACCCACTCACTTCCCCACCCTCTCCTTCGTTGTCATCGTCTAGCCCCTCCCAGTACCGTGGCAAGGAATCCATGTCCCCGGGTCTCTCCTGGAACCAATCCGGCGCATAACCAAAGTACTTCCGCATAGGTCTAAGCAGTGGGCTGCCCGGCGGACAGTACCTGAAGCGCTCAATGACGGCATTGACGCCTTGCGTCTCGTTGATGTACGCAAAGCACGCAGTGTTCCCCTCGGCCCATTCCGTCAGGCGATCCCAGCTGCGGCACATCCGCGTTTGGCCGAGCCCCGTAGTGATGTTGGATGTTGGCGACGTGTAGAAGGGTGTGTCGTCAGCTTCGCAAAGAATGTTTTGCATCAGGTGATCCATGCAGTGCACCAGGTGCGTGTACGAATCTACCTGCGGCCGATTGTAGTTGTACAGCACGATGGCGCGGCGGACCTTCCGCTGCACTTGAATTTAGCGAACCTTGTCTCGGACGAGGCTGGGGGAGGAAGATGTTTACCATGCAGTGTAGGCTGTGGTGTGCATTCAACAGATAGACCTGGCGGCCTTCATCCCAGAAGAAAGGTGCCGACTCTGGTAGATCGTGTGCGTCTGCCCATTCTTTGTCGAGGCTAATCTCGCCTGAGCTAGAGTCCATGCTTTCCCATGCGATTGCTCGCTGCTCTTCGGTAGTACTCCCCAAGCCAAAGGCCGACTGAGAGTTGTACTTGATTGGCACATCTCGAGGCAAGTGAGCTGTAGGTGTAAGTCAGTATTTTGACAGAAAAGGATATGGTCCGGTCTGGGGAGGAGGGGCAGAGGGCGTTACCGTATGGTGAGAGATCTTGCCGTCCACCTATTTTTCGCACATCATTGGCTACAAGGACGATGTTCAATGATATCGAGACGAACAGCAAAGAGATCAGAACCGTAAATCTTCTAGGTAGGCCATGGTGTCGAGGAGATGACTCTCCGTGACTGTTCAGTGGTTCAGCCTCCTCAGGCGAACACACCTCGGTTTTGTCCTTCATGGTCAAACTATTTGCAAGACAAGACTAGGGGATGGAAGGGGTTACTCATGTGGCGTAGAAAACACACGATGGAAGTCTAGAAATAATACCTGCTAATATGGTGCAGATCTCCGGGCAACCGGCAAGCATAACGGGCGGGTTTGACCCATCCTACCTCCGCAAAGATCTCAGCGCTACAGGCGGCCGACTGGGGTCTGCCAATCGGCACGCCTGCATATCCCCAGAGTACGGAGTATGGTACTTATGCATGCCACCCCATCGACCCTAGGACGGATGGCCACACAGCCGGGACTGGGAAAGTCCTAGATACCTCAATTTGATTGGACACCTGTTGATATCAACGTACTGTCTGGCACTAGGCTTGGATTTCTTAGCACTGCCATTTCAGTGTCGCTGACCCGATGCGACTCCACCTTTTGCATCAGGTCCTCCCAGTTCACACATACATGTTCGGGCGACTCCAACTTTAGCATGGGCTCTCTTCTGCCTGCCGCCCAGTGAAAGGTCATTAATGACGTGTCTGCACGACACATCAAAGCCTGGCGGATCAGGTCCAGGCAATGGTCTGGATGGTAAGATTAGCCCGGCGTGGAGAGCGACCAGCGGTAACTTTACTGTACTTACCAGTGTGTAAAAGCCAGTGTGGTGTCTCATCGGGGCCGACTTCTGGATGATAGTGGTCACGGTAGATCCACTGGCGGAGGTATTTCTGGATGATGTTGGTGATAAGTTCGGAAATGGTGGTTGGGCAGCAGCCACTTACTACACAGTGTAATTGGTGGCTCACATCCATCCAGACCAAAGAACCCTGCCCGTTAGGAAGCTTAACCGAAGTCTGGTTCGAGGACGCAAGCTCTCTGTCAGATACACGTAGGTTGATATGATCGAGCAGTTCCGTCCATGCACGATCGGTGTCGTTGCTGGGCAGGCCTGCATATGGGCTCTCTGAAGAGAGAACAAAACGCTGCTTTCGAAGTGCAAGATGCTCACCGTTCCAAGCTGGAAGGCTCGATTAGCAAATCCTGAAGATGCTGAGAGGGTGAAGAATGCTCACACAGCGTGCTCGCGGGAGAACAGCTATTGTTCGATGGATATGCAATCAGGACGATTGCGGTAAGGCAGACATAGAGAATGAAGAAGAACGTGTGCAAGAGTAGAGCCCGTCGGGGCCATCGCTTACACAAATTCTCATCGTGCTCGTTATGCCGCAGAAAGTGCTCGTTTTCTTGGCTGTCTCTGCTATCCATCAGGGAACAATTCACATTGCAAGCAATGCACATCTGGGAACGTCATATGGTAAAGGAAGGGAGGGAAACCATCGCACGTATAGTTGGCCTTATCTAGTGCGGCACACCCAAACCCCATACAGAGTCCATCATAGACCAACACATTGCGTCTTACGGGTACCTGTGGTAGTATTGGCTTGCGGGGATTCCAGACGTCTGCCACCCCCTATGCCACCATCGATAAAGGATGGACGGCTCCCATACCATAATTGTATTTTTGTTGGATCCCGACAGTCTTTGCAAGACCCGAACTTCCCAACACACTCGCAGTCTTGGCTATCGAAAATGAACCTACTTGCTTGGTCTACTCCTAAATGGCGCAATTACAGCCTCTTGCCGGGAAGCAACCACGGCAGTCGCTCTCCCTCGTCGATTACAGCTGGAAGCTCGTTCCAGAGTCTGTTGCTCAAGGTGTCTCTGGTCTGCATGCTTACAATATCCAGTTTTTTTGCAGGCAGGCTGTCGACCAGTGCCCCAAGCACTGAGAGAGAGAAGGCGTTTGGATGTGAGTCTGACCCTACTACCTTGCCTTGTCTATCAAGCGGAGAGTACTGAGATACGCCTGCCTAGTCGAGACAAGCAACCACTTATTTGAGTACAACCGTACTTTCGGAGAGGCACCTTCCAACGCAACCAATGCTGCATGGGGGTCGCTGTTCCCCCAGCACGGTGGATTCTTTGTACATGCCGAATTGGCACCGAAGCGTTCCGCCTTTTCTGTGTTCCATCAGATGCATTGCCTGGTAACCTTCACATGCTCGGTTGGCTCCTACTCCACACACGACTGATAATATGCAGGATGAACTGCGCCACGGATTTTACGTGCTGCATGATCAGGTTATAGCGTACTCGGAAATGATCAGCGACCACCAAGCGGGGACTCAGAGTCACCGGACGGAGCGAGCGCTGCAGGAGCATTCGTTGGGTCACATTCGCCATTGCATCGACTTGCTACGACAGAGCCTGATGTGTAACGCTGACTTGACGTTGGAGCTGAAGAACGAGGAGCTAGGAGGGGTGACTGGATTTGGTACGGTACATCGTTGCGTCAACTGGGCGGCTCTCTTGGAATGGATCCAGCCGTATGAGGGAACAAATTCGCCGCCAAACCCCCACGAACATGACCACACGGGCTGAGATGAGATCTCATCCCGTCGCGTCCTATCCCGTTGGGCTCGTAGTATAGATAGATACCCCCGGAGTGTCATTAGGCTGCACTGGGGGCGGGGGATACTTCATAACTAGTACGTATCAGTACGCAATCAAATAGGGGCAATACATTGCAGCGCGCTGCAAGTCACAGCCTTCCAGTTCTGTGCAAGACCTCATCAAAATGTCGACCTTCCAAGTGACTGACACTGCCGTGTCTGAACTAGAGCAGCTGGCTCAAGACATCGCTTCCAAGACGCAGGAGTTCCTAGCAGTTCTACGAAGAAATGGCTGCGCGCTGCCCTCGCACGACCCGGACACTGCCAGGAACGATTCGCTACCGATAGAGGGAACCGTTCTACAAAGGCACCTGATGGAGCTCACGACGGAGCTGCAAGCTCTTGTTCAGGGCCCAAGATTACATGTGCACAACCAAGTTTTGGCAGTGAGAAGCCCTTTCCTTGCCTGCTGGGCAGCTGTCGCGGCCGATGAAATGCTGACTGGTGTCGTTTGAAGCACGTGAATCTGGTCAATCTACATGCCATTTACAGCTTCAAACTCCCAAGCAGAGTGCCCATGGAAGGCAGCATCAGTTACGCGGAACTGGCCGGAAAAATCCAAGTGGGCGAGGATGTGGTTCGCCGCATTGCACGATATTCCATTACAAAGCACATTTTCCGAGAAGTTGACGGCGGCGACAGGCTTACACACTCGGTCACTTCCAAGATGCTGGCCGAGTCACCCATGATGATGGAATGGATTGGAATGGTCTGCGAAGAGATGTGGCCTGCTGCAACGCAGGCAGTTTCAGCCCTGGCAAAGTGGCCCAGATCGCAAGAGCCGCAACACTCGGTAAGTTGACAAGATGCCTTGCATTGGAGAGCTCACTATTCATGCGGAAACTATAGGGATATGCACTCGCACATGGGCTGGAAACGCACGTCTTCGACATGCTGGTGGACCAGCCTGAGCGGGCCGAGCGCTTCGCCAACGCCATGGTCTACTTCAACTCGATCGAAGACCTTGCGTCGCACCACCTGTGCGATGCTTACGACTGGAAATCGGTCTCGCAGGTTGTCGACATTGGCGGCTCGGCTGGCTCCACCGCAGTGGCACTCGCGACACGACTGCCGCGAGTGAGCATCGTCATCCAGGATCAGGCTGTTCTTGAGGACCAGGCGCGACGGTCCATTCCGCCCGCGCTTGCAGACCGCGTCTCCTTCATGGCACATGACTTCTTCCAAGACCAGCCGGTGCGCGACGCAGATGTCTACCACTTTCGCTGGATCTTCCACGACTGGTCGGACCGGTACTGCCTGAAGCTCCTGCGAGCCCTGGTGCCAGCGCTAAAGCCGGGCGCCAGAGTCGTCGTATCGGACTTCGTCGTGCCCGAGTCCGGGGCCACGTCCTGGTATACGGAGGGGCTCGTCCGGGGTTTCGATCTGGCTATGATGGAACTGTTCAATGCTCGCGAAAGGGAGGAGCGGGATTGGCAGAAGCTATTCGTCGAGGCGGATTCCCGGTTCCGATTTGCAGGCGTTAGGACCGTCCCTGGCGCTGATCTCGCTTTCATTTCGGCTATTTGGACACCACCTGTGTAGGTAGGTACCTTGGGACGTCTCTTAGGGAGTCCCTACCTAGGTACCTCATGTAGGTCGGAGTGTCCATCCAACAAGTACCTACACATCCCGCTATCAATAGTAGTACTGCGTCCACGTGCATACGGTATGTAGCGAATACACCACTACACCAATCCGATCAAATTAAATCATTTTTATGTACATTACATTAAGGTTTGCACCTAGTCTGGTTTTGACAGTGACACCTAAAGCAGGCGGCCAGTCGCAGCCCGTGAGGTTAGACGCTAGTATCAATTGGTCGCCGCAGTTGGAGGGATAGTACAAAGGGATGCCAGCGCCAGGCAGCGACATCCACATCTCTGGCAGCCCATTCCTCCTCAAACACACTCGAGCTGCTATCCTCAACACCACTCCAAAGCCATCATGACTGCCATGTCGCTGCTGTCGCTTGTAGCGTGTTTTGTAGCTGCTTTCGCTGCATATCGGCTGTACGTGGCCTATAGAGTGCGACTCACGGCCCAACAGCATGGATGCCAGGCTGCAGCCCGCTACAAGCATAAAGACCCTGTCTTCGGTCTGGATATCTTTCTGCGCACGGGGGATGCAATTACGAAGAACCAATTCCTGGTTGAGCACCAGCGGCGATATGATGCATATGGCCACACTTTCGAAGCTCTGAACTTCGGTTCGCGTGCCATATATTCTGTTCACCCGGAAAACCTTCGAGCAGTCTTCTCTAAGAATGCTGCGGACTGGGGTATTCAGCCTCTGCGACTCCGCAATATGAGCCCATTCTGCGGCACGGGGTTCATCACGGCCGATGGCTCTGACTGGAAGATCTCCCACGACCTGCTCAAGCCCAGCTTCCACAGGTCCAATATCTCCGACTTCGGTCCTCTTGAAGAGCATCTCCGTCTTCTACTAGAACAGATCCCAACAGACGGCTCCAAGTTTGACCTACAGCCATTTATTTTGAAACTTGTTTGTTTTCTTCGTCCCCATTCACAATCCCAGCGTACTAACACATGCCCACCAGTATCTCGATATGGGTACGCTCTTTCTGTTCGGAGAGTCTATTGGCATGCTTTCAGGCACTCCTCCATCGCATGCACAAGGCTTCCTCGATGCATTCCAGGCTGGCGTCAATGGCTGCGGACTACGCATCGCCCTGGGACCTCTAAACTTCTTAATGCCAAAGGGTGCCTGGCTCAAGGCATGCGGCAACGTTCACGAGTTTGCCAAGGTATATGTTGACAGAGCTATCGAGTATCGCAACAAGATCAGCTCAGTTGAAGACAGCCAAGCCAAGGTACATCAACGTACTCTGCTGTTCAACATGGCACAACAGACCGATGATAGGACCATTCTTCGGAACCAGACAGTGCAAGCCATGATGGCATCAACGGAAACAACTGCTTCTCTGATCAGCCATGTCATTCGAAACTTGGCCAGCAATCCTGATATATGTGCCCATGTACGAGCTGAAGTCCTAGCCTTGGGGGATGCGCCACTTGATTTCGACCAGTTACCAAGGATCAAGTCTCTGCAACATGTCATCACTGAAAGTAAGCCTGCCAACTCTGATTCTGTTCTAGAAGCTATCGCTAATTTGACCACAAGCCCTTCGCCTATACCCTGTATTTCCCCAGATGAATCGGGTTTCTCTGAAGGACATAGTCCTACCGACCGGAGGAGGCTCGGATGGCACCGCTCCAGTATTTGCTCCAGCCGGCACTCTGTTCGATACCTCCTTCTCTACGCTCCACCGCGATCCGAAGATCTGGGGTCCGGATGCTGACGACTTTCGTCCCTCCCGCTGGGAGAACGATTACAGCCCTCCTCCGTTCACGTTCATGCCATTTGGAGCTGGGCCCCGGCAGTGCCTGGCACAGCAAAAGGCGACTATGGAGACCTCCTATGTAGTATCACGGATTTTGCAGGAGTTTAGTGGAATCAAGAGCGAAGACGAGAAGCCCTATCAGGCACAGGTAGCTCTCACAGCAAAGAGCGCTCATGGGTGCCTCGTGTCACTCACTCCAGCAACGGAACAAATTGTCGAGTAGGGACGGGGGACAAAACCAGTGACTCTAGTAATATACTTGCTTCCCACGATATACTATCAAGCTCATAGTGTCCTCGCCCTCTAGCAGCAGACACCTTGTCTCGTTACCTGCCTGCTGAAATGATGTTCCCTAGAGATGGCCCACGCCTTTCAGGATCACATCAAGCCTCTCAGGATTGCGTCACGCCTCTCGGGATCGTACTCCACGAAATGCCACCCCACCCATCTTCCAGCCTAATGTTCACACTACTCTATGTAACGTCTAGTGACCTCAGCCGACCAGGCTCGCTAGGCATAACATGGCTTCTTTCATCTTGGCGTCTCAGTACACCTTGGCCCATCAGGAAGTACCGATCCGAGCCAATCGGCGACGGTCCGTCCCGTACGAGCTGCCAGCCAACCTCGGATGAAGCGCATCCCAGGGTGGATCATGTAAGCTTAGATTGCAAGTACTGCATAGATGTTGGTTTCATTCAATTAAGATGTGTCGTAGTAGATGCGACGCTACCTCCTTTCACAAGGCACCCAATTGGAGATATGTGTTAAGACTCGCGACCTCTAGGATTGCAACGTCGGTTCTACTTCTCATTGGACAGCAGAGCCTCCCCGCGAGTCGGCTGCGACTCTAGTGTGGACGGCTCAGTCCAGGATTGCGACGTCGGTAATGCCTCTTGTTGGACAGCGAACCCCACCGGCGAGTCCTTGAGGGATTCCCGACTGCGACCCAATGTAGTGTGGGCGGATCACTCGTTGATAGGCTTGTGTATGCGATGTATGTCATGCAACATCGTGCTGTAAGCTGTTGGTCAAGCTTCGCCGACCAGCAAGCCAATAAGTAACCAACAGTTATTATAGTCTGCGCCTCCTGAAGGTTGATCATGCACGGCACCTGCATATTATGAGACCATCCTTACTCCAAGTATGGGGGCCCTTCCCGCATTCGTGCAGAATAACCTTCGTAAGGCTCTGGATCATGCCAACCAAAGATGCCTGGCACAGCCCTCTCACCCCGCCCATATGCACCCAATATGACCAACAACTTGGTATCGATCTATTGCAGACGAAAGAGTAACATGCGTTATTTCTGTTGTCCTACCATACTAGTACTCTTTGGTGCCGGGGTCCGGACCGGACCACTGCCAAGCATGAGGGTAGAAAAGAAGGTGGTACCAATTATGATCCTTCTTGCGGCGCATATGTGAATTACGTACCTACCTAAGGTAGATAGGTGGTTGGAGATCCTGCGGTGCGAGAGTGCTTTCTTCTGGTTAAATGGTGTATCTGCTGTGGTTCGTCTGCTTGGTAGTCTTGACTTGTCGATTACCTTGATTACGTCTGCGTCGTCTTCGTCATTGCCGTCATTGCTATTGGCGCTTCGAAGGCTCCGTCCCCGCACACACAGGCAAACACTCGCGCGTGCGCGTACCTTACTTCCCACTCTTTTGACAGCATGTATTCGTCATACTCAGTTGCAGCCGCAGTGTGCAGCTGCGTGTTCCCGGCTCTGAGCATTGTGGCTGTGGGCTTCAGACTGAGGGCGCGCCTGATGCAAAAGCTCAAACTGGGACTGGATGACTGGCTTGTTCTTGTTGCGCTGGTAAGAGACACAGGCTAGTCAAATCATACAGGACATGACACTGATGATTATTCGGTTTGACAGGCACTCGCCTTCTCGTACTGCTGCCTTGTTCTCTATGGATCATTCAACGCGGGCATTGGGCAGGACCTGAGGTTTGTATACGCCTCTTCAATATCATCTGCTTCGATTTTAGCTGATTTGTTGAGCAGTACTATTACGCCAGGCGACTATGCCAATTACCAGAAGGTCAATACATGCCCATGTGGGAAGGGAAGATTCAACTGACTAAACGAAATAGCACTTGTACTTTGGCGTGATCATTGCGCATTTGTCCTATGGATTCGTCAAGCTCGCCGTATTACAGTTCTACAAGCGCATATTCGCAGTTCATCGCTTCGTTCTATCCGCAAACATCATCATTGTCTTCGTGCTCATATTCATGGTGGTCGCAACTTTCGTAAGTCAACCCGTCAAGGTTGTCGTCTAATGCTACCGTGCACTAAGTATCTACAGACCCAGATATTCTCTGCTTGGCCCATCTCCAACTGGTGGACATTGGGCAAGACTTATACCATCAACTACGGGGCGTTCCTGACCTCATTTGCTGCTATCGATCTCGCGCTCGACATCATCATACTGTGTCTCCCATTCCCGGTCATTCGCAATCTGCAGGTCGATCGGAACAGGAAGTTCCTGCTGCTGGGTATCTTCTCGATGGGCTTCTTGTGAGTTACGCGGCGGATTCCACCAGACAATGGGGCACTGATGTAAATCTTAGCTGCATCGTGGCCACATCTGTTCGCCTTTATTTCGGATATAAGCTGAGCGAAGCTGGTTCTGGGCGGCCTGTGTCCGACGAAGAATTCTCCTGTAAGCACCAGCACCATCCGGTCCCCCATAGCCATACCACTTGACTTGACGGCCGCGTTTACTGACGGTTATCAGACGTCTCTGTGAACAACGTCATCTGGGCTGAAATCGAAAGCTGCTGCTCCGTCATTGCCGCTTGCCTACCCACCTACGGTCCACTTATACGCTCCCTTTCCTTCCCCGAGTTCCTGGCTAGCACGTGGAGGTCGCTGCTCAACTCGGTGAGGCGCACGAGCAATGTTCAGTCTAGTAGACACGATCAGAAGGACTCGTGGTACCCGCTCTCTGAGAACCATGGCAACTCCACCACTGTCGAGAACAATAGTCAGGTTGGCCTGACTGAATACGACGGCATCCGCCTTCAGCGGAGTTTTGCTACGGAAGTTGGTGGACCCGCTGTTGTCTAGATAGTATCACCGCGGTGGATACAGCCTACGGACCCCTACAGGCCTTCTACCCCAGTAGCCGCCGCCTATATAAGCGGTGTAGTCTCTCCGGAGTAGCCCTTCCTATGCTTCTTTCCTTAACTCCATCAACTACCCAGTACTGGTGATGTTCAAACAGGGCACTGGCTGGGCTTATGTAGTCTTTCCGCTATCAATAAAGAAGTCGTATTGGTGAATGTGCCTCATACTAATAACTTCAAATGATGAGCGTTCTGTTTACCTGGTGAGACGAGTGAGCCGAGTGAGCCGAGACCTTACCAGCCATGCTCGAGCTGAATTCGACTCGTGATCAAAACCTCGGTAGACGCCAGACGGCCAGAGAAGCACTGCCAAATACCTCGAACACGGCGAGCTCAGCCTTGAACTCACGCGTGACCCAATTGCACTAGAGCGGCACCGTCCGATCCACGCCTCCCTTATCCTGTACCACCTTGTACACGTTGGCAGGCTTTTTGACAAGAGCTCTCGCCACGACCGACTGAGCTTCCTGCTTGGACGGAGCATTGCACAAAACAACATGCTGTCTGAATGGATGAATCAAAAGAATGAAGCCACATTAGCGCTATTACTATTCGAACCTAACACCACTTATATGAACATCTTCACCTAGGCCTTGGGACTGGTCGATCAACTGTCTGGCAGTAGAAATCAAAAGCGTTCATAACAAGGCAGAGATAACCAGAAAATGGAGACTTTATGCCGATGTCCGACATCCAATTTAAGAGGAACTATCCCATGTGAGTATTTCTCAATAGAGAGTCTGACCGGATCACGCTATACATCCGTCGCTTTTTCGACTAACCTCCGGTTTAAGTACAACTGTTGCGCTACTCTGAATCGCGCACCGCTGCTTTTCGTAATTGTCTTAATACTATGTCGGATGAGCCGAAACCGCCCAAGCCCCCGGACTTTGAGCAATGGCGCACTCGTGGTGCTAAGTGGGTAGAGGCTATAGCCGCGCGTCATACTGATTACAGCATCACTGACGTAGCTCTTCCGTATGATTAAATATCCTCCTAATAGATATTTCCATCGACTATTGATTGACTGTAACTTTATAGTGATTTCTTCGGTGTGCCTGTTCCCAAAAGGGCCTCTGCCATCACCTCTACCGCGAGGTATGAGTTTCGATCGCAAGGCCCGAGGTTAAACTTATGAAAATGAAAATACTAAGACAAGCATTGAAGATAGCTTATTATATATGACTGCTTATTCAAGGGTGCTTATTCCACTATGGATATATACTTGTGTAAAAGATTCGAGATGCGCAGAACGGAGACTTATAACGAGTAATTACATTAGAAAAACCTGTCCAATGTTACGAACCAACGAGGCGTACAGGGAATGAGGCCCGCTGGCAGGCCCAACAAGATGGACAGTAACTGGAAGAACCCGGGAGAACGTACGGGCCAAGGAAACGTCTAGGTCACGTGATCAAGACATCACGTGATGGATAGCTTGGATAGCGAGGTTATCCAACATATCCAGGATAGCTTGGATAGCAAGGTTATCCAACATATCCACCCCATCAGTGAGGGAGAGATTGGATATATAAAGATGGACATTTCCTAGCTAGACAGATAGACAGTCTCTACCTCAGTGATCAATCTAAGCATCTTAGCCAACCCTAAGGTGGGAGAAATCTCCTGACGACTCGACTATTCAGTGAACCCAGTTCAGACCAAGCCCCAGCATCTGAGTGTCTTCTAGTTGACAGAAGCCTCTATCGTCTTTTGTGTTGACTTACCTCAGAACATAAACCCTATAGAACCCTTTAGCCTTATAGGTTAGACAGCTCGTCACATCCAAGTATTATTTCCACCTCCTCCTTTTCCTGCCAGCCGGCCTTTTCGGCACGTGGCTGGGGCCCTTTCCCTGAAGGAGTATTTACGCAGCGCCAGTTTTACTCATTGGATGGAACAGCGGCGAACAAGGTCCAATGTTCAAAGCACCAAGTGCGACCATGACGGAGTGTCAAATTGTCACTTACACGTCTTCTTTTGGTGTGGATATAACCCGACTGGAAGTACCCACAAACCGGAACGATATTCGTCCGTCGGGTGGTCTTGTATTACCGACTGTGCTTTCAGTGCCGCTCCATGCTCCCTAGCTGGAATCCGAAGAGAGACTCTAGAGGTCCAACAGAGAGGATCTTCACGGGGTTGATGTCAATTTAGATTCGTTGTTACCAGTCTCCAGTAGAGTGCCTTATTGTAGTTCGAGTCCTTTGATAGCTTGTATTGGAAGACACCTACGTTTTAAGCATTATATAAAGAGAGTATGCTGTGTTGGCAAGGGACGTATGAATTAAGGGGGGGAGGGATGTTGTTACGCGGGATCGCAGGTCTACTGGTAACTAATTATCTTGCTTTTTATTGCTCAAATCAACAAAGTCTGAGTATAAAGTACTGTCTGTCATTAACCCCCATTGGTCGCTGGTCTGGGTTGCGGTTGTTTGCTAGGTGCTGCTTTGGCCGTGGCCCACCACGATGCGTTCATGGGCCTTGGGGTTGAGCATGGCATACCTTCGTGTAGTCATGCCGGCACTACCCCTATGCCCAGGCCTTCATGGCATAGGCGTTCACAGACCCCTCTCTCCACATATCACATGTAAGTAAGTTACCCAACGCATCATGTATGCGAGGGAAATAGACCAGCGGCAGAGCTGTGCATTCGCAAACTGTGACGCCTATTACAAGCTGCGGTGATAGTGCCGTTCTTCTACGAGAACTTTTCCCTAGTTATCGCTGATTAATCTTGAGCGAGCTCCAAGTTTGCAGCAACTCTGCGTGGGTCCTTCCGTGTTCTTTGAATGCAAGGAGTCCTACTCTGACTGCGCCTTGCTCCAGGGATTTCCTAACCTGCTGCCTGTGGCCCTGGGTTTACGACAAGTACCTAGTGGTAAGTAAGTCGTCGTGGTATGGCTTATCGTCGTGCGGCCAACTTTTGTATACCAGTGACATAAGAACGACATGTTTCATTCCTTGCCTGTATCTGGAACCGCGGCTTCCAACCGATGTCTTGTGAGCCATGTAACAGGCTAGACATATGATACCGAGAGACTGCCTAGAAGCCTTCGACCATCCTAGGCCGGGCTGCCTTCCCATATGCGACCTTGTATTCTAACAATCATATTGCGATTGTAGAGGTAACGTACCTACTCAAACTCACTCTAGGCAATGCGGAACCGTCCGGTGTTGTCCGGCTCGCGGGGCATAAGGGGCTGGATTACAAAGCATAAAAGGGGGTTGATTACAAATCGGTCGCCTGCGGAACATATCGATGCCCTTGTCAAGGCTTGGGGTCACAGAGTGAGAGAAGCAGTCAGATAACGTAAGAATGGGATAGAATCATGCCGGCACCGTATACCCGTCCAATCGGCCTGCTAGTGTCGCTGATTGGACCAAGACCTCTGACAGCGCCGCGCCGCGATCGTACATGATCGTACATGATTATAAGACCCATCGACTTCATAAGTCATCCTCGATCTTCACAAAACATCTCTATGTGAATTACTTATCTTTGCCCCCGTTGCGAACAATCACCTGGACAGGCCATTGTTCATAGTTACCAGAATGTCGAAGCAGAAGGTCTTAATAGTCGGCGCCACGGGCGAGACCGGCAGCACCGTTCTCGACGCCCTCATCGAGGATGGGTCATTTGTAAGATCTCCAAAGACAGACCCCTTCTTCTTGGCCCAAGGCCATGCGCCTTGTGTGCGCAGCGAACAGGATTGACTAAAACCTCCATCTACAGGATGTCACCTGCTTCATCCGCACCGCATCAGCCAACAAGCCCGCGGCCCAGAAGCTCCGAGACCGCGGTCTCAAGATCGTGACCGGAGATCTCACCGGTTCTATCAAAGACCTGGTAGCGCTAGTCTGCGGCACCGACACCATCATCAGCACGATCTACCCCGAGAGCGTGGGCGAGCAGATCCCGCTTGTCGATGCGGCCGTCCAGGCCGGCGTGAGGCGGTTCGTGCCGTGCAACTTCGGCACGCCCAGCGCGCGCGGCGGCATCATGGACATGCGCGACCGCAAGGAGGAGGTACAAAATCAACTGCAGCGTTTCCTGTTATAAATCCACTAACTAATTCTGATTCCTAGGTCCACGACCACATGTTCCGCGCGCGCCTGGGCTACACCATTGTCGACGTGGGCTTTTGGTACGAGACGAGCTTCCCGCGCGTGCCGAGCGGGCGGTTCGACTACGCGTCTGCCATTCCTAACCTTGAGGTCTTTGCCGGTGGCGCTGCACCGAACATGCTCATTGGGAAGCGGGATGTCGGACGCCTGACGGCGAGGATCATGAAGGATGAGCGGACCTTGAATAAGAGGGTTTATGCGTATGCGGATCTGCTCAGCCAGAACGAGCTTAATGCTATTGTTGAGGAGAAGACCGGGGAGAAATTGGAGCTTACTCACGTAAGTGTGCCCTTATGTCGGGTTGGGCTTCGGGGAATATTGCTAACTTGAAATAGGTAACAGCGGATCAAGTCCTCGCGAACATCACAGCGGCGAGGGAGGCGTTTAAGGCCAATCCGGCGGAGCCGGTCAACATGTATATGATGGCCATGTCTCAGTACGCGAATACCAAGTATGTGCGGGAGGACAACACCCCTGAAAATGCCGAGTACCTGGGCTATATCAACGGACGGGAGTTGTATCCGGATTTTGAGTGGCTTAGCTTTGGCGGTTTTGTTGATGAACTGCTTGCTGGGAAAGTACAGAAACCGTACGCGCATCTGAGCATGTAACTACTCAGACTTGAGTCCTCTCATGGTATCAAGTCAGTCCTTCCTGCAATTGTAGTTTTTTAGCCAAGGCTTCCTCGCTTCAGTCGCTTCAAACCGTAACGGCGTAGTGTTCCAATGTCTGCCGTGATTGTGAAGCCATGCAGAGGATGGGACAAACACTATGGAATAAGCATTTGAGGTTGCTTATTTGAATCGAACTGCTTATTCCAAGCTATATATTCCACCAAGACTGTCTTGACATGGAATCTCGATCGAGGCGTGCGGACTGAGACTTATGGAAGATGATTGCATTGTACGAAGCACAACAGTCGTCGGCCACATCGTACGCATCAACCCATGCATCCATCGCCAGCATATCACTCCACGCCGGCAGCAACTGCACGTCCTTACCCCCCACCCCATCCACCCAGCCCTCCATCTGCTCCATCCCACACACCTCCAGCAGAGCCATATTGAACTCATCGACCTCCGACGGACACGTCGACGAGAACACGCTCTCCAGCTGTGGGCCATACAAAAAAAGACTACCAGACTCCCTGCAGATCCTCGCCCACGCGTGCGCCGACGGCGCCTCCCAAATCCCCCTGCGCATGGTATGGGGCAGGCGCCCGGGACACTCGACCCAGGACCTCTTCGTGAACAGAAAGATCTCCTGCACCACATTAGTCATCTGCCACGTGCGCCGCAAGCTCTCGGCCAGGATCCAGGTCTGCCACGTGGGACAGTGGGCGCCGCCGGGCACGAAGAACACGCCGCCCAGCGCCGCGGCCCGGAGCCGGTCCAGCCGCGCCAGCGTGTCCTGCGCGCACTCCAGCAGCTGCCTGTTCCACTGGAAGAGTGTGGGGATCAGCCCCTTGGCCTGCGCCCGCATGCGGACGTCGCCGTCGTACAGGCGGATCATCTGGTGCGTGAGCAGCGCCTGCACCCGGCTCAGGTGGTCGAAGACGTGCGTCGTCTTGCCGCCGCCGTCCGGCGATGTTTAAGGCGCCTGGTCCTGCAGCAGCTGTGAGACGCGGTCGTCGAGCACGCGGGCGACGGTGGTCTCCGTCTATGGAGTCTTGGCCATGTATAGGGCCATGCCTGTATATGCGTCTTGCACATACCGCGGCATGCTCACCGCGTACAGCTCGTGGTGGTGCCCGGGGCTACGGCCCTGAGTCAGCCATTGGCGGTGCCACTGCTGCACTTTGCTCACGAACTGCTTGAGTAGGGCGACGTGGTTTGCGGTGAATTTCTGGTCCGCGTCCAGGACGTGTTCGGCGACCCAGGATTGGGGGGTCAGGAACCAGGCATCTCTGGTGTGGACGACGGCATCTGATGGACCAGCCACCTGCGGGCTAGTCTGCTGCGAAATGCCGTTAAGATCTGCTCCTATCGAAGAGAGTAGTGGAAATGCCGCACCCGTCGGGTCGCCCGCTGCGGAGTGGTCGCCACCCGCTTCTCTGGTTGCCCCTGAGAGCCCGCCAGAAATCAACGAAGGGGCCACGGATGTTTCCGCCTCCACGGCCGCCGCCACGGGGATATGCTACTCATAGTGGAGGACGGTGAGTTATCATGCCCTTGCGATGCCATCACTAGACGTCACGCTCTGCAATGGAGTGTCATTGTTAAACCCGGACGGCATAAGTGGGTGTGGCATGAGAGTGAGAGTGAGAGTGAGATGTCGTGGAGTGTCAGCATGAGATCTGACGGACAATTGTGGAGACACCCGATGCCGAAAGCCGCCGTCAGGGGGGAGGTCGTCTTGGACGGCGGGAATTATGGACCGCCTTCCGCAAGATATTGGCGGGCTGATGACCTACCTTACGTCCATCACTCGGACTCTATCTAGGTCAGCTCCAGTTAACACCGCTACGGTGCTATTTCAGTGCGAATGACATACCGCGCTCGACGTCAAGTAAACATACCGGTCTCGCATTTCTATCTCTGCGGAAAGGGGAACCTTGCGACGTATCCACCCGTTGGCGGGTGGCTTCCGCCGATGATGCTGGCAGCAGGTCAGGTCCTCCAGATCTGTGTCTATCATGGCCGAGACCATTCCGCAAGTGAAAGATCGTAGCATGTTCAACGCACACTTATAAGCACCCCCTGGAGCGACGTGATCCAAACACTACCTACTTAAATACCCCAGAAAGTCCTCTCCTTCCCCAACCAAACCCTCTCATCACCACCGCATCCTCCATCCCAACACAACTCATCCTCCCGAAACCGAAACCCACCATCAAGGACAGCCCACCATGAGCGCCGGCCTCACCTTCACCAAGACCATCCACAAGACCCCCTACCCCAGCATCTCGCCCACCCGCCCCGCGCTCTCGCAAGCCGGGCGGACCGTGCTCATCACGGGCGGCGGCGCCGGCGGCATCGGGTACGCCATCGCGCAGGCCTTCCTCACTGCGTCCACCTCGCGCGTGATCACCCTCGGCCGCCGCGCGGACCTCATCCAGGCTTCCGCCGCGCAGCTCTCGGCTGAATTTCCCTCCTCATTCCCACCTTCATCCCCCCCCCGTCCTCGTCCTCGTCCGCAACTTCTTCTCCATCCCTCCCACCGAGCCCAGAACCCGACATCCGCGGCCTTCCCTGCGACATCACAGATCCCTCAGCTGTCGCGGCCCTCTGGCGCCAGCTGGCCGACGAGGGCGTCATCGTCAATGTCCTAGTACTAAACGCGGCGGTGATCGCGCCGGCGAAGCCGGTCCCCGAGATGGGGACGTGCGGGCTGTGGGGGGTGTATGAGATGAATGTGCGGGCGCAGCTGGACATGGCCGCGCGGTTTTATGGGCAGACGAGTGATGAGAGTTGTGCTGGAGGGACGAAGGTATGATTTTAAATCTAACCCCATGGGCATGTCCATCCTCATACACTGGCACGACGTCAATCGGGCTTCTCAAGTGCGTCCGTCAATAAGTTACCAGGCGGTGTGGACGCTGACGCTGACGCTAACTGACTGACTGACTGACTGATGACGAGACCAAACATCATCTCGTCAACATATCCACGTACAGATCCACTACGCCGCCCGCAACAAGACCTACTCGGGCTACGGCCTGACCAAGAGCGCCGCCGCGATGGCGCTGCAGGTCGCGGCGGACGACACGCCTGTGGACAGGATGCAGGTTGTCAGTTTTCACCCGGGGGCCATCTTCACGCAGGGGGCGAAGAAGGCGGGATACGGCGAGCAGGATTTTCCTTGGGATAATGGTATGTTTATGTGCCTAGCTTTTGATCTTTTTTTGGTGCTTGGCTGGGGTTGGCTTCTTGGATGTTACGAGACGGAGCGGCTGACCCCGATTGTGTGTTTGGTAGCCGACCTCCCCGGCCACTTCGCCGTCTGGGCTGCCTCGCCCGAAGCGAGATTCCTGCATGGTCGCTTTGTGTGGGCGAACTGGGACGTCGATGAGTTGAAGAGCGGGGAGATCAGGAAGCGCATCGATGAGGACCCGAACTACTTGAAGATCGGTGTTAGGGGGTTATGAAACAGGGTTTACTAGATTGCGTACAGGCGATGGTAAGAGTTTTCGATAGACATGATACGTTTGTTTACTATCGCAACACATGAGTTGGATATGATACAGCGAGTGAGTGAAACGCAGCTATCCTGAACCCCTCTCACCAGCCATCCACGACAGTGGCATGAACATGCATACCCTTCGCCGGCCTGGCAGTAATACCTCCTTTGATCTCGATCTTCTTCTCGTCCATCTCCTCCTCATTCGCGAGCGAGAACTCGAAACGGCCCACCCAGCTCGCCAACAGGCATGCAAACTCAGCCTTGGCGAAGCTCTGGCCGATGCAACTCCTCGGCCCGTGTAAAAACGTCATGAATGAGTAATTGCTGGCAGCCCCACCGCTGGCTGCTCTCTTGTCGTCTGCGCTCTTCGGCATCCATCGCTCGGGGTTGAACTCATGGGCGTCTGGTCCCCATTGCTCCTTGTCAAAGTTGGTAGCCCAGGGTGCGAGAATCACTCGGACGCCTTTGGGTATCTTCTGGCCCATGATCGAAGTGTCTCTTGCTGCCTCGCGGATGGTGAGTGGTACTGGCGCGTAATACCGTAAGACCTCATTGCAGACGGCATTCAGGTACGGCATGTGGTCGATGTCAAGACTAGATATGTCGCTATCGGAGTCAATAGAGGGGAGCTTCTCGCGAACCTCCTGTCGCAGTTTCTCCTGGATCTTGGGAAACCTCGAGAGCATGTAGATAGCCCAGGTCATAGAGGTAGCCGTCGTCTCGTGTCCGGCAGCCAGGAAAGTCATAAGTTGGTCGACAAGGTCACTATCCGAGAAACCACCAGATTCCAAGGCGACGGACAGTATATCGTGACCAGTCGGCTCCTTGCGCGCCATTTTCTGCTTCTTCTCCTGAACCATATCATGACATTCTGAACGGATGAATTGTGCGGCTGCGGCGATGTCGTTGTTGCGTTTTACGGGGAGCCGCGCAAGGAACCACTCTGGAACAATGATTGAGACCAAAGCCAGCATGCGCGCCGATCTCGTCGGCGTGAACACACTTCGGTAGGTCTGGTTGAGTTCCGTGTTGTCGTCCTTGATTGCGCCGAAATCACGGCCAAGACCAGCAATACCGATGATATCCAAGGTCACGCGCGAGGCCCAGCCACCGACCTCTATGATGGCAGATTTCTGTGCCTTTACAGGATCTGATGAGGGTTCCGGCTCTGATGTGCTCGAAATGATGTCGTTAGTCATGGCCTGCACGACTTCGCGGCTCTTGCTCCAGAAGACGGGGTACAGGTCCTTGATGTGGCGAAATGCGAAAGCAGGCATCAGATTCTTCCGTTGGGCTTTATGTTCGTCACCTTCAGCGAGGAGCACGCCAACGCCGAGAATGCGGCCAATGTTGAAGCGAAGAGCGGCGGGCTTCTGGAAGTCATAATTGGATGTCACAAGCACTTCTGAGAGAGCCTTGGATCCAGTGACGAGCACGCGCTCCTCGTTGAACATGGATTGGTAGCGCATGAGACCATTGTTAGGAACAGTATCAACCCTTATGGAGCAAGTCAGCATGAAAACAGTATTTATGTGACGAGGCCACGTACCATCTCCTCATGGGAATTCCCGTTGGCTTGTCGGCGATCTCCCTGAAATGACCCATGAAAAACGAGCCTCCCGCTGGCTCTGGGAGACGGCGCAAGGGCGAGAAGAACTTGGGCCATAACACTACGGCCCAAGAAGCCCAGAGGAAGAGTTGTAGAAACCACGTAGCGAAGAAGCCACCCACGAACTGTCCCTTGGACCAGTCTGATTGTCGCGAGGTGAGGAGATATGATGTAATGACGGCTATAGCGGTCATGGCCCGCCACGGGAAGGGGAAGATGGCCATTGTGATATTATGTCGCTGAGGTGATGCAGTTGATGGTTGATTATATGACAACGGTCTTGCCGATTCCAGTCAGTCGATAGCGAGTGGCCGCTGGGTTCGCAAAGACGCTATCCCTTATCTGATGGGTCTCAGAAATAGACGAGGGGTATACCAGCCACTTGTAAGCCTGATGCTATTTGGTCGCCGTTTCAAGTACTGTAGCAGTGGAGGTGAAATGGGAGAACAAAAGGCGTCTTTATAGTCGGGAGTCGTGTGCTGAGAGAGGTCGAATAGAAGGCAGCACATACGATGATGATGATGATTCTTGCATGAGTTGTTTCCGGCGGGTTCAGGGTTGGCCCAGAGGTACCTACTATGGAGCGGTGGCGGGCCGGATTCTCGGCGACTTTACTGGCTGACCCCTTGTAAACCACTAAACCGGGCTACTGCAAGTCTCAAGATCGTAGGGCTAATAATAACCCTAGCCAAAGGTACCTAGGTATTGGAGGGCATCCATCAGGAAGAGCGAGTGCGAGGTTGTGCGAGATGGCTCACAGATGCCCCAGTGAAGGTAAAGCATATTCAGACAGTGAGTCTATTAGATACCGACTAATAATGGCAGCCTCGGTGACGCATCAGGAGCTCCGTCGGTACCAACTTTCAAGGCCGTCCCCATGACATTTGGTGTTTGATGTACCGCGTGGCTACAGACGAATAGCCCCGCAAAGGATAACCTCTACGGATGAAGTGGCCGAGCGGACCAGCGGACACGGCGCAACTATAAAGACGAGTTCCTTGCCGCATTCGGGGTGACACAACAGCCGCCGCGCATCTCGTGCCCTTCAATGTTGGGAGTCATGGCAGCGGGAGGATCAGTTGCGCCGCTGGCAATTAATAATAGCCAGGACGACCCCGGGATAGTCTCGCGGGGTAATAACGCAGGTTTCAAATCCTCTTTGAAGGATTATGATTGCTGCCTTTACTTCACTGTTGAGATGATTCCCTTGGGTAACATGGGCAGTGACACAGCGACAGCGACAGAGACAGACCAAGATATGGGAAACGTTGCGGTTATCAGATGCCCATAAATACACCGATGATATGGTAAATGCAGGGGGCGGGCGGGCGGGGAGCCTGCCGAGGCGCCTGTTTCAACACATGCAGGATTCGGTATTCCATCTTGGATATTTATTAGCGAACAAGATGGCCAAAACTTTGGCTCTTCAGCCCCCTAGTGGAAGCTGAATACCGCTCATTCCAGAGAAGGGCAGGTTCTCTAATAATAACTAGATATAACACTTGAAGTCGTTATCGTAGCTGCCTGCTTATAATTACACGTCACAAGTCGCCGGAATAAGCACCCTGACATAAGCAACTGTAATCCATATGATTAAATCAATAACGTTGATTATTCCAGAGCGCTTGTCCTAAAAGTACCTCACATAGTGTTCCATCGACCGGCTGACCAGTGAATCGTGAGACAGTTGAAAATCACACGGCTAACAAACAGCAAGGCAAGGCAACCAAATCAGTACCTATACCTACAGCATGGCTTCGTCCTTGGCAGAGATTGGTGTCATCTCCATCGGGGACATGGGAATGGGAATTGCCAAATTGTTAATCGCGAATGGCTTCGCAGTCGCGACCAACTGCAAAGCCCGCAGGTCAGTGTTACGAACCCCGCACGCCTCCTCAGGCCTGAGCACACCGCTGATTTCCATACGCTCGCCAGCAATGACACAGTCGAGAGAGCAAAGAGCGCGCAAGTCGAGGTCCTCAAATCAGACGAGGATCTCGCAGAGGCATGCAGCGTCATTCTGTCGGTGGTGCCTCCGCGAGACGCAGTAGCAACCGCACAGCGAATCATCGACGCAGTCACCGGTCCGTTCCAGAGGAGCAGCCCTCTCTACTACGCAGATCTCAATGCGGTGGCGCCGTCGACCACCAAGTCAATCGCATCCATGTTCGAGAAGTCACGGGCCCAGATCCGCTTCATTGACGGCGCCATCATCGGCGGGCCACCGGCACCGAAGGCTGACTCCTCCGAGTGGAAGGTCCCCAGCATACCCACCTCGGGACCGCACAAGCTCTCTGACATACCAGACTACGGCGAGAAGCTGTCGTCGATCTTGAACGTGAGGCATATCTCCGCTGACGTGGGCGCGGCGAGCGGGCTGAAGATGTGCTTCGCGAGCTTAAGCAAAGGCTTCACGGCACTGGCGATCCAGTCGTTCACGACGGCGCAGCAGCTGGGCGTGCTCGACGAGCTCAAGGACGAGATGCAGCACCTCATTCCGGCACACTGGAAGGCTGGAGAGAACGGCGTCATCAGCATGGCCCCCAAAGCGTACCGATGGGTCAAGGAGATGGAGGAGATCGCGCTGACGTTCGAAGAGGAGGGCGGGTTCTCGCAGGACTCGTTCCAGGGCGCCGCCAAGGTTTATCGGGCCGCAGCTGAGGATACCGTCCTGGGGCTGGAGAAGACCGGCAAGAGGAAGAGGGGTCTAGATGTTGGCGATATGGCTGCGGCGATGGCCGAGGGCATGCTGACGAAGAGGAGGAAGAATGAATAGTCGGCGGTGGTGGCTATGTCCACACCCTGCCTGCCTCATCTCGCCTGCCAAGAGGTTGAATGAATAATTGGCAGTGGGATGAGTAATGGTTGGGTGCTTATTCCAGTCAATTGCTCCTGGAATAAACCGCTTGGCTGCCTTCCACTGCCTGCTCATCTGGCAGTCCTCCTCTAAACTGCGGCTCATTGGATCGCTCAAATGGGCACCCCCGCACGCCTCTTCTGCCTGCCCTGCTTTCTTCTCCCGGCGCAGTCTTCCTCGAGAAATATTGCAATCGCCAATTTGCCGCTATAGGTCCCCACTCGTTATCGCAATTCTATTCCGAACCAAAGCAAGCATGTATACATACGATCCTCTGCCCGAGACGCATATCCGCATCGCTGAGGTCTACCCTGGCAGCTTCAGGGATGCTATTGTGATTAGCTTACGCCCCGAACCATTCGAATCGAGCCAACCCCCTTCCTACGAAGCTCTCTCCTAGGTCTGGGGTTCGAAGTCGCGACGCTATAAGCAACGGCGCTATAAACTAAATCCACGTCTCCGGGGATCAAAAGCGCCATTGAGGGTGCATGAGGGCGGCGCTTCGGGCGAAGACATCGAAGTGACATGGAATCTTGATGTTGCCCTCAGATATCTTCGATATACCGATCGACCACGCTTTCTCTGGGTCGACGCCATTTGTATCAACCAGTCGAACGATATCGAGAAGGGGCCGCAGGTCGCCATGATGGGCGAGATATACGGACTCGCGGCGCGTGTCGTCGTCTGGCTCGGGCCCGAGAAGAACCACAGCACCCGCGCTATGAAGCTACTAGAAGAGATGGGCTCACAAGTTGACTGGAACCCTATTACTATGGAACTCAGGCCTGCCAGCGGAGCGCTTGATACCTCCTGGGGCGATCGTTCAGCTACACTTCCGTTTGAAGAGGATGATCTTACCTGCTTATACCGCTTGGCATGCAGACCATGGTTCGAGAGGCTATGGGTTCGACAAGAGATCTTGTTGGCGAACGATGCTGCTATTGCCATGTGCGGTTCCCAAACTATGCTTTGGCAGACATTTCTACGTGGATGGGCGTGTATCCGGGTGAAGCGTACATTACCATACAGACTCGAGGACAAATTCCATAGTCGAAATGAACTGCTCGGGGGTTTGATATTTGATGACAAACGACTTGGATGGACCGAGATACGGACGCGCTTCTGCATACTGGGGTGCGAGGACCAGAGAGACAGAATATATGCGATTCGAGCATTGCTGCGCAAAGAATACAACGTTTTGAACATTCAGCCTGACCACACCAAATCGGCCCCCGAGGTCTGTAAATCTTTCATGACGCAGTACATTAGGTCGTCCTTGGAACTCAGCATTCTTGCCGGGTGCCAACTTAACGGTCTCTCTGCTGGACCAAGTTGGATTCCTGACTGGTCGTGGGAACCTTCTTCCAAAAACGGACGGCCTATATTACCGTTTGGTGATGCCCAGGCGTCTGGCCACTTCTATGCTCCACGGCCTATCATAATGGCTGGGAAACTCGAGGTTATGGGTGTGTCAGCCGCAACGATACAGCAAGTCAAAGGCAACAATTTGGGAGATGACCCGGATGATAGTGCGGTAGCCATGGCTGTCCGCTACACTCTGTCGGGGGAGGACCTCTTGGATGACTACGTCGCGGGTGGAAGTTTACTTGAAGCCTATGCCCGCACGATATACTGCAACACTTTCGCAGAAAATTACAACCCCGTGGCGGAGAACCTTCCCAGTCTTGATTCGGGCATATCGTATTTCAAGCCACGACTCTCCCGGCCCAGTAGCACAGAGACGCAAACCTATAGCGAGCCACCCAGAGATATAGATTACGTTAACACTGGTCTCCGTGGCAGAGCCATATGTAAGACTGCGGAAGGCTACATCAGCCTGGCGCCAATCCAAGCAAGGCCTGGCGATCAAGTATGCGTCCTTCTTGGTTGTGAGGTGCCCATACTCTTGAGACCCGTGGGCCGTAACCAATACGTCGTCATCGGCTCTTGTTACACATACGGCATTGGTAACGGAGAAGCTCTACTCGGACCCCTTCCAAAGCATACCCGAATAGTGATCACCTTGCACGAGGCTCGCCAAGAATATGAGAAATTGTTCGTCGACAATTCAAAAGGAACGGCATCACTGATGGACCCTCGGCTTCGCACCTGGCCTATTGATCATGTGAAATATCTCGAAGACCTAGAGGGTGGTGACGGGAAACCCCTTTCAGGGGATGTAGACATGCTGAGGGCGAAAGGTGTCAATATCCAGCCATTCACTCTGATATAGCCCCGGCAACTAGCCATCCGGGGCTTGTGAGCGAAGAAGGCTGCTTTTCTAGGTACGCTCATGTCTACTCCGGCATCAGGGGTCCATTGACTAATGTCATCGTGATGCAGTCAACATATCATCTCCAAGCTCCTCAACACCATCGCTCCCAACCCCATCAACCCACCGACAGCACAACCACCATCCCCTCCGCCCTCCCATGCCTCCAGCCCTCCACCTACAACTCCCTACGTCCACTATGGCAAAACCTATAAATCTATTCGTCCATAGCCGTGGACGCTTCGCTGCCGCCTCACCAGACATCCTTCATCCAGGTGCCGGCAGACGAGATTTCCTCCACAGCACGCCAACACGGATCCTACTTCGTGTCCGATGGCGGCGAGGAGGAATGGCGGGGATGACTATGGACGCAGCACGCCGGGATATAGCCGCCCGTGCAGCTCAGCCCGCGATTTCTTACATTCACGAAGAGTAGCCTGGCAGTCAGGCTGGACGTGATGTTTGATGGTGAAGTGTAGCTGAAGAGCTTGCCTGAGGGGAGATATCATGTCGGCGTTATCGCAGTGAGATTTGTGTAGTCGGATGGCTTGAAACGTGTCACACATGGGATTAGATCAGCATGGGACGGCTTTCAATTAGGACCGAGCATGTTGGAGGGGAAACAGGGCATTGCTAGCAAGAATCCTCAATGTACAATGATGATGCTTTGTTACATTCAGCAGTTCAGACCGATGCTTTAGCGAATTGACATCATCGTGTTTACCGCGTCGAAGCAGATCAGACCGAGTATGACCTATATCACTCGATCATATCAACATCATCTCCCGTTAGATCTGCAGTTTGGCCTGCATAGGCACCATCCGTCTCAGCCGGGGCCGTATTGACGCCCCCAAAGTAATCAGCCATCTCGGCATCCAGCTCCTCCTGAGTCTTCTTTGGTCGTCCGTCACGGCCACGACCATCACGTCCACGGCCACCACCTCTGTTTTCTCCTCCTCCATTCTCACGGCGAGCACCAGGTCGTCTTCCACCACGTCGTTGGGGTAATGGACTGCGCGACCGGCTACCACCACCACCAGGGACATACCGGTCGACACGTCTATCACCCGGTGAAAGCGAACGCGGTCTTGTAATACGGTCCGCCAATCTGCCAGGCATGTAGGCATTGTCGAATGGGTTGCGTCTCGGGCCAGAGGTCACGATTGACATTCGAATCGGTTGTCCTGGCACATGTTAGCTCATGCTTGTCACTCGCCAACAGTTTCACCTACCCTTTGCGTTGGCACCGTCGAATTCGCGGATTGCTTCCGAAGCATCGTCGCGGCGGTCGTATGTGACGTATGCGATGCCTTCCGAGCGACCGGCGCGATCATAGACCAGCTCGAGCTTCACGATGGGGCCGATCTTGCTGAACAGACCCTAGAGCCGGGTTAGCACATGCTCCTCTGACTCCGCGGTAGCTTGACCCTTACCTGAAGGTCTTCTCTGGAGAGGTCGTAATGCAGATTCTCGACCCTGACTTTGGCACCTCGATTGTCTCTACGCGGGGCGTTAGAAAGGGCTTCGTGCTTTTGTTTGACAAGTGTACTGACTGGTACGGCTCAGGCGAGCGTCGTCTTCTCGAGTTGTTCGAGCGGTTGCGGGCTATTATCAGTCAATGGCTAAAACCCCAAGACTGAGAAGGGTCGGTGCTCACGGTTGGTGTCATCGAACTTATCGTGGACCCAGTCCCTATGTGCCTGTCAGCTTGCGTCGCCGCATCCTACCAAGTTCGAGGGAGACCTACGTATCCACACCTCTCGAATCATCTCTGTATGACTGTCTCGCAGAACGAAATCCGCTGGTTAGCTGATGTTACATAGTGTGTATCGTCCCGATCGTAGTCCGAGGACCGAGCCGTGCGTTGGTAGCTTCGTAGGAGAGGACTCGAGCCAGGCAGGTAGGTGCGTGTCTAGGAGGGAGAGGAGGAATCCACCTGCATGCAGAACAATGTGGTCAGCCGGCTTCGAAGTCGAGTGCAGAAGCAGAAGCAGTGGGAATGGTAGGGCTTACCTTTCTTACGCCATCGCGAGGGTACGAGTCGCGGAACGAGTCGCGTTCCCGAGGGGCAGGTCGGCCTCCACCTCCATTTCTACCACCACCACCGCCGCCGCGTCGAGATCGGTTGCCTCGCTTACTTTGCTAGGGACGAAGTCAGTACCTGCGACAAGGAGCGACGTGGGTGGCGTAAAGACGGGCAAAAGACGTACCTGGGTCTCAGCAACGATCTCATCTAGACTGCGATCCATTGTAACAGTTGCGACAAGTGGAATCGGGTTGTTGGGAACGAAAAGTCAGACACGGCTGAGGTGAGATATGGGAGGAACGAGGAAGAGAGTTGGAGTTGCACGGTCGACGCGGGACGTGCAGGTCTGACGTTGGTGGAAACGGCAAACGGCAAACGGCAAACGGCGACACGGTACAGTGTGGGTGCCACTGTAATAAACTGTGCATCCCTATCAGGCATTCATAGCCAGGCACAGTGACCACCTCAAATCAGATGCACCTATTCAAACGCTATATGGTACAACAGTGATTCAGTATTATTGTGGTTGGATTATTCACATATTGACGTACACTATCATACAGACTGTAAGCTCTGCTTGCTGTCTTGATCAGACAGAGAAGTAGGATCGTGGGACGTCGACTTTGGTAGTATACGCAGAGTATGCCCCGGCCGTCTCGTCATTCGCACCAATGCTGGGAACGTCTGGGACAGTCCTCAAGAAGAGCCCCGTTGACGATGTTGCCCCAAAGTGGCCTTCGACTACCTCGACTCCTTCCGAACTCAACTGTGGAGATGAGTCTTGGTCGTGGTTTGGAGCGACTCCAAGTGTCAACGATCGCTTGGACTTCAGCAGGTTGCTGGACTTAACCGCTTCCTCTGTCCAATATGGTTCGATGCAGAACATGAGGTATGACCCTGGCGTGACCAGACCTTCGGACTGGTCGCTGCTATCGCGTTCTTGGAATGATCGAATGAACATCTCGATGTCGTCCTGTTCTGGTTGAGCATAGCTCGTCTCGGGGTCAAGCGAAAGCAATCCTTGCTTTAGACCCCAGCCACCACCACCACTCACTGCAATTCGTTAGCTTGGTGCCCGAATGTGTGGCTAGACTTCACTTACGAATTTTATGAAGTCGACATCCCGAAGACAGGAGGCTCGAAAGTGCTTCTGTCGCCTCGAGAGCCAGATCTGCTTCAGTTTGCGACGAGCCAGCTTGAAAGACTTTGAGCTCCAACAGCTTCTTCGCTTCCACAACATGGGGCGGTATGACCCAACACCATACCCCAATCGGCCCAGAAGAAGAAGCCCCGTAGCGTTCAGACCTCGCATCGAAGACTTGTGGAATGAGTGTTTCCAACTCTTGCGATGCTGGAGTCGTAGAGCCATCGACCTCCACCTGCCGAACGATATTGCCCAAGCCGGCAACAATCTTGCGAGGTGGCGTCAAGGGTAGCAGCGGGACTATTGAGGATGTATGGTTCACTGAACCAAGATTCATGGCTATCTTTTGGGTGGACTTCTGATTCATCGTTCCGAGTGTCATGCGCCCCATGTCGTTGCTCTGCCATTTACTGGCGTACAGAGTGGACCGTCTTCCATTCTGAAATATCGTGTTTGCAAGCGGCAAGGTGATCTCGAGCGGTCTGCTATCTCCAGCCAACGGGTTCGTGATAAACGAAACAGACGAAGCCTTGTCTTCACTGACGCTCTCGAAACCCTCGCGTTCCCAGAGACCGGGGAGTATGTTTGTTGATGAGCCGTACAGAATTGAGAAGCCTGTTTGAGGTTCACCGAGTAGACGATGCGGGCTGAGTCCGTCCGTCACCCCGGATAGGACATCTAAGCCTGGCAGATTGGCTTGACCACCATTTGCTGATTTGAAGAGTGCTTCTAGCAGATTTGACATGAAGCTCTCGTCCTCGAGCCACGTCGTGAAATCGCGAGACGCCAAGATGGCGGCGCCATGTCCAGTGCTCTCTACTGTCCCTGCACGGAGCTTATCTGATGCGCTCGCTCTGTGCGTCGTAAGTGCCTCTATCACTCTGCTCTATGTAGGTAAGCGTCAGTGGGTGCTATAGTTGGTGTTGAGCGTGACTTATTACTTTTGAGGTCTGGGGCGACACCGCGAGCGTCAACTTTCGAGAGATCGCAGCGCGACTTCCAAAGCGCCTTGCATGCAGTCGGCAGTTCGTGGCCCGAAAGCAATGGCTGAAGACACGAGAACGCATGGCTTCGATTGCAATGCTCTTGAAATATTCCAGACCAGGGTCTTGAATTACGACATTGTCCCAGTAGCTCTCAGGAAGGGTCAAGCCACACACTGGCGTAAGCATAGGAGGTACGCATGGCTGGTGATCTGTGGCTGGTATCGCAAGAGCACATGCACCCTTGAAGATTAAACCCCTGAACTCATTGACACAAACACGGGGGATCTGCTACAATCACGTATCAAACACAACCATACCTCACAGATCCTTCGGATCAGCCTGAAATCTGACTTCGGTGTACCTATTCGAAACAGCCAACACTCTTGATCTGACACTTCCGCCTCTCCCCGAGGCCCGTCCAAGTGACATGAGATTCGCATCATGTCGCCAAGAGACCAATGCGTGAATAGACACCAGCCTTACGCAGGTACAAGGGTTTCGGGTTAGCGTTTGGTCCTCTACTATGCTGACTTGCTAATGTGTATGTATGAGTAGGTTGAGCGTCACTCGAATGAGCCTTGCTCGTTACCTGGCCTCATCGTCATCTCCTAAAGTATATATCTGCGTACTTACGCGATCAATACATACAAACCATGCGATCGCTCAATCGCTTCATATTCTTTCTCTCTACCTTGTCGGTAGGGCATACGCTGCAGACCCAAAGTCAACTGGGGTTCTGTGCTTGGAACCCTCGGTCTTCGCTCCTTGGTCATCATGCCTGCTCAATTACCGATGAAACTCACCTCTCTTCCGGCGAGGGCCTGGAGGGGAACGCATCCCAAGGATATCCTCCCAACGAGGTCAACGAAGCTGTCTGGTCGAGACGAGACGACTGCATTGATAAATACTGCATCTGGGTGAACCAAGGTTTCTTCGAACGGGGTATAGCTGTGGTTACCACGGCGCAAAACTACCAGCAAATCAAACACTTGCCAAGTTCTGCAACTGATACCAAAGATAATAATGACAGATTTTCATTCGTCGATGTTCCGGGTAGAGGGAAAGGCCTTGTTGCCAACAAGGCCATCCGCCGAGGGGAGCCCATCGTGGCTGCGAAGCCCGCGTTGCTGGTTCATCGAGGTCTATTCGAAGACCTCAGCCCAGAAGATCTCTATGAGCTCCTGGATATGGCTGTTGATAGTCTACCCAAGACTGGAAGAGAAAGCTACATGGCGCAGGCGGGGGAAATGGGCGGACACCTGGCCACTAACATCCTGTTCACGAACTCGTATCAGATCAACCTCGGGGAGCCCGATGGCTTTCACTACGGCACTTATCCAGATGTGTCAAGACTGAATCACGATTGCAGGCCGAAGTATGTCTCATCATCCCTTTTCGCAGTTCCTGTACGCTGATACTGGATAGCCTGGCTTTCTACATCGACCAGAACTTGACGCATCACACTCGCGCAGTGAGAGACATCAAGCCTGGGGAGGAGCTCACCGTCTCATACATCGATCCCCTGCAAGTACGGATTGCTCGTCAGGAACGACTTCGCAACACGCTCGGTTTCTCTTGCGGGTGCTCACAGTGCAGCCTACCCAAGAGCGAGGCAGATGCTTCCGACGCCCGACTTCTCTCCATCCAGGAGATCGAGAGTGAGCTCTCCGACTTCAACAGTCAGGCAGCGTCGCCAGCTATGATTGAACGGCTTATGACTCTGTATGAGGAGGAGCGTCTGGTTTTCAACATGGCGGGTGCTTACACATTTGCGGCGCTTAATCACAACTTATCTGGCAGGGCGGAGATGGCGCAGAAGTATGCGCGAATGGCTGTCGAGGCAGACATACTTGAGGAAGGGCCTCATTCTTCGGATGTGCAATCAATGCAGATTCTGGCGAGCAATCCAAAAGGCCATTGGTCTTTTAACTTGAAGCCTGGTCGATGCACCCTCTCTTCTCTCTTGTCATCATTTCAACTAGCACTGACTCATTAATTGCATTGTCACTGGGGTGCACACAGAAGATTTCGGATGGAACATAACACTGCCGTAGATGGTATTTTAACAAACATTAGTTCTCGGCTCATTTTCAAACAGTAAAACTTGTTTTTAGCAGTGTTGATGACCTTTCAACACGAGGTATGAAACGGTCAAGTTCCTACAGGGCTGCACGCGCTAGAAGGCCACACTACAGGGCCTTCGTGACCGCTAAAACACATATCTTACGGAGGAGGGGGGGGGGGGGGGGGGGGGGTTGCCGGCCCGGCAGCAGCTGAGCTCAGCTACGCTGCAGGTGATATGCAAGCTGGAGGTTCTCACTGCTCACGACGCAATCTCCACCGAATCCCCATCCAATAGCCGTCGTCATCGCTCTCAGACGAGACAACCTAACGAGCTGTCTTGCAATTGGCGGCTAGCCATCAACATAGGTAATAAGCATCCCAGGGATGGTGGTGGTGGTGGTGGTGCTACACCAGTAAAAGCCCAAGATGCCCCGACGGCGGCGATGCTGCGGCTGCCTCCCGCTGCTGCGCGCCTCATCCGAGGTCTGGAGCCTGTCCTCGCAAGCCATGGCCGACCTCACGATCCGCAACATCACCGCCACACCGCTGGAGCTCAAGCTCATGGAGCGCTTCGAGGCGCAGCCCGCGGTGGGTGGTGGGCGCAAAAACATCACGAGCCGCGTAACCGGCATCTTCAACTCGACATCGGCGCTGGCGGCCAAGATCGAGGCCCAGGGCGATGCTAGAGACCGCCGGGAAGTCTCGATCCCAATTGCGCCGTTTGAGACGCGTGTGACGGATTTGCGCACCGCGGACCCGGGCCGGGAGGTTGTACGCCTGACTTTCGAGGCCGATGGCCATCGGTACCAGGTGGATGTGCCGAGTGCCTCACACCGCAGCACCGTGATGGATAATCTCGATGGGGGTCCCAATGAATATACGGTGGTCTACGTCCTGACCGGTAGCTGTCTATCCATCTTCAGCTCGGCCCACCTCGCAAGCTGGATGCGAGAACTGCGCGACGAATATCCGCTTTCTGCGCTCTCCATACCCGGCACGCACAACAGCCCGACGTGCCATGTGGCCTTACCATCCGTGCGGTGTCAGGCCGTGGGCGTGCGAGAGCAGCTCGAGAACGGCGTCCGGTTCTTCGACATCAGGGTGAACGTCAACCCGGACTCGTCCGAGCTGGCGCTCGTCCACGCCGCGTTCCCCATCTCTCTCACGGGAAGCAAGTACTTCAAGAACATGCTCGACGTCATATACGCCTTCCTAGACGCCAACCCCTCCGAGACGTTGATAATGAGCGTGAAGCGGGAGGGCACAGGCCGCGGCACGGATCAGAGACTGTCCATGATACTCAAGGAGAAGTTCTACGAGGACGGCAAGCGGTGGTACACGGAGCCGCGGATCCCGAATCTGGGCGAGGTCCGCGGCAAGATCGTGCTGCTGCGCCGGCACCTCAACGACGAGAGCCTGGACAAGGAGTGGGGAGGCCGCGGCTGGGGCCTGGACGGCAGTGTCTGGCCGGACAACTGCGCGGACGGGCGCGTCGGCAGCGGCATCGCGCGCGTGCAGGACTTCTACGAGATCGACCAGAGCACCAACATCCAGAAGAAGATCGAGCTGGCGCGCAGCCACCTCGAGCGCGCGGCCGAGCCCGTCTGCCCCCTGCCACCGGCCGGCACCGAGGCGCCGCCCCCACAGCCCTTCTTCATCAACTTCCTCAGCGCGAGCAACTTCTTCCGCGCCAACTGCTGGCCCGAGAAGATCGCCGCCAAGGCCAACCCGGCCATCATTGAGTACCTGTGTCTGCGGCACGGTGAGCCCGGCAAGGGCCCCGTGGGACTGGATGTCGGGGATGCCGGGACGGGCATCGTGGTCACGGACTGGGTTGGTCAGGAGGGCGATTGGGATCTTATTAGGTGTATTGTTGGGTGGAATGCGAAGTTGCAGGTGAAGCAATGAGCGGTGCTTTTGTGAAAACGTTTGGCTTAGAGGTACGAAAAGGATATTGGCCGGGTTTCGGTATGATCATTTGTTCGACTATGCTTGCTGTAGGTATATGTACATTAGAGAGGCTTGCCCCTATCCTTCTGTTTTTGGGTTACACTGCATTACCTTGAGATGGGTGGGATTAATATAGAAGCCAGCGAGTTGTTTACTTGCATATGGGATCTCCGGCACCTTCTAAGATATATGTATGAGTCTCCTTATGATCTCCTATCTTGGTTATATATCCGATCTCTCCCCAGCGTGTTTCCAGATACCAGGTACGGTCGAGTAGCCATGATGGAATCTGACCCACATACCAACACTGAACAGACAAGAGGAATCATAGAAGGGTGAATAACGTCTGACTGATGTTTTTATTGGTCTCCTCAGCTGTTGGACAAGGATGGCCGAACGGCTTTTCTCATGTATGAGATCCTGGGGATCTTTGGAAGTCGGACTCTCAAGGAATTGAGTTGTGTCAGGAACCATGGAAGGGACAAAGGAATGCATTCGTGTACATATAGATAGCTTCCACGCCTGATTAGGACTGCGGCTCCCTGCAGAACAACAAGTCATCATCCTCCCCATATGATTGAACTCCTGACAAGTTGCTAGATGTCACATTCTGAAGCTTCCTGTCAAACGTGGAGGCCTGAGCCAATTGGCTACCAAAGGGAAGGATGGGAGTACCCCTATTTCTGAGTACCTGCGTCACATGCAACAAGACAGGGGTCAGCCATGACCTGTGAGGAAGGTATTCGCTACTCGGGTGTAACAAGCCCTGCATCATTGCACTTGCAAGCCAAGACGAATGGTAGAAAGTTGTTTGGCAGGGAGCACTTCCACTGCTAAGCTCTTTTTTCTGCTAGCTGAGAAGTAAATCACTGCTGTACAGGGCTGACAAGGTGAGACTTCTAATACCCCCTATTTCCGGGCTGGGAGCCGAACCCTTGGACTTGAAGAATGGTTAATACATCCGTGATTGTCTTTCTTCGGGACGTAAGTCTATACAGCGTGGAATGATCCGGAACAGTTTTCAAGTTACCAGTGTGGACCTCTGGAAGCCTGCCAACAGGTTGAGTGTCTGAGCCGATGTACTCGACTAGCTCACCGCTTTACTCCGTGAAAGGAAGCGTACAGAATCCAACTCAGTACCAGGAGCCCATTCCAGCTCTTCTCAGTGTATCAAAGAGCCCTCACGCGGTCATCAACTTCATCCAACCAACATCATATACTACAGTTAGAGGAAAGCCGTTTGTTCGCAGGCGGCCCATCATCCGATCATGTTGGATATCGTCTTTTTCCACTGCCCATGAGATTCTCTCCAACTAAGTTGGTAATATCTAAGGGTCGTAACTAACATGTGCCATCGCTATGAGACGCTCATGGACAAAGGATACCTCTCGGTCTCGAATCGTATATCAGAGGGAGTCATCTATCACTCGGCACAGAGACCTCGTAGTTTCTGAGTTCCCAGTCTCTTCCTACTATCCTCCCCAGAGTGGCGAACCTATATGAGAACCACAGAGTGGCGATTCAGTCATCTACACAGCCAGAGCTTGTCTAGCCATCGACCAAGGCTCCTTTCACATTCCACGAGCAGTAACTACCGGCCCGCGAACCACACCCCCATCGAATATCAACGCACCTATCAAACGTCTTCGCCCCCAGGCTCCAACCAACAGTCACATTCCCCACGAAGATGTGCGAATGCGATGCCACGTTCATGAAATGCAGATGGTGCGGCATGACCAAGGAAACCATCCCTCGCAATTGGGGGAAGTTGTGCCACCGTCGGACAGCAGCAAGCGTGTATTGCAAACTTACCATATTAAGCCATACGTCGATCGTGGATCCCGAGGGCTCTTGCGACAAAAACAGTTGTATTGTCAAGGCACAGTACCAGAGGATACGAGAACAGCGGGCACGGGAACGGGAACAGAGGGAAGAGGAACAGAGACAGAGGGAATGGGAACAGCAACAGAAGGAATATGAACAGCAGCAGAGGGAATGGGAACGGCAACAGAGGCGATAGGAAGGGGAATGAGGGGACATTCCCGGCTTCCCACCCGCCTCTTCTCAACACTCGCTATTGGTTCATAACCTGCATCAAGAGCGAACCAGGCTTGGTACTCTCCTTTCCACACATTTCCTCAGGTTGTTGGTTTTTCTCTCATGATTCGAGTACTGGCTGCGATTGGGCGGCGTCAGTTTTGGTTTTCCCCTCTTTGGTGGTGGTGTTGGGGGGTATGGTTCTCAGCCTCCCCTTGTCCTCCCACACCTCATAACTCGGTACCGAACCAGCACATTCGTTTCTTCCCCCCGTCCTCTCTCTTCGGTTGCTTTCTTAAGGTGTCATCCTAACGGCGTTGGTCTTTGCTTTTTATTTTTTGCTTGGGGGTGGCATCCTCATTCCAGCCTCCTTTCCAGTCCTTTCCTCGTTAACCTCCCACACCTCATAACTCGGTACCAAACCAGCACATTCGCTGTCTTCGGGTTTCTTCAAGATCTTATTATAACGGCGTTGGTTGTTGCCTTTTGCTCGGGGCCGCGTGTTTCATTCCAGCCCCTTTCCTCTCATTTTAATCCCCCTTTCGTTCTCGTGCGTTATCACCCACTGCCGATTCCCTCTTTCCACTTCCCTGCATTTCAACTCCTCCTTTTCGGAGTTTTGCATCTTAGGCGCTAGGGGTTCGAGTGCCATTTAGTTAGCTCTTGTTCTCTTCTTTCAAGATTAGGTCTTTATATTTCATCTCAAGTGGCCGCAAGAATGATGCGAAGCCATCATGTCAAGGCAGTCGACAAGCTCACAGCGCGTCTTTCGACCTGATCCATGTGCCACCGTCACTGCTTCGCTGCGTTGAGCAGCTGGGGTTGACCACCATAATCCTGTGGACTCCAAATCATTCTCGGATCTCCAGAATCTCCTATATGAGAAAAGACTTTCATCCGTTATGGATAAACAGCCAAGGAGACCAATAGAGACACCAGCCAGGCAACGTTCGCCCTTGTGAGTTATTCTGACTGATGCTATGAAATAACTTCTTGATGGGACAGACTCCATATCATCGCTACTCGACCGTGAGAATGGTGCCTCCGAAGGAGGACCCGAAGCCCCTGAATACCGTGAATATTTTCTGTGGCGAAAGCGATCTATTGGCCAATAACCAGGGCTGGTATTACCTCGAACATTCCTCCCAGCATGGCACCATTCGTGTATTGAACCAAAGTTGCCGTTGCATACAGCATCTATGGAACAGGTTCAATATGCCGGCAGCAAACCACCCCGCGGCAGACGACTCCCAAGTTTGTAGGACATGATATTTAGAATGCGGTAATCAGCATGTGAAACTGATGGGGGTGAATTGCTTAATGATGACCGTTTTAAGTTCTCCCAGTACTGTGCTTAATACCGGTACCCTAAGGTACTGCTTGCCTCAGTGCTTGCCACTCCCGATGACCATTCGTTCCCAGGACACGGGACCACGGCAACGCCTCGTTGCTTTACTTGACGGCATGGTGTTTTGTTTACCAGCTCGGGGCGAATCAGGTGAGTCAATCTTCAATTTGTTGACAAAACATCGAATAAGGTATGAACCGGTACGTACAAGGTTGAGTTTGTTCAACTTAGGTAATACCTCACATGTGCATGTACCTAGGTACCTAGGAAAAGGGGCCGAGTGGGGCCTGGGCTTTCAGCCGCCATAGGTGACAGGTCACAGCGGTCGTGTCTTGGACTCTTGGCAGGCACTTGGGGCGGATCCCACCTGGGCAGCCACAGCTGAAACGTCATTTCAAGCTGCACTGCGGAGAGAGCTCCGAACTTCGAAGTGACATTCACCTCTACTCTGACATCACGAACGAACGATCTCTCGTGATGCCTTTGACCGCTTGATTGCATACAGTACATGACTCTTTGCCAGGACCCATCCTTTTGATAAGTGTTCAGTGTTCACCTTGAGCATCCCATAATCCGTTCTATGCAACGCTACTCGGGTGTGCGGCCTAAGCTTAGCCCCTTCTAAACCCGACCTGTCCCACGCAACCACCAAACCTAATTCCCGCGTCCGTCGTCCGTCGTCCGTCGTCCGTCGTATCGTACATGGCAGAAGATAGTTCAACAAGCAAACTCTATCTACCGACAACACGCACCCCTCCTCGCTACTTCTATCTAGGTACGTCTGTCCCACTCTTCTCGAATCTTTCTCCATCATCTACACACCATGGCCGACGAAGAGAGCTCGATGAGACGGCAAGCGGCGCCCCCGGGGACTTCGGGCTCCTCCAAGGGCTCCAGACTCCCGCGTCGGGGACACAAACGTCGCTCAGCCAATGTCCCGAAAGCTGACCCCGTGCCAGACTCCAGAAGGAGCAGTCAACCGCGCATACCCTCTCCCGAGGCGGAACAGCCGGTCGAGCAGAAGCCGCGAAGGGGGAAGGACTACTATAGGTCGCATCGGCGAGATACCTCCAGCGTCGTATGTGCCCAATCCACATGTGTGGTCATGCAAAGTGAAGAGTCGAATAATCTCCCAGCATAAGCGGCTATGTTCTTGTCCACCGGCCTGGATTAAGCACCAAACCGCTGCTCATTCGACTTTTTGTTTTTGACCTTTTGACCCAATGCTGACAACCTTACGACCCTAGGCGAGCCAGGACAGCTACCTAGACGATCTCCCAAGTCCTCGCACCCCGCCCCCTACCAACAGAGCCCCTACCGCCCGGGGTTACACCCCACGCATAATCGAAGACGATTACGACGACTTCCCCAACCCCGAAAGTCTATCTCTACCTCGGAAGCCATCCTCGATCCCCGGCGCTCCACCTTCCAACGGCAGTCCACGCAAGGTGTATAAACGGAAGGGCGCTCGAGCGAAAGCACAACCGGAGATGGCCGAAGACGGAGAAAAAGACAGGCCTAGGTCCACGACCCCAGAGGATACAGCGAAGCACTCGTCGCCGGAACAGGCGGGTTTGAAAGAAGAATCGGACGTCAACGTCAGCGAACACGACAATGCCAAGGAGTCTACGAAAGACTCTGTCGAGAACACCCTACATTCGAACGGAAATGGTTATCATGTCCCTGGCTCGGGGATGAACTCTGAAGAACTCGACGATGAACCTAGTCAGGTCCACGATGGCGTCACTTACTCGGACGCCCTGAAGACGGGCCTTGAAAGTGAGGAAAGTGACCGCAAGGGTCAGGATGACGATGATTCATACCCAGAACTCGACGACATGAGCATGGAAGAGATCCATCGCCCACCCTTGCCGAGTCAGAACGGCACAATCCGGTGGGCCCCTTGGAACGTACCTTTCAAGCGCCGCGGGCAAACGCTTGTATTGCTGCTGCATAGTCTTTGTATAGGCCTTTCTGTGTCCATCTTCTTTGCACTCTGCGCCAACCCTTTCGCCTGGCCTCTATTACTTATCTACCTTCTCCACGTCCTTAGCTCCAAGGCCTCTACCGATGGCTCGCTCAGATATCGCTCCGAGTGGTTCCGCAAGAGCTACCTGTGGCATCTCTTTGCGGGCTACTTTCCAGCCAAGCTACACAAGACACACGATCTGCCGCCGACTCGCAAGTACATATTTGGGTACCATCCACATGGCATCATCTCTCATGGGGCCTGGGCTGCATTCGCTACCGATGCCTTGGGCTTTTCTGAGAAGTTTCCCGGCATCACGAACAGTCTTCTGACTTTGGACTCCAACTTCCGCATTCCGTTCTACCGCGAATACGTCTTGGGCATGGGAGTTCGATCGGTTTCCAAAGAGTCGATCGTCAACATTCTGACCAAAGGGGGAGCCAATGGTGAAGGAATGGGCCGCGGAGTGACAGTTGTCATTGGAGGTGCTCGCGAATCTCTCGAGGCTCAACCTGGGACGCTACGGTTGATCTTAAAAGAGCGTAAAGGCTTCATCAAAGTTGCCGTACGCTGTGGTGCCGATCTCGTTCCCGTCTTGGCTTTTGGAGAGAACAACTTATACGACCAGCTACGCCCCAAAGAGCATCCGGTTGTACACAAGATTCAAATGTTCGTTCTCAAGGTGTGGAAGTTCACCTTGCCATTCTTGCATGGACGCGGGGTGTTCAACTACGATGTCGGCCTAATGCCCTACCGTCGGCCCCTGAATATCGTGGTAGGTGCACCTATCAAGGTCCGCCAATCAAATACAGTGGAAACAGAAGAGATCAACCGTCTTCACGGTCTTTACGTGGCCGAATTGGAAAAGCTGTGGGATACATACAAGGACGAGTTCGCGTTGGACAGGCGGGAAGACATGCAAATCCTGTCTTGATTGCTGGGTGCTCCAAAACAAAGAAGTTGGTATAAGCAGGCATTTGTGGTTATTCCAGCAAGTTGCCCCTGTAATGAACGCTTATGTCGGGTGCTTATGCCATAATTTCGTCGATGCCCTTGGCTGTTCGGAATCATATCTCATAGAATAGGTTTTCTGTTATATGATTACATTTCATCTCTCAAGTACAGATGAACATCAACGTCTCTATCTGCCACTTGTTACGTCTCAAAAGCTGAATTCTCACAGTAAAATCTTACGCCGTCACTGCCTAGCGTCTTTTTCTTCCAACTAGATTCTGAGACGTACATCGCTCTCGTCACGCTTCTGTCTGATTCAGACTGTGAGACAGACAGGGGGCTTAGCATCCAGTACTGTATGCATATATGATTATCGAAACCCGTAAGTTGGTAATATGTCACTCCCAGGTTATATTGATCATCCTATTGTAGTTCAACTGCAGTTCGAGTTTGGGGACATCACGGCCTCGATGACGCGGAGATTGCCCGGGTGCAATGATGGATTGTGTCCTACCTACCACACACAACCCGGTGAAGACTGTATTTATCATCCTCGCCTTTAGGCGCACTTGGGTTGGGCATCTGAAGGATTATCTGCGGGAGCTCGAGGTCCTTGCCAACGAAACCGGTAAACCGGTCGGCTCGTGGTGACCTCGGAGGGTAAAGGTCTCGTCTAGGCAGCTGAAAACGAATCATAGCGCCACCAATAGCATGATTCATCTCCGAGCAGACTACTACATGTTTCTTCATTCCTTGACTATTGCCGACAAACAAGGGATGAACCGTTGATCACTGGCTCCTGACGAACGGCATACTCAAATAGATGATGTGCCCTGAAATATATATGATGGGCTCTACGAACATGAAGCTCTATATGTGGAATGAAGGGGAAGCAGAAGTCCAGGACCCCCCATAGATTACCACAGACCATCGAGTCCTACCACCTGCCCACTGATGAGGTTCACAACCACTGCTTGTTTCCATGTTGCGAGACAAACGCACCGCCAAACCCACTTTCGATGCTGGCCTTCTCCCAGGTCGACCTGATGAGCGGGATGGCTTCCTCCACCGAGCTCGGGCCCTTGAAGTGAGGCGCATAGGCCGAAAGCTTGCCCATGAATCCCACCAAGCTCTGCGTCTGTTCCGGGGTGGCTGTAAAACATCCGTCAGTGAACGAACGGGTCCATATGTCTCACACAACAAGGTAGGGATCCCTAAGAAATACATACTCTCCGCATAGTGACCAACCTCAACGGCGCCGGGGCTGATGCTCAAAAAGAGCACGCCCAGCCTCTTGTACCGCGCGCCGTACTTGGCCACGACGACGTTCATGGCCGCCTTGGAGGCCGAGTACAGCACGGCCGTCTCGATCTCGAGCTCGTTGATCAGGTCGAGGTCGCAGTTCCCGCTGGAGAGCGCGATGACCTTCTTGACCGTGCCCTTCAGGACGAGCGGCACGAAGAGGTTGAACAGGTGCATGTTGCCGACGACGTTGGTGCGGAAGATCTTGGCCGCGGCCTCCTCCAGCTCCTCGGGCTTGTCTCCCCTGGTGAGTGCACATCAATTAGCCACAGAGCAGACTGGACACGGCACCGAGCCAAAGGGGAGTAGACTTACAATACGCCGGGGTAATCAAAGTGGTAGAAAGTAGACACCAGAGCCGCGTTGGCGACCAGGTAGTCGATACCGCGCTCGCCGACAATCGCGGCCGTGTCGGCAGCGGCTTGCTTCAGGCTGGCGTAGTCGTCGAGATCTCCGTGGAGGATGTGGACGTTGGAGCGGTCGCCCAGCTCTGCCGCTACCTTCTTCTCGGTTGCTGCTTTATCGCGGACCAGACCGACGACTAGGTTCTTGGGTTCTTGCGAGATCTGCTTGAGGAACTCGAACTAGGCTGGTGTAAGTAAGGGCAATGTAGAGCACGGCATAAGGCGGACTCACGCCTATTCCCTTGGACACGCCGGTGATAACATAGATGGACATCCTGAGTGAATTGGACTTGAACGAGTTGGGCTCGGATGAGTTGGTGTGCAATGCGATGTGAGGCTCGTCCAGACTGCCATGTTACTGGACTGGTTCATCGTTTATATATCATTCGACGCAAGAGTCGCCGCCTCTTGATTCATAATCCGGTGTGTATGTCTCGCCATCCATCCTTGGACATAGTTGCCTCAAATCTCGAATGGCGTAAGACTGCATACTTGAGTAGGTATACTTGCCTCAGATCGTACTCGGCATAATTCATGTATAACCGGCGTTCATGGGTCATCAGTCTGGCCCTGAGCTACGATAGGTACTTACTCTGGTGAAGATGATGACTGAGCAAGTTCCTACATCACGTTGAACGGGGCCCGGGCGGACGGGGCAAGATTAATAAGTACGGTGTAGGTACGGTGTACGCAAGCAAGCAAGCGCCTAGATCTAATAGTTTAATAGTCCCCATAAACGTGCTTTATACTGTAAGCGTGCATGCATGTCGCTGCATCGTGCAATGTAACGTCGAATCCCAGAACAGGCAACTTTACCTTGTAAGTATATCTCTGTCTCCACTGCAGGTTCCAAGGGGCCACCCATACTCTACAGACACCCATCTTCAACTACATACTACTGCGCAACTACTTTAGCTATCTACACATGATTGATCAGCGAGACCATGTGGAAAGGGCAGACGACAACATCGCGCCCCGGATGTGTCGCATGTAAAAGTACGTACCCAAGATAGAAGAACCAGCCCCCAAAGAGGAGCAACAAGATCGCTGCTGACCCAGCCAGGTCGTGCCATCACCTGCGACGGCGCCAGGCCGAAGTGCACAAACTGCTCCCGATTCAGGCGGAGATGCCAGTGGCAGGGTCTCATCAGGCTGTCCTGGCCGCGTGCCGACGACCGCCGCCGCGCCGTCGTCTACAACTTCAAGGCGCCTCGGCCGCCCACCGCGGCGAAAATCTCCGACGCGCAGTTCGTCAACACGTCGCATTGGGATATCGAGCTCTATCTCAACCTGACACGCTCTGCCCCGGTACACCCCCTGGCTTTGGTGGACCTGCCGGAGTACTGGAACCCGTGTAAGCTGGAGGCTCTTGACAGAGACTTGATCGAGTACTGTATGCTTTTTTTCTATCCACCGAGGTCAGCCGGGGAAGGGACGATGGCTGATGCGTCCATCTACATCACCTGTAGTTTGCAGTGTAGCGTCTGCCTCCCTGGCGACATTTGGGCACGACGCCACCGCCCTTGGGCACATACTGGCTCGAACTGCCCTGGATGGACAGACGGCCTCGGCCGCGGCCGTGCTCCAGGCGCTGCTGGCCTTCTCCTCTCTTCATCGCTACGGTCTACAGGCCCAAGCCGTCGAGCTCAAGATCGCGGCTCTGGGAAGCCTGGCGGAAGGATCGGCGGCGCCGAGTCTGGGCGCGAAAGAGGCCGTTCAGCATATCGCCGCGGGCATGCTGATTTGTTCGTTCGAGGTCCACCAGTCGTCTTGCACTTCGGGTCAGTGGACGGGGTACCTCGCCGGTGTCAAGACGGTCATCTCTGTCACCAGACTATCTTTGCTAGAGCCTGGGCCTGATGTGGCCGTCTTGCTGGACTGGGTGCACTACCATGATGTTCTCGCTCGTTTTTCGCTGCTGCACTGGAAGAGAGGAGGGGCGCCGGAGCTCCCATCGACTCCGCCAGATCTTCTTTATTCACAGGTTCGTAAATGTCAAAGGCCACGTAACGACATGAATCGTTGATCTGACCTCGAACCGTTCCAGAACTACAACCTACCGCCGCCTATTTTCGCCATGCTAGATCTCCTATCCCAACTATGCGACACAGTTTCCAGGAGCAACATCCCGCCAGAAACCAGTGACAACGTGGATGATTACAAGAGCTTCCTAGAGGTAATGGACTGGAGAATCAGGAGCCTCCCGATATCCAAGCCACCAGAGGATTCCGACCATGTCCCGGACGATACCGCGTTGATAGTAGAGCTATACCAGCTCGCCATGCTGGTGTACCTCCACCGCAGCTCCGAAGGCCTGCCCGACCAGCCCGTTAGGACGCAACATCACATCGACGAAGCCTTCGCCATCTTCCCCGGCGTGAGCTCCTGCAAACAGCAGTTTCCCATCTTCGTCATCGGCTCTGAGGCGCGGACGGACGAGCAGCGGGCGATAATCCTCGACGTCATCTCCAGGACGGAGGAGACGAGCTCGTGCCGCGGTTTTAATCATTGCAGGGGATTGTTGCAGGCGCTCTGGGCCCAGGACGACCTTGCGTATGGGAGTAGTGTTAGCTATTGTGAGAAGTTGGCCTCGGTGGTGAGCCATTGTGTGGTTGTTCCTACTTTTGTATAGCCACCTTGTCTGGCCACTTGGGGCTTTTACAGGACTTACCAGATTGTACTTCAGAGAGGGCGTTATTCGAACGGTCACAGACCTTACCAGATCGATAGGGCGAGGTCGATTTACCAAGCTATATGTTCAAATACTGCAGTGAGCCAAGAGCTACACCGTAGAGTGTCTGAAGTTTGGTTGACTCAGGGGGTAAAGAGATTTGTGCCCTTTCGAGAGACGATGTCCCTCTAGTAGGAACCCGAAGCAGTTGTGCATGTAGTATTGAGCCAAGGGTAGCTGGAGTTAGAAGGTCTTTTATGAGATACTGAGTGACCTGTAGAATAACCATTCTTCATCCTTTCCTTTTGCCAGACCCGGCTGCTGGTACCACAACTACCCATGAAACAAGCGAGCTACTGTGTGCTGCAGGCTGCAGGCCCATCTCGACCTCGGCGATGATTGCAGATGGTACCTTATGAGCCCACCTGCAGGTTCCTCTGAAGGTACGGTCGACGAAGGCACAACGAGAGAGTCGGTCACCAGTCCATGAAGGAATCATATGGCCGATGCTGTATCTTGCGCCAGAGGCTCTTTCTTTTTCGAGACGACAACCACCACGTCTGCTTTCAAGTGTTCCATTTTACAGTCACCACCGTAATAGATTCCATGGGCTGGGATCCTTTCTAAGCCATTGCCCGTAAATATAGCATGTTTTAGCGACCGGCCTTGGCCCTCTCCAACATAGACCGAACAACAGTCATTTTGAGAAGGACAGCATTGGTGACTGTCGAGAGCACTCTGGACTTTAACGCAGGACGACAATTGTCACTGCGCAAGGGTCGGTTACTCATGGGGCTGGATCATATTTGAACATTGACTGATTAGCGTGGCGTCGTTGATTCTCAGCTTGGATGCCTACCGATTCCGTCTTGACTGGGTCTTATTCAGTTAGTTGAGTCTTGTGATGACTAAGGCTATGAATGAGACCCTGAACATGGATATGAGAGTGTACGGAATGATACCTAGGTAGGTTATTGTTACCAATAAATTGCATGTATAATCTAGCTAGGAAGGAGATATCGTATACTCCCATGCCAACAGAATTTCTAGCCTATTGAAATTGAAACAACCTTGACATTGGGTTGTTGTTTTGACCGTCCTACAAGTAGCCCGTCCACACCCGTGACCAGCCGCTGCCAGCCGGCAGGTACCTATATGCGTAGTAAGCAACTCCCCCTTGAATGTGGGGGCCCGGGGTTGCGAGACATCAGCGACATCAGCTCGATCAACCCTGACGACATGCCCCATCCAGACGCCCCGAATCGTACGTCGCACTGCACTCGTGAGTCGTGGGCCGTGATACGGTGATCCATTCGACTCTTTCCGACTCCCGACTGTCAGACCGCCTGCCAGCTTCGAACTCGTCCCTGATCCCCTGATCCCATGCTCAGTTATTAGCAAGCTATGCGCTGGCCAAAAAGCAAACCGCCAAGCCCGGATTCCCAATAGCTGGACAGTGAACACCTGGTTAGTCAGGGGTGCAGGTCATCAACAAGACTGGCAGACTTGGCTGACCCCTAGACCTGGCATTAGCACCGAAGCCAGGGCTTCCTAGCTGCTCCTATTCCCCATCGTCATGCTGGCTGCACCATCTGAACCACCTGCACCGCCAAGCCAAGACGCATTGGATCGGATCATGGATGTTTGCTACGCGTGACCACCAGTCCGCCAATGATTAATGATCCCATTCGAAATTATCCAATAATACCATGCCGACCCAGCCCGTCGCAGTACACTAACAACACGACGAAATATGCCTTCTCCTTTGTTCAACCAGCATCCAGCGACATCACTACCACCACCACCACAACAACTACCACGCCCGAATCACCGATCCACCACCCTGGCCATCAACAGTGTGCTCGCTCCCAAGTCACCAGTAAACCCCGACTTCTCGAACCCGCCATCCGCCTCCTCTACTACCACCAGCTTCAACAAGATCGACTGGTCCTCAGATGGTGGCCTACCGTCCTCCGCGCATGCCGCCCACCGCCGTCCCGAAGACATCGAGATGGACCCAATAATAGGAGGCCCAGCTGGCCACCGCCGCCGGCGGAGCACTCTCACCGCCGGACCCAGCAGCAGCTCGCAACCTCCCAACACCCGAACGTCGCGCCCGCGTGCCGCCAGCATAAAGACACCGGGCGACCCGACTGCCAAGATTTCGGAAGAAAGCCAGGGACTGCTGGTCTCGCCGCGACCAGAACACGTGGACGATGACAGTCTGTCAGACGAGGATTTACACGATGACGAGGAGACGGGATTGACCAAGAAAGACAAGCGGAAGAAGCGAGACAAGCGCCGGCGGAACACGAGACTCGACCAGAGGATTGTACGCGACAAGATCACCGACGAGGAAAAGAAAGAGGCAGACCAGAACTTCTTCAGAAAGCTGGGTATCAATGCTGTCCTGATTGGGCTTTGGTACCTGTTTTCGCTGTCTATTTCCCTGGTAAGTGCTTCCATTTGCTGCTACCCATATTGTTGGCGCTTTTCGAGGAGCCCTCTTTGCTGACAATGGCTACTACCATACAGTACAACAAGTGGATGTTCGATTCCAACCAACTCAACTTTGCGTTTCCCTTATTCACGACCGCAATGCATATGCTGGTGCAGTTCACCCTCGCCGGTTTGGTGTTATACTTCATACCCTCCCTACGGCCTGGCTATGCGCAGCACAGTTCCGACCTTGGCCGGTCACGACACGAGTCCGAGCCCGAACGGCCCATCATGACCAAGATGTTTTATCTGACGAGGATTGGGCCGTGTGGTGCGGCTACAGGTCTAGACATCGGCCTGGGAAATACGTCGCTAAAGATTATAACCCTGACCTTCTACAGTAGGTTGTACGGCGAGACATGTCTGGAGAACGGGAGCTAATGCGTCTTTAGCCATGTGCAAATCGTCCTCACTAGCATTTGTGCTCATCTTTGCCTTCTTTTTTCGTCTCGAAACTCCTACGTGGAGGCTTGTAGGCATCATCGCAACTATGACAGCTGGCGTGGTTATGATGGTGGCGGGAGAGGTCGAATTCAAACTAAGGGGCTTCATCCTAGTTATTTCGGCCGCATTCTTCTCAGGCTTTCGCTGGGGCCTCACCCAAATTCTTCTCCTTCGACATCCAGCTACCTCAAACCCTTTTTCGAGCATTTTCCTCCTGGCGCCCGTCATGTTTGCCACATTGCTGGTAATCGCCTTCCCTGTGGAAGGCTTCTTTGAATTGATAGAGGGACTCAAGGTGTTGAGCAACGAGTGGGGTTCTGTCAAAGCACCCTTGATTCTGCTGTTCCCGGGAACCATCGCTTTCCTTATGACGGCTAGCGAGTTCGCTCTGCTGCAGCGAAGTAGCGTCGTCACCCTTTCCATCGCCGGTATCTTCAAGGAGGTCGTCACCATCTTGGCAGCAGCACTGGTCTTCGACGACAAGCTCACACCCATCAACATCTCTGGTCTGCTCGTGACCATTGGCGCTATCGGCGCGTACAATTGGATCAAACTGACCAAGATGCGGGACGAGGCGCAGAGGGATGTACACACCAAGGCGTATCAACAGGCGCAGTCCGGGTCGTCAAGCGACCTAAGCGACTCCGACGAGGAAGAAGCCGGCTTGCTCGCCCACGAGGATGCTAGCGGTGTAGAGGATAACCTCGTCACCGTGGACGGCGACTTGATGCCGAGACCCAAGACGCCCAAGCGTTCAGAAGATGGGAGATCACTTCGGACAGAACACGCGCGGGAAGACTAAGCTGCCAAAGTAGTCTGGATCCTTTTCATCTTTTCTGTACATCGACTCACAAAGGAATGGAAGAGTGGAACTCTTGGTCTGCAACTGTACACCTCATCTGGCTTCTGGCATATAGGGAAAGGAGTTGCAAGGGAATAAACCCCTCCAAGGGGTTGGGTTTAGCATCTTGGACATGGAAACTGGCAGAGAGTTGACAGGCTGGTAGTGCCGCCAACTCCCTTGGTCGCCATCCTACGACTGGATGGATTGTAATTGCGCAACGAGACTATAGAACGTGAATCGGTGAGAGTGCAGCATAGACTGGACGGAAGGTCACGGAGGAAATATACCCGCTGCGCAGTTGGCAGGACTTGAAGAGATATGACTGGTAGGGCGAGGGCGTGCGTGATCTGAGACGAAGTGAACAGATGAACCTGACTCTGGATAAGATGGCGAATCCAGTCAGAACTCTGGGCTTCGCCTGTCGCAATGTACATATATTGTTCGATACGCACGACTCATGGATACGACTTCTCATGATGCGAGCAAGAGATCACTTACTTAGGGGCTCTGCCTACCTGCTTGTGTTCCGCTGCTCGTGAATCTTGGTCCAATTAACCTTGCTGACACTGGTCGAATCGCGCCCCTACCACATACACATCATAGCGTATGGACGATCTTGATACCGGTGACTGATCGTTTGGGTTTTGGAGGACTGGTCGTGTGAGTATCAAGCTCTCTTGTTGAACTCAAACTTGGATGTCAGACAGGTACTTACCTACCTACTTACTTAGGTAGCAAGTAAGTAGGTACATTCACCCCTATACATATAAGCCTTCCGTCCGCGCACATCGAGGGTTCCTTTCTCCCCCTAATAAGATGTAGGTAGACAGTAGGTAGAACAAACACCCTGGAATGAGAATGAGCAGTTATAGTCTAATATGCCACGCTTATGCTTATGCTTATTCCACAGTCACTATTGAAAACATATCCTTGAATGTTCTAAATTTCGATCACGGGGTATACGGAGACTTCGGAGGGTCCAATGTAGGTACTTAGGTAGATATAGATAGATACTTAAGGTACCAAGGAGACGGTTTCGACGACTCATTACTTCTGTATACGAGTGCAGTTTCTGCTTACTTAGGCTCACCATGTTCCGTGTCTCTTTCCTGTTAGCCATCATCACCCAAAACGCAAGCATGAGTCGGACTGTAGTTCGCAAGGATAAGTACATAAATCACAGAAGAAAGTGTGGAACTGATTCGGCAAAAACTGGTATAGTGGGTTTTCTTGTCTGTTTTTGCTATACTGAAGCTCTATCATCTTCGTCGGTCCGTTATCCCGCCGATCGAGTATTAGTATATACAGCAAGCGCAACATCTGTACGACCAGCCTATACGAAGCCAACGTGTCCTTGCGGGCCAGACGCCAAATGTGTTACGCCGGTGCGCATGTCCTCTTCGCCAGCACCTGGCCTTTCTCTTGCCTTGACTCCACCGTGCTCATTTAGCCAATCCGGTGTATGCAAATGGCCTACAGAGATAGAGCCAAGCCTCAAAGAAGACTACTGACTTCGAGAGCAAGCATGTCCGGGAGTCTACTCATAGTCCTCGCTTTTGGACGTATCCCAACAACAAGATAAGTTTCTTGCTTCGGGAAGACGAGCTCAACCCAGCAACTTCAGCCCACCCTTCGTCTTCTGGCCGGGCTTGGTGATTCCCCCACCCTGGGGTCCCAGACTCGGCTCAAAGCCCTCCTCCCGTCCCCCAGCATCGCCGCCCCCTGAGCCGTTTCCGCTGCGGTTCTTGTTCTTGTTCTTATTCTTGTTGTACTTGTTATTGGGGTGGCGTTTATCCTTGACGGTCTGGGGCTTGATCTCGGTGGTGCTCTTGCGCACGACGACGGGGTGACTCTGGATGTACTTGCCGTTCATCTCCTTAGCGGCCGAGAAGAACTCGTCCGGGTCGCTGAAAGACACAAAACCGAAGCCCTTGGACTTGCTCGTCACCTTGTCGCGGATCACGCGCGCCTTTTGCAGCGACTTCCACCGCGAGAAGGCCTTGTACAAACTCTCGTCCGTGGTCTCGCCCGCCAGGTTGCCGACGAACAGCCGTAGGTGCGCTGGGTCCCACTCCAGTAGCGTGTCATCTGTCCACTTCTGTCCGCCGCCGGCGCGCACCACTGTCTTCTTCTTGTCACCGCTGGCCACGGCCGCTGCTGCGTTGGCCGCCACTTCCGACAGACGGTTGGCAGCTTCAGCTGAATACGCGGTTGTGCCGTTAGCACCGGTCGCGACGGCACCATTTATTCCTGGTGCCCTCCCCAGACCTCCTGCTCCTGCCGGGGCTGCGCTGCCGGCATCCTTGGAGTCTTTTGAGTATGCACTCTGCCACTGCGCAATCTGCGCCGCCATGTCCGGATCGTAATCATCGGTTCTAGCCTGATCGGGCGCCGGGAAGGGGTTGCGGATTTGGGGCGCGGCGGAGTACGAGGCCGGTGCGCCGCTGTTGGCCGATGCTGCTGCCTGCGCGCCATAGTAGTCTTGTTGAGCGTAGCCGCCACCCTGCTGCGGGTACGAGGGGTATGCGGGTTGTGATGAATAGCTGTTGCCTGGGCCGCTGCTCATCGGAGGCGGCGCGTAGGGCTGGTAGGTGGACGGCGGAGCGCCATAGTGTGCGGGTGCGCCTGCATAGCTGGGCGCACTGGAGTACGAGGGCGGGGCTGCGTAGGGGGTGCCTCGGGCGCCGGAACTTGGGGTGTGCGTCGGCGGTGTCGCTGTTGCGGAGAAGGCGGGCTTGAAGCCGGAGATCTTGGAGGGAGGTGGGCGCGGTGGAAGCGACGAGTTCGAGCCTGGAGCACCCGGATAGGACATGATGAACTTTGCTGTGCGCCCGATGCGGTTTCTTTTGTTCGGGGCTGCACGTACCTATGAGCCGAGTCTGCAATCAACTCACTCTGTTCTTCTCTACAATGAGCCACGCGATGAAGTCGACGTCTGGTTCAGTCGAGATGGATGGTAAACGTGTTGTGCGTGTGCCGTTTCGTGACGTCGGCAAGACTGTTGTTGCAGATTGGAGATGCCCGTTCTTGGTAGAAAAAGATGGAGGAGCTTCGACTGGGGAACAGTTCCGTTGTGGCTGGAGCTTTGTGGCGTTTTTCACGTGACTTGCCAGCCTTGATGTTATTCCTTACCGGGGGGTTGCGGTGCATCAATTCATTGCTCTCGCGAATTCGACTTCAACCAACCCCACAGGTAACCAAATACATACCTTTACGACAAGACGTTCCTTCAAATCTGTACGCTTAGCAGTTTGATTTTACGAAATCTAGTAACCTTCTCTTGGTCAGAACTCTGGGTGGAAGGATCGGGTGGGATATGATGACCGCACATCCATGCTACCCGGACGTAAAAGTGATGCGCCAGAGGGCCGGAAACCCGTCAACGGGCCGAGAACAATGTTCGATTGGCGACGAGACGCGAGATTGAAGGCAGCGCAAAACCCATTGGTCAGCTGTATACTACAGTAGCTAGTAGCCTGGTGGCCGACTTTTTTCTCCATGAGGCAATTTCATAGCCGGGTAAAGCTACCTACGGTATGTCGTCACGCTCTGTGACTCTGTCTGCATGGACGGACTGCCCTTGAAGAAGAGATGGGTACCCGGACATAGCCAGACACCTGCAGCCAGAAGAGCTGGCCACGAGGTACAGTATCACGGTTAACCTCGACTAACGATGGATCGGCTGCTGGCCACGAGCCCGAGCTGTGTGCTAGCATTGCTCCGCGTGCTCCGACCACCTGCAGTCGCATTGCGAAACACCAGTGATGCGAGTAGAGGCTTCCTGAATCACCGACCGGTTTAGGAGGTGTCCGCAGAAGACAAGGGGAAAAGGGGAAAAAGGGAATATAGTAGCATCCGCGGTGAATGAGGTGATGTCTGATGTCGATATGATACTTGCTCTTGGGACTGCATGCCTGATCTCAGCTGTGGCTAGAAGAACGGCAAGAGCGGAATCGTGGAAAACATTGGGCGGCGGCCCCGGACCGACTTCCACTGGTCATGCTGACTGCACCATGAGAGGACATATCAGTTCATTTTTCCGGTCACGGCCGGAGGAGGCGGAGGAGGCGGGAGGAGGAGGAGCTTTGTTGAAGTCTGAACTACATGGACGTTTCGCGGCTGCCCTGGCATCAATAATAATACCTACCGTAACATTGAAGCCCGGCAGCTCCGATGCGATGTGTACGGTACATAAATCCAGCATGTTTCAAAGTATTATTTGATGGGTAGTTCGGTGTTATTTTGGCTTCTCCACCTCTCAGGCGTGAGGTCAGATTCTGTGCTGGGGCCGTCTCTCGCTGCTCGCTCCTTCCCGGGCAATCATGACAATTTTACACCTCCGACCCCTCCGACCCAGCTGCCCCTCCATCCCATCATAGATAGAAAAGTAATCAACACACACAACACACCCAACTTCTTCCCGCCCATCCGTCACTTTCTTCCACCTCCGTCCATTTCACACAAACCAGCTACCAAACCATCCCGTCACGCACATCATAGCTTGCTCTCTTTTGGTGACAACAATCATCAATTCCTTAATTCTCTAATCGAGTTCGCTATCCGCAATACCGCAACCATGTCTGGCGCCACGTAAGTCCGCTCTCTTACCCAGCACAACCGTCAATCAACACCCCTCAGTCACCCAGAAGCAGCCGCAGAAGATGAAGATGCCACCCCCACCAACCCCGCCGCCTGTTCCGGCTGTATTCCATTGCCCTTCAATGTCTCTCAATGTCTCTCAATGTCCTCGACATGCCCAATGCCATCAATCATCTGTGCCATCTCGTTGCCTTCAACCTATGTGACTGAAACGGCTTGCTGGGTCAATCTAGCGCTCGTCTCGCCAGCATAGCTAGTTCCTTTGGTGGTGGAAGGCGAGCTTCTTTTCCTCGTTGCGCCGCGCCATCCCCTCTCAGCTGCACTCCTACCTCCGAAGTCATGCTAACTCTCCCGGAAGTGCTGATCTCGGCCTCATTGGCCTGGCCGTCATGTAAGTCAATATCCCAATTCCCAGTACCCATGGCTTCCTGACATGCTCACCTCTCGTTAGGGGTCAGAACTTGATTCTGAACATGGCCGACCACGGCTTCACCATCTGCGCCTTCAACCGAACCGTTTCCAAGGTAGACCACTTCCTGGCCAACGAGGCCAAGGGCAAGTCCATCATCGGTGCCCACTCCACCGAGGAGTTCATTTCCAAGCTCAAGAAGCCCCGTCGTGTCATGCTGCTCGTCCAGGCCGGCAAGGCTGTCGACGACTGGATCGAGAACGTGCTCCCTCTCCTCGAGAAGGGCGACATCATCATTGACGGTGGCAACTCTCACTTCCCTGACTCCAACCGCCGAACCCAATACCTGAACGGTAAGGGCATCCGGTTCGTCGGCTCCGGTGTATCCGGTGGTGAGGAGGGTGCTCGATACGGTCCCTCCATTATGCCCGGTGGTAACGAGGAGGCGTGGCCCCATATCAAGGACATCTTCCAGAGCATCTCCGCCAAGAGTGGTGACGAGCCTTGCTGTGAGTGGGTTGGTGACGAGGGTGCTGGTCACTACGTCAAGATGGTACACAACGGTATTGAGTACGGTGACATGCAACTTATCTGCGAGGTATGCCACCCTATAACACTTTCTGTCGCCGAAGACGATGTTGACCTCGACCTCGCCAGGCATACGATATCATGAAGCGTGGTCTCGGTATGACCAACAAGGAGATGGGCGACGTTTTCGCCAAGTGGAACAAGGGCGTGTTGGATTCCTTCCTCATCGAGATCACCCGGGACATCATGTACTACAACGATGATGACGGAACCGCACTGGTCGAGAAGATCCTGGACCAGGCTGGTCAGAAGGGTACTGGCAAGTGGACCGCCATCAACGCTCTGGACCTCGGAATGCCTGTCACCCTGATTGCCGAATCTGTGCTCGCCCGTTGCCTGTCTTCTCTCAAGTCCGAGCGAGTAACCGCGTCGAAGAAACTCCAGTACATTGCCCGTTCGACCAAGTTCGAGGGTGACAAGGAGCAGTTCCTTGACGACCTCGAGCAAGCTCTGTACGCGTCCAAGATCATCTCGTATGCTCAGGGTTTCATGTTGATGCAAGATGTGAGTAACGACCTAACCCTTCACTTCTTTCCAAGCGGCCCATGCAGTTTGCTGACGAAAACACATAGGCTGCCAAGCAATACGGCTGGAAGCTCAACAAGCCCTCGATCGCTCTGATGTGGCGTGGAGGTTGCATTATTCGCTCCGTCTTCTTGAAGGACATCACCTCTGCGTACAGGGAAACACCCGATCTCGAGAACTTGTTGTTCAATGACTTTTTCAACAAGGCCATCAACAAGGCGCAACCTGGCTGGAGAGATGTCATCGGCAAGGCCGCGGCGCTGGGTATCCCAACGCCGTGTTTCTCGACGGCGCTCAACTGGTTCGACGGCTACCGCACCGAGGACCTGCCGGCCAACCTACTCCAGGCCCAACGTGACTACTTCGGTGCGCACACCTTCCAGATCAAGCCCAAGGCTGCCAACGAGAAGTACCCCGAAGGAAAATACAACCACGTCAACTGGACTGGACGTGGAGGCAATGTTTCTGCTTCCACATACCAAGCATAAGAACGTAATGAGGCTTGAAAGGCCTATCTGTGGAATGGCGCAGTGAAATAGGCAGTAACTTAGCAAGTAGACGAGTCAATAGACCCAGGCATAACTGAAGATGCTAGGAGAATGAACACAACTATTGTCTATCATGTGAAGAAATGCAATTAAGGGCTGTGACGTGGTCTGTGCACTACCTAAAAGCCACTCAGCCACTGACCTTGGAATTCAGCCACAAGTTGGCTAGGTCGCCTTAGGTAGGGCGCTGCAACAAAAACCTCCACCCGACAGCTCCACCGCGGAGAGCTTCTGTCGCGCATTCTCGCGACATCCAAATTGGCGTCTTTCGTACAGCTTCGTCTTCAACATTGCCCTTTGCGCCGCGCCAGTCCTGCGTCTACAATCGACAAGCTCGCACTTGGCCGCACCCGACTTGTGTACGGCGTACGCAGTTTCACCAAAGCTCAACCAATTTGTTCAATTCCCACCCTTGACAACTGGTGACCCGGGAACAGAATGTCGTCCATCAGCGACCCCAGTTACGGGGTCAACAGAGATCTCCTCCCTCATGTCCATCTCATGTCCACCTATCGATACACCTTCAAGGCCCAGGTGCAGCCGCAGGAAGTCACCGCTTGGCTGATGCAGGCGCCAAAGATCGCTCGCGACACCGCACCCTTCTTCTGGACTTACGTCGACCGACCCGAACACGGACATATCAGTCTCAACTGGCAGCCGCTGCAGCTGATGGGAACCAACTACGCCAGCGACGGTTTCATATGGCCTGCTCAAGAGTCCTATTACCAGCAGGAAGTGGGCAACGGTGTGGTAAGTCGCGATCGCAGGCCGCCGAGGTAGTATACCAACCAGGTTCCTTGCTGACCACGCCAGATTCTGGAAATGTACTATCACAAGGCTGGGTTCGCATACGGAGAGCCCATGGCAACCCATTCCCGCCGCCGCTTCCGATTAATTCCTCCGAATGCCCCTAACCCAAACGCTCCCCAAGTCGACCCGAGTCTCTGGATTGTACACTACGGCCCAATCGACCACAACGAGCGAATTCCCTCGCAAGCGATCCGCGGCGATGCTCGAACGGCGTCTATTCTGGAGACTCGCCTTTACCTTCAGCGATGCGGGCAGATCCAGCGGAAAGAATTCATCCTAGGCGACCGAGTCAACTGGCCGCAGATAAGCTGGCCTAGAGAGCTATCGCGACAGCAGATGTACCCTGCGAATCGAGGCGTCCCTCAGGCTATGGCCTATCCCGCTCATCCACCCGGCGCTGGCGGTCCGCCATCTAAGCGTTCTCGGACCAACCAGTCTGCTCATGGGCAAATAGCTCCGATGGCTGCCATCGCCCAGTCAGATAGCACTTACGATGATGACGAGGACACGTCTCGTGGCGATCTCTTTGACCATATGACGCCTCGCGACATCAGCCTGGTTCGCTATCGTCAAAACCATGAATGGATGGAGGAGATCCTGTCTTCGCCGTATAGAATGGATCAGATTGGGTTTGCAGATCTGGGCCTCGGGCTCAAGGGCGAACTCTCTGGTCTCACTGATGGTATATATGAGTCTTATGGACCCGAGGCAACAACGAAACCGTCCTCGAAGCCTGCTACGACCCACTTGGACCCTGAGCTGGCTTCCGAATTCACGAAGCGAGTAACCGATCGCATTGACTTTACAAAAGCGGATATTGAGAAGATGAAAGCGGACCACGCGAAGAAGATGGCCAAATTCAAGCGCAACTCCTTGTTGACTACTGCTGAGAGAGAGCTACGATCCGCTATAGATGACGCCGGCGAGGACGGCTTGCTTCTAGAAGGCCAGGTAGAGGAAAGCGAGGAGGGGGTGAACCAGTGGCCCTCCAAGCATACCAAGAAGGTTGAGGACATCGTTGCTCAAGTAGAAGCACACCTGGGCCGCCAGGCGGAGGTGATTCATGACTTGAAGAGGATTCACAAAGGTGGCTACCAGGAGCCCGCCCCTGAACCTGCGCCCGACGCATCTGTCCATCAGCCCAGTGCGGGCGGTCCTCAAATTGGTGTTGCAAATGGAAGCAACACAATGTCGCGTCAGCCGTCCCATGCTGGCTCGCAACAGAGCGGCTTCATGATTGGCGACTCTGATATCGACATGGGTGGAACGGCCGCAGGACTTCTGGATCAGAGTATGTAATTTCTTGAGTCGCCTTTCTATCCCTCGTGTCGGATCTAGGTCAATATCTGCTTCTCCTGGCATTTTCTACGGGTGCTGTCTCACCTCTCCATCTCCGCCGCGTCTTGCATTCTTTTCATCCGAACCATTCCAAAGATGGCAATTATTAAATCATGTTGTCTCAGTGCACGCGGGTGGTTCATCAACCTCTACGCCCCAGCCACAGTTGTCGGCTGCTCAGTCCAGCGCCGCCACCCCTGCGAACCTGAACGTGCCCTCGCCGCGGCCGCCACACCCACAAGCGTCCGGCACGGCGGCCAAGCAGGGTGTTGATGCGAAAATGGACGGTACGGGGGCAACAACTGGGCAGCCGGCCGGAACCGCTCCTGACCAGGGGACAGGCAGCGGCGACTGGGTCGTGGTCCCCAAAGGCGGAGCTACTACACCGGACGCTGGGGCAGGCTCTGCTGCTGCTGCTGCTGCTGCTGCTGCGAGTGGCGCACCCCCAACGAAGGCGGCGGCGGGGAATGCTAGCAAGCAGGACTCGGCGATGGGGACGCCTTCGATGGGGTTTGAAGGCGATCAGAACGACTTTAGCGAGCTGGACGACTTGAACTCGGCGGGGGATGCTCTGGCTGAGTTTGGCGCTGGCGACGACGATGGGGGTATGGATGAGGAGGGTATGGATATGAGTATGGACGACTCGGCGTTCGGGGATGCGTTCCATGGCGTTGAGACGCGGGGGGGAGGGGATACGCCTGCTGATAGCAACTCGTAGGGCGTCACTGCACCCGGGGCGATCCCAGAGTGGAGGGGATAGTCTTGCTGGCGGTGGTGGTAAACATGAATGCCTCCGGTGGGATTGGATGATGATGATTGAAGGATTGAAAGGGCGTTGGTGGCGACTAAGGGGCTGTTTGGGTCATCGAGGCGCTTGTGTAGGATCGCTTTTGTGATGGAGTTTGCAGAACTTGATGCTCATCAAGACATGGAGAGAGCTGCGAGGTAGTTTGCTCTTGTGGCAAGGCAACTTTGGCACGGACACTGGTCAGACAGATGTAGGCATTATGGAAGTGCTCTGGAGATGGGCTTGCATTGTATTGTATTTTGTTTGGGTATTGGCAATGGAAGTTTTGGTGAACTCGTATTTCCTGTCATAGCTGTGAATAGAATGCCTTGATGGCTTGTAGTCTGAGATTTCAGTTGTGTTGATACCTACGGGGCCAAGGTCAAGTTGTTCCGCAGCCATGTTGTTCCGCGCTTGTTTCCAGAACTTGGAAGCTTTCTTAAGGCGTTTCAACACCACCTAACCCCAACCAACCCCAAGTTTCAGCGGCAAGCTTCCAAAAGCAACCAGCCGCCAACAATTTATGGTCACGAATCATTACAATACCATCTCATTTCTTGCTTCTGATAAGGCTCATTCAATTCGACTTTTGAGTCTTGCAGAAAGATTCGAACGCCAAGAGCCTCTTGGCACCGGGCTGAGACGCGAGGTTGTTGTTCGCTTGATGAAGTCGTCCCGATGAGGCGAGTTTCACATCGCGCAGGGGCACCCGGGAGCGACGTCTGCCGTGCTGCTGGGCCTGCCACTTCAAAGGGCGCACGCACCAGCCTGCATCAGTCTGAAGTCTGGACTCTGGATCTGGGGTCGCGGCTGGCTCTTTACCCGCATCGACTGGGGATCAAGCAGATGACACCTCAGCGTGCTGTTCCGCAAAGCTTATTGGACCCCTTAGATGTCTCCGTTGTTGCCTTGTTTGCTAGGTATGCTGCTCGGCACCGTCCGACCGGGCTTGGTGGAACATGTGGCCTTGCCTCCTGTTTGCTGGGCTCTTTCTTTCTGGTATTATTGTTGTGACTCCGTGACTGATTCAACGCAGGGCATTGCACTAGCATAATGTACAGGAAAGCTCGCTTGCTGTCTGCTCGGGGACCTACCTGTGCCTTTCCTTTAGGGTCGACATGCCTCATGCTTGCCAGGTGCCGGTTCTTACCTGCCTGTCAGCTTCCTGACACATGGATCTTCGTCTGGGTTGGAACCTGTCAACGAGGTGCCCGTCACTATTGGAGAGCAGGAGATGGATGACATGGTCTGCACCAGTGCAGTTCAGAGTCTGGACCAAGCGGTCGAGCTGTCAGTCAAACACCAGACCCTATCTCCATGGGCTGAGAAACAAGAGCCAAGCATTGTCAGGTCAGGCAAGAAGGGACGATACCCCTCCCTCCGCCGGACCAGAACTCAAACTCCTGCCTACCGCAGATCATGAAGACAAGCCGGAAACACACGGCCTGGACTGGATGTGGACAAGGCATTACATATATTCTGATCACTTGGGCAGACCATGTCCACACGCGCCTCTGTCCCGTGTATCCTAGCCACATCTCTGTCCTTCCCGTCTCTGGAAGTCGCGATCTCTTTCTATCGTTGTTTCTTCTTTTCCTCATTATTCGCTTCGCTTCCAGTCACTCATTCACCCAGTCTGCTGGCCAGCCGTACTGTTGAGCAGTCCCCTTTACGTTCTCCTTTCCCTGTTTTTGATACCCCCCTTGCGGACTTACGTACATACCTCTACCTCTGATTTGTTTGTTTACATAACCGTCTAATAATCTAAATTTACATATTCAAAGATGAGGCACTCCAACATCACCGCGGCCCTGGCCGTCCTCCTCGCAACCTCCCTCGGCGGCGTCGGCGTCTACGCCGCGCCAGCCCGACAGGCACAGGCCGAGTCTGGCGGCGAGAGCCAGGAGCTGCAGCAGCTTCCGGGAGCCGACGCGGCTGCGGGAGCTGGGAGTGATACTGGGCTGGTTGCCCTCCCTGGCGCCGCTGCCACTGCTGGCGAGCTGGTGGCTCTACCTGGTGCTGGAGGGGCGGCGGAGACGAGCGCTGCGACTGTTGAGACTACGAGTGCGGCAGCGGTCGTCGAGACTTCCAGTGCGTCAGAGGTTGTTGGGACTACAAGTGCTGCTGAAGTTATCGCTACGAGCGTCGCGGCTGTCGTCGAGAGTACAAGTGCCGCTCAAGTGGTCGCCACTTCCGCAACTGAGGTAAGTCTCCTTAACTATGTTCCTCAACCGTTATATTCATCATTCTAACCGATACTAGGCTCTCGTAGCGGCTTCAAGTACAGCTTCCGTTGCCGGCTTCCAGACCATCGGCGATGCGACGACCGCCAGTGAGGCCGCGGCAGCTCTCATCGCGACCTCGTCTGCCGCTGCTGGTGTCGGTGCAGGTCTCGGCGGCGCCATCGCAGAATCTAATGCCACCCTCGCTGCTGCCACCACCACCGGCGGCTTCCAAACCATTGGCGCCGACACCGCAACCACTAGCTCTGCTGCGGCGGCGGCTCTGACACCCATAGGAGGCCTGGCTGCGGCTTTGAATGCTACATCCGCCGCCGTGGCCGTTGCCGCGGGCAAAACAGCCGCTGCCTCGCCCGCAACCGAGGCCCTCCCCGGCAGCGCGGGCGTCATGACTTCGTCCGCTGCGCTGCAGGCCCTGCCCACAACGACCGAGTCCGACGCTTCTGGCGAGACTGCTGCCGTTGGCGAGGACGCAGCCACATCTGCGTCCGCGTCCTCGGACTCCCTCGCCGCTCTCCCCAGCGCCGGAGTCGTCTCTTCCGGCGCCCTGCAGGAGCTTCCCGGCGCGGTTTCGGCCACGGAATCTGGAGCCGCTGCCGGGAGCGATAGCGAGAGCGAGAGCGGTGTTGCCGGCCCCGGCTCCGCGTCTGCCTCGATTACTGGTACTGTCTCGGGCGCCGCCCTCCTGGCCCAGGCCACCGACACAACGCTGCAGCAGCTCCCCGGCACGCAGATGACGACGGGGTCCCTGGCGCCGCTGTCGTCTTCCGGCGTCGCGGGCGCCACGGGTGGCAGGGCGAGCGCGACTGGCGCGTTCGCGTTCGCGGCCAGTGCCAGTGCGCAGGCTACTGTTAATCCGAATGCGGCGGCTGGGCTCGAGGCGGGAGGGGTTTTGTTTGTTACGGTTGTTGCTGGGTTGGTTGGGGTTGTGGGTGGGTTTTGGTTTTAGGGGGGGTGACGGGGGGTTGTGGTGATGGGGGTTGTGTGAGTTGAGGCGGTGGATAGGGGGTGAGGGAGCGGATAGGAGGGTGATCGGATGAAAAGGGGGCAATGTTAAGAATGATAATGTATCCCGGTGTATCTCACCCACTACCGTTGAGAAACACCTATCAAGCTATAGAATTGGCTTTACTATCCTTGAATCTTCTCGTAGTTGTTGTTGGGACATCACGAGCATGGGTATAATATTGTGAAGGACAAATTATACGGCGCGACGATCAGTCAAAATGAGTCCAGATTGAACGAGAATACGTCCACCGCAAGACTGAGCGAGCACAAGACGGCAGCTTCTCCTTTCGTTACAAGGAGGTTGGTTGATGGGGCCGGTTTATGGGTGTACTATGCTGGGTCCTGTTACGGCTGTGTCTTGTCTGTGTCTGTATACGGTGTTGACGAGGAGGAGAGGGGCATGTGCTGGGTGATGCTCCGGTGGCTGGGACGCCGCTGTACTCATCCAGTGAAGGGCTTGATACCGGGCGATTATCGACAGCTCTGGCTTCGATACTGCATCTCAGGATTCATATACGCAAGGGCAGGCAGGCGACGGTCAGTCTTGTCTTGGACAAATGGACAGATCGTGCTGAGCGACGACCCTCCGGACAAGAGTATCAAGCTGAGGCTTTTGGAGTCAGCGTCGGCGCCTGCGCAGGCGACGGCCAGAGACTCTGTGCTTAAGACGAGGAGGCGAGGCGCAAGGGGCGGAGTGGGGATGAATGTGTCTGTGGGGAAGTTATTGGAGCCGGACTTCCTGAGGCAGGTGAGGGAGAGTTGTATGTATGCTGGATGGTGCTTGAGGCTTGGGCGGATAAGTAACCAGCTTCGACGACAACGAACTATGGGGAAGAAGGTATGACTATGCAGCGTACCCGGCGACAACGACTGCATGCTCATCATGCAGTAGGGAACATAGGCGCATACAGAGGTTTGGCCGAACTGCTGCTGAGATCAAGCCGAAGCGCAGAGGGTGGTTGTTCGTATGAAGCTCGATTGCTAGCTACCTAGTAGATGTACCTAAAGTTGAGGTTCTCACGATCTTTCCTCTGGTCAGTACATCTCGCAGAGCTGTTTGTTGATACTATAGCACTTGACTTACCAGTCATATCGCTAAAAGCCGTAGCATCCAGATCCCTTCCCTCCAGCCCGCCCTCCATCTGGCTCTGGATGCGGTCTCTCCGCCTGTTCTCCCTCGCAAGTATGAACCGCAGCAACAAGATGACGCAGACTTCGATCAGGTGCGACACGATCATGCTCCAGATCCCGAGCGGATACTGGGGTGATTGGTCGGTTTTGTAGAAGAAAGGGCCTGCGATGTTGCCGGTGCAGTAGCCCAGGAAGAGCACGGCGTTCGTGACGACTTTCTTGGTGTGCCCGGCCGTGTTGGCCGTGGTCATGGAGAGAATCATCACGAACGCTGCGTTGTACGGTCCGGTGAGATAGTACGATACCAGTCTTCCGGCCCGGTTGTCTGCACCTATGAAGAGGAGACCAACGGAGCCGGCGATATTGGGGCATAGAAATAGTAGGATGGACCAGCACCGAGTCTGTCGTCCGTTTTTAGAGAAGTGGTTGTCGAGGAAGACGCACGCGAGAATAGAGACGGCGATGATGCAGCCGTATGGGACCTGCATCAGTGTGGTAACGAGCGTGGAGAAGCCGAAGCCTTGGATGATGATCGTGCCGAAGTTGCTGATCCCGCCATTCGGTATGTTACCCACGACTCCCAGAAAGAAGAAGACGTACAATTTGATGTCCCTGAAGGCCTCGCGGACTTGATACCACTTGAAGCGCTTGTTCTCCACGCCCGTCTGGTTCTCCCGGAGACGCTCGACGGCTATCCGCTTCTCCCTTGTCGAGAGGCCCTTGGCTGTGACGGGGCTGTCGGGAAGGAAGATATACATGACGACCCCCCAGATACAGCACAGGGCGCCGATGATGATGAACTCGAACTTCCATGACGGAAGACCGCCGTTGATGTTGCCGATACCGAAGCCCAGTAGCCCTCCCAGAGCGATGCCGAAGCCGTTGGCGGTGTACCAGAGACCCATCCGGACAGGCTGTTGGCGGCGCGTGTACCACATACTGGTGATCAGCATGAAACTCGGATCCGAACACGCCTCCGCCGCACCCGCGAGGGCGCGAAGGGCAGCGAGGCCGGCGAAGTTCTTGGCCGCTGCTTGCATCATCAAGAACGCGCCCCAGCAGAAGATGTTGAAGCCCAGGTAGCGGCCGACGGGCAACCGCTGCATCAAGAGGTTTGTCGGAAGCGCCCAGGCCAAGAAGCCGAAGTAGAAGATACTACTGAGCCAGCTGTATTCCGTCCCAACCAGGTTGAGGTCGTCTTGGATGCCGAAAATTGCTGCGTAGGAAAGGGTGGTCTTGTCGATGTAGAAGAAGGCGTAGCAGACGGCCAGGTACGGCAGGATCATCATGTCGACCTTGCGGACGACCTTCTTCTCCTCGAGCGGGTCGATGGGCTCACGTATCTCTGCCGGCGAGCTGAAGAGGGCCATGGCTGTATCGCCATCGCCGGCTTTGGAGACCTTCCATCTTGACTGCTGCTGCTCGGTGCCAGAGGCGGTCTCTGCGTGTACAATCTCCTCACCATCTTTCCCATAGCCGTGCTCTATGCGCTCTGGTGAGATGGAGCTAGGCGTGATGTCGTCCGCGTGTATGTTTGTCCTCTTGAAGATTCCCATCGTTGCGAATTCGGAATCACCGCTAACTTACCAGAGCAGGATGATGTCCGATTTCAGGGGTCACGGAGATGAGGCGAGACGAAAGGTGAAGAGCAACAACAACAGCAGCGGAAGCGGCGGCGGCGAATGGTTGTTTTCAATGTACTACTGCTACAAATTATCTTACGCACGCCCAAGGTTTCGGCATAATCTGCCGCTTCGCAGCGGCATATCTTTGCATCGAGCATTCCGGCAGTGACCCCCTCATTTTCGAGTCCGGAGCTGGAGAAGGTAGAAAGTTTTCGATGTTGTCATCCCCGGATCATGTCCGCATGCAACCACATGCAGTGCCATAACCGGCAAAAGATTGGCGGGAGCTCTCTGCCGCTCCTGTTCGCGGCATCCCCGCTACGTCCGTTGACATCATGAAGGCCAGACAGAGAGAGCGAGAAGTGTCGGTACAAACGGTTGTCCTTGTCACTCGTCGTTCCGGTTCGGACTTGTCTCGTGCTGGCATGGCTAACCTGCGGCAAGTTGTCCGAGAATGGATTTCATATAATTTAGCCGAGTCCTCCCAACGCACCCTCTACGCTTCGCATACCGGTCGTATATAACGGGCGGCTCCTCTTGTCTATACCTCTTGTTCCCATGAGCTGAAACATACGCTGCCGTGAATGCGTCTTGCCACATGACGGGCGTGACTGTTCTCCGAGGCTATTCAGAAGTGGTGAATGGTGAGTAAGGTTGAATGGTCGAAGTGATAGAAGTAATTGGAACTGTTTACAAAGAGTCTGAAGTGTGCTGAAAGTGCGTATATTATTGAAAATCTTCAGGAGAAGAACCATACGATAGCCCAGGCTATCACAGCTGTAGCTCCCTACCTTAGCATCGATCCAATCCAATCGTACATCAGCATAGAGATGGCTGCAAACTGAAGGTACGACGTTGAAATATTGCGCCTGTGTCTGAAGTGAAGCAACCTTGGGCGAAGTTGGCCGACCTCGGTATATAAATATGTAAAGCGGCGATAAGATAAGAGCTTCCAACATTTTGATCTGGCGCATCGCATCGGCCATTTCGACGACAGCTACGAAGAAACCATGCAACTAACCTCCCGAGTAGCAGAAGCTCATCAACCAAAGCCTTGATGAGCGCACCATGTCTGCTGTTCGTACGGCCAAGCGCTCTATCGCGTAGCCCACGCCCATCCTTGTCCGCGTCCCTGTCCCTACCCCTATTCCGAGCCTTCACCAGCGGCTCCCCACGCCGTCGAACTCAATACCCACCGCCAGCCGTCCTCCCACCACCTCCAAAGCAGCATCCGTTCGGACGCAAGAAGCACATCCTTACGCTGGCGATCGAGAGCTCCTGCGACGATACCTGCGTGGCGGTGCTGCTGAAGGAGACCGCGACGGGCGCCGCGCGCCTCTGCTTCAACAAGAAGGTCACGTCCGATAACCGCGCGTTCCGCGGCGTGCACCCGCTCACGGCTGTGAAGTCGCATACGGCGCACCTGGGGCCGCTAATACAAGAGGCTTTGCGGGCGCTTCCGGCGGTACAAGGGACGGGTGTCGGTGTGTCGTCTACAGCGGCGGATAGCCCGAGGCCGGAGCTCGAGGGTGAGGCGCTCAGGAATGGGGCAGGCGAGTCGGGAGGAGGAGACTTGGTGGGAGAAGGAAGTAGTCATAGGGCCAATGGCAATAATTTGCTCTGGGTAGACGGCCAGGCGCGCATGAAGCCCGACTTCGTGTCCGTGACCCGCGGGCCGGGCATGCTGTCGAACCTCTCGACGGGGCTGAACACGGCAAAGGGGCTGGCCATCGCCTGGGACGTACCGCTGCTGGGCGTGAACCACATGCAAGCGCATGCGCTGACGCCGCGGCTCGTGGATGCGCTGGAGAAGGGCAAGGCTTTAAACCCCGACACTACGGCTATGGCATCTTCTACTCCTATTGTCACGGAAGAGGAGCCAAGCCCTACATTCCCCTTCCTCTCCCTCCTCGTGTCGGGCGGCCACACCCTCCTCGTGCACTCGCGCGGCCTAAACGACCACGCTATCCTGGTACAGCCGCTCAACATCGCCATTGGCGACATGATCGACAAGTGCGCACGGCTGATCCTGCCAGCCGACTACATTAAAACACAAACCGCCGAGACGCACTCGGTCATGTACGGGCCTCTGCTGGAGAAATTCGCGTTTCCTGATGTGTTCGACAGCGGGCCGGGCAGCGCGGAGGAGGATAAGAGCGACTACGCCTACCAACCGCCCGCCAAGCGCGCCGACGAGATCCTCCCCTTCGACGCTGCGCCCCACGGCTACGACTGGACGCTGACGCCGCCGCTGTCGGGCCACGGCAGCGGGCGGGAGGCGGCGCGCATGTTCGACTTTGCGGGCTTGAATAGCCAGGTGCAGAATATCGTGCTCCGCCGGACCACCGACTCCGGTACAGAATCAGCAATGCCCCTCCCCGAGCGCCGCCTCCTCGCCCGCGAGACCATGCGCCTAATCTTCGAACACCTAGCCTCCCGGCTTCTCTTCGCGTTACACAATCCCTCTGTTAACACCGACACCACCATGACCACCGTAGTAGTCGCAGGCGGCGTAGCCAGCAACAAATTCCTCCGCCACATCCTACGCGCAACCCTCGACGCACGCGGGTTCGGCCACGTGCAGGTCGTGTGTCCGCCCGTGGCGCTGTGCACCGACAACGCGGCCATGATCGCGTGGACGGGCCTGGAGATGTACGAGGCCGGGTGGCGGACGGGCATGGACGTGCTTGCGATCCGGAAGTGGCCGCTCGACTCGGACGCGGACGGTGGGGGGATCTTGGGCGCGCCGGGGTGGAGGCGGGTGGGCTTGTTTGGGGATGAGGATGTTTGGGAGGATGATGTTTGATATGATACCCCGAAGGAACTAGTTGTTGTAGGATAGATTATATGGGTTGTACAAACGGAATCACATCACAGCGTGCGCATATACGGTTTTACCAGGAGCACGACGTTTAGATGGAAAGGCAGTGCGAACCTGCGTGTGAAATCTCGACGCCCTTAATGGTACATGTACACAGTGAATCCTTCCAGGCCCATGCGAATATGCCCAGTCGACTACCTCTATCATAGTCTTAACGTCTCTGCTTTCTCTGCGTCGTCTCTCGGTCCACTCCTCAACTGAACCCCAGGCCTGTCCTGGTCAACTAACCCATGTCCACTACACGTGCACTTAGTCTAGCGAACTGGTGACGTTGGTGAACTCGCCCTTCTCCAGCTTGGTCTTCCAGAATATGGGGTTCGTGTCGTTGAAGCCGTGCTTGACCCAGCCCTCCTCCTTGACGTGGTACAGGTTGATGAAACCACCAGAGTAGGCGTCACGGTGGGTGGCGGCCAAGATACTGCGGCGGCCGAGCTCGAGCGCAGCCTCCTCGCTCAGGTCGTAGCTGTACTCGGCGTCGAGCACACCATACGCAAACGTCTGGCCGGACCCGACGCAGAACAGGTTGCCGGAGAGGCGCGTGCCGTCCGAGTCGATGTAGTAGAGCGCGGGGCCCTCCTCCTTGGTGACGCCGGCGCACATGGTGCCCATGGACAGGCCCATGCCCTTGTACTGGTAGACCAAATTGGCGAGGATCTTGGAGGCGGCGGCGACGCTGATGCGGCGCTTGTGGCGCAGCTCGTGCAGGCGGCACTGCATGCCCAGCCAGGCCAGCCAGTACTGGCAGTCGGCGGCGCCGCCGGCCATGGTGCCCAGCAGGCAGTTGTTGATCTCGATGACCTTCTTGACCGTCTGCGAGGCGATCCAGTTGCCCGCCGTCGCCCGCGAGTCCGTCGCCACGATAATGCCGCCCTGGAACCGGAACGCCAGCGTCGTCGTGCCGTGCGCGATCTTGATCGGGCAGTTGGGGTTCGACCGGTCGTCTGTCGCGGCGCGCAGCCAGGCTGAGGGCTATTTTGGGGGGAGGTCATGGTCAGCTTCCGATGCTTTGGTTATAGGTAGGGGCACTGGTAGATGGGGAGGCTTACTTGGGCTACCGGAGGCATGGCGAACTTCAGGGATAGGGCGGGGCTGTTGTCGTTGTAGAGATCATCGTGCTGGTCCTCGGCGTACGTCTCACGCTGGAGGTTCGCCGGGCGGCTGTATCGTGCTACGAGGGTATCCATCTCGAGTCGATGGAGCGGAGGGAAGTGGTCGGTTAAATCGAATAAGACGTTCTCGGAAAGAGTGTGAGAAGGGTTGGTTATTAGAAAGTTGACTGTGGGTGGTGGTGGTGTTACAGGTGAGATGGTGAAAGTGGCAGGCAATGGAGTGATTGACGACGGCGACGTTGGCAGGCAAAGCTTTGGAAGCTCTCAAGGCAGCTGGTCTCACGCGTCAGGTACCGCAAGCTTGCTGGAGCTCCAGGGCCTCTGATGCCGGGTCCACCAGGCTGCAACCCGGGCTACTAAGGTATGATTATGGATGTAATGCTCGGCCCTCGGATGAATGATGTTCATCCCACCCCTTTTCACTAGTAAGTACCAAGGTACCGATTTACCCTTCCCGTCTTTCCGTCCTTGTTTGCTCGAATGCTGCTTCTTGACATTCTCGAGTCAAGATTTCACATTGCGACCGTAAAATGAAACCGCTTCGAGAGATCATTAAATGATCTCATTTTCTTCAGCTCATGAGCCCTTCACGAACAGCAGTGTAGAAAACATATATCCACTATTTACGATGGAGAGATATGTTGGATTATGCTGGTGAAACTAACATCGGGGCCCAAAATAGAAACGAAGGAGAGTAAGAAAGAAACCTAGCCACGCCAACAACCCCACGAGAACGAAACCATACATCAATCACCGCGGCATACATCCCATACATCGCTGCCTTTCTCGGCGCTCATTTGGTCTCCTTCGCCTCATTCCACTTCTCCACGAAGCCTCTCAACGTCCGTCTTCGACTTCTTGAGCTGCTCATACAGCACGGCGCAGAGTTCCTCTGTCGTGGATCAGTGTCTACACTCCGGACCAAAGCACGTGTCGACTTACTGTATCCGTCCGACAACGCAGTGCCTCACACGACTTCCAAGTAAAGTACTTCCTTCTCATACGTCTTTTGGGCGTCTTCAATTCCGGTGATGATTTCGTCGCATATCCGCACCCTATTGGCATTTGCTGCGGTGGTTGGCATCTCGAAGACTGGACTATATTGGAAGGAGAGGAAGGTGAATCCGAATGATGTGCTCTAGTGTCATGGTCATGGCAAGAGCGTCTAGACTTATACCACTCGATGAACAAAGGCCAGTTTCTACGTGTTACTCGACGACCAACATCCGTTGCAGATGCGGTCATGCGGTTGCTCACGTCGAAACTTCTGTTCGCCAGTGGCGTGGCCGACTCCCAAGTGTTGCGGGTGTTATAAGTATGATAGGATTCTTCCTCCATGAGAAACAAAGAGGTGAAACATGTTGGTACTTCATTGAAGGTCGTTGGCAGCGGCATGGGAACTGCAAGGTCCGCTACGGTTCAAACGTGACACCAGTCGACCAACCACTGGTACACGACTGGCTACGTGCAAGCTGAAATACCTTCTGTGACTCGATATCGCCCAGTCACTCAGGTTGATACCCGGTCAGACGCTGCTTCAAGGGAACCAGGTAGCTAGTGTGGCCACTGCGGGTTATCTGGATGAATGCACATTGGGGACTCGCTTACGAACCAACTCAGCGGCCCGCTTACGGATCAACTCATCGAGGGAAAGCAAACATAGCGATAGTACGATGTTCGCATATGCGCACAGAGTTCCACGACCTGGCCCAGGCGGCGTCCGGCTGGAATGTGTACTGCCAACAGGAAACTATAGCCCCTGACTTGGACGAAGGTAAGCATGTGCAAGCACCCCAACTCCAGAACGATGCTGTGTCGCCGTAACGTATTCGGACAAAGGACCACGTCAGTGCCGATTCCTGGTCTATCTCCAGGCTGCCGCTCTCACCCTCTCACCAAAAGAACTGCGAGTTCTGCAATCCAGGAAGCAACGATCGCTTCTGTGCAAGGACACTGACACTCACTGTCTGACCACAATGGCGACAGGCGCGAATACCAATATGTTCGAACGGAACTAGCTTCACCCCTTACAGCAAGCTCGTGGCATGAATCACAGATACTGGTAGATCGAGAACTCGCAAGTGCTGTCCACATTCTGGCGACCATCGGACTTTGCAGTCTTAACGTGGACTCAGTGGATGCCTTTCTTGGAACTCGGCGAGCATTGAACAACATGTGTCATTACACATTGGTGAACCAGCTTTATCTACCCTACATGCTGCTGCAGGCGAATACTGCTGTATTGGTGTGTGTGTACGTGTGTAGGCTGTGGCACTGAGCGGGCGGGCTAAGCCCTTAAATGGTGCCCTGGGGGGTGTCACCCAGGGCAGCAACAAATGGTCTGTCCAAGCCATGCCATTCCCGTCAGACCACCTAGGCCTGCGTCAATGCCAGCCGCCGGACCAGATCTTGACTCGGGAGATCGCGACCCGAACCTTCAACCAAATCACCCACCCCCTGTAGCCGGATGGGCGACTCTTATGGCGCTGGTGTCGCTGGCCTGACGTACGTGAATGCTGGCACACATCGGTCAGCCATTGCCATGAAGACATGGACGACTTGCTCATACACCAGTGACTGAGCAACCAAGCCACTGTGGAGTGCACTGTCGAGTGCTTGCCCTGAAGGCGATGGATGGACTGCAGGGAAAACACACACTAGCGCCCAGTGGAGACATGCAACCGGCTTGTGTCCAGACCACGCACTCTAGCCTCCTCTCCATGTTATCCAATGATCCTGCGAGCCCTTCGCCGCTGTGAACCGGGGAGGGGGGTAAGGGGAGGAGATAAGCAGCGCCAGCTCTAGGTACCTATTCCGCAGCATCAGGCAAGCAGTCCACACCCAATGGTCTACCTAGTCTAGTCACCATCAACCGCTAACCGCCGACGAGGCAAGAAAGGGCCCCAGCAGGCAGGGCCGCAGGGCGGTGTTTTCTCCAACTCTGCCCCATCGTGAAACCTCTCTATCTATCCTCGATATGGAATTGGCGAAAAGGGGGGAGGGGGGAGGGTCGGTCCATTGGTTCCGAGGACGGGTGGGAAAAGCCCCTGGACCACATATGAACTTTTGAGGATGGAGCAAAGAGGAAAGTCGGAGGCTCCGTCGATGGTTGGTTGGGTTCTGAAGCGGAATGCAACTCGTGTGCAGGTTTCCTGAACTGGTACGCTACGCTGGCGCGTACGTGCTTACTTGCTTCTGATATAGAGGACTCGTCCGGGCTCCGCGTTGTAGATAGCACTGTGACACATACAGGTCGGCTTGTGGTTCGTTGACTTTCTTGGTGACTGAGGAATCCATCCGTTAGTCATGAGCTCGGCTGTGGTCGTGCGTGCAAGGTGGCGGTGTTATCCGACGATGGATTTAGGTGGGAAGGTGAAGCACTATTTAGCTAGATTAGCATTTGTAGTTAGGAGGCCAGGTTAGAATATTGTCTTGAGATGAGTGTATCTCTCAAGCGTCTTTGCGAAACTGATGTCTCGCTTACCTGGGCAGCTGCTCTAGACGTGGATGGGGTGCATGTGAGGAATCTGCTTGTCCCACAGGCAGAGACGACCTTAGATCGCTCTCATATCGACGAGCCCATGGCTCACATCATTATTCTAGGCCATCATGAAGTGACCACCATCCTGCGGGAGGGTGCTTGACGGGTAGATCCAGCAGTAACTAGTCTCCACGCGGCGGTTACTCCCGCTCAGGATAGGGAGGCTCAGGATAGGAATAACGCAACGATTCCGACTTGGCACTTGCTAGACGTGCAGGAGAACTATCTGGGGAAGAGGGCGTAAAGCAACCGAGCGATGGTGGTTGAAGCTGATGCTTGGAAGGGCATGCTCATGTACAGGTGGAAGAAGCTCGCGTCGACAGGTCCGTCCATTCGTGTAGGTGTTGATAGGAGAGCGCCCTCCGCTCAGAACAGCCTTGAGCCAAAGTTCAGCATAGCATATCTCATGTCAAGCGGTCCTCCTCTTTGATCCTCACGGCTAGCTACACGTAAGCAGTAAGTACGATCGAGAAACCCAGCATCGATACCCCCAGTCCTCGGGGATCCTTACCGTCGACTCTCTTCACGTCCCCGGCCTTCTTGTCACAGACACTCCAGTCTCGCGAAGTCCTTGACGGGTTTCCTATTTAGGGATGGTGAGCAAAAGATCGATAATGAGGGCCTTCACGACTGGAAGCTCCGGTGCCACCTGTGTGCCAGTTGATATGCTCTTGCGTATACTCGGCAGGCGGTAGATTCGTGGGCTTGTGAGATATGCTAGCTAGTTACGTATAAGAGGAGCGTCATTGACGCCGGGCCTTAACCTGCAACGTCAAGAAGATTCTGAAAGGGAACGCCGGGTCCTCAACACCGGCGAGGTGAATGAACTACAGTCACCCCTTCATAAGTCTCCGTCCGCGCACCTCGAAAGCCTTCTTCACAATGGGATATAGACAGTGGAATAAGCATTCATACTCCATTAAGCCACGGCTTGGTGCTTATTTCAGAGTGGTTACTCCACAGATTATACATAGACCTGGATATTCAAGACCTTGCGTGCGGAGTGCCCGGAGAGACTTCTGAGGGTTCAGTGTAACGGTATTCAGAAAGACGGCATGATGATCTGCTCTTTCTTTATGCTTCGTCTAGCTTTCACTCACCGAACAACTTCAGGGAGAAGAGGCTGCTACGACCGGTGGAGAAGCACATGGCGATGAAGGTATGAAGGTCTAGCGATAATCGCAGGGCAAACCTTATCCAGAGTGAAGACGACCAAGCGCAGCAGCACCTAGCAACCCCGAACCAGATCGGCGTCGTGCTTCCATATCGCAGCCAGCCTGATCCTGTGGCCACTACGTGTGGGCCTCGTGCGGTAAAGTATCATCGCCGTATCGTACCGAACCGCCTTCAAGTGGGCACCAATGCGCTCGTAGGACCTCCCCACTTGCCTTGCAAGCTTTGGTAACAAGCCAACTAACGCTGACACCTCGTTGACTTCAACACTCTGATCTCGGGACAGCTATGATACAGGTGCACCCAGATGCCTGGAAGGCCATAGGGCTTATCGAAGAATGACATCTCGTCGCGTGTCTGGCTGCCTGGTTGGGTAACCTTAACGCACAGCTTGCGTCTCAGGTTGGAATGCGTCCCTTTCGATGTCGTTCCCGGTACGACTGGAGGAAGACAGGTTGCTGGTACCGTCCCCGATTTGCTCACATGGCTGGGGTCACACAAATCAGTAAAGGTCGCCCAAGGAGTGGACTCGACTGCGGTCACGTCAAACCGGGTGGTCCGCTTTGCCGAGATTGGTTCTCTAGGCCGCGGGTGCCAGATGCCAGATGCCTTGCATGTACAGCGTTGGGTGTATATCTGCTCCAGCGACTTCCCGCTATAGTCTACTAGGTAGACGGCAAGGTGGTTGGTAATCTGGTACCACGGGCCATCAGATCATAGCGCGCGAGGCCTCGGCTGGATAGATTGGCTCGCGTCTGTTGTAGATCTTGAGCTCAGCCTTCCGTTCGTTAATAAAGGTGTCCTGCACAGCAAGCTCGGGCGCTTATACCTCAAGCGAGAAAAGAGAGAAAAGTTGATGAATCGACCAGCATTCCTGACCCAGGAGTGAGGATCTGAACCGAGGATTGATTGTTGCAGGGTTTGTGTAATGCAAGAGCTGGCCGCCGCCGGGCCGCCCACCGAAGTTCCAAATACCACCAAGGCAAGCTCCAGCATGTTGATGAGGCGATGGGAGACGAGATCTCGCGCAGCATTCTGGCTAAAGGAAGATCAAACATGGACATCGTCACATCGGACGGCGACACATCGAACTAGGGGTTCGGACGATTCAGTGCGAGTGCTCGACGGTTCGGCTTCCTGGTTGGTCGCGAGGGCTGGCATGCTGACGAAGGGAGGCTCCCGATGTCATGCGCATGCAATGAGGACAAGTGATCGAACCGATGCGCCAGGATCTGCTGGGGTGATCTTCCGAGAAGCCGAAGCCGTGCTCGCATCAGCCCAGAAGCAGCAGGGGGACAAGCTATCATGCGGTGTAGGCGATCCCCAACTTGGCGGCCATGCGCTCAAGCATGTTGAACGTTGTATATTCCAGAAGAGTGGCAGATTTACGGCAACAGTTGAAAGCATTAGAGACAATCCCGAAGTTGTTGAGGCGTCCATCTGAATAATTTATGTTTTGGTGACCCAGGGTGGGTGGCTGTTGATGAGTTGCAAAAGCCCAAGTGGCTGAACAACTATAGACACCCCCTGCTGCTTATAGGCTGACCCCAGCGACTGTTGTCAGTTGTGGCGCTTCACGAGGGCCGGCAGGGTAAAGGGGGGGGGGGCCGCTTCCAAGGCTCCTTCCGAGGCCCCATCCAAGCGCGGTGTTGCAGAATTTTGTATGCGAGTGACAGGGCTAGCTTTTCCCCGAGTCTCCATGTCTTCTCCGCATGAAGCTACAACATCTCTTTTCCCCGACTTGCAACTTGAGATCAGATCTCAAACCATCTTGGAGACGTTCGAGTCGTCCGCAGCCCCTCCAATGTCCGCCGGATTGGGGTAATATCCTGTTGATTTGGGCCAGCCAGTATGTTGCAGCCCGCCCCTTGCTAAGTATGGCGTCAGTTGGACCGAGAGGTTGAAACGAAACATGCCCAGTTGCCGTCGCTATCCTGTGAGTGGCGGCGTTGGTGAAGAAAGCAAGATTTGTTTCTGTTTACCAGTCCCCGGTGCCCACCTGCAATATCACCTTACCAACGAGGACCCGATGGTTGTCGTTGGTTAGAACCTGGTCTGCCGGCTGCGTCCCCCACCCCCTGACACCCTACGGCACCGAACGTAAGCTTACCGGTGTGACCAAGGATTCCACTGTCGCCCTTTTCAGAGGCTGTGAGTATGTGATAACCGCGGCCTTGATGGCGGCGACCTCTCCACAGCTTGAGTCGACACGCGAACACTGCTCGTCTTTCTGGCTCGGCTTCAGGTCAAGTTTGATCGCCTGCGAGTGAGCGCTTCCCTACGCATAAGCATGGGTACGGACGAGGCCCTCGATTTCCTCCTACATCTCGGAGTCGGAGAACCGAGCTTGATGAGTTAGCACCTCGGTCATCCGTCGCAAGCTGGTGGAGTTTTCTATCAATGCTTGCTCGAACAGTCGAACTTGCGCATGGCGCATCGAGCAACCGCAGAATCCTGGCCGCGCATCATTCCTGATCGACGCAGCCACGCTAGCCCAGGGCCCCTCACTCACCGTACATGCAAAGCAGCTCAAACAGTTAACCTGCATGGACAGATCGAGTTCGTCCTATCCTCGACCCGTCACTTCATCTCATCTTCTTCATCTCATCTTCTTCGGCTGAAGGGGTGATGCCCTCAGATCTGGAACATCATTATTGAGGGATTGCTGCAAATCATCCTAGCATCCTGTAGCGATCGCGAGCCGCCCGGACTGGGGATGGCGGCTCTCTAAGCGGTCTCATCTCGATTGAGCCTTTCGGCTTGAAAACGGTGACTAGCTCTCCTGCAGGCCGGCAGCAGAAAACTGCCGACGGATGCTAGGCTCTCCAAGATGCGCGCGGTGAGAAAACGTGTCAAGATGGTCAGACATTCATTTACCAGTCTGTTGGATCTGGCTGAGTCCAACATCGTTGCTCACTCGTACGCAAATGATATCCAATGGTCTGCCAGCTCGCATGACTCGCCAAAGCTGAGTAGGCTTACACTGACGTCAGCGCCTTGACGACACCAGGCTGTATATACTCCAGGTGGTGTCTCATCTTGTGCTGGGTAGTCCCTACTGGCGTACCAGCTCGTCGGTCAAGGCTGCTTGAAGTAGTATTACCATGAGCTTAATCGGTGGGCTTCATCTCAATACGACATCGAGTGCCGAGATCAGACAAGGACATGGCCTGCATAGGCAGCAGGCCTGATAGGCAGAGCTGAGGCGTACAGATGAAGACAGATCGGATGATCGAATTAGAGCCTCTCGGAGGATTGGATGACTTGCTGTCTTTGCTTCTGACTGTACTTTTTCTCCGCAAGGGTCCTACTGTTGGGTCGATTTCTTGGTATTGGGCCAAGTGGCAGGATCGTTGACGCTCTCGACAGTGTTGCTTACCTTGATATGGCTTCGCATAAAGCAAACTCTCTCGCTGTTACTTAGCGATATACATCAGTCCTCTCGCGTTTCGCCTGAACGGACCTGGTGGAGTTGGGATTTAGGTACTCCGCGTCTGGCAAAGGAAAAGACGTGAGAATGTTGGCCGCCCTGTAGGCTGTCCCTACAGGGGTCCGCAGCTTTCGTCCCATGTGGGTGCTTTGACGCCGTCCTGGTGCCGGGATCAACAGGCTTGACAGGCTGTTTACAGGGGTGAGCTGCAGAATCAGATGGCTATTGGGGCAGGGGGGCCCACGGATCGGGGTCGGTTATGAGGTTATGCTGCAGAAGAGCACTCTGGAGGGACCGCCGGTGATAATAACAGATCTTTTGGAAAAACAAGAGCCAAATGAACCGAAATAGGCCTGTCAAGCAGCCGGCGAGCCATGGGCCATGGCTGTTCCCATGGCGTTCCCATGGCTGTTCCCCTTCAAAATCCCAGTCATCGAATTATGTGCATCATATCCACCCCTTTGGTAGCTCCAGAGGGTTGATCGAGTTGTTCCATCGCAACAATGCTACATGGCTCATCTCAGGTACTTCGAGCGTCACGCAGGATCTCCATGTCGCCACGCGCCGCCATCTTGGATTTGAGGGTTCGGATGGGCAGTAGCGTACGGGAACCACGTACTTCCGGCCAAGCAGTTCACGTTACGAGAGCAATCAGCATCCAAGCATTGGTCCTCGGCTCCCCTTACACTCCGTCACTCTCCTCCTGGAGTAACATCAACATAGCCTATGTGTCTGTGTACTAATGGCTGTTCTTGGGAGAACGGGTGTAATAGACCAGGTACAGAGATAACCGTGGCGGATTACCCTATGGCTCACCGGAGACACTTCTGCTGCATGGTTCAGTCGGTTAATTCCTCCAGAGTTATAGATTATCCGACTATACGTGATGAAGAACCCTTGCTGAAGCACACCATGACATTCGGTCCAGGCTTGCAGTAGACTACATCGGTTTTAGCATCTGATATCGCGGCGAATGGATGATAGGGCCTAAACACCAACTTCCACACAGCGAAGCCCTTTGCCAACATCGTAGAACTAACACTCCTTTGCCCTTATTGTTCGCGCTTCAGGCGTATCACGTTCATACATGCCCTTTCTTTTCCTGCTCTTACTCATCCATGTGCTGGCAGACCTCCTGTCCATTGATCTGTCGACAGAAGGATGCGCATTGCCCAGCATTCACATGAGGAAAGGACATCGTCATACTACCCACATGCATTGTCGGACGTGTGTCAGCTACCTGTAGGCTCTCACATCTGGATATATGCTAGGGTCTTCCCCAGATCAACCTCCTCCCATGGTTACTTCCCGTGCAAGTCCCAGCAATCCTCCTCTTGCCGTCCAAGGTTGTGGGGCCATCCGCCGACGTCGACGAGAAGAAAACACCACAGAATTGGTCCTCATCGTTCTCGATCCAGCCAACTTACGCTATATTTGCGGCAGGCTCTCTGCGGGTTACAGAGACGCGGCTGCTTTGCATCATAGCGTTCAGGGCGGCGTCGAACCATCGCAATCCTCACCCCTATCTGTTAACTATTTCTACCAAGTGAGGTCGGACCTTCTACGCCTCAAAATTAATGCCAAACCCGCAACAGAGCCTCGAAGGACAGTTTGAGAACCGACACTAGTGCTTGGTCGACATCTCCTGACGACAGAACGCAATGCTCCAGGTGTTGCATTTCATTCTTCGGATCCTACCAGACCTACATATGCCTACTGTCAGTACATAAGCCCTGAAAATCTGCTGCGGAAGGCTGTACACGAAGCTTCCCGATCCAGACACTCGCGAGACCCTTGCTTCCCACTCCAGCAACACTTGAAGTACAGGAGACTATTCGGGTGTGGACATCTGTATGCGCTGTCGTATCGAGCACCGCAGTTGGGCCGCGTCAAGCAATCCTTGTCATTACGGTTCTCGAATGAGACCCAGGTTATTTGTTGCCGCTGTGCAATTCTGGTTCCAGGGCCGCGAGTGATCTTACGGACTCGATTGGCCCGTTCCTTCTGGCTCTCCACCATCTTCCTCTCCCCCTTCTCGAACGTTACATTACTTCAAAGTCTTGGGACAACTTGATAGAACCACAGCTCAAGAGGAGCCATAATCATCTTCGGTAGCGGTATTCTTCAACGACACTCGAACCCCCATCCGGCTGAGGACGGCGGCGCGACGGCTACTTGGCTCTGCGCTGAACCGCGTATTGGCGAAGCGGCAACCATACTTTAGTCTCTCTGACCTCTCCTGGACGACGAAACCTTGTTGATGGCCGTCGGTATCCAACTTCCTCTGACGAACGCACTGGCGACCTGGGGCACGAAAATCCACAGCGCATATACATTGGACTTTCCCTGGCCCATGAACGACACCATGTCGTACCAATATCCGCCGTCACATAACGGCGCCGAGATGGACATGTCGCATCACAGCTACATGTCCGGCTACCCGACGCCGACAACTTCCTCCTTGGAGGTAAGACCTGCCCTGCAACTCCATCCAGCACAACAACTACCACCACCTCCAACACCACTTTCAGCACTTTTTCCACCTCTCGCCTACCCAGCCCTGGCGAGCGCGCGCATGCCCCTAGCGCAGCGACGAGAATCGCTGTCCAGAGCCTCCAAGTTGAAAAGGTCCGTCTCGACCCCTAACGTGAGACCACAGGGGATGAACGATTCCGACTCCCTCAGTCTCCACGGCGAGAAGAAGCGCAACAAACTTGGGTACCACCGAACATCCATAGCCTGTGGTAAGTGACTGCCAAGCCGCATCCCTGCCAGAACAGCCCCTGCCTCCTCCGAGAGAAAAAAGTGTGCGCGGGTTGCTAAAGGAAAATCTGGTTAAAGGAAACTGTCGGAAGCGGAAGATCAGATGCCAGCCGCGGAACGGAGACATCCAGAACCGGTGCGAGCAGTGCATCAGGTTGAAAAAGGACTGCAACTTCTACCCCGTGGACCAACAACCGCCGCCCGCGGCGCTGCCGAGGCCCGGGGTCGTGCGATCATCCGCCGTGGGAGGAGGCAAGCTCGCGTCCACGTCTGCGTCCGAGTCTGGACATCCCGCCGACGGACAACAACACCACCAGCAGCCCTACCACCAGCTGGCGTCGATGCCTTCGATCCACAGCATGGGGCCCCCGCCGACGAAGCAAGAGCAGTACCCAGTCAAGCAAGACTCGTACCACGAAGAACAACACAAGAGTACGTGCACTGCGCCAACTGCTTGAAAGTTGAAACCCAGCACAGCCGCTAACATGGTCATCAGCTAGCAGCAAATCCAGCGGCAGCAGAACTTTCGGCTACGGCCAAGGCATGGCCAGCTGGGCACCAACAGTAGCCGAGACGAGCAGCCCCTCCACTGCAAAGGGGTCTTCGGGAGGAGACATGATCAATTCGTCGTGGAGGAACTACCCCCAGCGATCGCCCGTGACGCCCGGCTACTCCCCGTACGCAGCGCAGCCGTCGTCCGCGACGTGGCCCGCGGCTGCAGCTCCGCTCGGAACCCCAGTGCCAGTGCCAGCGGCGGCGACTTCGAGACCCGAAGACGGCTGGTCCGCGTACCACCCAGCAGCAGCGGCGCCGACGCGGTCCCTGTCGTACGACGGCGAGCAGCATGCGAGCCAGCAGCAGTATGTTGCGACGACGAGCAGCCGGCCCTCCTATGACCGCAGGGCGTCGATGGCGTCGTCGTCGGATCTGTACCACCACTCGCCGATCTCAACGACCAAGATGGAGGGCGGCGTGGCGGGGGGCGCGGCGCCGTCTGCGTCGTACGGCGCTTGGCAGCAGCAGCAGCAGCCGTACCAGGGCTGGTATGGGGACTCCTCCGGGCAGCCAGTAGTCTCGTCCGGGGCCGAGCACCCGGCACAGGTGTATTATGGCAGATAGCAGCCGGAGTGTCGGGTCTATCTCAGTCGGGCCTTCTTTCCAGAGACCAGAAGCAATTGGGGGGCTGTATAAGGAAGAGGGACCACACTTGCGGCTCGAGCGACTGGGCCTTCGAGGTTCATTCAATCGGTCCCGAATCGAGCGGGAAAAGCAGTCGAAATTCGGACCATTCCCAACACACAACCCCAGACCGGAGCGAGTTGTTTAGAAGACAATGTTTCTAACTCAACAATTTTTTTATCATCGTTGCGCGATGGTATAGAGGCGCGAAGACCTAGAGGAGAGGAGAGGTGAGGAGAGGCGGCGCAGTCGGCCAAAGCATAAGAAGGGGGGAAGATCTTGCGTGCGCTCGGGTGAGCGAAGCAAGGGAGGGGGGGGATTTGCGACGCATCGACGACACGAAACATAGCCCACGCACGAGCCCCGGACGAGTAACGAAACCGAGACCGGCCGATCGAGGATGGCTGCTATGTAACAACAGAGCGACCGACTCCTTCCCATCATTCGACGACCGATTCGATTCCAGTAACTATTTACTTTATTCGTTTGGCTGAAGATGGATGAGCCAGCCCGCGTCGCGTGCGTGGATGATACACACTCCGAAGCCGGTAAACGACGCGCGCGCGAGCATTCGGCTTTGGAAAAGCAGGCATCAAGACGTCAAACTCTTTACTCGTTCTCTTCGGAGCTGGACTTTGAGCGATGCATACAGTACGCGAGCCATGGTGGTGGCACATCTATGTACCTTGGGCAGCGAGCAACCCAGACAGACACCGACAGGCGTGTAAGACGGGAGACGACACACCCACCATCTCTACCTTAGGCATACACTATACGGATGCATTTAGCGGTCGCATAGGGCTGCAGCCCGTACCATGACCATCACTAACACCGAACGCCACCACGGGCCCAGCCAGGCCGCTGTCATGTGCGTTTCCGTGCCGTGCGTCCCGTGCGTGCCGTCCTGTCCGCTGCACGCCCCCGGGACGGATTGGTAGTATGATGTCGGCACGGGATGGATGGATGGGGGGATCGATCGCCAATGGCCTTCACGATGGGTTGGGTTGGGGTTCGCACATATATCACCACGTGGCTTGGCACGGCTCGGTATAATATATATTGCTGTGGTGGGTGCCATGCACTTTACTTCAAAAGCATCCCCCTATCATTGCGTCGCGCCTCATCGTCATCACCGCCGCACTTCATTGGCTCGATATAGTCTTTTCGCGCACATGGTATCGCATCTCAAGGAAGGGGCACTAGGAAGCAGGGAGGGACAGGAAAAGTAGCGTTACGTTTTGATTGATTTGTTCTTGTTTGGAGGGCTGGACGGCACTCTAAAAGTTACTGCAAGACCTTTTTGTTCCGCATTTTCGCATTTCGTGTTATGTACAGAGTTGTTTTTTCGGGTTGGTTTGGTGAGACGGGTGGCCGTGTTCCCGGCGACCGGTAGTGCTAGACAGACAGACAGACAGACAGACCCGGATCTTTGAGAATTGTACATTGCTTCACAGTTGAAGAATACGTTGTTCCTGGTTGTTTGATGTGGGTGTGTCTGTCTTGAATTGCGTTCGCTGGCAGAAGCGCGCGGACTGCCATCCGCTGTGACTTCCACCTTCACGCCTCCGATACAGTCTTGGCGTGATGATATCCTGCTGTTAGAACAGGCTTGGAGTTGCTTTCTTCCGCTCCATAGCACAGTCCTTCCTTTTGAAGGGTTGGGTACGAGCTGCTCCTTATACCATCCAGTGTCTCATCAACACCATTCCACACACCCCTGTGCGTCGTGCTTCTGTACTTCCAAACATCACGTAGCGGTGTTCGATACAGATGAACCGACCTTCTCGAAACCAAGCGTCGGGCATCTTCGCTCCCAGCCGATAGCGAGTCTGCAAGACAGAACCGTGCCTTATACGCCCCTCGGGGACAGACAGCACTCGATGCCCACGCCAGCTCGTCTCCGCCAACCGGCCGTTCACGTCTGCAGCTGCCACGTCAGTATGAACAAGCCAACATAGGCGCCCACGCTCAGCGTGGTGAGCAACAAAACACTATTGCCGCTGGTGCGGAACTTGCTCTGGACGCCCCCGTCGTCGTCTGTGGCGGTGAAGAACTGCTGGTTCCCGTGATACCGTCTGTAGATGGCGCAAAGCAACACGGCGGCGCCGTAGACGGCGAACAGCGCGCCGATGGCGTAGAACTCGGACGTGAAGATCTTGAGCACGATCAGGGCGAAGCTGAACTGCGAGAGCGCCGTGCGCATGTAGGCGCCCTCGAAGGTTCTTTGCGCGGCGCGGATCTCTACCAGTCTGCGGGGGCGAGGCCATGGGGTTAGTGGATGCGCTTCTTGCGAGAGAGCCATATATGATAGAGAGAGATCAGCCACTTCGATGGGCATACGCCACCGCCAGCATCAGCATCCTGGGCGGATTCCCGCGAACATGACGCTGGGTTCATTGACCCCGCTTGGAGTTCGGCGTCGCGACGACTTTGGGCCTCTTACTCTTGAGTTGTCAACACGACCGAGCGAGCGCGATGTAAGCGCAAGTGGAGGCGGTCTTCGGGATGAGGCTGGATGTTGAAGAGCTGTCAGCCCTCGTTGTTCCACTGCTGTTTGCCTGTGCGCAAGGTAAGGTGGACATGTGCGCCCAGGGCTATGGCGCGCGCCTTTCTACAGGAGAGGCTGAGGACAGACCTGAAACATGGCTGGGAAGAGTCTTGGGAGTATGCTTATCGGGTATACTATTAATACGCAAGGTAATACTATGAAAATGACTGGTTGTCAATGGGGAATAAAAGCCTGATTGCCGGTGTCACAGCGGCGCAGCTGACGGACTGTGACAACGGCCGCTCTGGTTATCCACTGTAAAAGCGAAACCCCGGATACTGCATATTTCCGAATCACTTGCTGCTTGAGGGATAACCACTGTACCGAAACAACATTCAAAGCTACTAGCTAGGGGGGAAATTACCGAGCATCCTTCCAATTATTGGCCACATCCTGGAACAGATACAAGAAAGCACATTCAACGGACGGCAGACGAAGCATTTAGGACTTCCGCTCGCTCTGGGGTTGCTTTGAAATCAAGGCTGCTAATAACTTATGCTGCGCCGTACCCTACGTTCCCCCGCATCCCGGGAGCCAGCCAGTCGGGCCCGCCCCGGGTCAGCCCGTCCCGTCGGGTCAGCCGGGCGTTGTGATGCCTCTTGAGCGAAGTAAAGGAGGCACGACACTTCGAATCGAGGCGACAGGATACGGAACGAGAACGAGAACGAGATCGTTAGCTTCCGGACTGGCCAGTGGCCAGAAGCTGGGTCTTAGCTGGGTGTCACATAAAATCCCCTATTTTTGTAGCTGAGGTACCAATTCCCAGTCTTATGCTTCCAGGCCTTCCGCTCCATTTCGGGCCCGAGATGGAGTTCCCTTGGAAATCCCATGAACAACGGACATGATGAACCCCTGCCCGAGAAGATGAGCACCGCTTCGAACCTGCCATTTACTCGCTAGCTCGGTCTAGACGCGTAGGCTGCGCCGAGGGGAGGCAACTTAGAGTCGGCGACCATGGAGATCACCCCTGTACTGCGAGGGAACTGACCGCTATAAAATCCTTCGCGTCCTCGTCGCCACCGTCCTGTCTCGTTCACAAGATGTTCGTGCAGACTCAGTCAGACTTTGCCAAAATGCGCTCGCTCATCGGACCTGTGGTGCTAGCCTCGGCGGCCGTCGTGTCAGCCTCATCCAACTATACCTGCCTGCCCGGCGATAGCTGTTGGCCGACCTTGGAACAATGGACCACATTCAACGAGAGTGTTGCCGGTGCTCTCAAGGTCACGCACCCCATGGAGGAGCCGTGCTACGCCGACTCTAGCAGCGAAGCGTGCCAGGCCGTAGCGGCCGCCTATACCAACTTGACCGGCGCCTACCGAACCTCGTTCTACGGCGAGACGGTCAACCTGAATTGGGAGTATTGCGGCAACGACCAGTGCCTCCTCGAGTCCCTCGCTCCGCTGGAAGGCATCTCTGGAACGTGCAAGCTCGGTCGGTTGTCCGCTTACTACGTCGACGCTCAGACCGCCGACCAGGTCGCAGCTACTCTGAAGTTCGTTCAAGAGCATAGCATCCGTTTATCCATCAAGAACACGGGCCACGATTACTTCGGCCGCAGCACCACTGCCAACAGCTTGGCCTTGTGGGTTCACAACATGCAGGATATCAGCTACGCCGAGACATTCACGCCAGAGGGATGCTCTACCGAACGGGAGAACGTAGGCATCATCGGCGCCGGCGTGGAGGCTGCAACAGCCTATACCTTCTTCGCCGACAAGAAAATGCATGTCACCGTCGGCGCTGTAGCCTCGGTCGGTATCGCCGGCGGGTTCGGGCAGGGAGGCGGTCACGGCGCGCTTGGACCGAGCTATGGGCTGATGGTTGACCAAGCCATCGAGTTCGACGTGGTGACGGCTGATGGCGAGCTCCAGACTATCAACGAGTGCACTGACTCTGATCTGTTCTGGGCTATGCGAGGTGGTGGTGGCAGCACGTACGCCGTGCTTCTGAACTACAAGTTCCAACTGCACCCTGCCGTGCCCATGAACGTGTTCGCATTCACGGCCAACCTGACCGAGACCCCTACCAACATCAGCGAATCGACAATTCATCGGGACATTGTGGCTGCCATCGCCAAGAACCAGACACAATGGGCCAACAACAACGTCTCGGGATACAATTTCTTCCTGCCATACAACATCATCAGCGTACAAATTCTACCGAGCGCGGACACGGAGGCTCTCAAGACACTCACCAAGGATTACGCCAATTTCCTCTCGAACCTTCCTGGCTTAGACATCATTGCAAACGAGTACGCAACTCTGGATACATACCCAGAGTATACGGCGTTCGCACTGCCATTTCTCGGAACCAATGGTCCCTTGGGAGTCGGTATCACGGAAGCAGCGCGCTTGATTCCACGCACTCTATTCGAGACCGACGACAGCGTTGACGCGTTGGTGGAGGCCTTCTTATACGGCATGCAGACCAGCTTGGAGGAGGGCGCAGGTCTCGGGACAGGATCAGGGCAGATCTACCACACGGGCCCCTCGAACAACAACGACGAGAGCGACAGCACCGGCGTCAATCCTGCCTGGCGGGGCAGTCTGTGGCATGTGATCCACGGCGGGATCTGGACAAAGGCCGAGTCGCAGGAGGAACGGGCACAAATCCAGACGACGGCGGGGCATGCGATCCAGAAGTTCAAGGACCTGACCCCGGGCGGCGGCAGCTACCTGAACGAGGGAGACGTGAATGAAGAGGACTGGCAGCAGACATTCTTCGGCGACAAGTACGACCGGCTGCTGGGGATCAAGCAGAAGTACGACCCGACTGGGCTGTTCAACTGCTTCAAGTGTGTCGGGTGGACGGGCGCTGAGGACCCTTTCTATTCCTGCTACAAGCAGGAGGGACAGGTTCCCACCATTCCGCTGGACGCCAGCCAGAATACTGTCACAGCCTCTTGAATTCTTAGCTATGACTTCCGAAACAGAGCCAGGACGGTTAGGATTTGGTGAAGGAGACAACGCCGTAGTTGTGGCATACCGGCCAGCAACTTGGTCTTGTTAAATCCTACCCAAAATAATGAACCACACTGGTACACTGTGCTAGCCAATATGCACAGTGCATTTTTGAGACTGAGATTATTAGCACTGTATGGAGTAGTAGCTCCCGCCGTGCCGCACACCTAGTGCCGCAGTCCCGTTGAGTAGAAATCCTCCGTCCAGCCGTCTTGCGCTTCGAGCTCAGCCAGCTCCTTCTCCCACTTGTTCCTGATCCATCGCCTGTCTGGCCCCGTCCACCGTAAACAGGCTATTCCTAACCTATCCATTCTCTAATCTTGTTGGCGTCATCCGATATATCTTATGATATATATAGATATATATATTCTTACGGTAACGATGCTTACATGATAAATTCCAGCCAATATGGGCCACGATGATTGGCCTAGTCGGCAACTGTCGCGTCTAGTTGGTCGGTGCTAGTGGCAGTGGCAGGTGCCCTCCGCGCGCTTGTTTCTGAGCGCTAGATCGTCTCTGTATTTTATTATTAGACGGTGACCCCGCGCTGGCAGGCATCGCGGCACAGACCACAAAGCCCAAGTGGGCGCGCGCTTCAATCCTCGACACTACCTTAGCACAAGATTGGGTCTTGACACCGGCTCATGAGTCAGGTGCCGATGCTGGAAATGGACGGCTATCCATTCCACCGTGCCATTCGCTATTCTTTCCGGCTTGAGCCTTCGCCTTTCAGCTACGGTACCTCTACTGTCTACAGTAGGCACACTACTGCAAGGTGCTTCTGCGGTTCTTAACATAGCTACCGATGCTTGCAAGTTGCAAGACCCGCGCAGCTGCCGAGACATACCCGTTGATGAGATCAATGTTTAACCCGTATTGTTCGAGAGTCGCGACGGAAGAACTCATCTGGTCCCGTCGGCCTACATGTAGTGATCCCACCGAATGCCACGCCGGCAAGACGAAGTCTGCTGACATACCGTCATTAGTCCAGCGGGCTTGTCCAGCTCGTGGTACCGTAGCATCCATCGGTCAGTGTCATGTCCTGTCAACCCAATGGGGCGCACCGAGATACTATCCATATCCAGTCAAGCCTCCAGTTTCAATTTGCAGGGAGGTCGATCTTGCGGCTTGCACAGGCGAGACAGGGCACACACGCAGCAGCTGGCCGTCTCAACTTTCGACACACACTCGTCCGTCAGCCGAAGGACTCGAGACGCGGCTCACTAGGTAGGTGTTCTGCCTGTGTGAGACACCGGTGAGGTGTCGAGTACTACCACGGGGGTTGCCTTCATGTACGGTGCTGTGTGGCAGGCGGGACGGGCAAATGTTGTCTGTCATATTCACTCATTGACGTCTGGCGGCCGGCATCGAGTCTGGCATCCTGATCCAGAATGCCTTGTGATCGTATCGTACCTAGAAGTGAGTGGGCTCACAAGTGACAAGTGGAAGGAAACCCCCCCGGTCCATCGGGGCTGAGCAAGGAGGCAGAGAACGCCTAGCCACCCCTGCATTCTTGGGGTCAGATACGCCTTGTGGGACCAGGAGATGACAGAGTGGTAGGCGATAGTGGTCCAATGGGATCATGGATGGATGGGCAGGCCCAGGTGCCAGGCACAGGGTGATGGTGCGCGTGCCCTCGAATCTATCCCACCCTGTCCGCCTAGCCAGAAGTCCTGTCTGCCTCTCGGGCCACCTCGTCGTCAAGCCTCCCCTTCTCTGCCACATTCTCTGCATCTTACCGTGCCCGCGTGCCTGTGCCTCTCATCCCCAGTCCGCCATCTCGTCAGAGTCGTCACTCTCTTCGTCCCCTCCCCTTGCAAGTTGCAACCTTCCTCCTTTGCACGGCCCCGTTGCGATCTCATTACTGTGGTCTCAGGTCGACGGATACCAGGATACTATCGCGTGCTTGGTATTTCCACATTGACGCCGAATTAACGCTTTACCACTCCACCTTGCCGTTAAGCGCCGCCGCCTCACCAAGGTGGGCACTGGGAGCGCAGCCCTGGTCTTCGAACCAAAGGATCTAAGCTTCTCACTCTACCAAGCGAATACATTCAAACCATTCTTCTGAGTTCTGACGATCAATCGATAACGAAACTTGTCATTGTGGGATTGCTGCCAGATCACGACAGTTACTCATTGCGCGGACATAGTCTAGACGTCCTCAACTCGGAGAAAGACATCGATCGACTCGCGCGCCAGGCTTCAATCCAGACCGTCCTCCCTGATTTCTGCGCCGCTCACTAGACCTGGAACATGATCTTCGCTTGAAGGCAACCTGGGAACTGTGCCGGTCATAGTGCCATTTAATTCGACAGGCGGTACCTACATGCTGACCTCGACTTTCCAACTACACTACCCTAGCTATGTCTTCAATATACGTTGACACGGTCTCTCCTGCGTCGCTTCATGATCTTCGCGATTACACCAAGGATCCCATGCAGCACCCTCAACACCACTTCGGCAACCATCATAACCATACCGGCCCCGTCACACCGGCAGAATCGCACTTGCTGTCGCCTTACTCATCCCATCTCCGGAGCAACTCGGCCTCGCCAACAGGCAATTTCAACACCCCGACCGATACCGTCTCTACGGCCGATTACTACCAGCCAAGCGAGGACTTCAGCAGCAGCGAGTTCGCTGACGACCCGTTCTTTGGGGCGAGTTTCGACGATATCGATGTGCCTGACTTTGTCGGGGAACCCGAAAGCACAGAGCAATCCGTGGTTGACCTTACTCCTGCAGTACGGGACGATGGTGTGCCGTATACCAGTTACCCCATAAGCCCTCATAAGACGCCGTCCCTACCAACGACATCATTCTTCGGAGCCAGTAACAAAGGCACCCCTTCCGACCTCCACGGCTCGGTTCTGACGCGTGATCCCTCAGCCCAAGCTCAAGCACAACCCCGGCCACCGACAAAGTCCATTGATTCCAATCAGTCTGCCCCGCAGCTGACTCCCGACACACGCGGTGGAAGTTGGTCGAGCGACGATAGCCTTGCGCCGGCTGCCCACGCCATGGCCGCCCGAAGCCCACGTGTGACCGTCTCCATGTGGAACAAGGACGAGGATGGACCTGTACAAGGAATCGAAAGGTCGTTCACGACAGGTGCCGAGACTCCCCGGACTGTGCGTGCTCCCCACAGCACAGCCGGTGATTTGGCATGTTCGGCATATCAATCAACTCTCGACAGTCTGGCGATGGTGTCTCGTGACGTGCATGGCAGTTGGGTACCGAATTCGGGTACTGGGCATCGCGGCCTCGCCCCAGGCGACCGGCCGTCTGGGGAAGTCCCGAGCCTCAATCAGCAGACTTCGCAGCGAGAACGCCAAGAGAAGAACAAGGAGGTTTTCGCCTGGGTCTCCAGGTCCGCAAGTGATCCGAATCAGCCGCCCGCGACTGGCTCAGGAGGGTCCTCTTCCAGGCTTGCTGGTCCACAACTGAACGACGATGATAACATACCAGCTGGTGAAGTACCATTGGGAGATGCAACCGAGAACAGACATGTTCCTGGCCAGGCATATATCCACGCCGATGGACCAGGCGGGCCGATGACCCAGACTGATTTCGAGATCATGAGGCACCTTCGCAATTGGGGAGATGGGCCGGCGATTCATGCTATCCAGACCGGCACGCCTTACCAGCCAGAAACCTCACAAGCCGCCATTGAAAAGTTCCATCGACAATGCCAGGACAACGAATCTATTGTTTCGCATGCCGCTACTTGGGGTACCCGCAGACGAAGCATGCCTAGTGTCGTAGATGTGGAAGGAGTCATCAGCGGGAACTTCTTGAAGAAGCTCTCCATCAGCCACTCCCACCGGCCGAGCTTCATGAAGAAGATCCCCAGCCTTGTGCGCAAACCAAGCGCCAGCCAACTACGCAAGCGTAAGGGGAGCAATGCCAGCGAGGTCTTGCATGAAGATATCGATGACCAGGGGGACAGGCGTGGGTCGAAAGACAGCCTAGCGCCGCCATCCCGTACGTCAAGCTGGGGCCTGAGCGGGATGAACAAGAAGCCGACTCCAAGCTTGAATACCGCACTGTTTGAAATGACCACGGGCGCTGCTGCCATCGGAACCACTCATGCTCGAAGTGGCTCTGTCAGTGCATCGTCGATGACTTCGCCAAAAACCCCATTCGCGCTCAGCTTGCCACCAGTCAAGAGTGCTCTAAGAAGGCCGAGGAGCAAGACCGAGCTTCCGAAGACCTCTAACCCCGAGGGACTTTCAAACCTGGTTGGCATGTTGAAGAAGCAAGGAGGACCTCCCGTTGCTCAATTGGCAAGATCCCAGCCCGCAGTAGACCCGGAGGACGACGACGAAGACGACGATGAAGGGTTCGACGATATGGACATGAAGACTGAGCAGGGGGAATCGGAGGCCATAGTTCCGACGTTCGGAGGCTTCCGGGAGCATGTCCTACGGTTGAACCCGAGGCTTGCATGCTCAGAAGGGGCTGAAAGCCACCACTATCTGGTCGACCGGATCGCCCATCAGATGATCATCCGTTACAAGCAGCTTCTGAACGCGAAGATCAAGCATTTGAACCAAGTCAACCAGCGGAACTGCCCTTGTGGCACGTCATGCATGGCACTTGGTGGCTCAGCTATGCCTCTGGACAGCCGAGGTATCGACCGTGGGTTTGACCCTTTGTCTGCTCGACCAGATTCCTCGGACGGAGACACGACGCCGCTGGAAGGGGGCATCAACGCGGAGATGTTCCCATCGGGCATTCCTATTCCTCCAACGCCGTCTCTGCCCGCCGAATTCGAGTGCCAGCTATGCTATAGCAGCAAGAAGTTCCAGAAGCCTTCCGACTGGACGAAGCACGTGCATGAGGACGTGCAGCCATTCACTTGCACCTGGGACAAATGTCGTGACCCTAAGATGTTCAAGAGAAAAGCAGACTGGGTCCGGCACGAGAATGAGGGTCATCGTCACCTAGAGTGGTGGACCTGCGACGTCGATGACTGCCACCACACTTGCTACAGAAGGGACAACTTTCTGCAACATCTTGTGCGGGAGCATAAGTTCACAGAGCCGAAGGTCAAAACCAAGGCAGCGATCAAGAAGGCCGGCGGAGGTGACCGTACGTGGCAAAAGGTCGAACAGTGCCACATTGAGACGTCGAGCAAACCATCCGACGAAGCTTGCAGGTTCTGTGGCAAGACGTTCCCTACGTGGAAGAAGCTCACGGTCCACTTGGCCAAACATATGGAGCACATCAGCCTCCCGGTACTGAAACTTGTCGCAGCTAAAGATCTCGACGCAGACACCATCATCAGCCCGGTTCAGGACCCCCCGCCGCGCAGCTTTGGGAACCTTCCTTCTACACCTGTGATCAAGCAGGATCCTCATCAGATGTACAGCCCCCCAGGACCTCACTCGACTGTCGACTCCAGCATCATGGACTATCATAACAGCCCACATAGTAACATCGGCTATCCTACCATACCCCAGATGCAGAACACGTATTACGCTGGCCATCAACCTGCTCAACAATCCTACGGGATGGCCCCGAACCGAGAGCCTACCATGATGATGCCGCAGCATTTCAACACCCAGCCACAGTATCAGTCTTTGCCTGTCACGACCGCGTCACCATACCCCCCAGCCGCTAGCACGTATGCTATGAACATGCAGGTTCAAGATACCGAACCATTTCCTGCCTTTCCAAAATCCCTTGGCATAGAGGATCCTACCGGGGGCATGGGCTACGACAACATGTTGAACCCTGCCATGCAGCCAGTGCGACAATACGGCAGTAATCCAGGCTCAGTATCGCCATACTCCCACTCACCACACCATGGCCACGCTGGCACCTTCTACAACCCATGAGGGGTGACGACGAAGTTGTCCTTCCTGTTTGCTGTCTACGCGGGCGCGTTTCTTTCGACTTGTTACTGCAGATACCCTAGAGAGCTGGAGTTTGCAGGTACATCACATTACGGATACTAAGAACGGACACATCTCGGCTTGCTTTTTGGCTTCTTCCATATCCTTCCAAACCGGGTCAACTTTGATGCCTTACCCACGATACTCCACAGGCGTTTTGGGCACGGCTGTATTATACACCTACATCGCTTTCTTCTCACCTCCCGTGCTCTTTACGGACGAAATTATTGATGCCTTTGAACTTCCCCCCGTATAGCAAGCGACACACGCCGCCACGCGTTGGAGGCCTTTGCTGCTGCGAGGAGGAATCACCACGGTCTTTAAAATCACGCGACACCGGGTCGACAGATCTCAAAGGAAACTGATAGAGGAGGAAGTCGTCACGAAGCATCTATCTCTTTGGTCTTGAGCAGGCAGGCTATTCACTACGACACGGAATCGAACGTATATGACGACGGAGCACACAGACAGTCAGCTGAATCGAGTCGAGTCGAGTCAGTCATTTTATCTGCCATGGGAGGCGCGTTGTGGAAGTTACTGGTTGGCGATGAAATGAGAGGAAAGGAAATGGGGGTTGGATCATGGACGGGTCGGGCTCCTGCTTTCTGTTACTATCATCACCATGACTCTCAATAGACCTCTCTATATCGGCATATGTTGCACAACTGTGATCATGTCTGTGTATCCATGCTTGATCTCAACATCAGTGTATATTTCGTGTATCTCGCTATTCACGGCAAAGAAGGTGGAATTAGGTCACCCGCAGGGGACAAAATATTCGCATATTCCAGGCGATTGACTAGGTAAGAGGTCGCTTGTTTCCATCTAGCGACTCGACTGTCCACTTGCACACCGCTTTCGTTGACCGCAAATTAGATTGCCTCCCAGCTTTACGGTAAATGCATGCATCCTCATGGCGGAGTGCATACCTACCTACATGTTACGCGAGGACAAGACAGGAAGCGATCGCCGTATTATACGGTAGGGTGACATCGACACCTGCTACGCCGCTTCCCTTCCAGTTGACGTGGATACCTATGATCTCGACATATATAATAATAGAATCTTGACGCGGATACAGTTGGTCGATGTGGCGAGATCCTGTGCCGCATTATTAGGTAGGGTCACATCGACACCTGCTGTGCCGCTTGCCCAGTCGACACATGTAGAATCCCGACACGGATGCAGTCGACGTGGTGAGATTTCTGGCCTGGCCTGCGCCGCGCCGGCTTCCTGGGTCCTCCTCGTGGGCTAGTCCATATATGTGTATGTAGGGAGACTAGATACAGTACTGAGGTTGTTGAGAATGTATGGATGGATGTATATACGGAAGGGGCAAGCACGCATGCTGCCGTCCGTGATACGTATTTGAAAGCGTAGGCGAAGCGAACATGCATGGTCTTGACTCTTCTACAGAAGCACATGCCGGATGAGGTTTGTGCCTCTTCGCGATGATACCTACCACATTAGCAGTGGTCACCGGTTACGACTGGGCGACGGGTTGGTTGACGCATTGATGGATCGATGATCCGACCCGGCATGGGGGAGCCGAACGGGACCCGGGCTGGTCGGTAGCTTGATAAAATGATGCGAGTCTTTGGATGTATGTGATTAGTCTTTTGTGATCTGTGAGATACAGTACGTCACCGGCAACGGCAACTGGCGCGAAGGCCCAGGAAGTTGGAACGCCGCACGCGGGTCCGGTGCACGGGTGTGCTTCGCTCCTCGGCTCCGTGCCCGGGTGGGATGCGTGATGTGCAGGTGCATATCTCAGATATGATGTGACACGATGCGAGAAGTTTTTCTCCACGGTAAGTAGGTGATGATACGCACGAGCCCTCTCGACTGATGAACTTGCAAGTCGTGCTTACTTGGACACCAGGATCGCGAGATGCGTTCGGTAGCAGAAGAGTGGGCAAGCAATAACAGGTGCATTCTCGCAAGAAGACTGATCACTGCAAAGCTATGGACGGCTTCTAGAGGGAGGTTGTGCCGGCTTGATCGAGGAGAAATGTGACGCCCTGATTTGCAGTGCAGCACCCCTGATACAGCTTGAGCACAGACATGTGCATGTGCAGCTATCACGGCATTTGTAAGTTACAGGATCAGAAATCAATTTCAGGCGCCGCCATGGATCGTCATGTGGACAGCGAAACCATCTCACAATCTCAATAATGTCGACCTCAAGACTTTTCTTCGTTCCTCTGATCAAGTTGTCTGACCTTGATCAGAGGTTCGTTGTCTCGAGTAGACGGACAGAGAGATTGGCGCCGTGGGGTCTTCATTTCCAACGGGTTTGGGGCGTTTGTTCGGGATCCGAGACAAAGGCCTTCATCACACTGCCCCCCCTTAACAACCTCTGGAGTGCGTGTCATACCCTACGGTCTTTCGGTAATCAGTCAGTCGACAACTTCGAATCATTTCGAACGTTTCAAAGCAAGCTTTGGCCTTTTAAGGGAGAGGTTCTCATGTGTCTTATCCGTCTCATCTGACGGTGATGCGCTGGCATAAACTAAAACTTGGTACCCAAGGCCGTGCGCTCGCGGCTAGAACCAGAACTTGGAAAACGGAAACAGGAACCGGAGTGCCGGGATGACTATTGATGGCACCAATAAACCAGACGAAAGTGACGAATCCGGACTTCGGTGCTGCTCGTCTTCTACGTCTTCCACCGCGTGTCTCGCTATCTCTAGTATCCCCCTGATGTTGGATGACAGCTGCTAGTACATTAAAAAGATGAGATGTTCTAAAACAGTCGTCGTCTGGCGATTCCAGGTTCCTACCAAGGTTAACAACATCGCTGTTCAATCAAGAAAGATGGTCGGACGAGATATCTCTTGTCGTCCCAGGCTTTGCATTGAATGGGTTGATCAATCGAGAAGATGGCCCGAAGCGGGTGGTTGTGGCTGATGACGTTCTGTAGTTGCGGGTGGCAGCGGGTGACAGAGAGCGCCTGATGAGCCCCGAAGGGGATCGCTAGAGGGCGTCTGCAGCGGCTGCGCACCTGCAACTTATCCTTCTCCTTCCCGACCACATGCATGAACAAAATCCCCTGCTTTTGCTGCTGCACATCTCACATCTACATACTGCATCGTGTTCCTCCCCGGCCAGCATAACCGACGTCGGGTCAGGCAAAGTCAGACGATTCGCCAGTCCGCTTACCAGCTGTCTCAGCACCTGGCCGTGGCGTCGGCAAGTACCGGTGTGAATGCGTGGTAAGGTACAATCAACTTTACAGTATGCTGGCCGACTTCTCAACTGTCAACTGTCGACTGTCGACAATGTTCCCCCCCAAGCTCGAGTGGGCTGCAATTAATAGATTATGCTGGCGACACCAGATTGCACAGATTGCACAGATAATTGCACAGATTGCAGAGAGATTGCGGCGGCATTGCACTGGATATTGCCCGCCGGCTGCCTCATTTGCGGTGGTGGAGGCATTCTGCACGGCGTTTCATCCGTCCTCCTGGCCCTGGGCCTTTTTGAACGGCAGCCAATGATCTACCAGGGGTCGCGGTGCCCATCAGTGCCCACGGGTTTCGTGTGAGCTAGCTGGGCGTAGCTCGCCCACCGCTTGACCAACCCGCGCTCAGCGACGACTCCACGACCATGGGCCGCCGCCATGTTCATTGGCTTGGACGATATCGAGACCAGGGGTCCTGGGCCTCTGGCGGCAGGAGACTGGGGTAGGAGGCGTTCTAGACCGCATCAGCGCTGGAGACTGGTGACGACGGCCAGATCTTGTCAAGTTGTCTTCTCAGGGGTCGACGAAGCTTCGACAAGCGGTGCAGCCTGCGATCTATGCTTCCTCTCCATCCAAGACTGCCAAGTTGATCCAGCCAATTGCTGCCGTTGCTTGGACCTTCACTCTCTAACCTCTTGCTTTCCAGTTTCCACTGTCCACTGTCCACTGTCCACCGCTCCCAGCAACATCGCCCTGGCGCTTCATCCCTCTTTCAGTCTGTCGTTTGGTCATCTCTTGGACCTCATTGCTCCTCCCACACTCGCTATCCGCGTCGACCTATCCTCTCTCGTTTCATCTATGCGCCGACAACGACCCTCTCTACCGTAGCATCGTCGTCCTCGACTCTACCCCGTCACCTTTGACGCCTTGGACGAAACGATACGATAACTAGATACCCCGAAAGCCCCGCTATAGCTGTCTTTCCTCGCTACTTCTCGTCCTTCTTTCTTCAAACCGGCAGTTTGTTGCCAATTTTGCATTCTTTCCAGGTTGATCCTCGGCTCTTTGATACCACAACCTTCTTGTTGCCAACCGTGGTAACAGTCTCTTTGTCTTTGCCTCTTTGTCTAGTCGAGTCTATGTTCCTTTGCGACCCCAAACCGGCTATCTAAACAACACAATTGCCGCCGAACTCCCCGTCAAACGAAACTGAATTTCTCGAAAAAGCTTTGAACCATACGGATATTATAGAAGCAGGAGGAGGTGCATCAAACCGGTTGGCATACGCATCAGCGATTGATTTTACAGAAACATACAGTTGGAGACAGCTTCACAGCAACAACACTCGCATCGAGCAAATTTACCCGGTTTTTCAGTCGAGCCCTGCGACACAACACATTACACAGTCCGGATCAAGATGGTGGGATCCAATTCGCGGTGGTCGATACGGCGGGCCGCGCTATGGGCGACGGCGTTTGCAGCGTCGGGGGTTCTTGGCGATGATGTCCTGGTCACAAGCGGATTCACCAACTGCAACAACGACAGCGACATCAAGGTGCAAAAGGCCGACATCAAGTACGATAACGCCCAGAAGGTGGTCGAGTTCAACGTTGCCGGCTCGAGTGCCAAGGAGCAGAATGTGACGGCCATCCTTTCGGTGACAGCATACGGCCGGGACGTGTACACAAACAAGTTCAACCCTTGTGACGCAGCAACACGCGTGGATCAGCTATGTCCAGGTAAGTCCGCATTCCTATACCCCCAGTGATGAAGGCAGAATGCTAACCGAATCGTAGTTCCGAAGGGCAGCTTCAGTGCAAAGGGCACACAGAACATTACCGCCCAATATGCCAATGCCATACCTGCGATTGCCTTCCAGATCCCCGACATCGCAGCGCTAGCGAAGTTGCAGCTCCAGGCATTGGATGGTGACACTGACCTCGGTTGCTTCGAATCGCAGGTGACGAACGGCAAGACTGCCGATGTCCCTGCCGTGCCATACGTCGCTGCTGGTATTGCTGGAGCCGCCTTGTTGCTCAGCGGCATTGGAGCTATCGGTTCTACCTTGTCTGGAGCGGGTGCCGCTTCGGGCGCAGGAGGAGCAGGCACCATCAGCCCAAGCTTTGGTGAGGTCTTTGGTGTGTTCCAAGGCTTTGCAATGAATGGTATGATGTCGGCCAACCTGCCCCAAGTCTACCGAAGCTTCTCCAAGAACTTTGCCTTCTCGACCGGCCTCATCCCCTTCACCCAAATGCAAGTCACGATCGACAACTTCCGTGCGAGCACGGGCGGCAACTTGACCAAGGACAGCGTTGAGACCCTTCAAAACACGACGCTGGTGTTCCCTGACGGCTCGACCTCCAGTACTAATAGCAGCACGGTAGTCAAGCGTGCGTTTGACAGCTTTGTCACCCTTGCTCTTCGAGATGTCGACGCCACAGTCAATGCCACATCTGGTGATGACGCGAGTAGCGCCGAAACGACGATCCGCACTGCCGTCTCTGGTGCCCAGGCTTACTTCGAACAGCTATCAGTGCCTCAGTCCAACACCTTCATGACCGTCCTTCTCATCGTCGCCATCGTCATTGCCGTCATCGTCGTGGGTATCTTGTTGGTGAAGGTTATCCTCGAGGCCTGGGCACTGTTCGGCAGCTTCCCCCAGAGTCTCACCGGGTTCCGTAAGCACTACTGGGGCTCCATTGCCCGTGCCATTACCTCCCTCATCCTGCTGCTCTACGGCATCTGGGTGCTGTACTGCATATTCCAGTTCACGCACGGAGATTCGTGGGCCGCGCAGTTACTGGCAGGTGTCACTCTCGCCCTGTTCACGGGCGTGCTCGCCTTCTTCTCCTGGAAGATCTGGAGCATGGCGAGAAAGCTCAAGAACGCTGAGGGCGACCCCTCGGGCCTGTACGAGGACAAGAGCATATGGGTCAAGTACTCACTGTTCTACGAATCATACAAGAAGGACTACTGGTGGCTTTTCGTCCCCGCCATCGTCTACATGTTTGCAAAGGGTACCGTGCTCGCCGCCACCGACGGCAAAGGCATGATGCAGACTATTGCCTTGCTGGTCGTCGAGGGTCTCATGCTGAGTCTGCTGGTCTGGAGCCGGCCCTATGAACGCAAGTCCGGTAATGTCATCAACATTCTGATCCAGACTGTGCGGCTACTTTCCATGGTCTGCATCCTTGTGTTCGTCGAAGAGCTGGGTATTTCGCAGACCACGCAGACGGTGACCGGTGTGGTTCTCATCGCACTGCAGTCAGCGCTCGCTGGTCTCCTCGGAATACTTATCGCCTGGAACGCCATCGTCGCGTGCTGCAAGCAAAACCCGCACCGCAAGCGCAGAAAGGAAATGGGTAAGTTACGCCTCCAGATGCAGATGCAGACGCATATGCCATCTTCCTCGCTTCCCCTACACAACTAAGCCCTCCCCTTTTTCACGCCTGCGTACAAACCAAAACCACTGACACCTATTTTCCCACCCACAGAAAAGATGCAGCGAGACATGGACACCCTGACACCTCTCGACGCACGCAACTCCCTCCTCATGATGGAGCGTACCAAGTCCAACGAGTCGACCTTCTCCATGGCCAAGATCAACACCAACGTCAATGCGAAGGAGCAGCCCTTCTCGAGCACCACGGCGCGCCGCGATTCCTCGGAGGACCGCTACCTCGGCGCCGAGCCCGTGAACCCGTACTCGACCCTCAGCGCCGCGTCGTCGTACAACCGCCCGCTCACGCCCATTGTCGTCGACCAGAGCCGTCAGGGGCTCATCTCCGGCGCCGCGCCCATCAATCACCAGCAGCCCACGCTGCCTCATATGGGTGGCGGCTTTGGCGGCGGTTATGGACAGGGTCAGGGCGGCTACGCGCCGTATCGGGCGCCTGGTGCGTACTGAGGGAGCAAGCGAGTTATGGGATGGAAGGGGGCGCCAGGATTCTATCTGCATGCAAATAATAATGTGGCCACGACACCATCATACTCACACTATACAAAGACACTACTAACACAACCAACGAACCCATCATCGGCATCGGCATCAACGTCGAAGTCACCATCAGCATTACCTACATGACACCTCCACTTCGAGGTCCTGCATCATCACCATCAGGGGAGTCCTCGGACACCACGGGCGACACACCCGCCACGCATCTACGTATCCACGTATTCTACTTATCTATCGACATCTTCCACATCTACCTACCTTGACTACCACCCAGACGGCCGTCTCTCTACGCTTCCTTGAACATTGTATATAGTCGAAACCCGTATCTGAATTGTAGTGCCGCGGCCTGAATATAACATACCCATTGATTGGTTATACAACTTGACTTTGATATCCCGAGTCTTTGACCAGAGCTGGTGATATATGCTTCCCTTCCATGGCGCTGAGTGGTGCCCTACTCGTATTGGGTTCTGTATGAACCTTATTTCGTCTGTCTGTTCCACATGCCGTACTCACCATGCTCGTCCTCCCTATACAGCCTGAAGCAGCCGTCCCAAAGAAAAGACGACCTTGTTCAGATGCGTGTCGGACAACAGCCAGCTCCGGATGCGCTGCTAAAGCCCACTCACCGAATCCCGAAGCAGCCGCGCGGGGGAAAATGGATATCTGATTGATACCCAAACCCCCGAGTCGATTGATCGTGTACATACGGGAGGGAGGGAGGGAGGTGAATGGTTCGTACCCAGATCCCCTCGTGGACCTTCTTTTTCCTTCTCCTTTCTCGGTGCCGACCTATCAGGCTCATCCATGGACCATCACACCGCCCGCCCGCCCGGCAGGGGCAGACACGGACGGACGTGAAGCCGCAGGGGAGGGACGAACCTTCCTCTCGGTGCCCGGCCCTCACTGCTGCTGCGTCGACGAGTTCTATACTGATCTAGCTGGGCTGTGGCCGCGACTGCACTTGGGACAATGTCGTAGTTTTCCGATAGGAGTTTGGGAGATCTCCTGGACGCCTTCGGTTGAGCAGGTTATCGACCGCGACCGCGGCAGTGACCCCGCGAAGCTCCAGCGGATTCGTGGTGCGGGCTTCTGGAACGCATTGTGGACACACGAGAGGGGAAAGTGTTTGCCGTGGGTGAGTGAGTCCTGCGGGTTGGTATTGGGGTGGCAGTACGTGCGAAGTTTCCGTTTCCCATCAGACCATGGAGGATGTCACATCCAGGGTGGTAGCTGCTTCAGAATACTCGAACACCCTGGTTTTAAGCGTGACTGAATATATAGATAGGCACTGCGGAATGTTACCTACCCTTTGGTTGTTTAGCGAGGTGTACTCATAAGCAACTGTGTTTGGTCAGAGAAAAGGGGGATTGCGAGACTTTTATTGCCTCTCGGACGAATACTGAGATGAAGTCATCAGCAACTTAGGTAGTTATATTTCGGTAGTTATATTTCGTCCGAACGAAAGGAACTCCAGACTCTAAAACTCCATTTTGAAGTCTGGAACACGGCTTTCGATTCATTGACTGAGCTTTCATGTAAACGGAACGGGCAGTATCATCTTGGCTTCAGTGAGCCCACGCCAAAACTACTTTACAATCTGCCCCCAAACCCACCCACCCTTTCCCTCATCTCCGAGCATCGCCTGCGCGTACCTCTCGGCAAGTACCTTGGGGTTGCATTGATCTGTGTATGGTTGGTTGTTGCGTCAAAATTGGGCAGACACGCATTCATATCTGCTAGCAACCCTCAATCCAATCCTCCTACCCCAAGGAAGGACTTTGGACTCCGCATCCACCATCCTCTCCTTGCTGTCCAGACTCTGGACCACCCATGACGCAAGACCCCATGGAATGGAAGCCCGCGTCAGTTCCTCGCGCAGAAGAATTCGACTCTCCTCATGATCAAGGGGCAGTGGCTCTTCGGGTTGGAGCAACCAGTCATGCTCGACGCGCACGTCATTGTGTCCCTTGTGCGGATGCAGGAGTCGACCGCCTCCACCTGAATCCGCAGTCGTTGGGAGAATACATGGACCGAGCGGTATCTTCGCCGGAGTGGCAAGAGCTGATGGAACTTCCCTCATACTCTACTAAGTAAGGGCAGGCGAGAGATGCCACCCATGGGTCACTAAAGTGTTGGGCTTGAGCCCTTGCTGGGGCGAAACAAGTAACTTAGCAGATAGTGTTCAAAGTTGAAATGCAAGACTGTGTAGCAGATGATGCGAAAAGCTTTCCACATCAGTGATGCAGGAGGTCCAAAGCCGTCTGCGGCTGGTCGATCCGGTACAGCACTTTAGCGGTGTTGAAGTAAGCTTCGTACTCGATCTCCTCCCCTCCCGTCCCCTCTGGCAGGAGATCGTTGTGGTAATGTCCACCCTCATCCCTGCCAGCGCCAGAGAAGCAGTGCGTATGCTCCATCCTCAAGCCAAGCTCCTGCGGGTCCGCGGAGTGGAGGACCGTAAGGCATACCATCGGCGCCGGGAACTCGTGGAATGTCAGCCACTCGTTGAGCTCGTGGCGGTCCGTGAAGGGCTCGGCAGGGAAGTCGGGCATGACGTGGAATAACGCTTTGCCTTTCCTTATGACAAAGGCACCGCCGAGGCTGACTTGTTTGTCGTCGCCATAGGCGTCGTGGAGAGCGCGCCGGGTGCACTCTGTGAAGCTCTTCTGATCTCCTCTGCGCGAGCGAGCGGTGACTCTGAGTACCGGGCCTGATTGCCCAGCAGACCCGTATAGGTTCATCATCAGAGCACAATCTGTGCTAGGACTGGGCTGGCAGACGACGTCGGCCTGGCCATCCGTGACGCTCCTCACTTTGGCGTATCGGCTCTTGTTGTCGACATTTTCGAATCCACCGCTCCAGCTCAGGTTTGGCGCGAGCTCGGAGTTCATGCCAATAACGTGGAAGGGTCCGGCTCCAGCCCCTATCAGCATGCCGCCCTCTAAAGCTAGATGCATGCCCTTTGCACATTCGAGCATAGGATATATCTTGTCCAGGAGTGGTCGAGGGAAGAGGTGAGACTGGCCACCGATATCCGCCACGCACTCATTGCCGCAGAGACCCTTTCCGGCTAGGTGGAAAGGTGCTTGACGCAGATCGGGGCAGTCTACCACGCTGACGGAAGCATCCTCATAGTTCTTTTGTAGTGCAGGAGTCACTGCTTTGGCCAGATCCTCCAGTGAGGGTGGTGAGAGCTTGTGCTCGGTAGTCTTCATAGTCAAATCGTTTGGGCTGAGATGGGCGGAGAGCTGGTGCAATCGTGATGTCGACGATAGTGTTTTGCGTAGAAGGTAAGAAGACATTGAGATGCAAAGGATGGATACCGAGGCCTTTTGAAGGATGGAGTCAACGGCGAGCTTACTCTGGCTCTCGCGTCTCGCATCTCGCATCTCGGCTTTGGCTCTCTTAGCTTCTGCATGGTGCTTGCACGGGTATACTCGGCTCTGGCTGGAGTGGAGGTGTTAGGAAGAGGTGATACCTGGAAGCGTATTGTTTTCAGGTTCACGTAGTGCTTTAGGCTTTTTTTTTCCTATGCGAGAGCGCCTATCCGCTCCTGGCAGCGTACAGCGGATGGCGGCGTCTCTGCCCTTTTGCAACTCCAACTTCGATACCTACCAGCCAACACATTTCCTAAGCAGCACCGCATTTCGCAACAAGCACATACATCATCGCGCCATACTTTCAGTGAAGGGGCCCATGATTCAGGACCTGGGGCAGCATCTTCCACTCCCTCTTATTAGGGATAAACAGTGGCCAACCAAAATAGATAGGTTTCCTCGACAGAACCCATCCATAGTATGGCATGCTTTTTCACTCGGATTTCCGAAGCCACTTGCTTGCTTACGCCCTCAAGGTGCTAAGAGCTCCCCACAGCTGAGAGCTATCTCTCGTACCCGCCACATTGACACTCCATCTGTCTGTCATATGGAATGAAACACCAGACCGAGCTCGCATTCTTTCTGTCCAGACTAAATAATCCACCATGCAAGGAGCGCTCCCTAACAGCAGTGGCCGGCCCGTCAGTCAAGCCCCTTCACCGTCGGGTGATGGACAGCATGTGTTTCGCCAAGGCCGTCCAATACGGTGTATCCAGCACTAGTTCAAGAAAGCAAGTTCTGATACGGACTTTGAATATGTCTCTCTGAGTATTCTGATCACTCAAGGAGACTGGCAACCAGGTATGTTCCGAAAACATTACGAAAACTGAACGTGTGTATCATTAATCGTAGCAACCAAGTACCTAGATAATGTTCCTCGTCCCTCCCGGGTAGACAAACCCACGCACCCGTCGCGCATCCCTCTATCACATACACCCCTATGCCCGCCACCAGCTAGCTTTTAACTTAAGTGATAGCGAGAAATAAGAACCATAGGTACTCAGATAAGAAAACACCACGGCGATATACCCCTCGATCGCCGTCTCAAGACCCGTCCAATAACACCAATGAGCGGACGGAAAATATAACGAAATACCACCAACGTACACCCACCAGTCGAAGCACCATCCACCCGCTCTTTCTACCCCAACGCCTCACCACGAATTCATCATCAATTCACCATGAATTCACCGTCGAACACCTCCTCCGAGCCGAAACCCAACTCAACGAACCGCTCAACCCCGTCCAGCCTCCATGTCCGGTCCCCCAAAATACGGGCCCCGACCCCCCGCCTTCTCACCCCTCTCACTTGTACCCTGCCCCTCACCCGTATCAATGCGCACCGCCGGCCCGGCGGTGGACGAGGCAACCCGTTGCAGGTCCGGGTGCTCATACGTATCCGTCCTGTCCCGCCCGACCTTGCTGTTAGCGACCGTGTTGGCCGTAGTGTTGGTACCAGTACGGCTCAGCTCGTCGGATTCGCCCGGGTGGTCCTGCCCGATGTTGACGGTCTCGTACTCGAGCGCCTTGATCGTGACGTAGAAGGCCGAGGCCAGCAGCGACCCCAGGATGGGGCCGACCCAGTAGATCCAGTGGTACGACTCGAAGTGGCCGGCGATGACGTCGGGGCCGAAGGAGCGCGCGGGGTTGAGGCTGCCGCCCGTGAAGTAGACGCCCCTGTCAGGTTGGACTTGTGTCAGTACTAGCTCGGAGTGAGGCTTGTAGACGGGATGGTAGCCCCAGTTGTAGGCTCGAGGCGATGGTAGGCGCCTTGAAAGCTGAGAAGCCTTGCTGCTTGGGCAGTCCAGAGAATGGGAGATGGGAGCACATACATCAACTCAGCGATGAAAAGCGACAAGCCAATACCGATGGGGGCAATGAACGTAGCCCGATGCTTTTCGGCCGCGAGCATGAAGATGGTAAAGACCAGTTGGGCCGTTACTGTAGCATAGGAGTCAGTCAATCCTTCCCTTGAGCAAAATGAGCACACAGAAGCACACCTGAGACTCAAAGTGTGTCTCATGAACATATTTCCAAGCATGGGACAACGTCAAGGAGCAAGACTGGACTTCAGGAAGACTCACGAAACATCTCGGTGAAAAGTCCCTGGACAACCGATGTGCCACCTCCCAAGGACGTCGCAATTTTCAGGTCGCCAGGCTGGATGCCCGAGATCACAGCAGCAGCGGCAATGCCACCAGCGATCTGGCTGATGACGATCAGCACACCCCTCAGATAGCCGACAGCACCAATAATCATCATGCCTAGTGTCACGGCGGGGTTGAAGAGACCACCACTGATTCGAAAGAAGACCCAAGCGTTGACCGCGAGACTCATGCCGAAGCACAAGCTGATGAACATGAGCTTGGACGGGTTGGCAGCGAGGTTCTGGGGCTGGCCCTCGTCGGGGGCCGTGTTGACGGCGTTGGTGCCGCCAAAGGCGAATAGCAGGAACATGAAGGTGCCGGCGAACTCGCTGGCGACGGCCACGATGTGGTTCTTGACGTTCAGCGGGAGGAAGTTGAGCAGCCGGACCCGCCGCTGCTCGATAGACATGGCGACGCTGGGCATCCTCGTGCCCATGCTGGGACGCTTCGAGAAAGTCGGGCGCCTCTTAGGCGGGTTCGGCTTCTCCCAGGGGAGGCGGACGCTGGGCTCTAGCTGTGCTTGCTCCATGGTTGCTGGTAGGGAGCTGCGAAGCGGCTGTTGGTGTTGGTGTTGTTGTTGGTGAAATGGCCAGAAAAGTAGATGATAGAAAGGCGCAAAAGCGATGTGTTGGTGGTTTTCAGACTTGTGTAATGTCTCAAAGCTCTGTGTCGTCGCTGCCTGTTCTTCTTGGTGACGCCTGCCGAGGGGGGCATCGCAACATCAAATACTCGCCGTCAGACGTAGGACATTCTTCCTTCGTCGCTGCCCAACCAGCAATCACGAGTGACCATGTTGCCATCGCCGTGTCCCAAGCTACGTCAGCGACGATAATGGCGTGATACACTGTGGTCTAATGTGCCGTGGTGTCAATGTGCGACCCTTTCCCTGTAGATCTGCTCTTTCCCCGTCGATCTTTCCGTACGACGGTAAGACGAGGCAGTATCTTAGGCTGCAACACAAGCAGCGAACGCGTGATACGCAACGGCTTCTGCAGAAATCACCTAATTTCTCGAGAGTTGAAGAGGATATCCCCGTATGCGAGTATAGTGGTCGAGTCGCATGTGCAAGCCGATCGTCTTCATGACGGTGCGTGGCGCTCCTCAGAGCAAGATCTGTCGGGATTTGCGATGATCTGGCGGTCGCCTGCATGTCCGCAGCCCAGCACGATGACGGAGGTCATCACGGAGTGTGCTACCCATCTCCCAGGATGGGTGGTCGAAGAAGAAACGGCGAAAACGCGGGGGAGCCTTGTTTCGTGCATGCCGCGGGTCTGTGGGAGGCTCCTAGCTTCCACTGCGCGAAGTCGGGGCCGGTAAAGCCTCAACACAGGGGATCCATGCCGGCCGGGGCTGAGCATACGGGCAAGGGGGGAGGGTTGCTCAGCTGTTGGAAACCGGGGAGTGGTTTCGATAGTGAAGCTGGCCGTGATTTGCTGCGTCGACAAGCTGTAACCCGAGCCGACGACGCCCGCATATGCATGCAACGCTGTCCCCAGACATGCATGCGGATTGGTCTCATGGGCCTTCCGGGTGTGACTCCGGTGACAAATGTAAGGCCTCGGAGGCATATGGAATGGCGTAATGCCGCTGGATTCGGCCGCATACAATCGGTATAAGCCTCCTTGCTCATATATATAGGTATGGAGGCCCAAGTGACTGAAATTCAGCCTGGCGTAGAGGGATAAACCTAGAACTCGAACATGACCAGCCAGCCTTGCTTCTATGAGGAGTATGTCACATCGTCGATCGTCTACTCACATCAATGATGATAGCATTAATGACGATAGCATCAATGATGATAGCATCGCTATGTTAGTCTCCCTGTCGTGGTACTCTGAGACCGGTGACCAGTGATAGGTGGTCATTAGGATCATTTCTCCACCGAATCATTGGATTCCGCAAGCGCCTTGCCCCTCGTGAGGTAACGTGTTCCTGGCCACAGATGAGGAAAGCCCCAGGAACTAGGATAGCACCAGTTTATCAGTACCAGTAGAGCTGAGAAGATCCAGGCGACGAGCTGAGAATGTTACCACTCTGACTGGCGATCGATTACCACTGATGTCACTGACAATCCTCGTGTCAGCCTTTCTCGAGTCAAGTAGACAGGGAACCGTTATCGTCCCATCAGTCGCGAATTGTGACCCTCTCGCTGGCTCGGACGTGTCTGCGGCTGCGGGACCCAAGCGATATTGTACACATTTCCTTGTGCTTGCCCCCCATGTAGGGCGTTCGCGCCGTCTCATGTGATACTGCAGCAGCCTGGGCCAACCATTCTTGGATGGTCGTCCTCCAGACGCTGTTATTCTCGGTAGGCTTGGTCTCATCGGAGCGCTCCCATAGGGGATGCCCACGTATGTGGGTGGCTACTCGATGAGACTTTGATGTCTGACGAAATAGGTAAGCAACCGTCCTGGGTGTTACTGGTTGTTGCGTCGGAGTATCTGGTGTAAAGTCAGTACACGACCCAAGCTATGCCCCGTCTCCCGCCGTGGGCGAGTAGACGCAGCCATACACATTGCGTATGCAGGGAAAGGCCGAGTTGACCACTCGAGCTTCTATCCAGCAGGTGCTTGAAGCAGAGTACGTAGCCAATAAGTATGGTGAAGACACCTGCTAATAGTCTTGGCTGATGCGTGACTGCATCCGCCGGCGTGTCCGAAGATCGTCCTCTGGTGGCAGAAGAAGCATTGTAGTCTATCGGGAAAGACGCGGGGATGATGTGAATCATGGTGGCTGGACGACAGTGGCGACGAGCACGCAAGGGGTTGATGCTCGGCTGCGGCACTTTGAGCGTGTTCTGGCCGCGATACCATGGTCAAGATTGCCATAGACAACATGTCAGTAGGTAACCTGTCCTGACCATACATGGGCTGGATGCGCCCCATGGTGGCTGTCGCGACAAGACTGTCGCGATAAGACTGTCGCGATGCTTGGGTCGGACTAAGAGGCGACCACAAGGTGATACGAGCACTGAATATGGCCAACAATCTGGAGTGGTATATTTGTTAGCCGTCTCCATGTGTCAACAATGGCCAATTCCTCCAATGTGCTCACATACCAACCTTGGAATGTTCTTCATGTTGCTCCGGCAGTACCGAACTCGTGCCGCGTGAGAGTCACTCGACTTGGACTGCATCGCCGGCGCCTACGGTCGGCGCAACTGTCCGGCGTAGAAATCCTGGTCTGGCGCATTCGTCACCCGTTACCGAACCTTGGATCGGCCGGGACAGGCACACAGATGTCTTCAATCACCGAGCTGTTCGTTCTAATCTTCAGGTTGATCTTTCGTTGTTCACCTGCCACAGAGTAGAGAAGCTAATTGGTGAGAATTTCCCCCACTTGAAACCACCAAAAAGCCTAAAAATACTAGGACCTGATTGGATACAAGTTAGGGCAAATGAGGTCTTATGTCGTCGGCGACCACCCGTGGACAGGGCTGTGGGACATGTCACATTCCTCATTCCGCATCGACTTACACGAACCATTCAACATCCAACATCCGGTTGGTATCTAACATTGAGGAGGCAACATCCGCAGTGGTTATAGCAGCTCAAGCGATGGCAACCTCAAATATACGGTCTCTAGCCGCTGAGTTAGGGCTCGACACTGCTGTAGGTGACTGGTACCGGTATCAGTCCCGGTTCAGATGAGAACAATTCTTCTTGATTCACATCTACCTTCCCCGATCTTCTTTGTCCTCTGGTGGTCATCTTCAAGTCCACTTCATAGAGCTCACACATGTTCCAATCTTGGAAACTTTATATCCAGCCACGACCTTATTGCGAAGGAAAGAACAGATGACCCAAAACCGCGGGGGCGTCGATGAACCTAAATTCATGCTCGGCGCTTTTCCATCAGGATGCATTTCCATCAGGATGCATTTCCATCAGGAGGCAGTTTCTACGTAAGAAATTACATTTAGTCAAGGCCTAACTTTTGAAAACTGGTATGTCTCTCCTGTTCTTTCTCTCATCCCAACCAGCCCGTCAGACGCCTTTCCGTCACAATGTCCGGCTTCCGCCAAAACCAGCCTCGTTCGATGGACAAGATGGGTTTACACGACGATGCCAACTCGAAGCAACCGAGCTACTGCAGTTACAGACATATATCTATCAGCGACTGGGTCACGTCCCTAAGGCAGAACCGCCAGATTATGGGTATAATATACCTCGTCGCTCCATGCCTCGTCGCCGTCACCACAGGGCAGCTCGGGTCGCAAGATCTCCTAGATCCCGTACAGCGCTTCCGGATCCCCAAATTTCCAAAAATCCAAGCAGCAGAGGTCGAGGCCACTGGGCTCATCCCGCACAGGATATGGCAGATCAACCTGCCCAAGCCCAGCTTCTTGTACACCCTAGTCGGGCAGAGGGGCGGCGACAAGTTCGTAGACACTCACTCCACGGCCAACCCAGCCCTCCTGAGCGCCCACCACGAGCTCCAAAACAATGGCATGAAGTCCGATCTCCGGCGGTACCTCCTGCTGTCCGCCCAGGGCGGCTTGTACACCGACACCGACACGTATGCCCACCGGGCGCGGCCGGTAGACGACTGGTGCCGTCGGGGATGTAGTCGCAGATCCAACTAAGCATCATAATTGAAACGGGCAGCCTGGGTCGGGACCACTGATCGACATCCCGCACGAACAATGGGACCGTACCTGCTGCTGCGCTGATGCAACACCATTTTCGATGATCTTGGAGACATGGAAGAAGCGCCTTGTTATCCGCACATACCGAGCAGGAAGCTTATATGGCGGCGTATGGAATGCATGCTCCTCCATGCTGCTTGCTACCGTGACGCCAGCCGCTGTGCCACCGTTAGGTTAATCGGCGACCAGCTGCCCGGCGCTTTCCGAGACGGACGGCGGCAGCACGACGCCGGCCCGGAGTCAGCTGAGCGAGAGCTCGACAGCGACAGCGCGATGGCACCCAAGGCAGATGGAACGGGCTCAGCTTTCCGCAGCCGCAACAGCAGAGAATTGCCAGCGCAGCCGTCACCAGCATCGTCCCCGAACCCGACAGCGCGTTGGGTAAGAGGCAGAGAGCCCATGCATCGCATGAACCAGCCAGGCAAGATTGAAATCGTATACTGATGATGACCCGCCCGGTCAAAAACCTCAGCTGCTTTTCGCCCTTGGTTTCTAGGCGTTGGAAAAACACCAACCTGATGCCGCGATGATAACCGCGCGACGCTAAGACGCAGTGAACAAAGCGTAGTTAATGAGGAACACTCTTCTGTACAATGGCCTAATAACAGCTGGGTTTGAACCGTGTGGCGCGTGCATCCAAGGGCATTCAGTTTAGACACGTAGAACAATGTAGACAGTATGATGCTCTTGTGATATTGCATGGCAAGAACTGTTCAATAAAAGTGTCCCATTAAACCACGGTCTTCCTCTGTGGCGTGTCGTAGTAAGCCATCAACAGACATTATCTCACCAGGGCTGAACCGAGTAACTATACACGTCCCATGCGGACGCCTTCGATGACACCAGAATCATCGAGGCTTGGCCAGCTGGTCACACCTTTCCTACCTATGCAAGACCAGTGCAGCAACCTGGCACCCTCAAAACATCCCCGGGCCCGGGTGCGGTGACAGCAACGACATCAGTAGGTTTCGCTCATGGCCACTAGGCACAAAGTAGACCTCCCGAGGTCGTTCGATGTCCTCCCTCGACGGCGGCAGCGACGTGACATTGACCGAAGTGCGGATCTTGATGTCATTTGATAGGGGTGGCGATGACGCCCAGCCGTCCTGGTCAGCCTCCAGCCTTGGGATATCCCAGAACGACATCGTGGACTCGTGTTTTGGGACGGCTGTCTTGTTTCGGGAACTGTACGAGGACGCCTTCTCGTTATCAATGCTCTGCTCGGCCCTGTAGGGAGCGCCTGGCCGCCTCACCGAGCCCAATTTCCTTATTGAGCCGCCCACCTTTCGGATGATGGGGCGGCTGATGGGGCCCGTCGGGAGCCCGTTGCGTGGCTTGCAGTCGATGGGGGACGATTGCCACGGCATCGAGTCTGCGGAGTCGTTCGATAAGCGTTTGGCCCCGCTGTCGAAGCCGATGCCCATCTTCTTTAAGAGCGGAGGCAGGGTAGCGATGCATCCTCCTATGATTCCGAGAGAGAGTTCAATAATAGCGCAAAGGGCAATGATACTGCGGTCCATTTATCAGATAAGGGGCCAGGGGACGCGAGAAACGGTGAGCACCTACATTGTCTCGTTGACAAATGTTTCGGGCGACCGCAAGGGGTTGAAGTAAAAGATTCGAACGAAGAGGGCGATCCCAGCACTGTTGGTGTTAGCAAAGCCTGGATAGTTAGTCGACAGAGGCGGCACTTACAAGACCCCCATGCTCAGAATACCGGCGATAGCTATCTTCGCTCGAATCTCTATCTTCACCTTCCAGAGGATGACAATCGGAAGCAGAGCGACGGCCCAATCCATTATGGCACTCAGGGCGGCAAAGACGGTGGTTGATATAGGCAGGATTGCTGGAGAGAAGCAGAACCCTTCTGAGCCTTCCACGTGGGTCCAGAAGTAATCGATCGGGGAGCATTGTAGTAGCACAATGAAGAAATGACCGAAGGACATCATTGAAGTGAGGCCGATCACACTGAATAAAATCCATCTATGCCACTTCTGCACCGAGATCCTCAGGATCAAGATAGCAATAGCGATGCGGATGAACGCCGACGTCGGGCAGGATATTACTTCGCTCAAATACCAATTCCGTAAAGAGATCTCGTTGCCTTGGGGTGTGATCTCATTCTGGGGCTTGCCAGCCTCGCCCTCGACGACAGCGAGGATAGTGAACGACGCAATCGTTGTGTAGCCAAACTGCAAGAACTGGTCAGGTCGTGCTGGGCAAAACTGAAGCAACTGCTCATTGATCTTACCAATGCTGCCAGCATCAAGTAGTCGTCAATAGATATCTTTCCTACAATGAGGACCTTGACGTAGGCCCGCAGGGCCGATGCGATCCAGGTCAAGATTAGAAATAATACCTGGACGATGAACAAGTTCGTGCCAGCTGGGTTAACATCGAACCCTAGATTCCGACTTAACGCCATGGTGAGGTCGAAGGAAGGTGACGGAGACCCCGTTGGTTGTAAAAAGATGACAGCATCAAGCTGCTTGATGGAACGAAGGTATGGCGAAGGGAGCAAGGTTGACCTGAACGCTTGCGTCGAGAATCCACTCGTAGAAGAGCGGTGCTGTTTATACGAGTACAGAGAAGTAACAGGTTATGTATTTGAAGAACCAGATGATGGCAGGATCCATGTGAAGGTATCGGCTCCGAGCACAGGACTCAGTGATATATGGAGTTGGTTGGATCATGATGATCGGCACTTTCTCCCTACCTACTAGGTAAGTTTGGGGAATGCAGACATCCTAGCAGCTCGTGGCTAAGAATCTAATTCAAGACCACGCATGACCCCTGTTCCTGTTCAATGAAACTACGAACACCTTCAGACACCAAAGAATGGCGCTGGCGGGAGGATGGATGCCCGGGGAGGCTTTGTGTTGGATGAAGATAACGCAGTCGACGGCAAAAGTGTGGTTACACCAAGCATATGGCGCCCGCAACACACCAGCTTCAAGAGGTCGACCATAAACTCCTCAGAGCTCCTCAGCGCTCCTGTGGCGGTTTGCGCCGCAGGCAGACGTACCAGGCAACGGAATTTGCTCCGCTCCAACCAGCCCAACCCAGTCAAGAAGGGCCGGTCCTGATGCTCAGTCAGCTTGATCATGAGAGCGTGTGGTAGTTCTCTGCTGTGCGTAGTCTCCAGATTTGACCGCGGTGCCATGCGTAGGCGCCTGTGAAGTTTGCCTTCAACGATCAGATGGAGGCTCTTGTGGTGAATAGAGTTATGGCGCTCACATCGGACGAACGATAACAGTCAGCATCGCACAGAGGGTGATAGGTAAGGGCCATCGCAACGATCTGATTAGGATATGGGATCCTTCCAGGGGCTTTCCGGCTTGTCAAACCTGTCGCCAATCTATTTGGAAGTGCAACTGGAACGACTCCAAAGGCGGCCTGGGCCCCAGCCATTCGTCCGAAAGACACGATCGAGGTGTTTGTTCTCGTTGATGCCGCGAGTGAAGGATCATTTGGGTGTACTGCGGCTGAGGCACAGCTCGCCAAGTCAGGGCGGAAGCCGTGGTCGACTGAAACAGCCAGTCAGTTGAGCATCTAGAGACGTTTCCTCGGCGGCAGTCGTGTCGTGAAACGCGGAACTCGAAACGCAGAATACCACAAAGTCGTGCAAGCCTGTATTGTCGTGGGGGGCACATGAAGATGAAGAATTACCATGGTGCCCGTCGGAAATGCAGCTTGGCTCACGAGACAGAGTGATAATTCCTCCTCTGCTTGGGCGTGTGAGGGGCAGTGTACTGTACCAACACACCCACTTGAGGATATGTAGTTTCGAAGCTTCGAAGGATCGTAGACATGGAATCCTCTCATGAGTCTGGAACGAGCTTTCGCCTGTCGCTCTACGTGCAGGTAAAGATGGAAACATCGTCGATGAAATCCCAAAACACTTGATCTTGTGCTCCGACATGGAGTTTCTGGTGAAGTAGTGGTCTGGCGGGCCGACCCTGTAGTGACTAGACGATCCACTACTGTCATTCTCAAGCAGAGTGTCGGTGCCCCACTTCAAATCGCTGGCACCTCCCAACTTGACAGAAAGACAAAAATACGTTATCTAAAGTTGCAACTACTATCCTGACGTCGCGTATATCATTTCATACTATTTTTAGATAGCTACGAAATAGGGCTATATAGAGATAGTATGAAATAACATGTGCGACGTGAAAATAGAAGCGTGACCGTAAAAAACGTACATTTATCGCTTTTTTTAACTAGATTGCCAAGGCAAAAAGGCTATAGAGGGGTAATAGAGGGGTAATATAGCGATTATAAGAATAGTAATTAATAACTAAGCGACTAAAGCCTGTATGAATAAGCTGAAATATAAGGTTTAACCGTATTTTAAATGCATTATAATAAAAGCTATAATAACTTTAAAACGCTTATTATAAAATATAAATATCAATCAACTTAATGTCAGATTCAAGGGATCTCTAGGGGTGTATGCCATGTGGAGTGCTGGCTAGTCAGGTGGCTAGTCAAGGAGGCTGCCATGACTGTGACGGCCTGCACAGACCTTCCCACATGACAAGCCGATACTTCTCAATAAGGGAAGGATCTGACCAGAGGATCCCCTTAAAGGGGCAACCTCCCGCTGTACCTATCTCTCTCTGTCTTGCTTTCCTCTCTAGTCTTAATATTCTCGTCAATAGAGTAATAGCTGCTTGCTGCAAGCCATGTCCCAGCTCCCCAGTATGCTCGCCGTGACAGGCAAGAGGGCGTGTCAGATGTTGGATCCCAGATATGGTGCCCTTAGGTGCAGTACACGGTAGGGGGCTGCCAGGGGACCAGCGGATCCACCCTGGCATGGTGCAGTATGGTATTTAGCTGTAGATTAGCCCTGCCGAGCATACTTGAGAATGACAACAACATTTGCAGCGACCGCTCACACCCCCAAGGCTTGTGACCCTTCTAGAATCTCACAAAATCTTTCTTAATAACTGTACATTTTATCTATATTAGGTTTTTCCATATCTCTTAAAATGGCTATAATACAGCTTGTTTTATTAAAAAGTCCGTTTTAAAAAGTTAGGAAGTGCCAGCAATTTGAAGTGGGGCACCGACACTCTGCTTAAGAATGACAGTAAACTGTTTCCTTACGGCGTTCAAGCCACTGGGCCCACAAGATTCCTCTACCCAAGCCACAGTAGACGGTCGGTGCTCTGTAGGTACATGTACTGTACTGAAACGTCCCCTTTGCCCCTCAAACACCACATGGTGTATTGCAAGTGGGTGGCCGGCGCAGAAGGTCCTGAAGAAGAAGATGGCCAAGCATCGTAGATTAGTAGAGGATCACAACGTAGAATGCACAGCTTTGGGCTTTGGGGTGAAATGTTGGTTATTAATGCAGGTGCAGGTGGTGAGCCCGCGGGAGGCATCTCGGAGACTTTGCTCCATCATATCGTCATACTGAGCGGAAAAGCGGTTCTTCTCTGTGACGACTGTGAGGCCACGAGCGATGCCGATGCAGTCGTGCGTGGTGATGTCATCACTGAACTGTATGTTTGTTTGCTAAAGCCCCCAACCAGCTCATAATAAATTCTCGAGCTTCATCTTCCATTCTGATTACCTCCAATCGAATGCACATCTGTACAGCTCTCCAAACTTGATCACAATCTCGCACCCGACGAGATTTCCTACACAACCCCACGAATCCTCAGCAACCTCATAATCCTCAACTCACAAGCCACCATGCCCGACTCGCAGTTCAAGGAAGGTAAGCATAGCACTGTCAACCGCTGAATCCTCTGGAATATGCTGACCATATTCCCATCAAGGCCACTCGGTCCCTGTGACCCATCAGGACTTCCCTGGCAAGGAGCACAAGATGCCCATAGAGGCCCAGTACGACACCCTGCCTACTGATGAGGGCGGCTACCAGAAGTACCAGGGTGTGGGCAAGCTCAAGGGTAAGAAGGCCATCATCACCGGAGGTGACTCCGGAATCGGCCGAGCCTCCGCCGTCCTGTTCTCTCTGGAGGGCGCCGACTCATTCATCGTCTATCTCCCAGACGAAGAGAAGGATGCCCAAGAGACCAAGAAGATGGTCGAAGCAAACGGCCAGAAGTGCCACCTGTATGCTTCCGACATCACCAGCAAGGACAACTGCAAGAAGATCGTCGATGAGGCTCTGAAGGCTATGGGCGCCATCAACATCCTCTTCAACAATGCCGCCTACCAGATGATGATCAACGACATCCACGACCTTTCCGAGTAAGTCACCGTCGCGTACCATGATACGTGTAAGCCGATCTCGACTAACCTTCACTTCAGGGAGCAGTGGGAGCACACCTTCAACACCAACATCCACCCCATGTTCTACCTATCCAAGTACGCGCTGCCTCACATGAAGAAGGGCGACACCATCATCAACAACGCCAGCATCAACGCCTACGTCGGCAGACCTGACCTCCTGGACTACACTTCCACCAAGGGCGCCATTGTCTCATTCACGCGTGGTCTCAGCAACCAGTTCGTCGCCAAGGGCATTCGCGTCAACGCTGTCGCCCCAGGCCCTGTCTGGACCCCTCTAATCCCGGCCACCATGAACGACGAGGCGCAGAAGTCATTCACCAGCCCGATGGGTAGACCCGCACAGCCCAGCGAGATTGCCACCTGCGTCGTCTTCCTGGCAGCGAAGGACAGCTCAGCCATCAGTGGACAGACCATCCACTGCAACGGCGGTACTATTGTCAACGGCTAAGGGGGATGGCAGGATTTGCTTGGTGATGCAGATGCGGAACAGGATCGTGGGCGCCTTCTGGCGCAGCTAGTTGGTCATGAGACGGCTTAATTGTGCCCTCAGGTACTACCCATAGGACTAATGCGAAATGACTTATGAGTTTAAAAGCTTGTGTCAGACTGCCTTCGTGACAAATCGATTCGTAGATGTCTACGAGCGGTGTCGTGCCGCATTCACTTCAAGTAAGCTCCATTTCAACTGGGAAGCTCTTCGCCCTATGTCGCCCTATGTGTGAACAGAGTCGAATATTTAAGAACATGTCAGCAATGGAAACTAAGTACCAGCATGTTCACAGAGGCAAAGTTTTCGAACTCTCAAACCCTCTGCCCCTCAGTCTGCCTTCGGCCAGCGGAATAGCCGGCACATCCAACCTACTTTCATTATACACAACCCGGCTTTCATTGCTACCGTCTCACGCACCTTGCATGTCTGCTAAGTGGGCTGACCATCATAGGGGGGGTCGAATCTGATGCCCAGTCTACTCTCAGAACTGTGACGCAGCTACACTGTTCTCTTCGGCACCCGCTTCTCCGTGTAGAGTAAATCACTTTGAATGAGTACCTAGGTAGGTAAGGGGTACAATTACTTACGACTGGTATCCGTCCAGGGGTAGGCAGGTCAGTCACAAGCCTTGCAGCGCAGTCCACGAGCCCGACGACGCTCCCCTTTGCTTCTCTTTCGGCAGCGTCGGTGTTAAGGTAGAAGCTTGGGTGAACGTATTACTGCCGGGGTTTGGGTACGCCCTTGCGTGGGCCTCGTGGCTCTGCGGTATGTATGTACCGTTGCGTCGCCGGCAGGGAGGCAGGCCAGTGTGACGGTGGACGAAGGCGTGGTGCTTTGGATGGCCGTCCTAGCGTTGTTGTGTGAAGCGGTCAGTCAGTCACCGCGTAGAGGGAGGGGGGGGGATTGGCGACCATGGTGTTCCGCGTTTGCTCCGTGTTCCTTGCGAGGTCCTTGATCGAGCTTGTCACTATGTAGACCCAGTTGCGGTCCGTCGCGGTGGTGGCTGTCGTCCGTTCTGTTGAAGAGGCTATGCTAGGAGGCTTATTACTTTGGCGCGGAGTACCCCGAAACTATCCCCCACAACTACGGTATTCGTCGTGATTTATTAGAACTTGGTCGACCACACCGATGTTAGGATACCGGGAAGCGAATCCAGGGCGTGGTGTTCGAGGGCATCACCACGTGAGTCCATTAGGGTCATCTTACGTTAAATCAGCTCTCGCAGACGATGCTTCCTTTTGGAACTGTGGGTAGGGGTTGCCATTGCGGTGTGCGAAGACACGAGCGATTAACTTGGAAACCTCTGACAGTCTTGTTGCTGCTTCCGGATAAATCCCCCAGCGCTTTGTTGATGTGCATGTTCAGCCACCCTTTTTGCTGCCGCGGACAATGATCACCAATGCCGGCACAAACATCGTCCTAAGGGTACCATCAAGAAGATACCCTCAATTACCGAACCGGAGCCAACCTTGAGCCTTTTTAGTCTACTCTTCCGTCTCAGGACCTGATAAAGACTCTCTGGCTTAGGGGGTTCTCTCCCTTCTGGCAGTTACGTACACTGCTGGCTGCTGGTAGTCATCAGGTCATGGTTCGTGAACTTGGTCATGGATGACAGCCTATGGGCAAGCTGCGTCTTCAGCCCTTCTCTTCTGTCCTAATTGGTGATAACGGGGTTCACGGTTGCGGCTCATGTCTGAGACCTGTGTTGATGAGCCGGATAAGTACCCGCGGTATTCATAAAACATAAAAGCATAATGAACCATGGAAGTCACTGCTATACACACTCGCATATACTCCACAGCGGTTCTCCCAGCTTGCATTGAAGCCATAGCCAATGAAGAGCTACCGCATGATGGAGGAGTGCATGAAAGTGGCATACAGAACTTCATCAGGCCATGTCGACCACTGCCAGTACCGTGTTTTCAGGACTATTCCACCACCACAGCGGAGTCATGAGCAAGTGTATCTCACACATGATGAGAACGTATGCCGCGGTGAGCCAATACCATGGATCGAATAGTCCCTGACATAATCTTGCAACAGTTATATCCATATTGTACACTATGTACGCACCACAACCCCTGGAGGTAACGTCTAATCTGTTCGCAAGACAGCCGTCAATGCATTCCACTCCCCACACACTATGCGTGCAGAACTCGCTAAGTATTCATATATGCTTCGAGGTCAATCGCGCCGGGGCGACTCTGACCAACAAGTCTGATCCGGACCCTTGAAGGTCGTCCACATCTGGGTCTCCCATCCAGAATGGGCGGGAGGGCGACTTTGTGTCTTCTGGTAGCCGTAAACGGGCGCGAGAGGTTGGGTCGAAGGGATGCCCTCGTTCGGATCTCCTGCTCAATTCAAGTATGCCAGACAAAAACAGAAATGTTATAACGCCGGTTTCCACCCAACACTGTATCAGGACAAAGGTCTAGAAGAATACCGCATTCGCACTTGCCGTCGCAGCCTATAGCTGGATGGCGCCCCTCCGATTCTCGCGAAGATGTAGCATTCCCTGAAGACCGCAGAATACCAAGAAGGCCTACGTACGTCACAACAGTCAGAACCCAGGCTTCCGCGTTTTCGGATTGGCGCATCAAGGACGAGCTGTGGCAAAAGCTGATAGCCGCACGCCCGCCCCGATCGCGTCCGACGCCTTGACTTACCGCGTATACGATGACCGCAACGAATATCGTGCCCGCGAGTTCGGCACCGTTGTCCGGGTCTTCCGCGCCGCCGGCGAACTCGTGGTGGCCTGTTTTGTAGAGGGCCCCGAGGATGGAGAGGATTACGATCGCGAAGGCGGAGATGACGACACTATAGGCATAGCACGGCACATCAGTATTTGTCTTCTGAACACAGCTCGCTGGGTGGTAGGTGTGACGGCTGGACGATGGACCCAAACATACCACGACCATGCTTGCGTGGCACCCACGACGGGCTTCATGATGGCGATTGGTAGCCTCTAAGGCTTAGAAGACAGTCTGGTGTTCGAGTGCTTCGTTCGCTCGAGGAGTCTCGAGAGGGTATGGGCGGTGTCGTATTGTTGGCTCGTCTTAACGTCTTAGCTGCGCTGTGCTGCGAATATCGTGGCTGCGGGATTCAAATAGGCAAGTCGTCGTCACTTGGCAGCTAACTGCAGCTGACAGGACTTGGCCTCCCAACTGCCCGATGTGCTCCGACGTGGTCCAAGCTCCCGCTTGCCCCCAAACTTGAAGTGGGCCTGACCATTCCACACCGCGCGCACCCATGGGCCATCACCAACTGCGATTCAATCGCGGACGCACAGTACTCAGTTTTCACGTCGAAGCTCTTATGCCCCTGGCTCTGGATCAAAGGAATCGGGCCAATTTGTATTGCTCTGGTGTCGGTGGCATAATATCTGTCACGTGATCGGACCCCCTACACCCAGCTGGGAGAAGAGTCTTCCTTGCCTGATGGCCTACAGCTTGGTTGTTGCGAGGCTGATCTTGATATGCGGCGATTCGTTATATGGAGCTCAGGCTCTAGGTTGCTGCACTCACGGAACGGTGTGAGACTGCTGGGCCGTCGGCTTACCTACCACTCTTCCTGCAGCGTGACCGGTGAGCAACCATAGAGGGACAAAGTATGTCTCAGATATTTCCCGCGTCGCACTCACCCAGGCTCGGCGCGCTCAACGGCTTGCCCACATACAGCGTGTGACGCGTGAGCAAGCCGACGTCGACGACAGTGGTGAAAACTACCAATGAGCCAAGGGGTCTTCTTGGGCCACTGGAGCGGCTTCGGGCACCGGATATATTCGCCGTGGATCACCTCTAACTCGGGGCAGAAGATTTCTGGGTAAGTTGGCGGTTGACTATTTCAATAGTGGACATACGATGCCTCCCAGCAACATTTTCAGACCACGATTCCCGCAGACCGTCATGCTCAGCCCACTGGCCACCCTATTGCTGCCGAGATTCAAGGCGTTGAGCCCAATGGCGATCACGTCTATTGCCTCGCATACTGGTATCTCCAGCGAGGCGGTTTACGTCTACGAAATCACAGAATCGGCCTCACATCGCGAGAAAGACACCAAACACGACTGGGACGAGAGACACGTCGGCCTACCGTGAGGATGTGTGGCTGTACATAACTCGGAGAAGAAGCGTGGTAAAGAGCCGCGTCGTCGCACGCACGCACTGGTCCAAAGCCGCTGACAACCATGGCTAGAAAGAGTTCGATTTGAGTATCTTGATGTTGGAGAGGAAGCTACCAGTCTGAGATATGCTGTCGGAGAAGGCCCCGGGACACAAAACATACGGTGCTGCAGAATGATAGCGCAGTCCGTTCCTGAGCAGTCGGGAAGTCAGGCTGTTTGAGAGCTAGGGGCGTCGGAACCCAATAGGGGCAGAGCCTTAGAGGATATTGTAGGATTTGTGGCTTTGTCCCGCTCGAAGACCAGATGAGAAGCACGCCGCCAGGATTGGCATGGAATAAGTCTGGAAGATACTGAGACTTGACCTGCCAAGCTGCTCTATGTCTGTAAGGATCTCTGAGGTACGCTGCTACATGGCACATATCGCTATCTTGAACGACGACGAAAGTTTCCGTGTAGCCAACAGTGGCATGCCGACGATAAGGTATAGATCAGATACTGATGCCAGACATTAGGGGGTGCAAACTTCATAAGAGGTACTGTACCATCCGTTGCCAGGTATATGTAAGCAGGTAACGGTTCTAGGCGACAAATCCTCAAAGCATACGGCAACTTGAGCAAAAGCAAGCACAGGGTAAGAATATTCCTACTACCGTCCATATGCCGGACTGCTCAGCTCTATTGCTATTTCTTGCGGGTTTCATGATGAGTGTGTAGGTACCAACATGAAGTCACGTCTTTGAACTGGATCATTGCTGCCCGGCAAGTGAGACGAGTAGACTCAGCAACTAGAATGGACTGTTTTGTTATTATTTGGTTCTTGACTCTTGACGCTAACCCCTTCTCGCAGCCTCATCGTCAGTGTCGTGGTGTCGGCTGACCTGTTGTGAGTCGTAACCAGTAGGGAGGCAGGCTGGTGTCGGGCGAAAATGCGCGAGATAGAGATGCACATGGATTGAACCTGACGTAGATCTTGTATCGGCTCTCATGTTCTGTCGCATTAAAACTCAATATGAGGAAATACCGTGGTGTACTACCTTACCAATGAATGCTGCATCTACAGTGATTCTCCTCAAGATCTCCATCGCAATCCCTGTTAGCCGTATGAATCGAAAGAGCCGGGCTAACTGCGGGTGCGTCGACTACCGCACATGTGCCAGCATGACTTCAAGCCAGCGAACGTATCGAAGATGTCAGTCGCACGCTACTTGTAAAAGAATCCGGGCTGATGAGTCTCCTTGCGCAGTCGACTGTTCACAAGTGAAAACGACTCAACGCTGGGTCATTCAGGATAAATCGGTCATCCATGATCCTGGCGGTTGAGATCCACTGAAGGCCCGGGGGCCCCGGGTGCTAAGTTCTAACTTAAGGTCCACCTGTTAGCGCTTCCTGATAGGGCTAGAACGGGCCGCAGTGTACGGCTTAGGCTGACGCGGGGCGCCAAGCTCGGGGGCCTGGAGCTGGCTGGCGGCAAACACCTATCCATCTCATCCAACAAAACAATGCGTGTTCACCCAGTCTGGATATCGAGGATAGCCATCCTCATCCCCATCCTACCCATTGACCCTTTCGGAAATTCCGTCTTCCGACAGGATGCTATCATTCCGTTCCACGAGAGATCAAAAATGGGAACATCGACATTGCCAACTGGGGATGCTGGAGTAGTCGGATATCCGGCCCAGTGCCTAGTGCCCACAAGGCGATGCCTCTGAGGAACCTCAAAGTGAAACACTCGCACCAAGCAAGGGACACAGTAACGCTAAGGTAGGTACGTGAGAGACACAGCACAGCTTGATCATTGGCTGATTGGGCACGCCCATGACCTTGTGACATTCGTTGCCACTTGTGGTCGCGAGCATTATTTCACAGAGCCCAGGCAGCGCGAGCCAACATGCAGGCCTGTGAGGTAGGTAATGCCTACTATTATTACCATCTATCACACCTCCTCTTGATGACACTGACGAGAGGGTCATCATTCCAGCACATCCCTCAATTCAACCGGGCCGCTCACCGAGTGCGGAGACGGAGACGCGGAGAGGGTGACGGAGTAGACGAGATCCTATAGGCCAGAGCTGTTTGTTTCGTTTCTCCCGCCAAACAACTTGGCTTGCTTGGCCATCCGATCCCATTCGAGACCATGTTGGACCATCGTCGGCATTTGATTCGCTGGGAATCTTGACTGATTGCCTCTCGTCCTTTGAGGCTTTGCCATCCTTTTCATTCTTCTCGATCATGGAATGGAATGGATGACGCATGACCCTGTCGCCAATGAATATATCCCAGACACACGTATTCGGCGGCGCCCTCTCCGCCTTTCATGCCTGCCCAGTTGCCAACAAACCATTGTTGAATGCTGCAAAGGTCCAGAGGTGGCAGGCAGATCAAAGCATGTGAGCCGTCTTTGTCGGGAGATTGATTGACCATCAATGCTGTGTCCATCCGTTGTCACCTCATGGGCTGTGTCACTGTATCACCGCTCATTTCTCGTCAGAGGTGAATGAACGGGTCCAGGTATAACATACCTTAAGGTAGGTAGGCCAGCGCCAACGGGCCTTCCTGAATCCTGGCCTTCCGGCTGTCCTTTGTCTTCAATGTCCCTTACATTAGCGCTTGCCCTCTTTGTCACCGCTCCCAAGCCATTCACTCAGCCTGGTCATTCACTGCCCCGAGTAAGTGGATAGCCGATCCCAATTTAGAATCAAGTCATATAGTAGCTGACCAGCCGCAGCCGGGCAACCGCTTCCCTTGCGGCACCAACACAATCCTGTCCCCACAAAGACATCCTGCGAATCCATACCACCTCACTGCCACTTTACCTAACCACCTAGCAACAAAAAGCAGCAGCAGCGCCTCTACGCGGCATACATTTGTGTTTCATCCCTACGATCAGCAATCCTATTTCACCTACCTTCACCTACCTGTACAACCGGCAGAATGCGTTTGTCCAACATCATCTCCGTTTCTGCTCTTGGCGCCTCGGGCGTCTTGGCGCAGAATGCCACCACCGGCGTAAGAAAGCCCCTCCATCCGTGCTGATTTCCCCCTATAACGTTCTTTACTGACACTCAGCTACAGAAGCTAGGCGACGCACTCGTCGTCTCGAACAACCCTGCCGGAAAGTCGGTCATTGGCACACTACCAACCGATCCGTTCTTCAAAGCCGGCTCCCTCAACGGCAACGTGGTTGGCTCCGTGAAAGCGACTTCCGGCCCAGGCGGCCGCGGCGTCGACTACGAAGTGTCTTTCTCCAGCTTGCCTACGGAGGGTGGCAACTTTAGTATGCCATTCCGCTGTTTATCTTACTCTTGGCGATTTGTTTCATTCGCTGATACTACTCTAGGCTTCCACATTCACGATGCCCCTGTCCCAACTGACGGAAACTGCACGGGCACCCTGGCGCATCTCGACCCCTTCATCCGCGGCGAGGACCCCGTCTGCGACTCCACGAAGCCCGCGACCTGCCAAGTAGGAGATCTCGCCGGCAAGTACGGAAAGATCACGTCGGACCCGTACACGGCGAAGTTCCACGACGACTTTACCTCCCTGGTTGAGGGTGTTGGCTCGTACTTTGCCAACCGGAGTTTCGTCGTCCACTTCGCGAACAAGACGCGCATCACGTGTGCCAACTTCGCCATCCTCGACAGCAACAGCACGTACACCCCGACCCCTTCCGGTGGTGTCGTGCCCACGGCGCCTGGCTTGGTCCCTGCGGCGACGTCGACTAGACCCGTCACTGCGGCTGCCGGCGCATTGAACATCGCGAAGCACTTCGCGGTAGCGCCTGTAATGGCTCTGCTCTTGGCGCTGTAAGGACATAGCCCTCGGCAGACCTGTCCTTGTGCTAGTCCTGGCACGGTATCAATGCTTGCATTTCTCGGAGTTTCGGCGCGGGTTTGGGGGCTACTCAAATTGATATGATACGCCAACTAGGATTCTGCTTTTGCCAGCACAGCTAATGCGACGGACGAGGCGGGGAACCGTAGACATTAGATGTTGTTCAGTTGCTCTGTAACGTAGTGATGACATCGGCGGCCGACTGGCATGATGAGAGGGTCTTCATTTCACTTCCATTGTACTTTTAAGATTTCACGATAATAGATTTTCACGGCTGGACCATATCCCCCTAATCATGCTGTGAACAATTGATACTACCTAATGACTGAGACCTGTTGCACTGACGTGATGGCCCCCTTTGCCGCTAGCGATCACCGTATGCCGAGTCTGGGGACTCGGGAAGGTACGACGCCTTGTGGCCCGACAGACAGGAAGTCGCGGCTCGGCTACTCTATTAAACTTTAAAGTGGCGCGACGACGGATCTAGCCTGTCCCTGCTATAATTCCGTAGATCTGGGTGGTCTTCGAACTAAAATAAAAGGTACCAATTTCCTCCCGTCATCAACATTCCAATTCTTGTGTGAGTCGCCGTTTCTTCTACTCCTCATCTCCTCACACTGGCCACATGCACCATCATGGTCCATCAAGCTCCATTTCTCCCCCGATCATTGAGAGCATCAACGTGTTCCTACTTGACGTAATGGGGCCCGCCGACGGTCTGTGGAGTCATGCTTGCCGAGGGCCATGGGCTCTGGGAGAGGAGTCTGGGGAACCCCCCCAATTCGGCTGTTTGGCCGCTGCCGATCTGGTCAATGGGTCATGCCAGCAGCCAGGGTCATTCCGATTGCCGAGGACCCATTGCATGCAGTCAGAATCTGCGTCAGCATGTTGGATAGATACTGGTGTCGCTCTGGCCACGTACGACATGAACGGAGTATGCATTCGGAGGTACACGAGCGATGGCAAAGGTATAGGTACGCGGCACATACCTCCTTCAGCGTCACCTCTCTCGTCACTCTCGAGTGGGACAGACGATGTGTAACGGGCCGCCCACGTTCTCGCGGAAGCTCGTTGGGTCATGGACGTAATGACCGGACTGCGCAAAGAACTCCATCGAACACAGACATAACCCTGAGGCCTCCACGCTTCTCGGGCCAAGTGCCTATCCAGCATGCCAGCCCATGGATTCGGGACTGCATCGCGACCTGCACGACAATGCCAGCCATGGTACGACACGCTCACCGCTTGCTTTGATGTTGGAGCTTGTGACCTGCTTCGCATCTTCATCATCTCACCCCCAGATCGATACGGGAGTTCTCCCCTGCAATCTAAGATCGGTTTGGCGTTTATTCGTCCATTGTCTCCGGGAAACGTAGCGTCATCGTCACAGCATCACCCTCACGATTGGGCAGGAACGCCTTGCACCGTAGCACCCACACCTGCAGGTCGATATCGCCCAAGCTGGAAATGGATCTGTCTGATGCCAACCCTCCAAGGAGGCAGATGCAATATGCAATCCACTGACAGCGCAGCACTCGTTCCTCAGGGCAGGAACTTGGATCGATGCAACACACCTGCAGAACCGAATCGAGGCTAAGCTTCCGAAAGGCCAGTGCTGCCACACGCGCCTCGGTGCACCCAAACCGATCAGGAGCCAAGTGCCTATCGCCATGCTAGGCCAAGGGGCGGTCAGCTCAAGAGTCCAAGAGACCGGAGAGGTGCAGGACCCGATGCCTTTCCGCTTGAGACGTGTGCTGTCTTTTCCCCTTCGATTATTGGGCTCAACGGTCTCTGCGCCTTGATAGGTCTAGGCGGTGCTCGTGATCTCGCTGGTTCACCAGGGACGTTGCTCAAAAACGCCATTGATTCAAGAGGCGCTTTGGAGCGAACCTGACAGGCTGATATGGCCAGGGGAGCCGGTATTATACAGCTGTCAAGGTGACGATCCTGAAACCGTGCATTTGCTGGGAACGTTTACCTGGAATAAGAACGCGATTGAATGATCCAATGATGAACTTTGGCATATCGACCTGCGATTCTCGATATAGCGATGGCTTTTATGGCTGCGAGATGCCTACGACCCCTGCGTCGGGACTCGAGTGGACTGAACAGGGGGACGTAATAACAGTCATCTTATACCGACCACACCCAGCGCCTCGGAACAGTCGATAACCGATAGTTTAAATGATTTGTCTGTTTTCTCTCAGCCTTCTTCAGCTCGGTAATCACCATTATCGCGTCACCACGGAGGATTGCTGGCTTTGTTCACGCCGCATGCCAACACAGCCTTCCATTCCATGACTCTCAACTACAATGTATCTGGACAAAAGAGGCAGGTTGAGGGTCCTCGAAGCTTTCGCATAGCACTTGCAGCAAATTATGGCATGCAACCTCAGCTCCATGCTCACCGACTATCACTCACACCTAGCAAAGATGGACTACGTGGACAATGACCTGAATCATGAGATCTTGCAGCAGTTGCATTCGCCACCCCCCCCCCCCCCCCCCCCCCCCCCCGAGGCGCAATTCCGCTCAGACGTCTTGGCCGCTATTTCACGGTATGCGGAGGTCCCAAGCGTTGGCTAGGGCTCGACGACGCTTCGTCACTCCTGCAGCGCCGGTGCAACCATCATCGTCCACAACGACTTCCTGAAAGGAGAACTACTTTGTCCACAGCAAGGTTTCGAATTGGTAGATCCGTTACCCAACAGGCTGATTTCCCAGTCCATGTTTCGGACGAATCCAATCGGTAGTCGTTGGATTGAGGGACTGCCGCTTACCAGGACCGCAGCCTGTCGATGAGAGGCTCTTCGGCAAGTGTAGGAGTATTGTGATTATTCGTCTGAGCCTCGATATCCTTATCTGCATATGTGGGTAGATTCGGTCGCAGCCTCATCTACGTGCCATGCATACCGACAGCGCAGAGGTGTGCGAGAACCTGACAAGCCGTGCCAATCATGGGGTGCTCGTTCGACACCATGCATATCCGACGCTTGGGTACCATCTCTCATTTTGCATCGCAGCATCCAGGGTCCCATGGGTGCCTCTCGGCGTTTCCACGAGTCTCGTGTGGGAAGAAGTCCCGCTACCGTTTCTCACGCCTCTCCTCAGCAGACTTGTACGGCCGTAGTACTGACATGTCCATGAACAACCGTTGGTTGGAGGAGGCCCCTCGTAGTTTCGATGGTGCTGACAATCCTGAATGGGAAATGCTACTCTGTGTGACGACTCCTTGAATGGTCACGTCTGCTCCCCTGAGCACATCACAAGGTGCCCAATATTTGCCTCTCAGGGGGCCTTGCACGCGCGTCATCCGATCGCGAGAAACTCTGTACCAATACTGGGCTCCGTCATTTTCCCTTGTCAACTGTCCAGACCGAGCCAACATCCACCCGGACACTTGTGTGCGTTGGAACCTCCTAGTTCTCATTACCTCCAAGCAACCAATAGGCGATAAGAATCCTGCCCTGCACACCGCGCCACTGTTTCGATGCTGACATAGTTTCTTTAGACGAGGTAGGGTGAATATCACCCGCGTCCCTTCCCGTTAATCCTGCTTCGGAACCCATGCATCGTGTGATATGGTTGCAGGTCGCTTATAAAGATGCTTGCTGGTCCGAGGGAGCTGTCACAGCCCCTGATGGAGAAGCCCGGGGTCGGTCAGTTGTTATAAGATCCGCCGCATCTCACGGAAATCTAACCCGTGTAAGTGGCACTATCGGTCCTTCATTCAACCTCCTGTCTTCATACTTGTACCAGGGTCTTGAAAGCTAGTCATCACAGATCCTTTCGCTCGAGCCAATGCCGTTCCTCACCATGGCGAAAGGGTACAACAGCGATGTGGAGGCCATGCGCTTGAAGGAGTACCCACACATGAACGATGGTGAGCGTTACATCTGCACTGTGCTCCTCATATTCTAACTACATGAAGGGGTGTACCTCGATCACGGGGGCGCAACCATTTATGCCAAGTCGACTGTGGAGTCTTTCGCTTCGAAGATGGTGACGAACTTGTACGGTAATCCACACTCGGAGAACTCGCCAGCTAGACTGTCTGGAGATGTCGTTGATCAAGTTCGCGAGAAAACACTCGAGTTTCTCGGCGCAAGCTCTGAAGACTTCGACTTGATATTCGTGGCCAACGCTACGGCGGCCATCAAGCTCGTTGCGGACTCTTTCAGGGACCTCGCCGAAAAGACTAAAGATCGCAGATTCTGGTATGGTTACCACAAGGATGCGCACACTAGCATAGTCGGCGTGCGAGAGTTGGCGTACGGACAATCACACTGTTTCGAGAGCGACCGAGAAGTCGAAAGCTGGCTTCATGCTCCTCAGACCAGCTTCGTCGATCACTACAGTCCGGCTGGCCTGGGCTTATTCGCATACCCAGCGCAGTCCAACATGACAGGAAGAAGGTTACCGCTGTCCTGGTCGTCGCAGATACGAGGATCAGAGCATCTACAGAATACCTATACACTGTTGGACGCGGCGGCTCTGGCCATGACTTTCCCAATGGAAACCGTCTTCCGACACGCCGACCGAGCACCGGACTTCACCTGTCTGTCACTCTACAAGATATTCGGATTCCCTGACGTGGGGGCTCTCATCGTCCGAAGAGAGTCAGGACATATCCTCACACTCAGGAAGTACTTTGGTGGAGGTACGGTGTCTATGGTTGGCACCCTCGGCGAAAACTGGCATCGGTCGAAAGGTCTTCAAGCGCCAACATACAAGCTTCACGAGGGCCTCGAGGATGGGACGCTGCCCTTCCACAGCATCCTTGCCCTGGGCGAAGCCATTGACGTGCACAAGCGACTTCATGGCTCGATGAGCAGGATCTCCGAGCACACTACGTACCTCATGTCCAGGCTACACCGCGGCATGGCCAAGCTGTGTCACAGCAATGGCCGACCACTATGTCGAATCTACAACGAGAACAGGGACTTTGAGGATCCCAACAAGCAGGGCTCGGCCATTGCCTTCAACGTGCTTCGTGCGGATGGGCATTACGTCTCTTACACGGACGTGGAGCGCTCAGCCAATGCTGCCCGTATATACATCAGGTCTGGTGGTAAGTATTAATACAATAGGAGAAATTGGTTCTCATCGCTGACTCAAGACTTGAACAGGGGTGTGTAATCCTGGTGGCATATTCACGTCGCTTGGGTATGAGCCATGGATGACAGAACGTGCCATGTCAGCCGGGCATCACTGCGGTGCACATGGGATCTCTATCATTCACAGGGTCCCCACAGGGTGCGTTAAAAATTTGTGGCATTATCTATCGCTCATCGTCGAAGATTTGGGCTTACCTTGATGACTGCATAGGATCGTTCGCGCAAGCGTCGGGGCTATGTCAACGAAACAAGACGTGGACACCTTCCTCAACTTTCTACGCGTAGCCTTCATCGAGGCCGACAAAGACTGCGCATCACCCACGACGTCAGCTCTGTGCTCGGTTCAGCCCAATCTCCTGTCACCCGACTTTTCCACCGAATTACCACCGGCACTCTGCTCGATCCGCGTGAGCTTCCGCCCCCACGCCCTCTTGCACATCACATCAGATTAGCCCCTGAGTCGGTCCCGAGGACGTCTCCCTTCCAGCTGCACGACATGGTACACGGATTCGCCGATGTCAGGTAGGTCTGACGTGCATCAAATAGTCACCTTTTACCCCCAGCTTTGCAGGGGTCAAACGTGATGTTGGATATTCGGCTTCTTTTCACGCGTCCTTGGATCGGATCTTCATTCATGGTTCTTTGCTTACGGCTTGGCATCATGTCTATTCATAGCACGTATAGCAGGTGTGTGGTCCCGCGCTCTCAGCTTAGTCAGATGTGGTGTACGGATATGGTATTGTTAGGGTCCTGGTGACTAATGCCCTCTTTTCCTTTGACCGTTCGCTGTAGGCGTCATTTTTCTTATCACATGTTCCAGTCATGTACAGATTTGGAGGGTATTGGGTAGCAACGCTGGACAGGGCACTAGATAGGGTACAACTGGGCAGGCAAACAGGTCGCTATCTATTATCTCATTTCCTCAATAGATTGGATGAAACACCCACATCGCATCGCATCGCCTTGAGAAATTCGATGTCCGGACAGGAACCTGCATCCTGCAGCGGGACCTGATGGCCGAGTCTAGACTACCTCCCCAGTTCCCCTCCAGGTCGCGCTCACCCACCACCACCACGGCGCTCCGTGATATCCCATCCCGTCTTTTTGCCCTCTTCGGTTATGCAGGTGTGACTGCCTGCATGGTACCCTCAGCCCTCCGACAAGGCGCAAGGCGCAAGGCGAAAGGGGCAGGTCAGGCGCAATACGTGCACAGCAGTTCAGCTCGCTGCGGGTGGTGCTTCGTCTTGAATATCACGAGGCAGGTAATAAATAAGCACCTCAGAGGTACGCTGGTAGTTGAAACACCCTTGTACCCTGTCACCCCTATTCATCTTCCCGACTGTAGGGTGCGGGATGCATGCACACCTGCTTGTACATGGTGTGACTATGTGGGTTGGTTCTCTTCAGTGGGAAGGCTGCGGCTTTCCTACGTTCCTGTGATAAGGGGGTGAGATGGGGCTCATCCGAGGGATGAGGATGGGGATGGAGGTTAAGGATTGCATCCCAGACTGATGAATGCGGGCGAATAAGACTAATAGGGAAATGGTTCTGGGGATAGGTTGGATGGGAATGGGGGTTGGGGTAGGTTGTTGGGTAGTTTATGTAGTTGGCTGTTGGTATATCTAAGGTAATCATGGTAGGTTTGGAAGGTGTTTGGACGGTGTAGTGTTGTTAGTGGCGGGTGTATATGCACCTTTTTAAGGTTCGGCCGAGGGCACTTATGTTAGGGCAGATGCGTCGCGTGTCTGCCCGTGTCTGCGGGTGGGCGTGTGACGTTCATGCGCATGTGTATAGATGTATGACCCCTGCGCCGTCTATTGGACGTTGAGTCGAGAAGGGGGTTCATGTCAGACCCTACCCAAATCGAATCGAAACGAAACCAGACGACGCGACGCGAGGACGCATATTTCGGGTCCCTTTCGGATACGGGCCGGAGTATATCGTGGCCCACCGATGAGCCGGCAGCCTGTCTTGCATGTGTTGGATGTATTGATAGCTGTGGCTCCATCGAGGTGTTGTCTCGGCGCGCTCGAAGGATCATCTGCAGTCCTACAGCGATGTGGTGTTTGATGAACGCCCTGATGGCTTCTCATTTTTCCTGTGTCTGTCTCGCTGCTGGAACACCGTCGCTTGGAGCTGCTTCATTAGCCCACAATGGGACAGGTGCTTGCACATGAGTCCAGCTACCTATCCCAGATCCTTGAGAGAACCGCCTCTGACACTCGGCCAACGTGTTATTGCCTCGAAATCTTTGATCTGCTACCGTAGCATTCTGCAAATTGGATTGCCCAATCCTGGACTCATGTCTCACGCGGTGACTCTACCTGAAGGGGCATTGTAACAATCAGTGGCCATATCGTTTGACCGGTTTGCCCCTGATTGCCCCCTGATTGCTCCAACTCGGGCCTGGATGGGTTTGATATGTTGCCCGCGTCTTCTGTGCCATCGACTCAACTGTTGCTAGGCATCCAACGCGACCAATCCTCAATTTGGACTTCCAAGGGTTGCAGAGGATGTGCCCCTTCTGGGGTCGCGTAGCTTCGATTAAGCGTGCCGAGATTGACGGGACTGTCGAGGTTGGTCCCAGGCCCAACAGCAGCTGCATCCATACAGGGGCCGATGCAATACCACCACCCAGTGCCTTTCGAAAGCGGCATGAAGGCGTACCAACGTCGATGGCAGATTGTCACAGAAACCTCGCCGGGTCTGCCCCTGAAATTAGCTTCTCCAAGTCTGAGGCTTCTCACTGCAACGGGCAAGGTTGCTGATACCCCGTCACTGTCCTTCGGGAGCGTGGACTCTGACTCCTGGATCGTGGTCGATACCATACAGGGAGTCGCAGGAGGTGAAGGGTTGAGTGGTAAGTATGATCTGATGATGCCTACAGCCTTGCGCCCTCGGGATGTTGGTGCGGCGACATCGATCCAAAAAAGCAGGCGAAGGAGAGGAGGCCATTGTGGTGATGGTCAAGATCGAAGGCTACCTGCTGTGCCGTAGCATGGTCACACCTGGAAACTTCCCACATACGTCTCGAACTTCATTGTAGCGTCGAGCGCTTGTTTATGTCTCGAACACTTCCCTGATCGATGGTCAACGGCTCTCCAGGTCTTGCCATTGATAAAGGTGCTCAGCAGGGCTCAGGGGATCGTAGAGCAGCTGAGAGACCATAAAAGGAAGCCGTTCATAGACATGGGACTGATAGATATCTAATAGGGGGTCCGTGTCTACATTGAAAAGGAGAGAGAGAAGCACGGCGGGAAAGCGGGTCATGACTATTACGTAGTCTACAGCGGTCACGTCACCGGCAGCAGCTACCCGGGAATTGTGGATAAGCCATACAAAGCCCCGTCGATCTCAGACACAGGTGACGCTACCTGACTACATCAAATCCATTTACGGGTGACAAATTCATGTCGAAAGCATACAGCATGGGACGGGTATTCATCACAGGCTCCTCGGACGGCCTCGGCCTCATGGCCGCCAAGAAGCTCGTCGCCAACGGCCAGACCGTCTACCTGCACGCGCGAAACGCCCAACGTGCCGATGACGCAAGGAAGGCATGTCCGGGCGCAGCCGACGTCCTCCTCGGCGACCTGTCATCCATCAAGGAGACCAAGGCCCTCGCCGAATCCGTCACCAAGCTCGGGCCGCTCGACTGCATCTTCCACAACGCGGGCCTGTACCTCGGCCCGTACCGCGCGCAAGCCGAGGGCTACCCCTCCATGTTCGCGGTCAATGTCCTGGCGCCGTACATCCTCACGTGCCTGATCCCTCTGCCAAAACGTCTCGTGTACACGAGCTCGGACAGCCACTGGGGCGGTAGCACGGATCTGTCGGACTTCGGGTGGCGCGGGCGCGGCGAGTCGGGCTTCAGCGCCGGCAGTGCCTACGCCGACACCAAGATCTACAACACCATGTTCGGGTACGCATTCGCGCGGCGGTTCGGGCCGCGGGGCACGACGGCGCACTCGGTCGACCCCGGCTGGGTGCCGACCAAGATGGGCGGCGCAGCGGCGTCGGGCGACATCAGCGAGAGCGAGCGGCTGTACGTCATGCTGGCCGAGGGCGCCGGCGAGGCGAAGGGCAAGAACGGATGCTTTTGGGAGAACGGGAAGAAGGGGCCTGCGCAGTCGAAGAAGGATGCGTGTGATGAGGGGGCTCAGGAGGCGTTGTTGAAAAAGCTGGAGGAGGTGACAGGGGTCAAGCTGCCGGAATGAGCGATGTCGTGTGATTAAGACCTTCCGGTCGCTACAGTGGCGGCCAATATTTCGAGCAGGGCCCCCCTATATAGGACCTTGCTTCTCACGGGCAAACATACCAAACATCAGTGATCGCTCATGTCAACATACACCTAACTTATATCATTACCTCCATTACCTTTGGATCAGTGTGCCACATATACGAGGACCTCGTAACCTCAGCGTCAATTATCACCTCTACCAACATTCCAAGCCTGGTGAGAATTTGCGCTCCTGAAACCCTTCCCCTTCCAGCATCAGTCAGGATCTTATACGACTCGGTGTTATCTTAGGATACTCTGAAGGCCATGTGCTCACTACCTACCTTACATCAGATTATATAAAATGTCTATGGACTACCTGATACGTAGTACCGTCGTTGGGGTACCATGAACGCAGCCAGTACATGACGACATACGTGACGGGTTAAGCACCTGCAGTTTCTCCAGCTCCCTTGCCCGTCGCAGCTGCCGTAATGCGGTCAGGCAATGGAAGCCCCGGCAGGCACATTAGCTTTAGATAGTAGGTACGTATGTGTAGGTACCTGCCTTAGGCACAGAGGATATGATACATGGCATTGGTGGAGTTGTGCGACGCCGGTGAAAAGCAATCCCGTTCATGTTGTGCTAGAATCCAGCAGACCAAGTGAGTTCCGGAAGCATCCCCTACTCTGTGTTTCTGGCCGACACAGCCAACGCATCCGACTCCTCCAGATTGTACGCAATTACTGTCTCCAGTTGCTTCCCTACATAGCTCGAAGTTTCATGGGATAGTAGACCCGGCACCCCGACATTGGCTTTCACGACCACTACTTGACGACATGTCGACGCCCTGGGCCTCACCCAAGATGGCCTCGACCGGCGCTGAGCAGATCAACACCTCCGCAATCGAGGCAGCTATAGTTTCAGCCTGCAACAAGGTTAAGATTCACCTTGCAAAACTCTTCGACAACCAGCTCGTCCAGCTGAGGGCCGAGTTTGATTCCACCGTTCGAGCGTTGGTAAACACATCGAGACCACGACCTGTCCCAGTGATTCCCGACCCTGCTCTTCTCGGCGGACCTTCTCATTTCAAAGTATGGCTCCTATCTCTGGAGGGGAAACTGAGCATTGACGGCGACGCTCTTGGCACACCCGAAGCCAGAGCCTACTATGTCTTCAGTCGTCTTGAGCCCACACTCCAGGAGGTCGTCGTTCCCCATTTAGTACACGCGAAAGCCACCCAAACCTGGGATTATCAGGCCATCATCGATGTTATCAGCCGAAATTTCGACGAGTCCGGTCTCAGCAAGTCAGAGTCCAGAGTGTCCGAGCCAAGTGCTCACCAGGGCCCCGAGAAAGCAACCGCTCCGTCCGTCGACTCGTCCCAGGAGACAGACACCAAGTCGGATTCCTCGACTCTGGTATACAGCCATGAGCCTTTTGCCACCTTTCAGCAGCGTGTTGTCGACTTTGCGCGTAAACATCTTTGGGTAGACGCAGCTCCTGGGGATATCAAAGTGGAGCGACTGAAAGGAGGCTCGTACAACCGCGTCATCGGTCTCGCTCGCCAGGCCGCTGATCAACCCGACAAAGAAGTTCAGTACATATTGAGAGTCCCTCGGCTCGATGCAGACACTCTGGACCGCGACGTTGCAACTCTGCGCTTCCTGCAACGCCACACCAGCATTTCCGCTCCTAGAGTCATCACTTTTGACGAGACTCGCCAGAATGAATTGGGACTTCCTTACATGATTCAAAACCGCATCCCGGGAGCTGACCTGGCGGATATTTACTCTGGCCTGAGCCACAAGGGGCGATGCAGGGTAGCGCGGGAGCTTGGTAGTTTTTACCGGCAGATGCTGGCTATCCGTAGCAGCATGGCTGGGCACTTTATGCTTTCAGTTTACCACGAGGACTTGGAGGCACCGCTCTACATTACTCCCTTCGAATTCAACGACCGCACGCTATCTAGGCAATACGATGATTCTTCCCCAAGTCAATCGACACTGGACATGCTCACGACGAGCTTCAAGGCTCGAGGCTACGGACCCTTCTGGAACGTGGCTGCAGAGCCATTTCTGTACCATGGCTTCAGAATTAGACGAGAAAGGGTGGTTCTCCGATGTTCCGAACTGCCTCGCCCACCTTGATCTTGAACCCCGGAACATCATCTTCAATTCAGGGGCCGTTGAAGAGTCATCCGCAGTTTCTGTTCTTGACTGGGACAAGGCCATCCTTGGTCCCATGTTCATGGCCTGTGCTCCGCCTCTCTGGATCTGGGGCTGGCTTGACGACGAAGAAGAAAACAAGGACGAAGACGAGAGGACTGCCAATGATGACCCCCCGACTCCAGAAGCGCTTGAGTTGAAGCATCTTTTCGAAGAGGCTGCCGGGCCAGAGTACAGACAGTTTGCCTACGAACCTGCTTATCGGTTTGCAAGGCGGCTCGTCCTATTTGCTGTCAATGGCGTGCGGTCTAAGGAGCATGATAAGGAAGCCGAAGCAATGCTAGAAGAATGGGCAAATTTTTGCTATGATGAGGGCTAGTTGTAATGCCAGTCAGTCGGACCCGAAGCCGTAACGAAACATCACGGGGCGGTTATCGTATTCCGTATTTTGGTTGTCCCAACCCAGCAGTCCCCCACGACTGACAACGGGAACGAGAGCTTGCATGATTTGGCTGGCTCCAGTGCGAGCCATACCGGTCTCGATTGAGTACAACAGGGCACGAGAGAGCTCTGATGAAGTCATGTGAGACTGCACGGTGCCATTAGTTGGGTGGTGGGTTGTTACACCCGTTCATAATACTACTTAGTAACGGTTTGTATGCCGTCGTATTACCTAGATAGTTCTGTTAGCAGATCGTGGCAGCCGTTTAGGCGAATCACGTACTACTATAAAACGTTCTCCCAATGTAATAGATATGCGCTTCGTGGTGTTGATCAGCCCGGTCTGGCCATACACCCCTTTTGCGGCATGTACGACACTCTGTCCTAGCGGCATATAATGCCTGGTGTGATGCCAATCTGCTAGGTTTGATAACATTCACCAACCTGCCTTCCTGGGCCAATCCGGAAATATCTTACAGCCCCCAACACGGAATCAGTATGGGAAAACGTGGTCGCACAGGCGGCACCCACCGTTGCCCCAATAAAAGCGAGGGGAACTGCCGGGGCATTACGCACAATCAAGTCGCCTGCATGCAGGACCAAGGTTGTTATAAATGCATCGCTCCAGAAAGGTACGGAGCTCCATCGCCGGCTTCAAATTTTATATGCTAACAAATAGGCTCTAGTTAAGAGCTTCACTCCCAGGGGTTGCAGCCAAACTCATACATAACACTCTTTACCTTTTCGGTGGTACTTTGAACGGCAAAGGGGCTTAAGCGCTTGACCAGTATGTTGCAGTCTCCTGTTGTGAGCTTCTCGCCTGTGACATTCTGTTTGATGCCCCGGATTGCAGGCTGGTCGAGATGGATGGTTTCGGCGCAGCGGAAAGCGTGTGGCGACGAACATAGAACTACCTTATCTAGAACTACCTAGTTGCACTCACAATCGTGTGATATCTGCACTGCTTGGACACGTTCATGACAGCGCCACATGAGCTTGCACATCCCCCTTTGACCCATGGTGTCTGAACTGATAGGGCGGCCTCTTTCGCACAGGAGAACAGCCAGGAAGGTGGCGCCCTTGTACATACCTAGTATTGCTCGAAGTTATAGTTGTGGACAAAGTAGTCTCTTCGCGGAATCACCTCAAATTTGAGGAAAAAGAGCAACCTGGATGGCTACAATGCCACCACTTGACGGTGGCAACGGTGGCCCGAGCAGCTTTGGTCAGGTAGCAAAATTCATGGGTCGATGTCGAGTAAATAGGCCATTATAAAGAATTCCGAATAGCTGCGAAAGAACGTTAGCTAAGGCGGATCAGGTGCTTCAGCGACAAGATGTGCTCGATCGAGTTGTTAATAGGGGCAAACATCATGCCATGATTCGCGACCCTTTAAGCCATAAGAGTTTTACAGGCCACGTGCGATGCGCTCGACCAGCCTCAACGTCTGTCTTCCTTCTCATCAACACGTTACCCACGGTTTCAAGTCTATGATTAGACGCATAGGTATCAGACCATTGACGGGTTCAGTCTATCACTCTAATGGTACCACATGGCTTGGATGCTGGCCTGAGTATTCACATGGATGGTTTCATAAAACTCTTCACCCTCACCTACCAACCAAGGTTGATGAATCGGTAAACGTTAAATTGATATTAACATCCTCCTCGTCCTTGCGAGATCGTACTGTAAACTTTTCTTGGAACCGTCAAGCTACTTAGCTACATGTTCTATCCCGAGTCTATTGTAGCCCAATGAAAACCTCCATTCGCTAAGTATGCCCGAACACTCCAGATACAGTTTCACAGGTAGGATAGTATAACGGCCAGACCCATCAGCACAAACACACATGCCCTACTTACACCCTAGATATCCCTCTTTCCATGTTTCAGCATAAAGTCCCTCTTGTCATCCGTAGACTCCAACATTCCGAACGCTCTGCCTTCCTTCGAGTCGATACTAATGTGGCGGATCTCGCTCGAGTTCCCGTCTTGGTAGGCGTACGAGTCTGGCTTCACAAAGCGAACATTGTTCCCTCTGCACACGACGCCGCTAAAACTAGGGTGAATCCGAGAGAACCAGGAAGTAAGGAATGATCCTGTTCCAAGACCATCGCGCCCGAGATATCTGCCTCGTCACCACGCCCATCGAGACAAGGCCCTTTCTCCTTCTTCAAGAATTCTATACAACCCTGGGCTTCCACGTCCTCCGGATGTTCAGGAGGGTTCGAGCCAAGTCCGTAGACAGCCAATCCCTCCTGACTCTTGTGGCTCGCGCTGTCGAATAGACGAGTACGTTCCCCGCAGCAGACGCCAAAGCTTGTGCCCACGCACGAAACACCCAATCTGAGATCTTTTTCGTTGTCTTCGCATTTTGTGTTACGAAACTTGCCTCTCGACATCCATATTTGTGATAGTTAATCTTTCGTCTTCTCGTGGCTGGAGGGCGGCCGAGCGTGGTCCGTTGCGCAAGCTCCTAGCTGCAAGGGGAGTGGCGTGTAGGAGAGCAGCGGCAAGCAAAGCTTGAGTTGGTTTCATCGTGTATGGGGGTTTACACAGTCAGCTAGATAGAGTTTGATTGGTGTGCGATATAGGGAACAAGGAACTCGACCATCGTCACTACTGTACTAGGCATGGGGAGGCGAGTCTTCCAGTCCATTTCATATTATATGGCTTTCTATGTTACTTTGAAACCATAAAGGTATGTTCGACAGCAAGACCGGAAAGAGTGATAAAATCAAGCCTGGAAGGAGGTGTGGCGGCTTCGCCATCACTATTACCAACCGCATCGCTACCCTGAGAGTTTAAGCTATCACGCTAGAATTACTACTAATTAGGTACTTGGTTTAACCCTCACTTAGGGCAGTGACGATAGTACGGGGGAACACTCCTATTGTTATTTATTATGACTTTTTAAAAACTCACATTGCTCTATCACAGCGGTTTGAATACGGCCAGGTCAGCCCGTCTCATTCCAAGTGCGCTCCTATATCCCTCTTCTCAGTCTTCCGATCAGATTCTGACCAGCCCTGCGAACTCTCTTGCGGTTTGCTTTGCAGATTCCTCGATCTGCTTTATTCCTTCGCTCTCGATGTTTGGGACTCTAACGATGCATATCGCATTACATGCATCGGTGCCATTGGTATTTATAATCATAAGAGAGATGCGTTCGTTCTCTCTTGAGTCTGTATCCTTGACTATAACGCCGCAGCAAGCAGCAATTGGTCAGTAAAAGGCTCTCGATATTTAAAACGTTCTTATGACAATATACCTTTTTCGAGCAACGAACAATTGCTCCCTTGAGAGTTGTAATAGTGATTTGCGCATACACCGGAGAATCTGTCGCAGACTGATTTAGCCGGGACTACGCACTCCGAAAATATGCCATTCCCAGACTTGCAACCCGCACAAGGCACGGTTGCCAGCTTCACCGTGACTTGGATGAGCGCTGCCGCGATATTCGTTGACCGCTTGCTATTGAACCGCCCTCGCAACGACAGTCGAATAGGCCGCACTGGTCGACAGTCGTGCAGGAGAAGTGATATCCTCTTATCCGGATTTGGACTTGAAGCTTGGAGGAGTCCATTTCGGACGAGCTGTTCATACGCTGTCTTCTCCAATCCCTCTGCATGTGTATCGAAGGTTGCCGGGGGGGTTGCGGGTGGCGCAGTAGAATGCACAGAAACGACAGGGGGTACACTGGAATCGGAGCGGTCGGAGCGGTCGCGGTTTTGAGTCGAGGTTTCAGTTGGACTGAAGGCCAAGGGTACGCTCGGAGATTGTCTGCGCTTGTCGATCCCAGAGATGCCGACACCATTGTTGTCCATCAATGCTAGGTACATCAAACAAAACACATCGACACGGGCACCTGGTCATCCATTCCGTGAATGCGGCAAGAGGACAAAATAGTGCAGGCCCTACAGAGTTAGCCATTAACCTGGCTAACTATAAAGGAGAACAAACAGACATCATTCTGATACAAGAGCCCTGAGTCGGCACACCACCAGGCAGAAGAATAGGAGTAAAGACACACCCAAATTATGATATATATCCCCCGGTTGATTCCTGGGACAGCAACAGTACACGACCCAGATCTCTTATCTATGTAGGAAAACATCTTTAAGCGGATCAATTTCGGCCTTATGCTACACAAAATATCACTTGGGTTAAGGTACAAGGCATTACATTTGCCAGTGTCTACTGGCCATATGACAACCCACAGGAAGTGGATGACATTCTGGAAGTATGGACTCCACCTTTTGGCTGCGTTATAGCTGGAGATTTCAATGCTGGCGACACATCCTGGGACTCGAGCAATCCAGGATATCATGGTGGTGTCATACTTGCACAGACTATGGCAGACCACGGACTGGATCTGATTTCTGAACCAGATGTCCCGACACATGATGACGGAAATGTACTAGATCTGGTGTTCTCAGATGTCCCCATGGCTGAAGCCTCAGTCAATAATGCACTTCAGTGCACCTTAGATCATAAGACATTACGAATAGTCATTCCAATTCAGGGAGATCTGGACCGAGTCCCCAAGGCCAATCATTAGATAGTACCAAAAGATAAACTACAAGAGCTGGCAGATAATGTCCAAACCAGGATTCATGAACTCCCCCGGCTGGGTGTATCCCCTGGCCAGGTGGATGCCTTTACACAAAGCTTGATCAACATGATCCAAGGCTGTATCAGAACAGTGGGCAAAAAGCCCCGTCAATCTAGGCCCACTGCTTGGTGGAATGATGACTACAAAGCAGCTATTCAGACATACAGGGCCCTTTCTAAACAGACTATAAGTCAAGAAGGGCGGATTCAGCCCGACAAGAATTTCGCTGCATAGTTCGGAAAGCTAGGAGAGAGTACTGGCAGACTCTAATCAATTCAGCAACTGAGCCAAAGGACCTATATAGAATCGTCTCTTGGCACAAGCTATCAGCAGGATTGCGTTCCCCTCTAATCATCATAGGAGACCAAATATTTGAGTCATAAGAGAGCAAGGCAAATACACTACGCTCAGCCACGCTTGAACGAAGTACCTCAGACAATGATATCATCGACCCCTGGTTCGCTCAGATCATACAACCCAAGCCATACATCCCCCTTGAATACCATGTCGGACTGGAAGAGGCTGAAGGGTGCATTTTAGGGACCAAGAGCAACTCACTGGGAGTAGATACCCTCACAGTACGGATTCTGAAAGCTTGCTGGCCATTCATTGGGGAACATATCAGAGCCCTTTTTCAGACCTGCCTACAGATTGGACACCACCTTAAACCATTCAAAATAGCTGAGGTAGCGATGATCCCAAAACTAGAAAAGAAAGACTACTCCAATCCCAGGGCCTACAGACTAATATCGCTACTGTCATGTCTTGGCAAAGGCCCAGAACGACTCATCACGAAAAGAATTACCTGATTTATTGTCAAACTTAGAATTCTAGCTCCACAACATTTTGGAGCTCTACCAAAGCGCTCTGCCACTGACCTGGTAACTGTACTCATACACGATATTGAGCAGGCCCTTGACCAAGGTCTCGTTACAACGGTAGTCACGTCAAATGTGAAAGGGGCTTTTGATGCTGCTTTAATGGGACGGCTGGTGGTTCGCATGAGAGAACAGGGCTGGCCGGGCTTTTTCATAAGATGGGTCCAGTCATTCATGTCCGAGCGGTCCGCAAGGGTTCGGTTTGAAGGTATTGTGACCAATATTAAAGCTCTCACTTGTGGGCTACCACAAGGCTCACCAGCCTCTCTAATCCTTTATATGCTATATACAGAGCCAATCTGTGCCTGACTTGGTAGGAAAAAAAGACGCTTTGGATATGCAGACGACCTAGCGACTCTCTGTATTGGAAAGAACCTTAAGGAAACAACTATAGAGGCTTCTGAAAATCTTTACTTACTTAATCAATAGGGACATAATAACGCTATTAAATTTGACCCTGACAAAACTGAGATCATGCACTTCTCAAGGAAAAAGAACTCAGACAACCCTCCAGTCCACCACAAGACAATAAACAAAACAGCAAAGGACTCCATGTGATGGTTAGGTGTCTTCCTAGATAGAAAACTAAACTTCAAAGATCACGTTTCTTACTGGACCAAAAAAGCTAATAAGGTAGCAAATCACCTTCGAGGACTATGCAACACAGTCAAGGACTTCCAGTAAAGTTAACCAAGAGGGCTGTGAAAGCTTGTGTTATTCCTATTCTTACACACGGCCTGGAGGCCTGGTACCCAGGAATCAAGAAAGTTGGGAGCTTAGGTGGGACATTAGCATGTCGTATTAAGGGGCTTCTTGGAACAATAGATGCCGTACTACGAACGGCGATCAGGGCTATCTTGTCAGTCTGGAAAACACACCCTGGACATATCCTACACTTTGAATCGCAGATTCCCCCAGCAGGAGTTCTTGCAGAGTCAATAAGACAACGTCACGGCCTCTGACTAAAACGAATAGACCAGAGACACCCTCTTGTTGGCAGGCTCCAAATACAAGCTCGCAAGAATCCAACAAGGCTACAAAGGAACTTCTAGCTAGTCCCTGACTTCCAGAGACCAACACTTACCAGGCTATCATAGAAAAAGCCCCTAATCCGTAAAAACAAAGACAAAAAAACAGAGCTCTTTAAACAATGGCTACAGGAGAGAAACGTGAACACTGACCTTGTCATCTATTCAGATGGATCACAGTTGGACGACCAAGGCACAACCCGCACTGGATGGGGTTATACCATCAGGAAAGGCGGCACTACACAAGAAGTATACCGGGGAAAGGGCAGACTTCTCTAAGCAGAAGTAGTAGATACTGAAGTCCATGGTGCTCTCCAAGGTCTTGTAGCAGCCAGGGCAATTAGACACGGAAAATAGCTATATGTCTGCCTGGACAACACATCAGTGATAGATGGGCTCAATGGGACTCCACCCAAAACATCACAGAACATTTTTCTATGATTTCAAGAATTTGTCACAGCACACACTCCTGGAGTGACCGTCAAATGGATTCCTGGACACAGAGATATTGATGGCAACGAAGCTGCCAATACACTAACAAAAAAGGGTGCCATGCTAAAAATAAACACAATAAATCTTCCTATAATCTCTTAGGTCAAGAGAGATCTCAAAAAAAAGGGCAAGAAAGAGTTCAACCAATAATAAAAAGACCGATCAGAACCTAAATATTAAGAAATATACTCACATATAATAACTAAAAGAGACTTTATATCTTTTAAGAAGAGTACTTTATACAGACTTCTAGCGGCCAGATCTGGACATGGCGACTTTGCCAGATACCATGAACGCTTTGGGCATACAGACTCGAATAATCACTGCAGCTGTGGTAAAAAGAAAACACCATAACACATTTTTTTTTGTAAGAGGCTGGGAAAAAACCGGCTGTTGTCTAGGTACTCGCCTAGGACAGCTTGTTTACAATACTTAGGGGAGAGGAGCACAGAATGGGCAAATTTCGTGGAGAAGAGCAAGTTCTTTTCAACAATCTGCCCCCGATAGATAGCTTTTCTTGAAGGATCAGATAGATGACCCCAAGGTCATACCGCCACAACAACGGGGATAGGCTTATGAACGGGACTGACTGTACTTATTATCTTGATACCTCCACAACCCTGCGATGAAGAGGCTCTGAGAGGCGTGGTTTGCACTACTGAGAAGCGATCCCCCACGTTAAATACAATCAATCAATCAATCAATCAAGTCTGCGCTTGTCGTTGCTTTGAGATTTGTTACTGTGTGTGTCATACACACGCCGCGGCCTCTTCACTGGCGGCGGACGCCAAAGTCTAAGTGAAAACTGTGGGTCGCCATCTGAATTACTGCCTATGTTGCTCCCATCTGACTCAGACATGGAAGGTCAATAGCCCGTATGACCTGAGCCTCAGGGTAATGAAATACGACACTTAGTATCGTATTTAGGTCATACGATAGGATAGTATGGAACAGGGGTATAAAAGTGGGACTCTTCAATATAAGTTAGACAGTTTTAAATAAAGAAAAGAATTAGTTACAGAGTTATTTCGCCGTTTTTCGAAATTTTTTTTCTTTAATTAAATATGAAACATTTAATATTAAAGTATCAGATGTTGGATCCCAGATATAGTGCCCTTAGGTGCAGTACCCACTAGGGGGCTGCCAGGAGACCAGTTGATCCACCCTGGCATGGTGCAGTATAGTATTTAGCTGTAGATTAGCCCTGCCAAACATACTTGAGAATGACAACAATATTTGCAGCGACCGCTCACACCCACAAGGCTTGTGACCTTTCTAGAATCTCACATGGTAGCATCTCGTTCAGTTTACTATTGAGTTGTTGCTGCAATCATACAAATCTATTATTCCTTTGACTGACGAATCAATAATACGATAGATCCCACCACACCGACCGCTACAGAGCAGGGCGAGCCTAGCGGCCAAGGAGGCCAGCGCATCGTCGCACCTTGCACGCAGCTGCGAGCGTATAAGAAGGTGGTTGAAGCGGAAGATTGCGATGACGATCGTCAGCACGCCGCTGCCGTTGAGCAGGACGAGGTTTCAGAGTATTCAGATGCCCAAAGAGGAATCCAGGACTGCCAGTACGAGCCAGTCACCGGCTACTACGAGAGCAAAGCGGGCCAAGAAGAACACTATAACGGCGAAGGAGACGCTGATCAGGACGGCGACAAAGAGACATAGAAACAATTCGACAATGCGTGTTCCATTCCACACGCTGGACATTTGGAATGGTCCTCATCCCTACTTCTCTCATTTCTCGGTCGGCGTTTGGTCTGTTTTCTCCCAGGCTTTTTGTTTCCGGCTTTCTGTTCTTCTTCGCCGGAGCCCTCGCCGTTATAGGTAGCCCCAAATGCACCTTTGGAGGCTCGTCCAGCTTTGTTGGTGGTCCGCGAAATAGCCCTCGTGAAATTGTTGACAAGATCTCAATGTTTGAGAATCCCGTGCCGGATTTGTTCGTCCTTGGTAACCGCATAAGTGCTTGACCACATGGGAAATGTTTCGGATACCGCGTCCAGGAAGTCTCTGGCCCATGAGCTCACATTGAGCGTTTCAGGAACTTCCTTCTGATGGGCCTTCGTAAAGGCGATCTCCCAAGAGGCAATCCATCTTGCTGCGTTCTTGGAATTTCTGAGGGGTTGGAGTGCTGTCTTGTAGAGTTGTCTTGCATCCTCCTGCTCATCTGTACTAGCCATTCCGCACTGGGCTTAGAGATTTGCGTACCACTCCTAGATTGGTTGCTTTGGAGTGCAGTAGGTAGTCTTGTAGTGGTTTGCGACAGACTTGAGTATATGGTTCTTGATTTTCTCCAAAGACAGTGCTTGCTTCTTGTGCAGCTTCTGGATTCGATTGTAGAAGCTATTGTCGAGTTCATAGGTTTGTTTCCCCGTTGTCGTTAGATCTGATAGCATCCACATGCCATTATTTCGCTTGTGTTGGATGATTTCGTTGTCTTCGTTTCCGTCATTCGGATCAGGATTGACTTCAATAGTTTGGCTTGGTTTGAGAGTCGTTTGTTTCTTCTTGTATTTCTTTCGTGCAATATTCGGAATCTCTGGTTGTGGTATAATTCCCTTTTTCTGAATGAGGAGGTCAAGAAGACCCAAGGCGTCTGCCTTCAGTTGGAACTCATGGTCCCATTCAGGCCATTCTCTTGCTTCCGACAGTGATGCTGAGAAGTCTGCTTTCTCAGACTCTCAAAGTGTTGAAAGGACAAGCATCTTAGATATGCAGGATAAATATGGTTTGTCAAAGGGATCGGCGATGAGACTCTTAATTGTCAGATTTGAGCCAATCGTGAGGTTGAAGTGTGTGTGTGTGTGTATTCTATCTCTCTAGAGTGTCCTCGTGCGACCGTGGCAGTTTTGTGCCAGAGGGGGCTGGATCGGGACGGAACAACTAGGCTCTAGTGTCTACCTATCAAGGTGCCCTCTGGGCTCACCTTTAATCCAACAGCTATGGCACGCTGGGCCCCTGTACAGCCCCTGTATCACCCAGCTGTACCCCTTGGACCTGCCCTTTACGGTACGGTTCAGGAGCCTTTGAGAGCTATTATAGCCCTGCAATAGGGCATAGCATAGCTACCTTACACGGAGGGCGCTCACCGCTAAACGAAGTTATACGAAGTTATACGAAGTTCGCAACATCCTGATGACTGATTTGCTAGTGAATATTACCCGTAGACCGCAGTATTAAGAATTCGGTTTATCCATTAATCCGTGTTTTTGCGCTAGTCCCTTTTTAAAGATCTAAACAAAGGCCTTATAAATTAAACCTTAAAAGTCTTCGTTAAATAAACCTGATTGGCTGGCTTGAATTGATTTGATTTGATCAAATCTTTCGAAAAAGTGGGTTTGTTTAGTTTGATGGAGGCGCTGTACCTTACATAAACACACCAGTTGGTTTTTTCGTCGCGCGAGCGTTGCGACCACATATCGACAATTTTGTCCATCCACGTTGCTCAGTTCATGTCTCTACTCCAGCCACCCACACCTAACCCAAGCTTTTCCACACACATAACTGACAACGGCCCCTCCGCCCCCATCTCCTGCCTCGCAACCAGCGGACTAACATCCAGCACCCATACCTCCACATCTCCCTCCTCCTTATCAGCTAACACCCAGTAGATCTCTTTTAACGGCACTCCCTTTACGACCTCTCCTCCCGATACCCCTGATGGCAGCAACTGGCCTGCAGTATGGGATAGTCTCCACGGTACAATGTATGGCCGGCTCTTGACTGAGCGCTATTGCACGACTGACTGCGCCTACTTGGACAACATTGTACTCCCTGCTTGACGATTTCATGCCACAGGTGCGGTCACTGGTGTGACTGGCCAGAGAGCCGTTGGGGGCAGCCACCGATGGCGCCAGCTCTCTCAGCAAGCCAGGCAAGCCTGACATCCTGCGATACTTGCCAACTCCCAATGAAGCCAATCCTATGCCCTTGCTTGACTGATGAGGTTATCACGATTGACTTGATATAGGGCCCGAGAGTCCTAGAAGGAGAGTGGACGCGGAATCATGAGAAGTCATGTCCTCAGATGTACGAAGGCGGTTTCCAGTCGGCAGCCAATGTACAATTGTAGTGGCAACTTCACTCTCTCTCCCCATCTCCCCTAACCTCCTCCGTGTACACCGTTGCCCGGCGGAAGTGAACGCGCCCGTACGAACGCAGCTCGCACATGGAGAGCGTGCTCTAGACCTCATCTTGGATCTCAGCCGTTCTTTTGACCCTGACTCTCAAGGTGGCTCGTCTGCGGAAGAATGAACACCCACTTCATCGCAGCAACACCGCAAAACTCCTCATGTGGTCTCGCTTCCAGGAGTCGACGCAGATCGCTTTCAGTGCTCGGTGTGAATTCTGCCGAGATTTGACTCTCGTCGCCTGACTGTACATCCGTCTTCGGCGATCCGAGGGTCTCTTTCAGACTGGCCAGCACAGAGCTGAGAGAGGCCATCGAATTTTCTGTCGGTCACCTGTAGCAGACGATATACACGTCCGATGCGGAAAGACTAGAGCGGTGTGGAGATACTGGAGAGTAGTGTGAACTTTGAAGAGACCGGAGAGAAGTGTGGAGAGACTGGAGCAGTGTGGAGGTACGAGTACGGGGCGCTCATTATAATGTGCGGGGAACCCCATACTCTCGGCGGACAAGACCCGCCCCTAGGTCACCAGGTGCACAATGAGGAGGCCTGCCGGTAAAGAGTATATCCTCGGTGACAGGTGTCGTGGTTTATCTCCATAAGATCGCAGGTGAGGTAGGTATCTTGGTCCTCGCTATTACCCATTCGCACACTTGCTTGCCGTCTCTCGTTCTACGATGTGGGCCACAACTTTGCTACTGGCAGGCGTTGCCTCCGCCGCCGCTGGTCACCCAACCAACAGCACACTTGCAATTGTCTGTACCGACGCCTATGCTCGGGCAGCCCTGCCAGCCGACAACGTCTGCCCTGGCATCATCATCGATCACTCCTCAATCTCAACTGGCGCCTTCTACGGTGTCTCGTTCACGGGTCAATACAATTACCCGGACGCCACATTCAACTACTGCAACGTGACCTTCGCCTACTCCCATAATGGCCGCAACGACCGAGTGCTTGTCACGTACTGGCTTCCAGCTCCAGCGGACTTCCAGGCCCGTTTTCTATCCACTGGAGGCGGAGGTTGGGCCATCAACGAAGGAAACAACTCAGTCGCAGGCGGAATAGCATATGGTGCTGCGGCAGGTCTGACGGACGGCGGGTTCGGGAGCTTCGACAACGCTTTTGACGACGTTTTCCCTCTGGCCAATGGAACCATCAACTGGCCACCGCTTTATATGTGGGGTTATCAGGGAATCCACGAAATGACGGTCATCGGGAAAGCTTTCACGAAGAAATTCTTCAACATGGGCAACGAATCAAAGCTGTACTCGTACTACCAAGGATGCTCGGAAGGTGGTCGTGAGGGCTGGAGCCAGGTGCAGCGCTTCAATGAGTTCGACGGAGTCATTACCGGTGCACCGGCATTCCGCTTTGCCCAGCAGCAGATAATCCATCTGCACTCAAATGTCGTAGAGCAGACGCTGGACTACTACCCGCCACCTTGCGAGCTGGACGAAATAGTCAACCAGACCATCGCCGCTTGCGACCCGCTTGATGGAAAGACCGATGGCGTGGTCTCTAGGAGCGATCTGTGTAAGTTGCACTTCAACCTCAACTCTACCATTGGCAAGCCGTACAGCTGCCCGGCAACCGCGGGCAATCCGAGTGGAGGCGTGCCACCTTCACCAGAGCAGAAGGGCGCAGTGTCAGCCCAGGGCGTTGCAGTGGCTGCCACCATCATCGAAGGCTTGAAGGATTCCCAGGGAAATCTGGTCTACTTCTCGTACCAGCCAGCCGCCGCGTTCGTCGATGCGCAAACACAGTATAACGCGACCTCCGGCAAGTACGAACTCCTTCAGCAGCCGTTTGGCGCAGAATGGGTAGAGAGATACCTCCATCTCCAGAACGCTTCGCTCCTGCCAACGTTTGAGGGCGTGACATACAATACCCTGGAAGCATGTATAAAGCAGGGGATGCAGATGTACGAGCAAAGCCTGCAAACGACCTGGCCGGACCTGACGCCCTACCACCAAGCCGGCGGCAAGATCCTGCACTACCACGGCGAATCGGATCCCAGCATCCCCACCGCATCGTCCGTCCGGTACCACGAGAGCGTGCGCCAGATCATGTACCCACGCCTTTCCTATAACGAGAGCAACGCAAGGCTGAACGAGTGGTACAAGCTGTACCTGGTGCCCGGAGCAGGGCATTGCGCGCCGAATACGTACCAGCCTAACGGACCTTTCCCGCAGACGAATCTGCAGGTCATGATCGATTGGGTGGAGGAGGGCGTCGAGCCGAAGACGCTGAATGCCACGGTGCTTCTGGGTGAGCACAAGGGTGAGAATAGGCAGATATGCGAGTGGCCGTTGCGACCGTACTGGCCGACCAACGGGACCGAGGTGGCATGCGTCTATGATCAGCCGAGCATTGATACTTGGCACTATGATCTAGATGTCTATAAGGTGCCGATATATTAGACACAAGAGGCTCTAGATATAACAGCGTATGAAGCTATTAATGATGAGCTTCGATTTCAACAGCGTTGTATGCCGAAAATATTAAGATGGGAAGAAAGGGAAGCCACGCACCATATGGTCCTTTCCTCCTTATCTACCTTAATCTACACGTGACACCATGTGACAGCTGGGACCAGCTGTTTAGTGTCGAGCAAACGAGACACTCTCGTGACACCGTCCCAACGACACGTCCCAATTCTGGCCGTATCCATGAACAACCTCCCGTCTTTCTTGCGCTGCACCTCATCCATAAATTTGAGGGAGAACCACCGTGTGATTGCAACCTATTGCAGAATGCAGATGTCCCGCCAGGTGGTTGACGTACCGTACCGGTGCGTGCCTCATAGCGAACCGCTGCATTTGGTGTCGGAAGCGCGCATGGAAGAGACTGCGAGCTTCTACTCGGTTGTCGTGCGATACCTACGAGAGCGACGTCATGATGATCTGGCAATGCAATGCTAGCACCACCTGCAATATCTCGTGTGACAACAACGCTGACCGGGTGTGTGAACGCACGTCTCCCATACTCGATGGCGTGTCTGGCCCCTGATCCGTGCTGAGCAGATGCTGAGAAGTACGCAAGGCCCGAAGGCTGGGAAGAAAGCACAGGCTTGACACGCGTGGTAAGGTGCGAATTGGGGGTGCTCACAGTCAAAATGACGGCTATGGTCACCTTCTGGCCGAAGCCTGGGGTAATAAGTACCGTACGAATGGGTCCTGTTCCGGCGTGCTCAATGATGGACCGTGCCGCAAATTTGAAGAGGGTATCACCGTTTGCATGGCCGTTTGTATAGCTTCCACCACTCTGAAATTCTGAAAACCTCAGGCACCACTGCAACAGATCGCAACACCTGACAATCCGAACCCTCGCTCGTGTCCACCAGCCACACCAAGAAGCAGAAATCTTCAATACATCTTCTCCCCCTTCGAACTTTTCCCCCATCGACACTCATTCTCGCACAAATAACCTCACCACTGCATGAGCATCGGATCCGAGATGGCGTCCTACGGCGAGAAGGACGAGACGCGGCGCCTCATCGACCATGTGTTCTTGCTCCACAACTGCCGCAACAAGAGGATGTGCCTAGCGATGGGAGCTTCCTCGCCCTTGTCAGTGATGCTCTCGACGCCGGCCCGCTGGTCGGTCACTCATCTACGCCCATGGTTCGCTCCAAGGCTCTTCTCAAACAGATGATAGCTGTCCATGGCCCAGACGGCTTCGTCAATTAAGCACAACTTGCACAAGCTCTCACGGCCTTGCAAGATGGCCAGACCGCAGCCATGAAAGTCTCTGCGCAGAACGCAGCTGTGCTCATCACCCGCCAGAATACCCAGCTTATATTTGAGACTTTCGAATTGTCAGCTGCGAACGAAGCAGTCCAGTCGGCGCGAGGAAGACTTGTCCGCAACTTCCCTGCGAATGCGACCGCCATCGACTCCGCTCTCTTGTGCAAACCCGAGTTCACCGACATGCTCTCAGAAACGCTATCGACCATGTCCCACCAGAAAGTACCAGAAATGCAACCACGTTCCAAGAAGTCTTGTGGAGAGCCCGAGGAAGACCGGGATACTCCCCAACCTGCAGTCGTATGTGCAATGTTGTTTATCATACTGCGGGGGATTGGGGAGCACTACCAAAGCACTTCAGTCAGAAAGAACACAAGAGAAGAGGTTCTCTGGAGTGATACTCGAAGACCCTGGCCCAGGTCAGCAATGTGGCTCCTGCTGCGCGTTGCACTGCAACCTACGATCTCGCGGTCACCGGACGGCTCGCACGCGCTTTACAAGAACTTGATGCTCCTTATCATGACTCGCCTCCTTTCTTCAAGTCAGCAAAATGAACTGCCGTCTGAGTTGATGCATGTCATGAATGCGAAGATCAACCGACGACGCCAGAAACTCATCGATACTGATTCGCTGTACGACTCAAACACTGCTCGGGCTGAGTTCGTTCTACGCACAAGCGTCAGCACCATTGCCAAGAGATGGTCTTTGGTTCAATCGCGCGACAGCCAGATTACATCGATGGCGGCACTGAGCGGTCTCGAAATGTCAACCGAGGCTCTCACCACTTTACCAGAACTGGACAAGTATGTTAGCTCTATGGAAGACCGGCAAGATTCTCAGGGGGTTCTTCTATTCCAACCGGTCAATGGACTGTTCAGGCACCAGAGTGGAGAGGCTCCGGTTCTTCCAAGCTCCCGTGATGATTATTCAGCGCAGAACCTCCAGTTCTTTGAGCAATGGGTTTCGCTAAAAGTCAACAGCTGGGCTGCAGATCGTGATTCAGCTGTTGTGTGCCAGGACTTGTGCTACCTGATCAAGAAGTACCACGCCGTCGCGTGCGAAGTCTACTCAGAAAATGCTGAAGGTCTCTCAGTCATGTTGCTCACCATCATCATGGAGCTTTGGGTCGCCTGCGATCGAGCGGCAGTTGAGACCTGCGACTTGCTAAAGGAATTCAGCGCCGGCATGTCCCCAGCCGTGATGCAGAACCTCTTGCTCCCTTTTCTAGACCAGATGCAAAGACTCTCCAAAGTTGATGCTCACCTGGCATCGCGTTCCCAAGGTCTACCCTCTGCCAGCATCTTCAGCCTCGACAGCCCTACTGGCTTTCCTAATCGCTTCTACGACACTTCTCAGAAGCACAAATACCTTCACGATTTGACCCGCAACAAGGCTGAGACTGAGCGACAAGCAAAGCTTTGGGAGCTATCTAAGTCCAAAGCGGAGTACAGTCGTCTCAACAACCTCTATCTCGCTGCCGAGTGCGAGTTCACCACGAAAGTTGTTGACCAGTGGTGTGACCCGCCTGAGGTTGAAACCATCCATAACTATTCATGCAGGAAGTGCGCATATCGCAGTGAGCGTGATGCCCTGGATATCCGAGTCCACGAATGGCCTCTCCCGGACGAGACGAGCAAAGCCAAGACTGTCGTATTTGAACTTGCCGTCCCAGCGTGGCACGTCTGCTGGAGAGAAGCACGGTTCTACATACTACACGGTGTCCTCAAAGGTTTCACTGTCCGGTATCAGCCCAGCACACCATACTATCTCTCGTCAATCGATCCGTACCTTAGCAACAAATACTCCACTACGACCAGCCATCGCATTAAATTGCTATCGGAAACGAAGCCATACATTGTGACGCATTATCAGGCGATGAAAATTCCATTTAGCACGGAGTCCAATGTATGCGTTCGAAACGGCCTTCACTATCGATACTATGATGCCGGTAGCGAAAGCTACCTCAGCAGCGGCTTCGAGTTCGACAAAGAAATGCCTCTAGCATGCACGTACAGACTCACGCGAGAAGCGCAAGTCTTTGAGAAGTTTATCTTGCGGACTGAATCTGCTCTAGATGGGCAGCCGCCGAATGCTGTTCTCGCAAGCCAGGATGCTTGTCCGGCCAGAGTGACACTGGAAGAGTACAAGGAGCTTGCAACTGTCCTATTGGGACATCATGTGCAGTGGTTGAACGTTCTCTTACAGCTCGCGGTGCCTAACGTTGACTTGAAAAAGCTCGAAACGACTCTGGTCCTTCCACAGTGCATCTATCAGACGGGACCTCCTTCCTGCGACAATGATCCGTTACGCGAGTCCCATCATATATTGCAATGCGACGCCAATCATGAGCAACCTCAACAGTGCTCTTCAACAAGTGAAAGAGAATTGGGAATCTGTGAATGCACTTTCCGCTTTTGTTGCTATCGCCGCTCGAGTACTTTCGCTCAACGAGGCTTTGCGGGACCCCTGTTTTGTATTTCTCCAAGCCGCAAGATGCATTACCGCAGATTGGCTTTCAGATCTTCGCGAGAAAGCATACTTGGCGATGAACAACTATGCGGACCGCACGCAATTCGTGTCGAGGAGCATCGAGGTTGCTCTGCTCTGCATCTCAACATTTGATGTTGACGACCGGTATTTGGATACAACAATCGGGAGCTCCGACTCGGAACTCCTGATATGGGCCTCTATCGTCGTTCAAGAAGGCGAGAACAATCGAGTACTGCGTGAGCCACATGTCGCACGGCTTCAGCTCCGCTCCAAGCGGCTTCTGCACCGCAGCTATGCCATCTTATCCCAAAATGGCGTTGCTCTAGACGCTGCGGTCAAGAGAGCGTGGTCTGGCTATGCGCCGACTAAGGTTGGCTGGTCGACCGAAACAGAACACTGGCTCACCACGGAGACAGCCACTGCTGCCCATATACACTACAATCTTCTGAGTGGCGAGCTTCTCGTCAATGGTCTGCCGCTCGACCAGCCACCGGCCGACTATCGCAAGTTGACTTTGTTCCAGACTCTTTTTGGCGATGCTACAGTTGAGGTCATGCCTGCTCCAAACCCGGGCTTCCAGTTTTCAACGAAGCGCAGCTTTGGAGGGTGCGCTATTGATCTTGGTATGGAATCAGGGCAGTTGCTCGTGCGGGCTACGACAGAGCTTAGTACGTACGAGACAGTACCCTCCAGTGTGTTGAAGGGCAAGTATCCACACCATTTCCTGAATGACTACGTGCTCTGGTGCAATACTGCAGACAAGAGCGTCAGATTCCTCCCGAAAAAGGATCCTTAGGATTTCAATCAATCCTCGCAATGGATACTGTCGCAACCTCAAGCCGATTCTCGCTGGCAATTGAGCAAAAGCGGAGTCCGCATAATCAGCACTACGCAACAAACTGCAAAGACTCTGGCATCCATCCTCCAGCCTCTGGCAGATATCACACACATCCACTGCTTGCTCCAGCCAGATGACACTTTACTCTATGCGGAAATACCCCTCCTACGTCTCAGCTTCAGCCTGGGGAGCGGAGGACGCTTGCTATATTCCGAAGAACATCGCTCAATGTACATTGATCCTGATCAGTCCCTTGGCGCTTTCGTTGGCTTCCAAAACAAGATGATGCTGAATGATGAGCGGAGCGGCGACCGCATTGCATTGATACTCGAGTCTGACTTGCAATACAACAATAAGGGCTTACATGTTGAGGTTCGAGTCAAGGACAAGTCAGAGTCTAAGGTTCATGTCGTCAAGTTGAACAGCACTCTCCATCGCCTTCTCGACAACAACGACCTAGATTGCAAGCTTTTCTTGGCGTACCTCCATGCTCTTACGTCGCATTGTCTCCCGGATCCTGCGACGCTGCATACGGGTACAGAGCAAGCGTTCACAATCCTCCGATCGAAGGCAGTTGAATCGTTTAGCCAATTATCACAGGCGAACGTCAACATGCTTGGCAAGATTGCTCAGCTCAGTCCCGGCCGTTTGTTCTATCCAGGAGGCAAGCGCGTCATGCAAAGTGTGAAGTGGGACCAGGGTTTGCCAGTTCTTTCTCAACATGACGACCTCTTGACGGTGGTCGCTGGCTTGTTCCGCCAATCCGAGGCATCGAAAATCTTTCATCCAGAGATTGAGCTTCAAATTACACGGAGAAAGGACATCAAAGACCATCTCCAAGCTAGGGCAAGCATGCGAGCATCTGTGTTTCATGTCTCTGGCTTTGGAGCTGAGAACCATAACAAGTCTCACGACCTGATATACAATTCTAGAGATCAAGGTCTTCAAACCGACCGAGCAATCAACGTCGCCACGATGTCTGCTCTTTTGTTTCGTGCTGGAGAGGACAGACATTGGGATTCAGCACAAGTATCTTCCTTTTGGTCTTTGCTGTGCGGACAACAGATCGTCCATGGAGCTCAGACCCGGGTTGACGCATCGCTCCTGCGCTTCGATGCAACCTTGGTGGAAGAGAATGCCACTAGAAGGATTCTAGCTAAACTTCCTGTTCTCCAGCGATCATTCAAAGACTAACAATTTCTAGAGAAGAATCGCTTCGCGATCATGGCCTTGCTGTGCACCATAAGCTTCTCAAAAAATGCACAGATGGACCAACTTCAGCTTCTCGCAATGTGTGCCAAGTCAAGACAGCTTGCACTTGTTCAAGCGCCCAGTGCTGCCTCGTTCAGCCCGGATCGAGGCCGTCTAGTCTCAGGCAGTATGCTTGAGACGATTCTGAACCGGTACCTTCTCACATCGCATGAGACTCCCGAGTGGAACATCGCACGACAAGAGAACGAGAAGAGAAAAGACTATGACCGTCGGCGGGAGTCTGCGTGGAAGCAATCCAAGAACGAAATGGTCAGGCGTGTTGTGAACTCGTTGAAGTCGCAGTGGCCTTGTGCGACGCCAGTCAACCCACAAGTTACGGATGTGTCAAAATACATCCTTATCGACAATGCCATGCCCCTCATTAAGGACGAATTCAATGCGCGGTATCACAATAGTCTTCTCTACGACTACTTGGTGCAACTCCTGCAGGCCTTGGAACGCCTACCTATCAGTAAACTTGGTCTGCCGGCGTCACTGCAGCCCATCCCTACCGCGGAAGTCAGCAACAGCTCTTGCATTTCGGAGGCTGATCTGTTCCTTGTGCCAGCTCCTCCTCTACCTTGCAAGCCAGTGACGCTTCTAGCATCAGATGACCAGTGCACTCGATCTACCGATACGGCCAAAGAGCCTCGTCTGAAGGCCCTGATTGAGAAGATGACCTTGCGGAGAGTATGCGAGCCTTGATGTCGAAGCAGACTACCGGCAAGAAGATGACCAATCCTTCATGGCAGCAACTTTCCACACACCTCGAGGGTTGCAAACGGCATGTCGAGGGTCTATATCAAACGATCCTCGGCGCCTTGACATCTTCAACGAAGGCAAAGGCGGCATATGATGTCTCCCATTCGCCGCGAGTGTCGCCTGTCCTTCTGCTCAAGCAACTGTCCTATGATCGCTGGCCCAGACTATCGCATGACTGGCAGAAGAGTATTGTTAAATATGGCCTAGCGATCACCGCGCTACAACGTGCTGCGCGTTTGGTCAAGTTGGCTGGGTCGGGGCGCAGCGAGGATGTCGCCAGTGAGCTCATGAACGTGGGTCATGTTAATTGGGACCCATTCCAATTTCCAGAGACGCTCCTGATTGAGGCTGAGAGCAGGATCATGGTCCGACAAGTACAGGAGCAGATTGCTCGCGAGATGCGACGGCCCTCCTCAGGCCGCAACGCTGTCATGCAATTGAATATGGGTGAAGGCAAATCGAGCGTCATTGTTCCCATTGTGGCAGCGCATCTTGCAGATGGTTCACAGCTCGTCCGGGTCATAGTGGCCAAGTCGCAGTCCAAACAGATGGCTCAAATATTGATCTCCAAACTTGGAGGTCTCGTTAACCGTCGCGTCTACTATTTGCCTATGCTCTGGCATTCCAGCCAAGTCGCCCGGACATGGACGCCATCTCGGCTACACTTGCACAATGCATGTCACAAGGCGGTATCTTGCTGATGCAGCCAGAACATATTCTGTCATTCAAGCTGATGGTGCCGGAGACTCTCATCAGTGGCCGACAGGACGTCGCACAATCGGCTATAGCATCGCAAAGCTTTCTCGATAGTCACTCTCGCGACATCGTGGACGAGAGCGACGAGAATTTCAGCCCACGCTTTGAGTTGATTTATACCATGGGGACCCAGCGCTTGATTGAAGCGAGTCCAGGTCGATGGCAATTGATCGAGCAAGTGCTAGAATTCGTGAGGCGTACCATTCCAGCGGTCGCTGAACATCTCCCGCCTTCAACAATTGAGATGGTTCCCGGAGTCTCTGGTGCCTTCCCAAGGACTCGTGTCCTCCAAGAGGATGCTGGCAACTACTTTGTTAAGATTCTTGCCGCCAAGATCTGTAGCGATGGTCTTCTGGGCTTCCCTATCAACAGACAGCCCCCAAGCATCCACGCAGCTGTCCTCGCATATATCACGAAGAGTGATCTCTCTGCATAAGAGATCAATCTCGTCAAGAAGAGCGCCGTGCGCTGGACCGAGACGAACCGACCGCAGCTTCTTCTACTGCGTGGTCTCCTTGCTGATGGAGTACTGCTATTCCTTCTGAGTCAGAAGCGCTGGAGAGTCAATTACGGTCTTGCCGATCGTACTCCAGCAACCAAAGTCGCTGTTCCTTTCCGAGCGAAAGATACCCCAGCTTTGTATAGCGAATTCTCCCATCCTGACGTCGTCATTGCATTGACCTTGTTGAGCTACTACTACAAAGGACTTGACAACGCCGAGCTTTTTGCTGCTTTCGCACACCTGACGAATTCGGACCAAGCCGAAATCACGTATCAGGAATGGGTGGGAGACTAATGGCCTGGCTGAGTCTTTTACCACCCTTAAGGGCGTCAACATGAAAGACCGGCCACAATGCATTGCCAAACTGTTTCCTTCCTTTCGGCACGGCAAGAGCGTCGTGGATTATTATATTTCTCACATGGTTTTCCCTAAGGAGATGAAGGAGTTTCCGCACAAGCTGTCGGCTTCTGGCTGGGACATCGGCAAGGTACGAGGGCGGCTGACCACTGGCTTCTCCGGTACAGTCGACTCGCGCCATTTGCTCCCCCTAGATGTGGCATACCTCGAGCTGTAGGAGCAAAAGCATACTAATGCGCTGGTAATGAAGTATCTCCTTCAGCCTGAGAATGGAGTGCAACTCATGGCCCCTGTGTCTGCCAACAATACAATATCGGACGTGGACTACTTGTTGTCGTGCGTGATGCAGCTTTGTCCGCCTGTCCAGGTGATTCTTGACGTTGAAGCTCAGATTATCGAGCTTGACAACTTAGAGATGGCAAAAGCTTGGTTAAAGTTGCATGACGACTCTAAGCAGGCTGTCGTATTCATTGATATGAATGACGAGATCTGTGTCGTGGATCGCTCGGACCGTGTGGACCTTCTCCGAGCATCGTCATTTCAGTCTCGCCTTGATGCCTGCCTTGTGTTCTTAGACGAGGCTCACACTCATGGCATAGATCTTGTTCTTCTGCTTGAGAACCGAGTGGCTGTCACACTGGGTCCGAGATTGACACAAGATCGCCTCGTTCAGGCTTCCAAGCGCATGCGAAAGCTGGGCAAGGGCCAGACAGTAGTCTTCTGCGTATCTAAAGAGATGCAGACAAAGGTCCTCGACACAGCTCGAAAGACAGATGCCTCAACCATCACAGTCGCTGACATCCTGGAGTGGTCAATGCATGAGACCTCCGATGACCTCCGCCGCAACATGCCGCTGTGGGCAGTCCAGGGTGAGTGATTTGTGCGACAGGAGAAGATTTGGAATGCCGCAAGCAACCAAGACGACCGGTCACGATTGACCAAAGAGGGCGCTAAGAAGCTGCTGGAAACCGAAGCCCAGTCGCTTGACAATCGGTATCGGCTCATCTCGATGCAGCCGGACCCAAAATCTTTGCCATGTCTGATGAACCTGTTGTCCAACAAATCGCAGCTCGTTGCAAAGAGTTTAACATTACGCAATTCAAATCGAGCGCGCTTCAAGAAGAACAGGAGCGAGAACTGTCGCCGTAAGTGCACCGCTAGACGACATGCCTTGTTCTATGATTTTGCTAACAATATTTCAGGGAGATGGAACAAGAGCGTCAGATTCAACGTGCGCCACCCGCCAAGGCATGCCCGCATAAACTGCATCCAGACGTCAAGAACTTCGCCTTAACTAGCAAGGTTGTCAGTTCGTCTCAGGGTTACCATCCTGCATTCTCTACCCTTAGAGGCATGAGCACCGCGACGGCATTCAACCCCAGCGACCTTGCAGGCGAGGAGGCCTTCCTGACAACCACTGACTTTGCTGAGACTGTCCTCAAGGGTCCTGAAACCTTTGTGTCCGATACTTTCCTGCGCTCGGTGCAATGGATTCTCACGGCTCATGACCCAGACAGCAAAACCATCAAGACTGTCATGATTCTCTCGCCGTATGAAGCGAATTCCCTTATACGCAGCATGGAACAGTCGGAATTCATGACACTGCATCTCTACAGGGCACGTGTCAACTCGGGCTATGCAGCTCTGGATTCGCTGGACTTCCACACAATCCCTGTCCGCAAGCCGGCCCTCCAGCTTCCTCGTCGCCTCGCGGCACATCTCAACCTCTTTGCTGGCCAGCTGTACTTCAGCTCGTATAACGATTACCTAGAGACCTGCAAGGTCCTAGGTCTGTTGCCGCGGTTTCTGAGCGAGGAAATGGAGAGGCAGGGTTGGAAAGTCGACGCGGCGGGCTTCATCCTCGCCGACGATCGGGGACGAGTTGGCGGCGAGTCGGGATTGACGAAGAGCCCGGTTGGTTTCTTGAAGGGCCTCTTTACGGCGAGACGGAACGTGGATGGGTTCGGGAAGTCGCACGTGGGGAAGTTGTTGGAGGGGCACGTGCTCCAGAAGGCGGACTTTGAGGCCTGATGATACCTATGGTGAGAAGAGACTTGGGTACCTATTGTTCAGTGGCGGAGGACATCCGGACAAAAAGGCAATCGGTCCCTAGTCACAACCTGCTCCAGTTAGTATCTCCAATATCAGCTCCAAACAGTCAGACACAACCTGAACTACTACGATGGGCGAAGCAAATGTGGTCACTTATCGGGCAACCATTTCGTCAGTCATGTTCGTATTCTCTTGATTTTCCTTTATCTATCATCGTTGCTCAAAACACAGCACTGTCTATGCTCCAAGAAGCATCTCAAAAGCGCCATGGTAAGCAAAGGCGGAGAGCAAAAGTCCTGGTTCCGTCTGTCAACACAGGGAGATAACATACAATCCCACCTAACGCGGCAGGTGTAGCTTGGTACCAAGAGCTCTATGTCTCAGAGCCGAGCGCATCCCCACAATCCAAAAGGTCAAGAAGGAGTCCCGGGGTAAGCCCTGGCGAATGACCTCCAACCCGACCGAAGCTTCCAGCAAGTCCAGAGCCGCGAGAGGGCCTTCGGTCCGTCTCACATTCTGTATGACCGGGTTCTCGTTCCAGTCCGTCTCGAGCTGGTCGATGAGCGACCACTGCAGGGCGCGTTGGCGGGATTCGAGCTGCTCCATGTTTTGAGACGGCGGGGCGGGTAGTCCGAATACTGGACCTGGACCTGCCGAAGCTGACCGATGGATGAGCGGCTCTTGGCCTCGTCCTCCGCTGCGATTGAGGTTGCGGTACTCGTCGAGAAGATGCCTCATGCGAGCTGTGTATTGGCTGTTGGGGGCTGCTTGGTCAGAGCCTGATGCGCGCTGTGGGACTGGCTCTTGTTCGCCGTCGACGTCCATCAGGTCGCCGGGATCGTAGCCCATGTCAGCCACCGGGGCACACATTATAGGCTCCGCGCTGCTTGGCACGGCGGATATTGTTCCATCGGAATTGATGAGATAGGACCTAATACTCTGTTCGGTGATCGTGGTTCGCTCGTTACTTTCTCTAGCCATGTCCGGTCGATACTGCATCAGCTGAGGGTGCGGCATACGCCCGGAATCCTCGCTCTGGGGCAGGCAACGATGTCGTCCCAGCTGACGGCGTTGCTGTTCCATGTCGGCGTATCGCTGCGCTATCTCGGGCTGGCCTATGGCAGACCAGTATTGGGAAATAGATCGGTAGGTAGCTGCACTGGGCAACAGGCCATCGACGACAGGAGCAGGGCCACCTAAGGGTGTAGACGAGGGGCCGGATGGCGACGCTGCGGGAGGTGCAGGGGTGGCATACGAAGGGCCGGATGCCGCTATGGCAGGAGGTCTGGATGGTACAGACGAGAGCCCTGCTATTGCTTTGACAGAAGGTCGAGAGAAGCCAACGGCACTAAGCGGCCGTGAGTTAGGAGGGCCCGAAGGACCTGCGCGTTTGACCCTCTGGTCATTGGGGCCCCGGACAGCATCATGGGAGTTTCTGGCAAGACCTCCACGTGAAAATCTCGGAGCTGGCGCAGCTGGCGCAGGCGCAAGTCGAAGCCGGATCGCCGGTAATGCTCTACGGCCGTTCGGAAGGCGTATAGCGGGTTGTCTGCCAGCTACTGAATGGTGGTTAGCATTGGCTAAGCCGCATCGTTTTTCACCTCATTATAGTTACTTTAGGGAACTTACCATGTACGATCTGCCCCGGGGCTTGGGTGTTCTGAGCAGTACCAGCACTGGCACCTAGACCACTTGGATTTCCAGCTTGACCTGACTCGCCCGTGTCACCAGCAGCAGCACAATCAAAGTTCCCTGCTTCGACGGCAGCACCCACGGCAGTAGAAGGACCTCCGTAAAGCGAAGTGTCTCTGACAAGTCCAAGGGCGCGAAGGGTGCCACCACGAGTACAATCAGTGTTCTTCGCTTCGACGGAAGCATCCGTCTCCATGGCGGTATCAGGACCGTCTCCGTAAAGAGCAGTGTCTCTGACGAGTCCGAGGGCACGAAGGGCGCCACCCCGAGCACGATCAGTGTTCCTTGCTTCAACCGTGGTACCCGTCTCCATAGCAGTATCCACGGCAGCACCCATGGCAGTAGCAGGACCAGGACCATCTCCGTAAAAAGCAGCTTCTCTGACGAGTCCGCGGGCGCGAAGGCCGCCACCACGCTGCTTCCCACGTTCACTCCCACTCCCACCAGCATCACCGCCAGTTTCGCCACCTTCTCCGTTGAACTTCCGACGCCGACGACCTCTGGGCTCATCAACCCAATCGAGCTCCAGATCAGCGAGTTGATGGCGAGAATCGTACTTGCCCCTCGCATGGCATGTGCTGCAGGTAGTCATGCCGCACCTGCAACACTTCTGCATCACAGACGTATTCCGCTTCTCGCACTGATCGCACTTGGCATTGCGGGTTGATACCTTGACGAAGTTGGTGTGAGCATTGCTCACGGGCTTCGGGGCGATGGCTGTCGTCGGTGCTGCTTCCTGCCTTTCAGGTATCTGTTCTTCGCCATCGTGGCCAGGAACTGACGGGTGGTCTTGATTACGGCTGGGTTGGTCAGGGAGAGCTACCGTGATGGTACCCTCATCTGCGCTCGTGGCCTGTGGGTGCTCACTTCCGTGGCCTTCGTGTTCGTTGTCGTCGGGTTCCTGACCTCCGTGCTCAACCGGTTCGTTCTTGTGGTCACAGCCGCTGCCTGTATGAACTAAGTCGCACCCACACCCATGGCCACTGTCACCGCCTTGTTGGTTCATTTCGGAACAGTGTGCCCGCGAGCTCAGAATATCCAATGGATGATTGGTTGTTTTGGTTCAGCACGCGTTCTCGTGGGTCTACGTAACGGAGGCGTTAGTCAGCTGTTATTAGAAGTTGCGAGAGCATGAGGTGCTAGACACGCAATCCCCTGTTTGGAAGGGATGGGGGCAGAGGGCGGCACTGACTACCACTGCTAGTAAGCCCGAGAGGGATCATGTACGAGGGATTCCCCAAGGTTGTGAAGTGGTGGGGAGGGAAGGTGTTATGCGACCAGGCCGATTGTTGGCAGATGTGCCTGAAGAATGCCCAAGGCTAGTATATCCAATTTGTATCAGATAGGGCCAAGTCGATGTGTATAGGTGAGACAGGGTCTATACTAGAAGTGAGGCAGGAAAGGAAAGGGCAAAAGTAGGTATGAGCAATAACCAAAAAATTGTGGTGGGAATGTGCGTGAAGGGAATTGCATTCGGATTGAAAGACACAGAAGAACAAAATTTGCGACGTAGATAGGGGTGGCGGCGAGGAACAGTGGGAAAACTCCAGTGAAGTGATGCGACAATGAAGAGCAGGTGAAGAGCGGTGACTCCGAGTCCCAGTCACAAATGCTGCAGCGTGCACCGCGTGAATTGGGCGTGAAGGGGAAGGTGACTAGGGCAGAGCTGGGACAATGCAGTATCTCCATGGCCTTTGAACTCGACTCTGGGCAGACGAATGTCTTCACTTACTACTTCCTCGGCAAGAGCTCTCCTTGCGTGTCGTGCACGCCAATGCTCAGCCTGAAGATCGGGTGTCAGAGGGCCGTAGAGGAAAGAACGGAAAGTAGTAGGCTTACAGGTCGGTATCAGGGCCGTGGCCGAAGTACTCGTGTCCAAGTCAAAGTTGTTGGTCGGGCGCGTGAAGCGGCAGGAGAAGCGGCAAGAGGAACGTCGCGGCAAGGTGCACGACAAGAAAGTACTTGATGTGCAAGATCTGGTGGAGAGGAGTAGGTTAGTGACCTTGTACATGTATGGATGTTAAATGTTAAGTGAGGACGACGTAGGAGAAAATGCAGTAAAACACCCAATATGTGCAGTCAACGTCAGGTATGCTGGAAGTACCGAAGTAACATGGAAGGCGAAACACGTAGCGAATCATTTGTATGTGTACATTGATGAAGGAAATGCCTTACAGTTTCTACGCTAGCGTGGATATCTCCTAAGGCGACCAAATCGCGGAGTGGCTGTGTTGGCTCCCCCTGGAATCGATCTCCCAAGTAAACTAGCAGAAGGGTGAGCACTGAGCTCCACAATCTGAAGGCTAGATATAAGCAGGTGCTGATCTTACTTTCACTGACGAGTAGAAGGACAAGAAGGGATTGGTGTATGTGTGTGTATATATGTGCCGGCCGTAGCTGCAGACAAGCAAGAGGTATCTACCTAGTTGGTGGACTTAACAGCTCACAGTTCTGTTGGTCATTGGGGGTCAGAAAGGCAGTGGGAGGCGTCTGGTGGCACAAACTCACAGGGAAAGTAGGGAGTGTCTGCTGGCACAACCACTCGAGAGTGAGCAGGTAGGCCTCGATGTCTGGTAATGATACAGCGACTAGGTCATGAACCGCAGGATTAGCAATACCTCTTTGATTTGGTATTGTCTCGGTACGGGGAAGAAGCAGGAGACTTACCACAGATTGTCCCTCTGACAATACGCAAGTGTGCGTGCGTACTGGTGGCACTTTCGTTCCACTACCTTGTTCTTCGCAGCGGCCTTCTTAGTGGATTGTGGCACCACGATGATGAGGAGTCCGATGCTTCGGAGGTGAGAAAGTAGCAACGTCAACTTGTTCTGTGCTGACTTTCGGCAACCAAGAAGTCAACCTCCTCGATAGCTCAAATCGGTTCGGCCGGCTGAAGAGAAAAAGCCGGCGTCTCTGTTGTGATGGGGAAGATGTCGTGGGTGTCGCGGGTGGGGAGGGAGAAGTCGTTCGGATTGGACAGGACTTGTTGACGCGGGAGGTGTATTAAAGCGAGGAAGCTATTGAGCGAGTGCTCTTCCTCTGTATTGACTGGAATATGGACAAACGAATGAATCACTCGATTTCGGCAACGGTCTGAAGAGCTGTCCAGTCTATGGCAACAATCCCCGCAGGGCCCTGAAAGGAACCAGGGCCGTGTGCCCTTGCACGTTGGGCAGAGGGGAGAGAGGTGGATGGAGTAGGCACTCCAATCATGCTCCTTAGGGGCCTTGAAAGGGACTGTACCAGCCCTCAGAGCGTCGGGAACTCTGCGCCTGCTGGGATTTGTCGATTGCTTTGGGTGCAGACGAAGTGGCTGGCGATGGTGGTACCGAAAGTTACGTCTCAATTCGGTCGCTAACAGCGGGCAGTTAGCCAGAGGTCAAGGAAGGGGACAGTGTTGGCGTCGACCTAGATAATGGTCAAGAGGAAGGGCCGCTGCTGAGATTTGCTACACCACGTACCTTAATATATATCGATGATACGAAGCTTCAGATGGGAAAAAAAGGGCTGTCTGGAAAAGAATTCTTCTCCAGACGGTCAGAGAGAGCGGTGATCGTGGTTGTGTTGTGGAGGAGGAAAGGGGAGTTGCGACCCAGTATAGATGAGGCGAAGGAGTTGGTAAAGGGAGTGTGGGATATACCGTCTGGAGTGTTTGTCGTGAGGTTGACGATGATGATCTCGAGAGACCAGACATGTAGCCAGGGACAACAGTGAATTCACACCCTGAATGGGGAGGTAGAAATAGTGTGCTGCGTAAATAGCAGACAGTAGAGATTGTGATGTCTACCTCGGAATTTTCTGGAGGTGCAGACGCAGTAGTTGGTGGTGAAGAGAACGAATGAAAGAGCAGGACATGCGAGAAGCTGGTTCTGTTAAATAGAGAAAGAAGAAGAGTATGACAGTTCATCGCAGGTGAAGGCAAGTCACATTACCCCATTACAGAAGCATTGTGCTGGCAGAACGATGGTCAAGTGCCAGAGGTGAATGGGGATTCAGGTTGGTGAATGGGAAATACTTATATCAGATGGTGACTAGGAGGAACCTCTATCTTATTTGCTGTTACTCACAGCTTTAATTACCCATTATCCGAAACGGCGGGCTCTAGGCCACGTTTGGCACGTTTTTTGCCTGAGGCGACAGTTCGGACGAGAAGGGCAGCTTGGGACTTGGGATGACCCATTGACCGGGCATTTGTGACGAGTGAAATTGCGAATTGTGCGGGGCTCGGTAGATGCTTGCCCTGATAGCAAGCACGCTGGTGATACTTGCCCTGGGGTGTCTAGACTCCTCAGTCTCTGATGCATTGAAAATGAAATCATGATGGTGATTGTTGATGCCTTGAAGTTGTTTTGGTTCATGTCAGGCGACAACTATTCAGGGGCAGCAGCTTGGATGGCAGAACTTCGGTCAGAGGGAGGCGCTGTGGAGTGGGGTAATCCCGGTATGTGAATACCTGGTATTCACCTAAGCGTTAATAGATGCTCGGTTTGGCATATAGTCCCGCGCTGTGAATATCCTGGAGCGGACTGCCTAGTATTCACCTATCCCATGGCAAACATTCGCCAGGGGAAATAGCCGGCAACTGGCCGGTTGAAATCACAGACTTCTTGCGTCCTGCAACAAGATCATGCTCGAGTCATTGACCTGAGTATGCAGAGCCTACTCTTTGACACCAGGTCCGACACTCCGAGGCTCATTCAATTAAGGAAGCAGGCTTGGCGTCTCCATGGCGGTGTTCCAACTTCCAATCAAAAAGTGATGAACCAGAATGGCGGCACTTGCCCTTAATCATGTTTGTCGAACCCCTTTCAAAGATGCTGCAGAGTCCTGCAAGAACTTGAGGCAAGCTACGAAGCCAAACTGCTGCTTCAATACATACCTAGTCTCGCCAGAAACCATTCGCTCGAGGGCACACCGAGGTTAGGGGGGTAGAATGAGACCGGTGAGACAACCCTTGAGCTCCTAGGCATCGGGGCCGGTCATGACTCCAAGCTTGGCAATTATCCTTATCCCGCTGATTCCGCAGCCAGTCTCGTGGCCGGAATGACTGGGCTTCAAAAGGAGTGGTTTCACTAGAAACCAGTCATTCCGAGCTAGTGACGCTCGGGAAGGGGGTCTAGGTGGCCTTCATCGGACGATACCTGAGCTGGAAGGGCTCGTGAGCACACATGCATGCAGGCCTCCAAACTCTGTACGGGCGTCACAGGAGAGGTGTCGAAGCTGTTTCACCGACATAGGTGTCGTCATCGTTCCGAAATACAGTGGGCGACATCTTCGTAGAAGGCCAGGTACTTCAGCAAACCGGAGGGGAGCTCGGCTGGGATAACGCTCACCTGCATTCAAAGTATCCTGATCCGGCACTGCTGGTACTGCGCTGGGTTTCACGGAGGCATGAGAGCATATATGCTTGTCGGGTCGGAAAATGCGTTCCTATCCTTCGTCCCCAGCTATCTGGAATATGTCAACATGTGCGAACAGCATTCAGTAAGATCATTCCGATACAAAATCCAATGAATGCCTAGAATCCACCGTGATGGTCCTCAAGCTGTCAAGTCAAGTCGATTGGCCCTTTCCCGACAGGCTCCTTCTCTGGAGTCCTCCCACCGTCGGTTGATGTCAAACATCTATATCATGTCCTGAATACTCCGATTAAATGCCAGAACATACGTTTTCAACCATATAAACGATCAAACGCGCTGTTTGATGGTTCCCCTCTTCCTGTGAATCCCTTGCTCGTCGAGGTAGAAGGCGCAGTGCAATCTCGCAGCTATGGTGGTTTGGGTGGCGTCCTTGCCGTGCAAGTCCATCTGTTCGCGCATGAAATCGAGCGGTCGTTTGCCCTGGTTATTCCGAGCAAGGGAGTCGCACCCGAGGTCGAGCAGTGTGCCAATGCTCGAGATCAGGATATCTGCTGCCTCGTTGCCAGTCCAAGACAGGAACTGGTGGTACTCTTCCACACTAGGGAAAATCAGAGCCAGAGGGACGTCCCCATTCTCGTTCCGAATG